CCCTATCATCCATATCCAAATAAAAGCACCCTTCTCCTAGGTGACTGGTACTGGAACCATGGTGCCCGCAAGTCACAGGAAAACTTCCGCATGCTTTGCGACATATCGGTGAACAAGGCTTCTCACCAGCTGATGTCAGCGGCGCAAACTGGCGTAAGATTGATGAATCACTTGTCACAGTGGGCGACAGCAATGGCAATAGCTCAGACTGGCTGGACGACGGTTGGAGGACAAGTCCAGTCACTATTTCTGTCCCATTCCACAAGAGAATGGCAGATCCAGGTCCAAAGGAATTCATTACTGCCGACTTTCACTATCGCTCCATACTATCTGTCGTTCAAGAAAAACTTGCTAATGAACATGAAATGGACTCTTTCCACTATGTCCCCTATGAACTTCACTGGCAACCTGAAGGCCGAGATGAGACACAACTTTATGGTGACCTATATACATCTCCAGCATTTGTTGAGGAAAATCAGCGCCTACAAGACTCCCCTCCAGAACCTGGGTGTGATCTGGAGAGGTGTATACTAGCACTGATGTTCTGGTCCGACGCAACACATCTCACGTCGTTTGGCAATGCAAAGCTGTGGCCTCTATACATGTTTTTCGGCAATGATACAAAATACAGGAGATGCAAGCCTAGTTGCCACTTGTGTCATCACATTGCATACTTCCAAACAGTAAGCATTATTCCCACTTGTTTTTTACTCTCCGAACTGATATATCTCCTGCCCATGTAGCTCCCAGATTCATTCAAGGATTTTGCAAATGCATTTGCGGGTGGCAAAGGAGTTAATGATGCTTTCAACACACACTGCCATCGGGAGTTCATGCATGCACAATGGACCATCCTTCTTGACAAGGAGTTTATTGAAGCTTGCAAGCATGGCCTTGTAATTACGTGTTCTGATGGTATAAAACGGCGTTTTTACCTTCGCATCTTCACATATTCTGCGGACTATCCGGAAAAGTAACATATTTTCTTTCTAATATTATAATCTTTCACTTATATGGTATTAGGGTTCTTCTCACTAGCATCAGGAACTTGGGAGCTTGCCCATGTCCACGATGTTTGATTCCAAAAGATTGTATTCCAGGGATGGGCACAAAGCAAGATATGAGACAACGAAAGACATTGGCACGAGTAAACAATTCTCAATATCAGCGGAAGGTAGACATAGCACGCAGTTTGATTTACGAGAAAAATCATGCAGTAAACAGCAATGCAGTCGAAAGACTACTAAAGGAGGAGTCTTTGGTTCCAACGTTGGTATGTCCAACACTTTCCTTGCATATAGACTTCACTCAAATGGTATTTTCATTCTAGAATGCATTTTCGGCTGCGCTTACACCCCTTGGAGTCAACATTTACTCTCTTTTTGTCGTTGATATTCTGCATGAAGTTGAACTGGGTGTCTGGAAAGCAATATTCATTCATCTCATTCGCATTTTGGAGTCACATGGTGAAGGATCGGTTCATGAACTGGATCGAAGGTATGCCAGTTATTCTATTTTACTTTTCAGAGGCTAATGTGCTGGTATATGTAATGCTAGGTACCGGAACATACCACCATTCGGACAAGACACAATCCGAAGGTTCTCAACAAACTCGTCCGAAATGAAGAAGATGGCAGCCCATGATTACGAAGATCTCTTACAGGTATAAACATTTGTACTTTCTCTTTTCAAAGCATTACTTATGGCACTCTAGTGTGCTATACCAGCTTTTGAGGGCCTCCTACCCGAGCCGCATAATAAAAACATACTCAACCTGCTATTTATTATGGCACAGTGGCATGGTCTTGCGAAGCTGCGAATGCACAGTGATGAAACTTTGGAATTCCTTGATCAAGCTACGACATTGCTCGGACACCAACTTCGCAAATTTCAGCAGGAAACATGTCCCGCTTTCAACACCAAGGAGCTTCAACGTGAAATTGATGCCCGAAACCGACGCCAGGCCAAGCAGCAATCAAGTAGTAGTAATGCACGCGCACCACTGTCAAATAACAACGCTCAACAACCAAAAGCATTTAATCTCAACACATACAAAGTTCATGCCCTTGGTGACTATGCTGCCACCATTAGAAGACTAGGCACAACAGATTCGTATTCCACACAAATTGTGAGTCAAAATTTTCCTATTTTAATACTGCAAATACTGCAAGCTCACAAATATTGGGTAGGGTGAACTTGAACACCGCACACCAAAAGCATCTTATTCTCGTACAAGCAAAAAGGTGTTTATCAAGCAAATTACAAAGATTGAACGACGTCAGGCTCGGCTCCGAAAAATCCATCTTAAATTGCTGAGTAGACAGCATCTAGATGAGAACATCCCCGCTTCACCTGAAACCCATCACCATATCGGAAAGGCACAGAACCATTCTATTGACATCCAGGGATTCTTACAGAAACGAACAGGCGACCCCGCTATCAAGGTAAATACATATATTATGTCTATATCTACCACATGTGACACCAATGTGCAGGAGTTTTTGACTAAACTCCGAGCGCACCTTCTTCCACGACTGAAGGTAGCTCTCCTCACAGACCAAAACAAGCCTGCCGCTACAAGCAGTGAAACGGGCACTTTTGCGGGAGATAACGCATTAGATGGAAGCTACATCATTTTCCATAATAATCGTATCTACCACCACAACATCATCCGCCTCAACTATACAACCTATGACATTCGATGGGCGCAGGACGTAGTGAACATAAACACATCACACAACAGTATTATGATGCTCTCTGACCGAACTATAGACTCTGGCCATCCGTTCTTATATGCAAGGGTCCTAGGAATATACCATGCAAATGTTATTTATGCTGGACCTGGAAGTTACGACTACCAAGCTCACCGCATGGAGTTTCTCTGGGTTAGATGGTATGAGCCTCTCAGAGACAGTGACTGCAATACTGGCTGGCATCGTCGTCAGCTTGATTCATTTCAGTTCCTGCCCACTGACCACCAAGATGCATTTGGCTTTGTAGATCCAGCTGATATACTTTGTAGCTGTCATGTTATCCCCCGATTTTCAGAAGGGCCTTTGCATCCGCATAGGATTGGTACATCACTCTCTGCGAAAGACTCGGCAGACTGGAAGACATACTATGTGAATAGGTGAGCAACATTTTTTGATTCACTATGCCAGGCTAAACATCTAACAATAATAATCTACAGATTTGTTGACCGCGACATCATGATGCGCTATTATTATGGCTATGCTCCTGGCCACTTGTACGCTAAACGCTCACGAGGAAATACTGAGCCGCCCTGTGGAATACCAGATGAAATCGCCGCAGCAACAGTCACAGATCCTGCAGATGAAGTTTCCAATCATGCACGCCAATCTGAAGCCCCGGATTTGCTTGGTTCGGATGCAGAAAACCATGAATATGAGGGCCGAGCCTCATCAGTGAGTGAAGATTCTCAATCAACCTCCTCCGACTTGCCTTCAGAAGAGGGAGATCAAGATGATGGATTGCAGGTCTACGGCCTCAATGATGAGAGTGACAGGAATTTTGATTAGGAAATAATGTTTACTTACAATATTTTTTATGCTATGATGTCTTTGTCTGTTAAATTGCAAGTATCTACCGGTGGGATCAATGCACACATACATCACACCGATAATTACAGAGGCAGACTAGCAAACTGGTTGTATATTAGAAGGCTAGATAAGCTCGCATGATAATTATACTATTCTATCCGACTACCCAACAGTGCCAGTAGTGTATAAAAGCTGATACAACTACATCAATCTTACTCCCATATTATAATCATAGATATGACCTGACAGTCGGATGCAAGACTTGGGACGGATTATAAACTCCGCCTGGTAATATCAGCACCTCACCATTTTCCTGATGTCCTTCCTCTTTACACTACCAATATCCTGCGAGACCTATCAACTAGTTCATTAATCCACCGTGTTATCTCCTCCCTGTCTTTCCGCATGTCTTAGCTCGCGTCGCTAGCTAGTTTTTTTTGATGTACACTCTTGTTTTAACTAGTACCAGCAATCCAGTCATTTTCAAGTGTCTCTAGCAGACTCTAAGTAGCTCTACTGACAACTATTTACGAATGTGTGAAATTAGAGGCTCTTAGAGGCCTTTGATCTGGTTGTATATTGATAGCTCTCTCGTAGAGTCTCGTCGAGATTTTGGCTGTGAATTAGTGGCTTATAAAGGCAAAATTTACTACTACTAGGTTCCTCTACCTGCCACTCACAGCCTCTTGTCACTTTTGACTGGGGTTAAGTTCGAGCACTGGCAGGTGCAAGTCACTGTCGGCCAGCGTTATGCAAATGCAAGGTGTAGAACTATGGAGCCTAAGCTAATCACTCGTCGGTTCAGTAGTTTAGATTCAGTGTCATCAGCATATGCTGTTTTCAGCATTGATTTTCCTCTGATATAATTAACCTATGACCCCAGTCAGTCGGTGGTCCCTGCTACTTGCTCCAACCGTTACACCAATAGTTCCAGATGGTACCTCCCATCTTTGAGTAACGACGTTCCAAATCGACAAGTCATATTGCGACAGCTCCATAGAAACTTCTCGAGATTCACCCGGATTGATGAACACGCTATCGAATCCTTTCAGGATATACGGTGGTGATTGACTCGAGGCTGGAAGAGAAATGTAGAGCTGTGGAGTCTACACGGGATTTAAACCTCTAGATAACGAACATAAAGAACGAAATCACCGTACCTCATGTCCTGCAATGTTGCCAGTGTTTGTGAGGGTAAAGTTAACAAAAACCACCGGTGCATGAAGCCTTTCCAATATAGTAAGTACACAAACTCGTTGTAGTACTTGCAAACTCACGATGGATCTAGGGATGAACCAAAACCATAACTTGGTCCTGGGGCAGCACCAGAAACGGAGCCAGAGACAATAAGATCCGAGTATGAGAATGTGGTATAGGACAAGCCAAATCCGTATTCGTATCGAGGGGTTATATTCGCCTGGAAAGCATTTTCAATTTGAAGGAGGTAAAAAGCGGGTAGGCACGTACTTCATCAAAATGTCGGTAATCAATAAATAGACCTTCAGAATATGGAATTTCAAGGATGCCTATAGGTATACTGGTATTAATCTGCGCTGCATAGTCATCGATACTCTTGCCAATCGTGTACGGGAGTCGCCCACTGAAGGAAGGCAACTTTCACTTCGGTTCCTCTTCACAGTTGGCTGGACATACCTCGGATTATAGGCCCCATAGAGAATATCAATCAATGAGTTACCTTGAATGAAATTAGTAAATCTTCCCGCCAAACTGACCGAGTCATCAAACGCACCAGCTTCTTCGCCAGGGAGTCCACTCCAAACCTAAATCATATACCTCTGAGCAATGCTAACAGAATGGTCATCAATATACTCACCAAACCAGTCACTATCGCAAAACAGAAGCATCGTTTCAAGAAGGGACAAAAACTGCAACCAACAGCACTCACCATTGGGGTTGTCTATCCACGCCTCAACCACAATAGGTCCGACGGTATTGACGACTACAATTGTGTTATTGTTGACACTGGCTACCTTTTCAACAAGAGCATCCTGCAATCAAACAGATTAGGCTTTCATAACCAAGTGGAAGCTCGTGCGATTTACCCCACTGTGCCATGCCTGAAGGTTATTGCGGTCCCCTGCATTTCCTTCTACAGTCAAAGACCCTTCACCACTATCAGCTGTTATGAAAACGAATGCTACATCCTTTCCAGAAGCTGTATCTGCGGCTGCATCCAAGTCGAAATCGTCCAGCGATGAATATACTTGTGTTCCATCTAGGCTAGAGCGATTTGTTATGGCATCTAAAGGCTATTGGGGAAATATGTCAAATTTCAAGACTATGAAGGAGACAACTTCACTAACAGTGATGAGATAGGGATAATTGGCGGTTCTGGAACGAGAAAAACAAGTATTCAAATTATTTCCTTGTATGTTTCATGATGTTAATAACACTTACCCGCTTCCCCATCCCATTCCAAGGATACCGATATCACAGCCTTTAGCTATACAGCTGATTTTCCCCCAAGATAAGCTCTCAGTGACACTTAGAAACTGGTTTTTATAAACTCACATATTTGGCCCTAATGGATTCGGTCCCGCATCATTGCCTATTAGAGACCCAGGTCAGCTGCATGGCATTGACTAAAACCATATCCTTATAAAAACCTATAATTCCAATTGTCTTGGGTTTGTTGAGAGGAAGTGCATTATTCTCATTCTTCAAAAGGACAGTAGATGCGGCCCCAATGGTCCTGATCAGACTAAACAGCCGTTGCCAATCGTAAATACGATGTGCCTAAGAAAGGGAGTCGTCACCCTTACCTTGCATGATCACCTTGCACATTGACGTGTTGATTAACAGAACTCAATGGATCCTTGGAATCAAAGTTGACGGGAGGGTAGCCTTGCTCTTGTCCCAACAGATACCTTCGCGTTAATAGAACCTAAAGCCGAGTAAACAAATCGTACAGTAAAACCACTTACCATCCGGCCAGAATGCGTGTTGCCATATCCTACATACAAATTAGAACGGCCCACATGATTGATTACGAAGTATTACTTACATCGACTCGAGATTCGGGCACAGTGCCTAATTGTACAGCGAGCACAAGGGATTCTCCAAACCAGCTATACGTACAGCTTCAGGTTAATACCCACTGTTTATGAACCACTGTCTTATCTCACCTGACTATAGATCCAGGGAATATATCACCAGGCATAGTCATCTGTAATCAACGTGTTGGCTCAGGCTCGATAGAAAACAAACAGAAATCTAACGTCCAGGCCGTCATTTGCAGAAGTCGTGGAAGGAGTTGCCGTCCAGTCTATGCCAGGCATACTAGTCAGTGTATTGTATCTGATGAAAGAGGGTCGACATGACAAACCTGACATAACATCTGCGTTACACATAGGATATGAGGTAAGTAACCGTCGTATCGAAACCACCCATTCAACTTACATCCTTGAAAAGCTAGTTCGTATTTGAGTAGTCCATTGAGCGTTGCATTATTTTCACAAGCGTATGTCCCATTTACTTGAGGAAAAAAATTAACATAATAGCATCCGCATCAATCCAATGTCCATCACCTTGATCTATATGTGAGGATACACTTAATATATTGGGATACATTGCCTTCAGGGGAGACAAACTTACTGTAACTACACATGACCGCTGCAACGTTAGCTTGTACGCTGCGCAAAAACTTTGTTTTTGATTAGTTCGTCTCGATGTCAACAATATGAAGAGATCGTACCGGATGCAAGTAAATTTCGTGTTGCTACAAATTTCCATCAGTCATCACGTCAACGAATTCATGTTTAGGTTATCTATACCGTTCTAAGAAATACATATGAGTAGAATATCAAAACATAGACTGACGAACCAACCTATCATCAACGTTGGATGAACTTGACATCCTTGAATGTTCTTGTTCACTTCGGAAATACATTAGAACATGAGTATTCCGGTGGCCAATAATACTTGCTAGTCAATAAAGTGCTTTGCCACAGCCTGCACTCCTTGAGATTGGATGCCGGTTATTGTCTCGAAGGCACCTTCACCTGAGAGATATGGGTCGCCACCGAAACTATACCAGGCGTTCAGACCTTCAGAGCCTGCATGGTCACAAAACTGTCTGACGTACCCTTCCCAAGCACGGCCTGAAGCGGGAGCCCTCATGAAATTCCTGTCCGAGGTGTTATCCAAATATACTTCAGAAGGATAACAGGAAAAAACTTGCATCATGGGTCCTAGTTGGATGTTTACACCTTTGCCACGAAATTCTTGACCCATGGCGACCCCACGCTGCCTCATGAGGGTGCGGTTGAATCTAAGCAACCATTAGTAAAGAGTAGTCTCATGTAAAGCATCACTGACGTCGCTGCAACGTTGATGCCTCTGGAATACGAATATTTAGCAGCGACATGAGTAGTATGACAATAAACTCACGCAGGGAAAGCGGACGAGTAATCTGTATCTTTGACGCCAAGTGCGCTGTCTAGTGGCAAGGGAACACCTAATATTAGCGAAATTCATGTGGGGAAAGCACTAGTAACCTTCGAGACATAATCCGGTGAAATTGATTGCGGGGATGGTAGGAATATTTCCGGTACAATATCCTAGGTGATCATCATTCGTTAGAGAAATCACGGAGCTTATGTATTTTGATTCTAACCTATGAAAAATCCCATGCCTAAAGATCGACGACATGTTATCAGCTATGTCCATTTCAATATGAAACATCTTCACCTGTAGCCAAACTAACTTTGTCGCTCAAATTCAATAGGGCAAGGGTACTTTTTGCCTTGAAAAATAGAAGACATTTTAGATTGGAATGAATGAACACCAGATAACGCAATAACATGCCTTTGCATATGCAGCGTTCCATTCTGATGAATTGACTTGTGCGAGATATTAGTGGGTTGATGATATAACTAGTGTATAAAGACCTTGCATGGGCACTTACCTTGAGCGGAGACGACTGGTAAGAGAGCGATGGCCGCTGTCACTACACTAGAGTAAGAAAACTTCATGATAGTAGGAACCCAAGCCTGAGCAAGCCCGATTCTGCACAGTGGGCCGGTTACCAGGCTTTATATGGGCGACGGATTGAGGTTGAGCGCCTGTTTTCAACGGTTATAGTATTCACACCAAAAACTCAGATATGTACGTATAAGTAGTTCCTGCATGCAAAGACAAGGCACATGGTCAGCGCAGCCGCGGCATTAGGAAGGTCTGCATGCCCGATTTACGGACTGACGCCAGATGATCAGTTGAAGGCTTTCTACTGTTTGGTCGCCCAGAAATCAATACTGCCAATGTGTCCGCGATCGTCACGGAGTGATTGGACTCTGAACAGGAAGATAATGGTGATTTTGAAGGCAGCAGCGTATTCGTTGTATGGCAGCATGTTATTTGCAAGCCCAGCCGTTCCAATCGAAGCCTATGTCACTCGTGGATGTAAGCTTAAAAAAAGAAAGAAGTCTGAGTCTGGTCTAGAGTCACTCGTCTGAGACTCTGACTCGGAGGCAACCATTCAAATTTCAAAATATTCAGATCGAATGTGTCAATCACGTGACCATCCGTAAGTATTATACTTCCGTCGTGAGGCATGGCGTAACATTGTGTCTCACTACAGTCGACTCCCCATAGCAATTGGTGGACGGGTAGACGTTTAGAATGCGTGGGTTATTGTTATTAGGGAGTCGACTGTAGTACCAACGCACAATACTTTTAATAGTGCTGTGCGTTATCTACCGACGCGTTAACCCAGCAGAGATTTAGTGAAATGAGTGGGCAGAAAGCGTGATTCCATCAGGAGCACAAATATCACCAGAGTGGTTCTACTGGCGAATCCTTCCAGCCTCGTGCCCGAGACTCCCAGTATCCACCAATATATCTCCACTCATCCCCGACTTGCTTGAACCACCTCGGTTTCCTATCAGCACCACGCCTTCGCCTTTCTCTCTGCAGCTCTTCTACTCTTGTCTTTTCGCTTTCAGCCTTGTCTATATCACCTTCTTCAAGAGCTCTCACATCTGGCCGGAACCTCGAATCTGAAGGCGGAAGTCTCCCCTCCAAGTCACTCGTGATTTCGTTCAGCGTCATTCCGAACAAAGTGAACCCATAGTATTCCGGCGATTGTTTTGGAAATGGGGTTATACGCCAAAGAACGCGAAGATGGGAGGAATCCAAAGCTTGCGCTATCTGCTCGTCCCATTTTCCTTCTATACGGGCCAATACCGTTCCGGTTGACGAAAGGACGGTTCCAGAAATTTCATTGGAAGAACCCCAGTACCCGCTTTGTTTGAAATCGATGACGCAGCTAGATCCGTCGACTGTATTTTTTATGTCCATCTTGCCGCAATGCTCTAGATACTTTGTGCCCACCATGATATTCCTCATGAACGATGATGGTTTATTCCTGATGCGGTTGTTAAATTGAATGAAAGAAAAGATTGATATGCTCACCATTCAAACTCATCTCCTTGAATTTTGAGGTAGGTAGTACCTAAAGGAATAATCTCTAAACTTTTTCCTGTAAAATTGTGAGTGCGTTAGGTAACTTCAAGAATATTTGGCAGATGCAACATACCCCAAAATTTGGTTTTACCCGCGGTGGTTGCATATAACTCCCATCCGTCACCCTCAGCATGATAGGCGATGACAACTGGATTATGTTGGACTTTTTCTGCTACGAACTTCATTCGCACGTCCTCAAACGTTTCACCTAGCATCGGGTTACTATTCCAAGATGCAGCAAGTCATAAATATGCTCATAGCACGAATGAACAATCATACTAACAAGCCTTTCCTACTTGATCTGTGCTGTGTATGAGCGTATCCAGATATTGCATATGCAGCGACGTAACACATCCGGTCAACTGGATTGGTCGCTTCAACAGCCTGTCGAAGGAGATCGCAGTATTCTACTTCCTCAGCACTACGCTGCAGAAGCGTAAGAGGCTCATTGAAAGATACTGGAAAAGCGATAGCAGAAAGATCCTGGGAAGAAACATCAATTCATTTTCTTTACATGAATTGATCATCTGTCTAACCTTTCCAACATTTTTTTTGAGCATAGAAAATAAACTTCCTTCGTCGCCGACAGGCCCAGACGGTAGATGGGTTCTCCTAACTACCTCTCGTGCTTTGATGGACGGATCCATTTCGCCAGATTGTTGAGGAGTCATAATTTCTTCCTCGTGGGTGTCTTCACTAGAGTCAGAATCCTGTAAGCTACTATCAGATTGTAACACAGGGCCATTTCTCTCTTCTTCTGGGGTCATGTCCTCCAAAAAGAACTCTTCACCGCCATCTTGAGCATCAAACCATTCTATGGGAGTGCCATCACTAAGGCTAGTTGCACAAGATGCCCGCTGAGATAGCCTGGTTAATGGAGTGGATAGTCGGGAATATGAAGTAGGTTCTTCCACAACTTCTGCTGTGGAGGGGAGGGGAGAGCCACGGGCTGTGGTTGGGGTGGTGTCACTGAGATGTAGCGGTTGTAGTGATTTCAAAAGTGCAGCGTGCTGTGACTTCAGAGACCCCAGCACCTCATAAACCCGTTGTAAAGGTGAGTGAGGTAAGAAGTCGGAGTTCATGTAAGAAGAGATATTATCGTGATGGTTTGCGCCAGCTGTGTACAGTTGAATTAACGCCACATCACTGTGTACTTGGGGACACGTACACTTTTTGAATATGCCAAAAACTGAACCTGCATCCTTGTGATGATCCTTATGCCTTTCCTTTTCTAGTTTGGACTTCGAGATGGAGTGGTGCTTCTTCTGGCTGTCGTCGGTTTTCAGAAGAGCAATGGCACTTTCTAGTTCGGTTATGGACTAGTCACATTAGCTATCTGATCGCACACATTCAAGTGAAGAAAGTACATACTAGACCAATCTCCTCTGCAATCGCGCCTGACTTATACCATTGATGCTGGGGGAGCCGAGGAGTAACTCTTCCAAGAGAAGACTTCCGTCCATCTGAATTGATGAACTTTCTGCGTATAGTTATGATTGAGTATTCACAACAAGTCGACAATTGTCTACACTCCATTCGTCACCTGAATGCTGTCATCCATGCACTGAAATCTTCCATACTGAGGCATTTGATGTGGAAAGTTGCATTGCTGGAATCTATGTGTATGTCTCTCCGTCCAGCAGCAGTGGAAATAGCAGCTTGAGGAAGGAAAATCTGGTCACGAGTCGGACGTTTGGGATCGATAGAATAAGAGAGTATTCCTGACTGATGGAGGACAAAATAGCGGCGCGCAAAGCCTGAATCCATCAACTATAAGCTCAACTGCGGATGGAAAAATACGACAACGTATCGTTACCCTGCATCTTTTTTCTTCTCTTTTTCAAAACCCATCCTCTATATATTATGTCCTGTTCTGGACTGGGAATAAGATGTGGTGGATGCTTAAACGGTGACATTCCAAGTGCTCGATGAGCCTATAGATACCGAGATGTCAGTAACCTAAAACATAAAGCAGATAAGCTGAGAATGATTTGCTAGGACACAACTTCATACGATGTATAAACAAGATCAGTGGTTCCGAGAATTTATCATGTATATAGGAATGAAAATGAATGGACGCCTGCAGATGGCGACGTAGATAAGTGAAATACGGAGAGCTTGAGAAATGATGATGAATGTGGTTTGATTAACAGCATTGGTCGGACTCGGAAAGCTTCCGATAGCTCCCGCCACCAGACACAAATATAATCAAAGAACACGTCCCACTCGTGAACCGAGTCACGCGATTTTGCTTTCACCCCACATCCCTAGTCTTCAGCTTCAGCCGTTTCCTTAATCATCTGAATAAATATCAAGTAATTTTCTATCTTGAATAATGATGCAGCCAACGCCAGCACCATCGTCTCTTCCAGGATCTCCAAAGGGCGATGTCAATTCGGTGGAGGAATCAGTCACGTATCCCGCTCCACCTCAAAACAACGGGAGCGCTCCTTTCTCTGTTCTTGCTGGTTTGTTCGAGAGATTATCTACTGAAAGAAAACCGGAGCGAAGAAGAAAGTTGTTGGATGCCTGGTTCAACGTATGTTTGCCTCATCACCCACCCACTTAAACTCATCAAGCAATGATGGTGGCCACTCCACAGCACTGGAGAGAAGAAATAGGCCATGACTTATATCCTGTTCTACGCCTCATTTTGCCTCAGGCGCGTCCAATTGGTATGGCCTTGCTATCATCATTCTGAATAGTTATTGCAGAAGGACCGAGAGCGTGCTGTATATGGCCTCAAAGAGAAAAATCTGGCTAAAACATACATTAAACTAATCCCTCTTGGTATGAGAGATCCAGATGCTATACGCCTGCTCAACTGGAAGAAGCCAACTGAGAAAGATGTTCGTATATGCACATGCCAAGCTGCACTGTAATGATGAGTTCCTACGGCCTTATAGAAAAGTTCTGGCGACTTCCCCAATGTCCTTTATGAAGTTGTGAACAAACGGTCTTCAGTCATCGAAGGCTCTCTTTCAATCACTGACCTCAATGAAATACTCGATGAGCTGTCTAAAAATCTAGGCAAACAGTACGCATACATGTCCCTTTCAGACATTTGTACCCTGATTTTCGGTTTAGGGACATCCAGTCAAAGATATTGCAACGAGTATACAACAGAGCAACTCCCGAAGAACAACGTTGGATAGTAAGAATCATCCTAAAAGGTACCTTCTTAAAAGCTATATTTGTCACTGCTGGTGCTGATTTCGTCTACTAAGACATGGTGATATCCGTCAAAGAAACAACTGTTTTTGGGGTTTTGCATCCAGATGCTCAGGACCTATTCAACACTTGTTCAGACCTTAAGAAGGTTGCCTGGGAACTATGGGATCCCTCTCGCAGACTTAAAGCCGAGGTAGGATCTTTCAGTCGAGGTAGAAGAGAACTGCAACGTAATGTTCCCGTTCTGCATTTTCAGGATAAAACTATACAATTATTCCGTGCCTTCGCACCGATGTTATGTAAAAGGCCAACGCGCAAGATTGAAGAGTCTGTGAAAGAGATGCAAGGTCGTAAGTTCATTATTGAAGAAAAACTTGATGGAGAGCGCATACAATTACACAAGCGCGGAAATGAATATTTCTACTGTTCAAGGTAGGCGTTTTATACCTTCCTGGATATACACTAAGTATTCCGTGTTCCTCAGAAAAGGAAAGGATTATACCTACCTGTATGGCAATCACGTCGGGACGGGTAGCCTGACGCCTTTTATTGCTTCGGCTTTCGACGACCGGATAGAAGAGTAAGTCCTGCTCTTCCCAGTACTTTGATTTAGTATTCAAAAGGAAAACAACGCTGTATAGTATAATTCTCGACGGCGAAATGCTGGTATGGGATCCCGTTTCAGAGCGCAATCTTCCTTTCGGTACTCTCAAAACAGCAGCCCTCGGTTTGTGTGGATCACTTTATTTTTATCATATATTTACATCTTTATATATACAGACAAAACTAAGAGGGAACATAATCCCCGGCCATGCTGTGAGTATAAAATAGTGATACGCACGGTCTCAACAGGACTCAATCTCTTTTCCCTTTCAGTCAAAGTATTCGATCTCCTTCATTTAAATGGCATGTCACTTCTCCAGAAATCTCTCAAGTTCCGCAAACGCAATCTTCGTGCATGTATTAAAGAAATCCCTGGTCGCATTGAGTTAGCCGTAGAATTTGAGGGTAAGACTGCGAAGGATGTCAGAGAGAAAATGGATGAAGTAATGGCAGCAAGGGGGGAAGGTTTGGTCATCAAGCATCCAGATTCTGAATATGTCCTAAACGGTAGAAATAAAGATTGGATCAAGGTACTGTAACATAGTTTTTAATGGGGACGTCTCTCATTTTAGACAAACCTAGGTTAAACCGGAGTATATGGTATGTGAATGATAATATAAAATAGGGACTAAACAAAACTCGCTTATCTAACAGGACAATATGGGCGAGACTGTTGATGTGTTGGTTGTCGGTACGCCTTCCATAGCTGGAAAGTACCCTCCTTCTGATATCTCAGCTAGGTGGTAACTACGGAAGTGGAAAACGTTCTGGTGGTGTTTCTACTCTCATATGTGCTGTTCTCGACGACCGGCATTCTTCCAACGACGACGAAGAGCTCAAGTATGTCAAAACCTCTGTGCTAATTATTTACACTAACGGTCTTGCAGATATAGTAGTTTTGTTCGCATAGGGTCTGGCTTGACCTTTGCAGATTATATCTGGGTGCGCCAGAAACCCTGGAAGCTTTGGGATCCCAATTCTCCCCCTACCTTCCTGCAGACTGCGAAACGGTCACAGGATGACAAGGGTGACGTATATCTTGAACCAGAGGAGTGAGTGCCGAGACAGTCAGGATGAGTTGTAATGAAGTAGCTACTTATGTGCTACTTGTTAGTTCATTTATGCTGAAGGTTAAGGCCGCTGAAATCACAATATCAGGTGAGCGTTAAAGTATAGCTCGTGATGGTCCGAAGTATCAGACTATCGATTCCAGATCAGTACCATCTGGGTTTCACAATGCGCTTCCCTCGTGCGCTTTCTATCCGCGACGATCTTTCTATCGCAGATTGCATGACAGCAACTGGTGAGTCATTTTTTTCTCCACTGGAAATATTATAGTCCAACGGACTGGACATCAGCTATCCTGGAAAATTTACGAACTGAGAGAAAGAGAAAAATGGAGAGCGACTCCAGGTACGTTGTTCACACACATTTCTTGGCAGTACTTTCAACCTTCAACGGAACAGTATGAGCAAGAAGAAGAAAAGCAAAACGAAAGTTGCAAAGGTAAAATCTTCTGGCTACTTATTGGCACGATATCTGATAGGCTTCAGCCTTCCATGCTCCCAGAATATCAAGGGCTCAAGCTCAATTCAATTGAAATCGAGTCAAATATATTTGAAGATATCAAGTTTGGCAAGTAACTGTCTTCTGACTATGTCATCATATTTATCTAGATAACTAGTGGTATCTTCGGATCCGAAATCGAGGACAGGAGACCATGACAAAAAGGAGCTGATGAAGATGTAAGTACAGCGTATGTGACCATTTCATTGACTTATGTCTTTCAGGATTCATGCCAATGGTGGTAGCTGCGCTCAAGTAGTTACTAATCAACAGCCAAGCATGGTGATTTACGGTGGTTCGACAACACGTCAGTTTGCATGTTGATTATTGTTCTTGTATTTGTGCTCACGTATACGTCCAGCATACGATATTAGACTTTTGATCAACAAAGACACTGTTGACATTATCCGGCCACAATGGATCGTAGACTGCGTTGCTCGCGGGGAGATTCTCCCGCTCAAGAAGAAGTATGCACATGATCTAGTCTCTAATCTAGGTGAAGAGCTCATGGTATTACTCACAGGTATTTTTTCCACGCAACGTTCGATCGCCAACAATCTGCGGATTACAACCAGCCCGATACTGATGAAGACGAGGATGAAATTATGGCCGATGAAGAGGATGCTAGTTTACGTGTTCCCGTGACCCCTGATCTGAAGGGGCCCAAGGTAGAGGAAGCTGACGACATAGATCCCTCATTGGCAGACTGGTTTAAAGTCGGAGCAAAAGCGCCTGAAGATAGCGCCACCGAATCAGAAACGGATGCCGACTCCGTGAATGACGATGTGAATCCTGATGAGGATGAGGACGACTGGTTTAAAGTTAAACCTGAAGGAAGTCTCATTGCAGACAAGAGCGTTATAACAGATGTACGTTGGGCTTTTATTTCCTGTTATGTTTTCTGAGTTTGCTTTCAGGTGCCGGACTCAAGCGCTCAACCCAAGGTTTGATGACATTGATAATTTGTGAATCTTTCTGACTGCGATACAGGATGAAGATGTTTCAATGGGGGCAGATTCCGGTATGGAATACGACCCCAATTTAATCTTTAGATACCTGTTCGTAATGCTTCTTGAAACTTTCTTAGTCTTCTGCTAATTGTTGGCCAGATGCTTCTACCTCGATTCACCGGACAACGCTCGCAAACACGGAATGACGGTGCGAGCGAAGCATGAAAAGGATGTCGCTCAGAGGTTTGTGGCAATAACTCGCTAGTTTAAGTGCAAATTCACACCTCAAATTGATAGTTTCGTCGACATCTCGAAGATGATTCAAGAAAATGGCGGACAAGTGGTGGACCTTGACGACCCCAAGCTCACACATATAGTAATGGATAAGCGGGATGATTCCCGTCGTGTAGAGCTTATTCAGCGCACGTTCAAGTGAGATTAAGGATCATTAGTATGTTACTCCCGACTGACATTCTTTGGAGGCCAAAACGACGTCGGTTGGTTATAGCTGGGTACATCCAAGCCTGCCTAGAGGAAGAAACTTTGTTGGACGAAGAAGGTGAGCCGATCGATCATCACTTAGAGTTATTGCATTTTGCTTATGCCTTCTTTACAGAGTTCACTCCATAATGTTCCGAATCGGTGTGGACAATATAATAATGATAATTTCATATCTATGTATCTTTACAACTTTCAACGTGAAGGTAGTGATAAATTGCATAATGACTCGGATGATAAACGACTGCGGAGGCCCCAAGAAATTTGGAACGAAACTAACACAAAAATACTGATGTAGCAAAGCCCAAGCTTTTCTACATGGTGGTGCCAATGTTAGATACATTTGAACGAAATACGAAAAAAATCATCAGTCCCAGCTGACCAACGAATAATAGGCTACATAAAAATATCCTGCATTTCATAAAGTCGCAGCGCACGCAAAATGTCACTTTAGCCCAATTATCAAAACCATCTCGCCCATTTTCCTGGGCTAGGCATGCTAGGACTCTCATACAGCAATCCTTTACGGCCCTCGAACAGCCCTGCTGGACTGTCCTGTCCGCCCATCCGCGCCCCAAGAGCGGACAGTTCTTCGTCAAGCATCGCGCCCGGGTCATAAGGATCAAATATAGAGCGAGCGCCCGGCGTCCGGAAGGGAGACTCGCTGATCGATGGCGGACCTGGAAAGACTAGTTTCCTCGGTGTGAGCGGTGGGAAAAGCGTTGAGCTATCCCGATCTTTGTGGTGGTTGTGGCCACGTTTACGTGTCGGCGTGCGTATATTTTCGCTGTCCAGCACAGCCGGATTGATCCCGTCATCCTGCCGGAACGATACGACAGGCGGAGGGTCGAGATGAGATTTATAATGTGCGAGACTGGGTGATGGACTCATGTGCAGGCCCTTGTGGGACAGTGGTGTACGAAGAGGCGAAAGCTGGAGGACATTGCTACCGCTGGGGTTACGCTGAGGGGTGGAAGGGCGTGGAGGGGGCGTGTGGGGGCGTACGAGAGAGGTATCGGGGGGTGGGGGTGGAGGAGGTTCTTTGCTCGGTTTCTGCCTTTTGGGCCTTGTCTTTCGTGCCAGAGTCGGCGAGATGGGCATAGGTGGAAGGCCCATGGGCTTCTGTCGAAGATATAAAACTATTCAGCGAATGTCAACGAGACGTACAGTAATTGGTCAATTACCTTTGGAGGTGTTTTCTGCACTTCAAGTTGTCTCCGCTTACCCTTATCGGGCTTCTGTATATGTTGAAGCATCATACTTGGCTCTAAAGTCTCGAGAGATGACGCTTCTGTCAGCACTCCATTTTGAGTGGCGTCTGGTGGGGGCGTAGATACTATTCGCGGGCTCATTCTGTTCCTGGAATCGCTCTGCCTCACGAAGTCTTCACTGAGTAAAGCAGGACTAGAAGAGCTGTTTAAATTGGGTATGAGCGAAGGCAAAGATGAAGAGGGAGGGACAGGAGATGTCTGAGGTGGTTCGGAACTTTTGATAGACGAAGAGGGAGGCAAATATGACGGATGGAGAGTTGCAGACGTAGATACAATGCGATGATAACCAGAAGACGGTGGAAGAGGAGGGAAAATGACATCAGCAGGCATTGTGACGCAGCTGTCATAGTATGGCTGATGGTGAGCTGCAGGACGTGTAGGAGGGAAGAGAGGTAATAGGTGGGATGGCGCAACAAGAGGAGGGAGAAGAGAGCCTGGATTCGACCTTTCTTCTGCAGAGTTTTCTGCAGCTACAGCAGCAGCTTTCTTTGATTTCTTGGCCTTGCGTCCAGAACCCGAAGGTGGCTCCTCCGCTGGCCGCTTTTTCGACAAAAGCTTCTTTGATCGGTCGTGCTGCATATCTGCACAGAACTCTTTCCTAAATCCACCATTGGTAAAGCATTCAAGGTCGCAATCCCATATTGCCCAGAGCGTGCGCCCGATGGAGCGGTCGCGCGGGACTTTACGGAAGCATATGGTAGTACTGAGGACATGACGGATAGAGTTCATCCAAGTCGTCTCATTGCGCTTGAAGTGAGGATATACTATGGTGATCCAGTCATAGATTTCCTGAAGTGTCAGGCGGTGCTCTGGCGAGGACAGAATCGCCTGTCCGACCAGCGCGGCGTATGAAAGATCAGGCTTAACAGATGAATACGGGCCTGGAGGGAGAGTATAAGGAAGGGTATCGTATTCTTCCTCGTCCGGAAGAGGGCCCATGGGCCCCGGTGAAGATACAATATTGACAATACGCTTGGTAGATGGAGTTGCATAAGGTGACGACTGAGGCGGAGAAGAAGACGGAAGGGGTGACTTGTAATAGTTATTTCGACGCGGAGTTATGGGATTAGGACTTTTGGTAGCCTGAACTGTGACAGTGCGCGTGCGTTGACGCGTTGGGGTGGGCGAATCAGGTCGTGGGGTGAATGTGCCCTGCGAATAAGATAACGATCAGTATAAGGAGCATAGGTACTCGAGGCAATCCAAACCTGTCGTGAACGTGAACGTGAGGAAGGCGGTTCAACTTCGTCATAATCTCTATAGTATTTTCGGGGTTGCGGGGTGATGGGAGGCAGGGGTAACGTATCCTGCCACCGCGCGATCAGTTAGGCGAGGAAGCGATCTTCTGCGAGATACACGGCTCACATACCTGAGGGGTAACACTGCGTGAAGGGTCTGAAGATTCTACAGAGGGAACGCGTCGAACGTCGCGTGATTTCATGAACGCATCAAGACTGACACCGGCGCTTCCGGGAGAAGGCGAAGGTGCATTTCTCTCTTTTTCTTTTCTGCCTCGCTTTTCTCGCTTAATCTGGCGGCTTTTTCTTTCGATAACCATTTCCATGCTATCCATGTGACGGAGTGGTATGGCGGGTTCTGTTGGCTCGGCCTTGACTGGAGTGGAAGGAGGAGGCGGTGTCGTCGATAGGGCCGACGCGTTGATGAGCGAGTTGGAACATGAGCGCGAGCGTGTTCTAGATGACGAGGAAAATAAATCAGCCTTTGCGTATTGGCTATCTGATGTTTCAGATGTCGTAGTAAAGGCGCGCAAAGACTTCGCATCTTCTGCGGTAAGAAACTGGCGCATCTGGTCGCTATGCTTGATCAAGTCATTTCTAGTCAAGCCCAAGGACTGCAAAACCTGGGATATTGGAGAAATGGGTTTCGCATGGTGCGCTGCCATGAGGGCGCAAATGAGAGAGAAAAAAGCAAAGGGATGGAGATGGGGATGAAGGGGGGCGTGTGCGGCGGGGGATAAGAGACAAGAAAACAAGTATTGACTTATGGACACACGGGAAATGGAAGCGTCTCAGAAATGATACATTTATTCCGGAGTTCTAATTATACATCCCGGCACATCCACGAGAAATGTAGTCTTGAATGTAGCATAGTATATTAGGAAATAGCCAGGGTTATTTGCTCTTTTCGAATACAGTATTTACGCCAAAGAATCACGCAGAGCCTTGTATTTTAATTTTTTTGGCGTACTTTCTACCTGAATGCCGTGTGAGAAATCTGCCGGTGACAGAACATAACGTAATGTGACACACGTTACACATGTCACGATCACTATAATCAGGCTTGCCCTCTGCTTATACGCACCGGAAAGCGATGGTCTACCACAATCTCAAAGGTATGTTGCTCCAGCGTCCTTTTTGTGGTGCGAGCTCACAGTAAAGGACAGCCCTTATCAAGGGTATACGGGCATGCAAGGTTAAATCGTCTTTACAGTATCCATGGACCCAGCTAACTGTCCCATAGACTGTAGCCGACGAGCGAGCCCTCATCCAACAGGAATCCGCAGCTATTCGAGCATCCTTCAGGGAGGAAGACTCGTATGCGCGACATAACAATATCGCAAAGCTACTTTACATCCATATGCTTGGATCTCCCGCCCATTTTGGACAGATAGAATGCCTCAAGTTGGTTGCAAGCCCCCGCTTCTCAGACAAACGTCTCGGATATCTTGGCATCATGCTACTGTTAGACGAAAATCAAGAAGTGTTGACTCTTGTCACGAACTCGCTGAAAAAGTTCTCAAATATTATGTTGGCCTCGTTTGCATACTAATACAGTGGTCCTAGTGATATGAACCACTCCAACATGTATGTCGTAGGCCTGGGACTGTGCACTTTTGCCAACATCGCATCTGAGGAAATGTCACGGGACTTGGCGAACGAAATAGAGAAACTGTTGGGCTCAAGTAACACCTACATTCGCAAGAAGGTACAGCTCTACCTCGCTATATGCCACTCCACCGGGTTTTTGATATCGTGCTCCCATAGGCTGCACTTTGTGCTTTACGAGTTATCAAAAAAGTACCTGATCTATGTGATCACTTCATATCAAAAGGCAAAAACCTCCTTACTGACCGCAATCACGGAGTCCTCTTGGCAGCTATCACCGTCGTGACAGAAATGTGTCAAGTTGACGAAACATGCCTGAATGAGTTCCGAAACGTTAGTACTTCACTGTTTCTAAATACTCTACATCGCGTTCTCAGTAGAGTCTTCAGGCTGTCCCGTTGCTTGTTCGTAACCTCAAGTCTTTGGTCACAACTGGTTATAGTCCAGAGCACGATGTGTCAGGTATCACAGATCCTTTCCTCCAGGTCAAGATCTTGCGTCTACTGCGTCTCCTCGGAAAAGGCGACGAAAGGGCAAGTGAGACTATGAACGACATTCTTGCGCAGGTGCGTCCGTCGGTACATTCTACCTTGTCGAGTGAAGGATCTGAATTCGCATCACGCAGGTCGCAACCAACACAGACTCAACAAAGAACGTTGGGAATTCGATCCTCTACGAAACTGTCCTCACTGTACTGGAAATCGAGGCTGACAGCGGTCTCCGGGTCATGGCTATCAACATCCTTGGAAAGTTTTTGGGAAATCGTGATAACAACATACGGTATAGTTTTGTCAAGCTTCACTACTTACATCTCATTAATCAACATCATGCAGGTATGTGGCGCTGAACACGCTGAACAAGGTCGTCTCCATGGACACAAGCGCCGTACAGCGTCATCGCAATATTATCCTAGACTGTCTTCGCGATGGCGATATCTCAATCCGCCGACGAGCACTCGAACTCTCATATGCACTCATCAACGAGCAAAACGTCCGCTACCTCATTCGCGAGCTCCTCGCTTTCCTTGAGGTTGCGGACGACGAATTCAAACTCGGGATGACGACTCAGATATGTCTTGCAGCTGAGCGCTTCGCTCCGAATAAACGATGGCATATAGATACTGTTCTTAGAGTGCTGAAACTGGTACGTTCTTCAATCCCTATCCACATGCTCACTATATCTGACTCTAATACAGGCTGGTAACTTTGTTCGAGAGGAGATTTTGTCAGCTTTCATCCGCCTTGTCGCTCACACACCCGAGCTCCAAGCTTATACTGCGTCAAAACTATACACAGCCCTCCAGGCGGATATCTCACAGGAGTCATTGACGCTAGCAGCTGTCTGGGTCATCGGTGAATACAGTGAAGTTCTTCTAGAGGGGGGTGTCATTGATGAGGACGTACCTAAACAAGTAAACTTTATTCTATTTGCATTGCCACTCCTATCAGAATTTCTTATATTCCTTTTAGGCCAGCGACAAAGACTTGCTTGACCTCCTTCTCTCTACCCTCGATTCTCCATACGCCAATTATCTCTCGCGTCAGTTTGTTCTTGCTGCCGTCACGAAGATGTCCTCGCGACACACTACGAGTGCACCGCAGCAGGATCGCATCGCAGAAATCCTCACTAAATACACAACCAGTCCAGAACTTGAACTCCAGCAGCGTGCAGTGGAGTTCGCTAATCTCTTTACTCTTGGTGAGCTGAGAAGTGGTGTATTGGAGCGTATGCCTCCTCCTGAGCTCAAGGCCACGGTTATGGGCGTCGGTGAGTATTCATATCAAACTCTAGTAATTTTTGGGGTAACAAATTGCATTACGCTGCACAGTTAGCGAAAACAAGCCCGTTGGCTCTACTCAGGGTGGCAAAGATGTAAGTCTGCTTTTTATGCAGCTTAGTGCTTAATGCAACTTATCTCTCTCCTCCAGGCAGACCTCTTGGGCGACGATATAATATCAACACCGAACACAGCATCACTTGCCAATGGTCAACCTGCACAGAACAATCACGACATCCTTGCCGAGATCTTTGGCAGCTCTTCTCCATCAGCCACCAACTCCTCCACATCGCAATCCGCATCCCTTTCACCTCAGCCACAAAAAAGTAGTGTTCAAGATATACTCGGGTTGTTCGACGCCGCTCCAGCCTCATCGCCTGCTGCATCTTCTCCAGCTCCTCCCTCCAATCCCATGTCCGCATTTTCACTACCACAGACCCAGTCACCGACACCAAACCCTCCACGGCCGCCAGCGCAACAGCAACCTGCGCCTCGACTGACGTCGTATACGGCGTATGATAAGAACGAGCTCAAGATCACTTTGACGCCGCAAACTTCAGCTGCGCGACCTGGCGTTGTCAACATAATGGCGAGGTTCCAGGTAACGGGTTCTAACGATGCCACAGGGCTCAATTTTCAAGCTGCCGTGCCGAAAGTGAGTCCTTCATTCAAATAGATTTTTTCCATCAAACGTTAACGCCGTCTGTGCAGTCACAACAACTACAGATGTTGCCAATGTCGAATCCAGAAGTGAAACCAGGTGCTACCGAAACGCAGCAGATGCGGGTAATGGCACCGCCTGGAGTGAGTCTTGCCTCATCTTTCTTTGTTTGATCTAACATGACCATGACACGTTCCTTGTAGACGGCTGTACGCCTACGACTACGAATATCATATTCACTTGCTGGCCAAGCTGTACAAGATCAAGTAGACTTCTCAGGATTTCCTCCAGGATTAACGGGTAGCTCATGATAATGATGATGATGTACGTTTTACTGCTATAGTAATGCAGAGTATCTTGCTTTTTACTGGGAAGGGGAAAGTGGCCAATATTAGATATGCCTTCCCTCAAATACACCACTTAACTAGCTAGGGCCGTATAATGTTAGGTGGTAATCGCTGTAAGTTCGACCATCCAGTGAAGTAGCAAACCTTTCTTCTCGGCATAAAAAAATTTCCAACCCTGCGCAGGTAAATAGGAGTGCCTGGTTAATGTCATTCAGGTTGTCTATCACAAGTCTCTACCGACTAACAGCTCAGGAATTATACCGATTTGACGATAATGATGCGAGGCTCTAGCAATCTACATGGGTATTCATGAGGCTAAGGTTACTATGAGAAAAATGGTTATACAACACGACAAAGACCATCAAGTAAAGGTACACAAGTCCGGAATCGTCGGCCGGGACTAGATGAAAACTTGCAAAGGATGTCGGTTGTATACCCTTCACTCGGCTCGCCGAGATCGGAGTAGAATGGAACGATAACATCTGATGCACCCAAGTGTAGTGCGTTCAGGTCCGCCAATAGACCTTCAAAGACCTACTGAACCCTCAAACCTTCTCTTTCGACGCATATCCAGGATTTACAACCAAACTCGGCTTCCAGCTCAAGCGTCGCTCCAAAAAGAGCGCAACCCAAGTAAGTGCAAGGAGAACGGGCACTTCTACGAGGGGTCCGATAGTTGCTGCCAGTGCTTGATCCGATCCAACACCATATACCGCAATAGCAACTGCGATGGCGAGTTCCTGCCAGAGCGTTGTAAACGTTTTGCTTCATCTGTAATGTAGAGTGATAGGAAAATTACTTACAAAGTTATTACTCCCGGCTGTAAATGCCTGCACGACTGCCATTTCATAACCAAAGATCTCTTCAGATTCATTGGATTTATTGTCCCGAGCCTCTTTCCTCGTGAGCCAGAACACCAGCCCGAAGGCAGTTGACCACATGATGATGAAGTACAGAATCATGGGGACGAAGACACGAAAAACGGGACCTATGTTTTGGATGATGTGGTGTCCCTGGTATGCAAACATGACGATGATTGTATAAAGCAATCCGAGAAGCGCAAAAGGGGAGAAGTACGGGAGGAAGCGTTTCTCGAGAAATTCCTTTGAGGTAATAAACCACACAAAGTAGCGCGTAAATACTCCTGCGACAAGTGGGATGCCGAGATACTGCACAAAAGCGTCGGTAAGTTCAAAACAAAGAGCGAGATAGTTTCAAACGGCGTACGATAAGTACTGAAATCGCAACATCACCGTAGTTGAGATGTAGTCCACTTTGCTTATTTCCGCCAATGATATCTACAAACAACACAGCATATGGAGAATAAAGCACAATTTGTAGCACGGAGTTGATGACAACTAGGATTGCGCAGTAGTCGCTATTGCCTTGTGCGAGCTGGTTCCATATCATTACCATTGCTATGCAGCGCGCCAGGCCAACGAGGATCACACCTGTGCGGTATGTCGGAAGATCGGGGAGCGTGGCCCATGCCAGGCCGAGCATGAGGAGTGGGCCAGCTATCCAGTTGAGCAACATACTGAGTGCTATGTGAATCCAGATTCGTCGAGAGAGGAAGACAGCTCCAATTGTTTCGTATTTAACCTTGGTCAGGATTGGCCACATCATGACGATGAGGCCAATGACAATCGCTGTTTGGAGATACACTATGTTAGTCTCGATAGCAGACGCTGTGAGAGGATAGACTTACGAATTGAGACGCTCTGCAAGCGCGCAGTGTCGAAGGCCTGTTGAACTCCTGGCGCAAACTCGCCGATGACTACACCGATGACCATGCACACGAGTATGGCAGGTGTTAGTAGGCGGTCTAAGATTCCAAGTCGTCGAAAGAGAGCTATATTTTGTCATATTGAGCGGTTGATGTAGGGACGATGTGAGTGGACATACACTGAGAGCTCGTCTCAGGCTTAGTCTCTGGAAGAGACCGCTGAGCTTGAGGAGCATTGTGCAACGAAGGTGAGTCTATGGAGTGATCTAGGGACATGGGATATAAAAATTGGGAGAGGATACTTCGCATCAAGCATGGTAGTGGTATATGTCCGTTTAAATATCAGCAAAAACATATTGATTTTCACAACTTAGATGACCTAGTAAGCAATCAAATTAGTCAAATTAGTCAAATTCGAATTCGCGTAGGGTATCTTCCGTACCCGGCTATTTGCGCGTCATCCAGAAAGATGCCCTAATCGGACAACGTAGTATTCATCAACGATCTGCGTTCAACCCACCAACCCATCCACCGCCAAAATACGCTCATCGATGACGTCGACATCCCACTCACCCCCCTCTTATTATATATAAGTTATGTCCTGGCTATCGCGTCCCTCCATCGTTCCCCCATCATGGACACCGCCCAAAAAGTTTATAACACCCTCGCAGGAAACCCTGGTTTTCAGCAAGACGACACCCCAGACCTTCGGGGAAGAGTACGTCAACTGATAGCCATTCACTATCTTCACTTGTGCTTAACATGATCACCAACTTCCTCGCCAAGACTGTGCTTGTAACAGGCTCCACCAGTGGCATTGGCTTTGAGGTTGCTCGTGCATTTGCTCTCTCTCGGGCTCGCGTCCTGCTTTTATCCCGTAAAGCAGAACATGGCGACGAGGCCATTGCAGAAATTAAAAAATCGGTCTCTGACGCAGCCGATGTCCATTTTATCGAATGTGACCTAGGCAATCTTGCCAATGTGAAGCAGGTCGGGGACGGAATCGCAGAAAGAGAACAACGCTTAGACATTGTAAACGCATATACTCAATCTTAATATCTCCCATCCGCTCATGCTCTTCTATAGATAATCGCCGATGCAGGTGTAGGCGTTAACAAGTATGATGTCTCCTCTGACGGTATTGACCGTCACTTTGCCGTCAATCATCTCGGCCACTTCCTCCTCATCAATCGCCTCCTTCCGCTTGTCCGCAAGACTTCTACACTTCCATCCACTCCACCCCCACGCATTGTTTCCCTGTCCTCAGAACTTCACCGTCAGGCACCTTCATCCATCAAATTCGCTTCGTCAAAGGAAGTCACAGAAGATACCGGCTTGTCCGCCCTTTCACTTTATTCGCGGTCCAAACTCGCTATTATACTTTTTACAAAGTACACTCTTGTCGAGCGTGCAATCCGCCCGTCGGGCGACCGCATATATGCACTTGCTACCCATCCAGGCGCAGTGCATACTCCACAACAAGATCAATTCAAGGAGGCGTATGGGAAAGTCTTCGGAACGCTCGCAAAAGCAGTGACAGTGCCGTTCATGCGCAGCCCCGAACAAGGTAGTTTGAGCACGCTTTGGGCTGCTACGAGCGAGGACATCGAGAAAAATAACTTGCAGGGATGTTACTTCACAGACCCTGGTCAACTCGGAAAGGAGACAGCTCAAGCCAGCGATGAGCAGTTGGGCCAAAACTTGCACAACCTCAGTGAAGAATTGATTAAAGATAGGATCGGGAAGGATAGTTTGTTGCCGTGGAACTAGAGGTTTGTGTTCAGTCGCAGTTTGAGTCATGAATAAATAGGTGTAGCATCGTGAGTAACGTATTGCTGCTGTATCGTTTGTATTTTGCATGTACACTCTCATTTCCATCATAATGCTCTGTTATGACACTACAGCAGGAGAATGGAAGATGAATAGTAGAAAATCCTTACAACATTCCAATAGCGAGACATGTGCTGCACGGGATTTGTAACAAAACGATGGAGAGAATGTGGTTGTGCGGTGAAGTTTAGCCTTAGCGTAAAGGAATGTATCGCAAGAAACACACGTTGATGTGATGCGAGTCATAGGCTATAGAGAAACTTCAACCAGCGCGGGTAAATAGTGCTGGACAAATTGATGTCATTCAGGTTGTCTACCAACTAACAGCTCAGGACCTACACCAGCTGGACAATAATGATGCGAGGCTCTGGCAAGCTCACATGTGTATTCATGACACTAAGGTTACTATTAGAAAGAAAAAGGAAGATAAGTCAGCTCTGATCATACAACGACAAAGACCATCAAGTAAAGGTACACAAGTCCGAAAATACTGTCCGGGACTAGATGAAAATTTGCAAAGGGTGTCGGTCGTATACATTCTGTCCTTCACTCAGCTCGCTGAGATCGGGGTAGAATGGAACCATAGCATCCGATGCACCCAAATATAGCGCATTATAGATACGCCAATAGACCTTCAAAAATCGAGTCAGCATAGCAAATCGATAGTGGGCCAAACGTTACATACCTCGCGGACCTTCCTAGCCGGATGGAATAATCCTTGCAATACGTAACTCAGCAGCACTCCAGGGCCAAGTGTAACCCTCATCGCCTCAATAGCATCCATAACTGCACCGATGACATGGGGAGACGTCTCGAAACAATTGGGCCAAACAAGATTCATCAAGTGCATCATTGAATCCTCGCAGCCCAGTCCAGCGACACCCAGAGCAAGATGTTTAACAATGGTGCTAGCTGTCTGTCGATGCACAAGATCACGATCGGTGAGCGCATCTTCAAGCATTGTAACCACCGAATCACAATAATATGCGGATTGGGGTCCAACATACTCAAAGACAAATGATAGCGCTTTCAAACAACCAGTGCGAACATTAAGCTCTGCAGTTCGGTACTCGTTCAAGATCGCTGGTATACATGTGAACGCTGTGATGCAAACGTCAATTAAATTCTACTGTAAAATCATGATCACTCACGTCCACAAGTTTCTGCGACAATTGCAATAGCAACAGTACTACACACTCGGCTCTGACGTTCTTGTACGCGCAGGTTAGTGAGCAGAACTGAAAGTACATCTTGGGGACCTAAACTCTTGGCAATGTAACCGAAAGAGTTGACAGCAGCTCGCCTAATGCCCTTCTTGTGTGCCTTGAGAAGATCGAGCAACTCGAAACAGATACGCATCCATTCTCGCGCAGGGACGAATTCCGCACCACGATCAGCTGAAGAAGAAAAAAAGAATGGAAAACTCAGCGTTTCGCCCTTATATCAATAACAGAGGTACTAACCAATACGACCGATTAAATTGATAGACGCCTCTTGCACCTTCTCATGTCGATTACGGAGAATAGGGGTCATGCGAGGCACTGGAAAATATGGTATAAGAATCCGAAGTTGCTAAAGTAGTGAATACTCACATAGATCTTTGACCGGCGGATTCATCTGCGTCATACCAACAACATTAGCGATAGCTCCCTCAGCAGCAATAATACTACCGAGTGTGTCGGGGTACTCTTCTCCAAGTTGTTCGAACAGGACTAAACCGAGCTTGCTGAGGAGTTGATCTTCACCGCATTGTTTGATGACGACAGCGAGACGAGTTGTCAAGTCTGCAGCTTGTTGACGAACTTTGGCACTCTTGTTGTTTAAACGCCAGAGAATGGTTGACACGATTTGTGTGAGGTAGGGTTTCACTCGAATACCCAGAGCATTGACGACCGTTCCAAAACCGTCAAGCATAACCTGATCCTCCGTGGTCTGCTCCTGAAAGGAGTAAATGATACCGTCTACTAGCCTGACCTCCAATCTCTCATCGATGTCAGAGGAACCAAGAGTTGCGACAACTTTTGTAATGGTTTCCATCACCATCTTACGATATGGCTCCGCTTCATCTTTGAGCTCGTTAACAATCCTTCCTACAATCTCCGAAACACCCGACTTTTGCGCAAGCTCGACCGTCGTCTCGACTACTTGACGATAATTCCTCCTGTCAAGAGCCATACGTCTGACCCAGAACGCCTTGAAGAAATCAGGCAAGATATCCTGTTTGATGTACTGCGGCGTAACACCCTCCGTAGCGGCACACTGTTTCACTACCTTGAGCACAATCTTCTTCATCTCTTCATCCGAGGTTTGGAATTCACGGATAAGAATAACTGTCACTTCCTTCGTGTAATAAGACGCGTACTCTGGATCCATCAGGGGGATGATGAAACCAATAGCCTTCAAGAATGCCGCTAGACCCTTTCCACGGTGTAGCCGGATACCAAGCCACAGTGGTTTCAGGACTTCGTCGAATGATTCGATACCGTATGGTGCTGCAGCCTCTGCCAACGCAGCAAGACCCAAGGCAGTCATTGTGCGTACTTTCTGTTGTTCATCAGCTAATCCGTGTGCAATGCAGTTCACCAAATTTCGCAGGTGAGGCAGGACTGCGCAGCCCATCATGATCGCTATCTGTTGCACGATACGGATTCCTGTGTGACGTGCCTGCCATGACTTTTTACTACGACAAACAGCTTTCAAGAAAGGAAGCAAAGATGGAATGCCAAGAGCTGAAGCGACGACTGAAAACGCACGTGCAGTGGTATTACGAACATACTCGTCGGCATGATCAATATCGGGACGCATGGTGGATATCATGTGGGCAAGGCCGGCAGCTTTGGACAGATTAGAAATGATTTCTCGACCTTCGACACGAGCGTAGTAATCTTCATCAATGAGAAGAGGCTCGATAACCACGAGAATCTTGTGAACGTAAGGCCGCACGAGATCATCCAGTTTATAAAGTACACGATCGATAACTTTGACGAGAAGATGACGTTCTTGATCCTCGAGCGTTCGTTCCATAAGTAGTGGAAGAATTTTGTCGAAAAGTGGCCCTGCACCGAACTCGCGAGCCTTATCCGTGATTTGTCGAAGAGCGGTCTTTCGAACCGGAGGTGTGCCGTTTTTAATTTTGAGAAGTAAACGCATGATCTTGCGTTCCTTCATTTCTTCTACCGACAACTCTGTTTCATCCTCCTCTTTCAATATTTTGGCGAAATATTGCGCATCCTCCGCCTTGAAAAATGCAAGATTACCGACACCCGGGATTTCAGTAGGCAGTTCGGGAGCTAATCCTGCTGCTGCTGCTACTGCGGCAGCATCCGATGATTCTTGTATATGGAATCCAACCTCGGTGACGGGAGTGGCCATCAATTTCCGAGGGGCTACCATTGGTGCATACCCAGGAGGAGGGGTGACGATGGTATAGCCAGATGCAGGAAGGACAGCTTCTAGTTCTTCATCCGTAAGATAGCGATTGTGCTTGTCCTCTTGCATGAATCCAGGAGCATTCATAATGATTTGAGTCATTGGGGTGTCAACTGCGACGGGCGTCTGGTCCCATCGTGAGCGCTTCGGAGTCTCACCCATGGTAGCATCTACGGGAGTCGCATCCCAACGAGAGCGGCGCTTCTTGGGGGCGGAGGCTTCAAGAGCCTCCTTTGACCATTCACCTGTATCAATTTGGTTTGGGTCTGCATTCTCGTCACTGTGCTCGGGTACATCCCACCTGCGCTTCCGCTTCGACCCTAACGACACATCCCTGGCAGCCGCGAGCTCCTTTGCAGCAGCGAGTTCCTTTGCAACATCTTCGAGCTCTGCGGCAGGGGGAGTTCTGTCCAAATCCATCTTCAGTTTTCCCTCTTCCCTATCCTGCCTCTCCTTTTCCTCGATAGCTCGCTTCACTCTGACTTCCTCCTGCTCAAGCCTCGCTAGTCTCATAGCATCTTTGTAACCACCCTCTACATCTGTTCCCTCCTCTACGGCCCTAAATGCATCAGCACTCTCCTGTGCCACGCGGCTGAATCTGCGGTTGTGGTAGTCAGACTGTCTCTGAGCAATTTGACGCTTAGAGGCAGTCTCTGCAAATGGGTCGACATTTTCTTCTTCGGCGAGATCAGCGAACTCCTGAAGAATCTCCTTTGGAGCGGTAAAAGAGTCGACAAGTCTTGGGGATCCAGGAGCGGACATTTTGTTTGTGGTGGACCGAAAGAAAGAAGTAAAAAAGGTCGTCGGCGTCGAGAGCGACGATGAGCAAGAATGAGAATCTGAGTCTGAATAATAATACGACCAAATAGGCTCAAATATCGGTGGCTGGGGAATATTCCCACGAAGGACTAAGCGGCGACCCGACAGATATCTCTGAGAAGCCCCTGACGAGAAAAACTATAATTGCAACACGATCTCAAAACATACTGGAGTAAAATATATCTTGCTTTAAATATATTTTCTAGGAATTGAGTGTACTGAACTATGAATAAAGTTGTCAAGGTCATTCGAGTCGTTTCAATATTCGTGATACTTTAGTTCTTCCACACATTCTTGGGTAACAGCATACCACTTCCAAGTGCCAATAATACCATCGAAACCATGAGATAATAAACAAGCCATCCACCCAAATAATGCTTTTCAAGACAGAGAGACCAGGTTGAGTTGACAGCGGCAGGCCCGATAGCTCGCATGATCGATACGACCAGTTGAGCGATACCATTTGTCGCACCAAGAGACGCTCGGTTGGGCGCAGCTCCATTAATATATATGAAGACTGCACCTAGGATCCGAACAGTAATCAGTGTTAGGCACCTCAGGTCAAGTCTAAGACACTTACCATAAGAAATACATAAAACAACCGAGAGGAAGACTTGCAAACCGATCACAAACCACACTGTAATATTCAAACCTTGTGACTGAACCAACAAGCTAATAACCGGGAATGTCATCATCATAGGTATGGCTGCCACAACCCCGAGGATATAGGTTCCTTTCGTGCCCAACCAGGCATGCAGTCGAGCAAAACAGAAAACTTGGAACAGCCCGTTCAATATACCAAAGGAGGCTAGAATTTTGCCAATCACAGGAGGTGTAAGTCCAAGTCCACCTAACGCAATCGGAGTTGCGAAGAAGACAGGCTGAATGGTTCGAAAAGCAATATCCATCAAGGAAGTAGTTGCATAAGTGCTCGCTGCTATCAAAACTTGAGGAGTTAAAAGAGCTCGTAATGGAAGGGGTGTGCCGTCATTGGGACTAGAATGAGATAAAGCTTCAAGGAGAGCAGGCTTGGGTGCTGTCTCAGAGTTATGTGGGGAATCGTTGCGTTGAGGATGGCATCTATTAATTATACGGCCAAATCTGAGGGGAGATGGAACAGTCTAAACCGCATGCTCAGCTTGACATTTGTACATACAGACTCATAAATGGTGAAAACAAACCTCTTTGAGAAAGAAGAGTGAAACGAACAAGCATACCATTGAAAAAATTGCAGGGATGGCGCATGGTAGGAAATAGGGATACGTTTTGAAGAATGCCGACTGTCCAAATATATTTGGGAAGCGCTCAGCTGGTCGTTCGAGCGTGCCACCAATCAGGGGTCTGTATAACATATGAATGAATGAGTTGACAACATTAATTAAAAACATTTGCAAATCGCGCACCCGAGCGCCCCCCCGGTCGACCATGCCATGGGAAGGTATGCGTACGCATGAGGCATGTTGGTTGAATCGGTTATCTCCGCAACCAAGCTTTTCATCACGCCGATGTTACCATTCAAGGCGCCATTAAGACAACGACTTTAGCAATACAATACAGGTTGAGCAATTTGAGGATGTATACGTTAAAATCTGAGCATACATACCTCAACACAAGCCCCCAGAAGGTCTTTGACAGCCCGAAACAGAACATGGATATTGACAACCCGAACATCCCCAGAATGATTACCGGCTTTCGGCCGATATGATCAGATACTCTACTCCAGTGCAATACAGTAAGTGCTTCGGTCGCAAAGAAGAGCGAATGCTGTTGATAGTTGTAACTAGACTGGCGGACATCGAACAACAACACTCACCAACAGTCCAACGTAGTATCCAACTCGAGCTTCATCACCATTCGTTATTCCGATGTCCCGAATCAACTTGGGGGCAACGTCAGGTAAAGGTCGCACAAAGTGAGCAACAATACACACCTGGGGCGCAAATGGAGAGATAACTTGAGAAGTCAGGGGTTCAGAGAGCTGAAGAAATAAAATGATGGAAAATTGGCCCCATGGAAGAGGCGTTCGAGACTTTCTTAGCTGCTCAGAGACCAACAACGGTGTCTCCTCGTCTACTTGCTGAAAAGGCATGATGGAGATGGGCTACTAGTAAGAGGACAAGATCAGAGCTGCCCAAGTCGGGTATTTTATAGAAAGATAATGACAGAACTTACGTTCCAAATTTACGTCGTTCTGAGCTATAAATTTTATGTTCTCCTTTTGGTGTTATCTGATAATCGTGAACACTAAAACCAACCTTGGATGTCTTGATGTGTGAGAAATCTTGAGAGAATTAGCGAAGGGGTGATCAATCGGCGCTCTTGGGACGTCGATGAGTTCGAACTGCTATAGGACGCCACTGTAGCGAAGGGATGCGAAGATGTAGCTTGAAGTCCATTGTAGTAACTATACCCTGCAAAGAGACGGTGCAATGACCAAAATTGATGGTGGCTGAATCACTTTGTCAGCCGCAATAAATCCAGCTGGTAAGCGTAGGACTGCAGCAGGCCAACTCGGTAATTCAACTGTGTTGTATCGAGTATTGCCAGGGCCGGTTGATCCGGACGTAAGGCGGAAAGAGTGATAAGACGGCAAAGTTAAAATGAGAGTACATTTCCCCTAGTCATTTCGGAAAGTAAATAACACAACTGCAATCAAAGCTCTAGAAGAAATGATTAGAAGGACATACCCTTCACCCATTTGTAGCCATTTATTCACTCGTCCCACCGCATAGCTGAAGGTACCCAATACGATCTTCCGGTACTCTCATCTTGCTCATCCAGCCAACATAGCCCATCGCGAAGCAACATGTTCTCTAACGCAGCTCTTGCGCGTTCTCGAGCCCATCCCCTCCGAGAAACAAGGATATCTTCCACAATTCTGCCACCTTCAGACTGAGCCTCAGATAAAACAACAGCCTGATCCTCGTCCAACTCCTTCATTACGCTTCGCACCATCTTCTTCCCCCCTCCTACATCGATAACTTCGTACCCGGCTCCAAGGGGTTGGAGAGTCTTGATACTTCTTATCACATCGTCCTCGGTTATGACACCGCTACTGACGCCTCTTAACTTGCTCACAACCCTCACCAGCTCACTCATCTCAATGACACCACCATTTCTTTCTCTGGTGCTAACACAGACATCCACAATTTGCACGCCCAGCTCATATTGCCAGTCTCCTAGTCCGAGCATCTCCGCCCACCATCCACCCTTCCTGGGACCTGCGAGTGGATCGACACCAATCGATGAGCACATTTGTTGAAACGCATGGCGAAAGGCAGGATCACGCCTTATAGAGTCGCGATGGGTAGCTGCGAAGTGAGAAAGTGCAGTACGGAATTGCGTCAATTGAGAATGAAGGTGGTCGACTTGGGCTTTTGACAATTCCGAGGATAACTCTGCAAAAGAACGCTGAGATTCTATCTGTCGCTCGAAAGCAGCCAGACCCACTCCTCCTAAGCGATGCATACAAGCAGTGTTCAGGCTACACTGATATAATAGTAAGAGTAAGACAGTGGTCGGCTATTTGCGAGCTGAACAAGTATTACACTGCATACTCCTATTACAAGCCTCTACCTCACGCTATACACAGCTAATACTAAGGCTGTCATGGGCTAGCTACAATAATGCTTGGTGTACAAATTTAATATGAGACCACCACTGGCGATGCTCCAAATTTGCGCTCTCTTTCCCTCTGATACTCTTTTCCATAGTTCTCATACTGCTGCAAACAACTCTCTCCACAAAATGGCACAGCTTCTGCTGCTACAACGGGTGGGTCCATAACATGAGGATCGACTTCCGGTAAGTGATCCTGCCTCATCGTTTTGGCATCTTGATCACACATGGCACAAAACCAACGACGAGAGGCAAGGATACTTGTCCCACGTTTCAAGAATAGCGAACGCATGTATAGATCTAGTTCGAGTGCGTGAATGTCGTCGCGGATTGGGCGTTGGATCAACCTAACGGGAGCTATTTCTGAAAGACTAAGGCAGTCTCCTGTGTTCGGGAATTTTATCAGATAGTGGACAGTGCAAGTGTCAGAGCTGTCGCCCTGGTTGGCATTAACCTCAAATTGCTCTTGAGGTGGTGAAGCCCGGAGGTGAGGTTCTCTTCTTCGATCTTGCTGTGCTTTCGCAGCGAGAAGGTCATTGTAGAGTTTTTGCTCTGCTTCGTTGAATCTACCGGTCACCTCTTTCGAGCTTTCTAGTGCCTCGAGGGCTTCGGTGGGCTGTCGCAAACCCCTATGACTGCGAGCAAGGCGGAAGTATGCTTTTCGGGTAATGGCTAGGTTACTATACGGGGATGATGCGGAGTCGATGACTTCCAGACAGTCTGAAACGGATGAATGATAGCTGCCTAGTGCATGTTAGTTGATTTTTTCTCTTCAAAAAATGGTATCACCCACCAAGCTGATAATAACATTCCGCACGATTACACCTGATGGTCCTCAGTAGCTCCGTCGTAGCACAACCTTTTCTTCGCACCAACACAAAAGTGTATATTGAAAGGGCAACGTGATATCGTTTCGTGTTGAAATGCTGTTTCGCAACTTCTTTCAACTCTTCTGAGTAGATTTTCTCTGTGTGCATTGGTGAGCAGCGTTTTAGTTATTGGCATGGCATCATGATGAAACGGAGACGCACCAACCGAATCAACCGTTGGAACAAACAGTTTGCATGCGTTGCTAGTAGACATTCGTGGTTTGAATGAGGTGGGAATTTAGAAACTTCATTTGAGTCACTAAATGATTTTCAGATCCGTAATACGAGTAGGGGGGTCCTGGATCATACACACATACATGAACGCATTTGGAGGCATTTGAAGTGAGTTGAAGTTTCAGTTGAGTCCCCTATTTACTAATCATGCCCTGTGATCTTTGTGTTAGGTACATAAGCTGGTACATAGTGGTGTGCCGGTTTCGAGGGAATGATGTCCATTTCCAGAAACATTCGATGTGATCGTGATGATGATGATATCTACGAGACAGTTCATTGATCGGCAATCTCTACACCCCTCTTTATCTCACAATATGAAATATATATTTTTTGCCACCGCTGCTGTATCACTCAGTCACCGTGACAAACCGACCACCGAACCGACTCGGCCAAAGATTTCGTTGACATATCCCCCCGAGATGTGACATACTACACTGCTAGATAGGGGCACTATTGATACTTGCTACTATGACTCCCTCAACTTGGAATATGCAGTACTGCCTCAGCTGAATTCAGAAAATTAAGTATGTAAAATCTCCCAAGTTATTAGATTCCTCGTACCGAATTCATTATATCAGGTGTTATTCATATCATACATGATAAAGAAGGAATATTCACTCTTCAGCGAAACAGCCACGATCCTTCCACCACTTAGGTCGGTGACAGCCTCATCAATCGTGCAGCATTGCACCGTCAACGAAATATACAATCAAGCGTTCACAATGTGCTGCCTTCCACCGAGTTCTTCGTGTTGCAGGTTTGTAGCTTCTCTCGCACACGACAGACTGCAGTAAGGCTGAGCAAACTCCACGATCCTAGGCGGCTCCTGGTCTAGATACGACGCGGGTGTCTGCGTCATTGAGACCGCGACCGCGGAGCAGTTCGTACATTGTAGCACCCTCTGATTCAATATCTCGTCTCTGTGCTTCATAGCTAGCGAAGTCATGAACTGCTTGACCTGGAATTGCGTGGGGCGTTGAAAGAGAGATATGGGGGCTTCCTCTATGTATGTGATAGACTCCCCAGAGTTGCCAAGGATCTGGACGATGTATTCAATTGGTCGTGTGTCGCGAATGACATGGACATTAGGCCTATTCGACATCTGTTGCTGGGCGGAGATGCTGCGAGCGCGGAGTTCCGTTTCTTTGCTAGCTTGTTCCGCAAGCACGTTATCATACAACTTCCGCTCGGCCTCGTTGAATTCAGACATAAGTTCTCGTAGCTTCCTCATAGCCCCAACGGCTTCATCTAGTTTCCCCGAGTTCATGTAGCTCCGTGCCAAGCGCGAGTGTGCTTTGCGAGCTACGCTCTCATCCATGGAGGCAGAACTTCGGGAGAATTGTTCTATGACATCTTTACAGTCCTTGATAGCTGCTTTGTAGCTCCCTGGAGTCAATAGATCAATAGCTGCAATGTCGCCTGAATGATGAGTTTTACTCAACGAATTTGAATGTAGCATTCTGCCCGATTGCATTTGACTGTCGCCACTAACCCAGGAGAAGCAAAGCCTTCCTTGCGGTCAACTATCATGGTGTATGCCATGATAGCTTGCTTGAAGCGTTTTGCCATGAAATGCTCGTTGCCCGTCTTTTTCAATGCAAGAGCCTGTGTTTCACCTAGAATCACAACATGAGCATTGTGGGAAAGATTGTATTTCAAGTTTGTGGAATTACCCTCGAATTCATATGCGGCGCCAGGTTCGTATGCAGATTCTTTGGAAGACATAGCGTTAGGTTAAGACTGGGTTATAGGTCACTAACGTGGTTAGCTTGGATGAATATATATGATTGCGACGTTGACTCGGGGTGGAGCCCTTAACAGCTCAAGTGTATGCCCCTATCATGATGGATATCTCCGAAACAAGGCCCTTAGTTTTATTGATCGACGTTGCCAACATACTAACAAAAAGCTGTGTCTTCCCCCCGAAAAGAAAAAACAATATCCATTAGGACCACTTCTAAAGGACCGTGAGTTAAACGTCGAGCATATTATTACCACATACGCTTTGTGGGATGTAAATACACAAGGCAGAGCATATTTTCGTAGAAGTGGGTCCTCTATTACTTCGAGTTGGTCTGATTCAAAGTTTTCGAAAGACTCTGAAGGCCAACTCCAAGTAGTCCAGTCATGCCACCGCCTATGATTTTGGTAGCATTGACTACACCTGTCGCTAAGCTGAACCCACTCGCAATGACATCCCACCCAGATCCAAGATTGCGCTTCCGTCCATACGCACCAGCATTCATCATGAGAGCAGCTTTAACTGAGTCTAGTTCATTCAGAACTTCCACACCTACAGAGCGAGCCCATACCACAGGTTCAGCTGTGGAAGAATAGAGCTTGTGTAGCTTGTCTACAGCTGACATGACCTTGTGATTCTCGAAGTAGCGTTCGCGAGCGTATGGAAGGAGCGCAGTGTAAGATCCTGGAATGAGACGATAGTTAGTTGCATCCCTTTAGCCTAAAATACAAGATAACCAACCAATATCGCCACCTTGCATCACAGTGCTACTGATACAACGTGCCAGAGCTTCTACATCAGCGAGACCTAGGTTGAGACCTTGCCCAGCGAGAGGGTGAACTGTATGTGCAGCATCACCAATGAGTACTGTGCGACTGCCAGCACCCTCCCCAATATAGGAATCAGTGTGATTGTAGCGCAAGGGGAATGAAGCGATAGTGCTAGGCTGGATGGATGTTACAAGGGGAGGCAAAGAACCGGAATCATCGGGCGGAACACCTCTCTCCGAAACAACAGAGGAAGTCGAGTTGTATGCGGAGTGTCTGCTTATATCGTGAGAGCGTTCGCGCCACGCAATCTCTTCCATGATTTGTGAATGCGACAAGGGTTTATCAGCATCGTGCGCATCAAGGATGGACTCGTGAAGATACCGAACAGAGACTTCAGGTAATCTGAAGGCTGCATTTATCATGCTCGCCAGAACGGCCGGGTCAGCTTTTGTCAGGGTAGAGGCGAGGCGAGGTTTCGTTGACCAGACAAGGGAAGATGTGGTAGGAGATAGCGGTAGGAATGCTATTGGGCCTGTAGGGAGGAATCTCTGGTATGCCGTATTGTTTGGCAACTCAAACTGACTTCGTTCAGGATGATTAAGAGTTGCGACGATAGCTTGCGTGTCATATGCCCATCCATATGACGATATCCCAGCATACGAGCGAACAGGAGAGTTGAAACCATCAGCGCCAACCTACGATATAGTCAGTAGAGGGATACATCGCAGATGGGATGTTTATTCACCAGTAACCTCGTCCGAAGAGTTGTGCCATTGGATAAATGCACCAAAGGCCATCCTAGCCCACCTTCCTTGTCTTCCCGATCGATGGATACAACTTTGACGCGATCTAGTAGCCGAACTGTTGGGCTATGAGACATATATCGCAGAAGGGCACGTTGAAGGTTGAGGTTTTCTGTCATGTTAGCCATTGGGGTAGACTCTGAAGTACCCCAGGCTCCCGATTCCGAGGTATCAAATGTAATGCGGGCATCGGACATGCCATCCCATATCTATGTATGGGAAATTGTCACGTTATGTTGCTGCTGGAAGGGTAAATTCGCAGGGACTGACCTGCATTTCATGTATGGGATTTGTTCGCGTTATGTCGACATCATTCCACACACCAATATCTAACGTTAAGGTCAGATCAGGCCAGCCACAGCTTGAAAAATGAAATACCTTGTAAGAATGTTTGTGAAGAACCTGTGATTGAGCTGACGCGGTTGGAGTAGGAGTTTGAGTCAAGGTTCCAGTCTTTCACCTTGGATAGATCTCCGGCTTCCACCAGTGTAATTTTAAGAGAGTCTCGCACGATTTTTGTTGAAGCTGTTTGACCCAGTCAGTGGAATAGCTTACGAAGAGTCCATTAACGATGAGGATGTACATAGAGCACTTGCCAACGCTAATCCTGCTGGACCTCCACCAACGATGACCACGTCGTTTTGGTCCAAAACCGAAGTGCTGTAGGCTTGAATGCGCGGTATTTTACGATATGCTGTAAATGATACATGTTTCGCTCTGAGCAAACGCGTTGCTGCCGCGCTCGTCGTATGCAACGACATTGAGGTCCATTCTAAAAGAGGCAAGAGCTGTTTTTGTGTTGTGACCGTTCGGCACTCAGCCTGTTTCGTTTCATTGCCAAATTGCCGTAGTAAAGCACAGCTGGTTGCAGCTTATCTATCAAACCACTCTTTGCCTCGTTGTGGGGCTACTAGACTGTCTTTCCAGTCATGTCAACAGCAGCCCCAATATCGGCCGCACAAGCAATTGGCGAATATCTGCAATCACCCGATGACCTCTTGAAAGTTGCAGCGTTCAGGAAAAAGCTGGAGAAAGAAAAGGCCTCTATTGATGCAAGGTTGAAAAGTGGAGTGAAGGAGCAGTTGGATGCTACTCGAGAAGGCCTGAAGAAGCTGCTGGATACCCGTAGCAATGTGCAGGCTGTGAAGGATGAAATGCAGACAGTGGACAGACTATGCAGCGATCCTCAGAACGTCGTACCTACGTTTCATCAAATCAGCAGAGTAAGTATTACCTTTGTTCTCTTCGCCAAGCTTCATCTGACTCTGACTAGGTATCCATGGTCCACCGTAACTTTGAGCAAACGGAAGAAATGGTGGACAATCTACTCCAAATGAACTCGAAGCTCGATATGCTCGAAGAAATGCTTTCAGCTGACAGCAACGATATCATCGGTCCAGCTCCAAATCTGCTGCCCGTACATTATCAGATCAACCGGTTGGAGGCTTTCAGAAATCAAACTATGCACCAAGCAAAGAAAGCATCTGCTCTTTCTCGTACCAAGCTGGCTCTCATCTTTCAGCGCCTTAACAAACTTACGGAAGTGTTCGAAACATATATCATGGAGCTTGCACGAAATATACTCCCACTTGTGCGCGCGGGTCATCCTGAAGTCGTGGTGAAGCTGATCAAAATCGCTGAAATGGAGGGAAGGGAAGATGAAAAAGTATGTAAACAATGCTTCATATCTAACGTCTCACCCAACTTTGTACTAGGCCATCGCTATTCGTCTCGTTAAGAAAGCTGCAAAAATGGATGCAGCTTCTAAATTCAAATCAATGCAAGCAAATGCGCGCATCATCAAACATTATCGATCAAAAATACACAAAACCATTTCCGACTCTATCAGGAGCAAATTCGAAGATGCATACTTACGTGACGAACGCGATCCAGGAGCTTTTCTCAACGGCCTTGGATGGATATACCAAGATCTAATTCGCATTGAGAGCGACGTAGTTCCATGCTTCCCTCCCAGCTACGAAATATATGCATTCTATGTCAAGGAATACCACAAGATACTAAATGCAACTCTCCAGCGGCTAGTCGCCGCCGAACCAGAGGCTAGTGTTCTTCTACACTTGCATGCCTGGTTGAAGGAGTACAAGAAGAGCATGAAGGAGCTTGATATTGCTCCCGAACTTCTAGAACCACAGTTACTCAACGGCGATGAGCAGAATTTGATCGAGGATTACCTCAAATTGATCGTGAAGAAGCTAGACGAATGGACGGCTAACCTTATGAAAACCGAAGTTCAAGAATTTGCGTCACGCTCTGAACCTCCAGAAATGGACAGTGATGGTTTATATGGCACGCAAGGTGCTGTCATACTATTCCAAATGGTCAATCAACAGATTGACGCCGCGACGGAGAGTGGGCAAGGTGCAATCCTTGCACGGGTTGTGGGAGAAGTGAATCGAGTAATGAGAGGTATTCAAGAACAATGGACCAAGGTTGTGGAAGCAGAATTCAAGAAGCAGCTTGATAAGCCCGAAGAAGTTCCCGGGGGTCTGGCAGAGTATTGCATCGCACTTGCAAACGACCAGATCAAGTCAGCAGATTATACAGAAGCGCTGCTCGGGCGACTCGAGCCACTGGTTTCAGAAAAATACAGAGTCAAGATCAGTGAAAAACTTAATGACGCCATCGACGGTAATCTGGACGTGGCGAAGAAATGTATACAAACACTCATCGATATCATCTTCAATGATCTTAAACCAGCTACGAAGCAGCTATTCCAGGCTCCGTGGTACGACGGTATCATACAGCAAGTTGTCGTTACGATGGGCGACTACTTAGCGGATCATGCTTTCCTGAATGCTTCCCTTTTAGAGCTCCTCGTGGAGTATCTTTTAGATGCATTTTTGGTCGCCTACCTTACGGCGTTAGCCAATTCCCCAAAGCTAAAAATGCCGGCTGCTACAGAGCGCATAAAACAAGACGTTGGCGCGATTTTCTCCTTTTTCAGCGGTTACAAGCCCGCGAAGGAGCTAGAGGGCTACTTTGACGTGGTAGAGATGATACTTGCGATGCTCGAGGCGTCACAGAGCTTAGTGTTCCTATCTTTCTGGTCGTTTGCTAAGGTGCATGGACCCAATATTCCCTTCGTGGAAGGCCTGATGAAAGCTCGAGGCGATCTCGACCGATCTGGCGTTAGTGAAGTCATGGATAGCATTAAACGTAAAGTAAAAGAAGAAGGATTAGTAGATCGTGCGTATATTTCCTCCATTTTTGGGTTCCCGCTCTGACATTGTCGAATAGCTCCTGAGCCGACCATAATGAAGAAGATCGCTGTCCAAGGCACGCTGTCACGTTTCCTCCGCACATAAGTATCGCATTGTTACACATTCAATTTTAATACAGATTTCATTGCTTGTAGTACAGAACACATTGTATCACTATTTCCATCATTGCCCGTATACCCTATTATTATCTCTCTTTCTTTTCTCCAATCAATCAGTCTTGGTCTTATCTGCAGCAGGGTCTTTATTTGATCGGTCTGGTAAAGCTGCAGCAACCTCGTCGATCTTCTTGAATTGCCACGGGAACCTCGACGGGTAGAGGAACGGACGCAAGTCAAATCCTATGTAGAACGGTAAAACAACATTAACAACATTAACATCATAATTGTGTGCACGTACTGTTATCATCTGGACTGTAGGATTCCTGTCATACCCAGTTAGATCGATAAATCCATTTATAAGGAGCAGCAACACCAACCGCATGGTAGGAGGGCGTGAGGGTTGTCATTTTATGACGGTTTCTAGCATGCTCGAAGAAAAAATGTTTCACTTTTTCTGCAATCTAGAGTTTTATCAGAATAAACAAATAACATCCCCAGTCTCGTGCAAGAGGAAAGAAGTTACCTGCAGAGGAGATAACATAGACCCCCATTCGTGTACGAGTTTTGTAAACATGCTGTAAGGTCCACATTTTTCGACTTTGCGAAGCCGACCAAAGACAGACAGTTCATCATAGGTCATGCCCATATCTGCCTATGATTCACATAGAATAATCAGCTGAATATCATGAATGACCAGTGGAGGCTTACTTCATCCGTTTGCACATAAGTGTCTGAAAATGGCTCCAATTCTGCCGTAGGAACAGCATCCAAGAAGCTAAAAAATGTCAGTGGTAGCCATATGTATTTCTAGTAACGATATATACTTAGTTAGAATAGGCAAATCGAACGAATCCCGAGCGTAGGCAATGAATTTCTTCAGATCGGTTTTACTGATTCCTCCAATGGGGTTGATGTCGGCTGTAGTAAGACAACGAATTAGCTAGAATTTCGCCCGAGTTTGACTTGTACCAACCCGAGGAACAGTCATATTTGGTTAAATATCCTCGCAGGCTACAAGCAGTGTAATCAGGTTTCACGATACAAAGGCAGGGATGTCAATTGTACCTTTCATCTACATTAGCACTTCCGAGAACAAGTAGACCACCAGATCTTCCCCGAACCCAGGGAAGAAGTTGGGCAAATAGATAAGCCAGGACCATGCGTAGTCTTGCCTGAGACGGGGTTTATCGTCATACTTCTGTGAATATTATATAAATTCTCACCTGAATATTCTGCAGTGCCAAATTCTCTGCTGCAGAACCTCCATGAGCTCTAAAGCTCGGTTTTACGCCAGTGACGAAAGAAAACAAATTGCGGACAGAGGTGACAACGGAATCCATATTCAAGTCAATATGGTAGCTGGTTCGAGGTTTGGTGAGAGTTTCATAAGGTTGAGAACTAAGTATACACACCTGCCAATGGCTTCTGCTAAGTCTTTGGCTCTTTGTCGTGTTTCCGCGCCTGAATTTTCTGTTCCCATATAACAAGTGTGGAATATTCTGCTGGAAAACTCTCGAGGATCCGAAGGGATGTAGCTCGAATCCTCAGGCTCTCCGACAATTCGACGAGCATCAGCAATAACTCGCTTATCTTCAAAGAAATCATTCAGCCCAGCCAAGAAATAGAATAATTCAGTAAGTAGGCCATACCAGCTCTCCTAGCAGCATCAGCAATCAGACGGCACATGGAATACACGATTACGGCCGTAGCACAGCTGTCGATACCACCACTGAGGGGAATGAAGTAGCCCTGTGTGCGAGATCGCCTCAAGTAATCCCATAACCAGCAGGCAGGGCCCAGGCTGTTGTAAAAAAATACCACCATTACATCAGCTAAGTTTTCTGACAGTTCCCTGAGATATACGAACGCAATTTCTTCTTCTGGTCTGTGGAATTTTGCTTCAGAGAGCCCCACCTGCAAACCAAGTGTATGTTCGTCCTTGACTTCCTCAAACTTCCCACCGGAGAGTGCAAATGAGACCTCGATTCTATGATAAGGCTCCGCACCAGCAGCTTGCATGCTTCTGCTGCTCTTGGCCCTGTGGGCACGAACATCTTCAATGTCGATGGTGGCAGTGACCACCTCTACGTCATTCAGCGAGAATTGAGACCCCTGAGCTATTATGTGGCCATTCATTGCTACCATTGCACAACCATCGTAGTACAGTCGATCACCGTCGCAGCCTTGTTGATTGGCGTACAGATAAACACCACCTAGCTGGATTACGAAGGCAGCCCTGGTTTGTAAAACCAAATATGAAGCCAGTAGTAAGTAAATCGTTACCTTAAGAGTTGCTTCTTTGATGAGTTCAACTCTGGTATAGAGTTTGCGAAGCTCGTGATGGCTACCACTGGAATTGGTGAATATCTCGACGCCGTCTAAGCCCATTAAGATATGGGGACTGAATGTGGTACCTTATCAATGAAATGAACTGTAGAAGGAACGAGGAAAAATAACCTTGCAGGAGTGAAAAGCTCTTCGCACAGTTCAATACCAATGCATGTGTCCACAGTGCTAATTACGCAGTCTCCAAAAGGAACTTTGGTCTGAAAGACATGCATCATATTCTTATAATAAACGCCGCGGTGCTTACTTGTTTCGTTACAGCTTGAATGATTCTAGGCAGATAATGATCCTCCCATCGTCGGTGCTTTAGCCAAGGAGTGAAGTATCTGAGTTCGCGGTAGTTTCCATCGTTAGCCAACCACATTTTTGGGCGAATAAGGAGAATCTTCTTGTTGTGAACAATCACACGACAATTATAGATTACGTTCTTATGAACGACCGGCCTTCGGGTGTCTTAGTGTCAGTGTACTGAGGAGTTGGACGGTATCTCACATGCCAATATCACAGACAATATCCATAGTCTCTTCCGAAGAAAGAATCTTGGCGAGAACTTCCCATGAGTGGAGGACAGTATCGCCTGTGCAGACATTGAACGCGGACACTGAACACTTAGATCACTAGTGACGATTGAAAGGCCGTACCTTCGAGAAAATGATCGTAGCATCCATAACCCCTAAAATGAACGATATAAGAACCAGTCTAGTGTAGCAGGTGGAGGTATTGCTGACGGTATTTCAAGCTCAGGCCCTACTCTTAATGTTGCCCCGCGCTGTTTCGCGATCGCTATGCTCTCCAAGATACGTTCCATGTTCCCCTGCTTCTATTCAAGAAATTATATCATGCGTAACTTGCACTAACTTGCCTGAAAGTCCAGAGCCCATTGATTCAGCGAACTATATTCAGAGCCATCAGCCTTCCTCTCGAGCTGCCCTTGTTAATCGATGCCTACCATCTACCATAAACTTTAGTTATGGTATAAATCGATTATAGATAGACACCCACGTTGCCAAAGTAATCAAGTGGCCCATGATCTTTCAGTGGCCCGTCACTCGAAATTAACGTCCAGGACAAAAGGGTCTTGTCGAAAGGATGACTCGGAGATATCTTCTCATGCAGGGTCGAACATCGGATCCATTTGTCAAATAATCAGAGATAAGATAAGATAAGCACCCGAGTGCTTCTGTAGTACTGAGAAATTGCGATGTCATTATGTCTAGCATGTCGGTCGTTCTATGCGTTATGTTATGTACAAGTATTAAAGAAACAAAAGACGATTGTCGTATTATAAACCCGGACTAGCATGAAGAGCAAGGAGTCAATGCAAATAAGTCGAATCAATGGACTGAGACGTTCAAATGGTGGAATTGGTATACGATGGAGGTCCTAGTACAGCCAGCAACTTAGCTCATCTGTCATAACAATCAAAAGGATTCAACATACCTGGAGAGCGACTGTTGCCTTGTAAAGCAGATTGCAAAGACGATCTCTCGTCGTCCGATAGACTATCGACCAGTCGAAGCAAGCCATCCATAGTGGCTTTTCGGTCTTGCTGGGCAACCTCGAGGAAGCGATGCATTAAGTAGTCACCTCTGAGCTTCACCAGAGTAGGAGTGAGATCAAGTTTCTCGAGGGCCAGAGCAGCGCTGCGATTATCAGACCGATCTTCGAGGGATATCAGCGAGTCGAGTAGTTTAGCACGATATTCGGTTGAAGACTCTGGGCTTGTTTCTTTGATATTTGCCAGCGCTGTCGAACGAGCAAGTTTGGCGCGAAGAGCCCAGTAAAAGTTACGGCGGGCTTGCTTCCAGACTGCAGGTTTAGCACAACCTTTAGCTTCCATGCGACCTGTACGACTACGAAATATTAATGAGGGAGTGACTGCTGCCTATAAGTCATGACCACTTACTCGTGAAGATCAGCGTATAGAAGGGCAATCTGTTTGTAAGTGGGCTGTAAAAAGGTCTCCCGCTCGGCCAGTGCTTGTGCAGCTAGAGCTCTTTCTTCTGCTGTCTTACTTGCATCCTTGCTGTCGCTCTTTAACGACGCATACGTAGAATCCAATCGCTCCATCAATGTCAAGATTTTGTCACGACGCATTTTGATCTCCACGATACCTTCAGGTTCCAATACACCTGCGCGAGCATCAATATCTGCGTGCATTTCCATCTGTTCCGAGTTGATTGATGGATCAAGAACAACCCATGCACCACCCCTGAGCTCGCCATTAGGGACGATATAAACAAATACCGGCTGTTTGTAGCTGGATAAACCATCGACAATTTTCGAACCCTGCTTCAACACTTCGTCATACATATCTTGCTGACCACCTGAGAAGCCTCGCCAGTTTGCGAATATCATCAACGGCAGACCTTCGCGGTTGAAGTCGAATATGGCTTGAGCAGTCTTGTATGCCGAGTTGGGATACCACACTTGACCTGCTTCCATCACATGTTGCTCGAATGAAGCGGGATTGGCAGGGTCGGCAGGAACAATACGTTCAATGGTACGAGTTTCAACAGCTATGACACCCATGGGGATGCCACCTAGACGTGCACGACCAACAACGACAGTCTGCGCCCAACCGCTAAGTGTTTCTTGAAAGGAACCCTTGTCGAAAAATCCAGACAGCCATTCCGAAGTGTGCTCATCTGTCTTACCCTCGATAAACCAGCGCGGGTCATATGCACCCTTCGGGGGCATATAAGTTATATCACGGTCCCAGGGATCGAGTGTTTCTCGAACAGGTAACTGAGCACCTCTGATTTCGGGGACATAAGATATCCACTCCAGGATATGCGTTACACCTTCCAGATCGCTACTGGCTGTCAAGTGAGAGACACCATTCTTGTGCATGATTTGGGTACCACCGAGCTGTAAGTTAGATGTGTAAACCTCGCGACCGAGGACTTTGTTGAGGGCGGGAGCACCAGTAAGAATGATAGGTTGGCCTTCTACTTGGACAGCCCGTTCTCCAAGACGTACAAGGTAGGCTCCGATACCGACTGATCGCGCTGTGACGAGGGTGATTGTGAAAATATCGTCATAAGCACGGGATGTCTCTCCAGCAATGAGACCGGACCCTCTCAGTGATTCCACTCCTAGACCATCCTGCAAACCAATTATATCTGTTATTTTGTACTGCGTTTCGCCGTCAACATCAATTTCTGACGTTCGCACCGAGCCAGCACCCTTCTCCTGCAGCTTCAAGTAGTTTTGACGGGTCAGATACAGATAACTAATGCCTTTCTCGGGATGCGATTCATCATTCCAGGCACAAGAGAAAAGACTGAGCGTTTCTTCGGCCAGCCCAATGCGTGCACCTGAGTTGGCGGAAAGATAGATACGAGGTAAGCCGTGCGTTCGGGCATATTTTGTAACCAGATAAAAGAATTGATCTTCTTCAGGACCAAACGAGCCGATCTTGTATGTAATGTCGTTAGCGATCACCACAACTTTACGACCTTTAGGGAATTCAGGAGTCTTGAGGTTATACACCCAAGCCACCATTCCGAAGGCGTTGTTTCCTGGGGGCCTCTCGACTTCCGTTATTTGATCGTGTTCGTCCAGCACAAGCTCTTTCGACTCCAACATTTTCTTCGGTATAACCAGCGAAGAATCGTATTTACGTGCCTTGATCCAGACATTGTGTAGGGCTTTGGAGAACAGTTCTGGGAAATCATAGACATAAGTCGTTCCTATTAAGTGAGCTTGATAACGTTTGGGCTGAAGAGACTCCTTTGTTGGATATGCCAGATGGACGGGCTGCAAATGCAAAGGACCCTTCTCGCCGATGGATTTCAAGATAGTAGTACCCTTGTCAGTAGTAATCTCTTGGTAGCCGTGATAGTTGACAACGAAACCAGATACGTTCTCGATGATACAGCGAATGGGCGTCACGTTACCATCACTATCCTCCAGCGAAATGCGAATTTCGGAACCAGTGACATGTAAACGCCAAAGCCGTTTACCATGACGCTCAATGAATCCAGAGATAGCTTCCAAGACGTCATCGTAGGTTACCACAAGGTTGTACACGAAATTCATGAAGATGTGGTTACAGTCGGCATTCCGGTGCTGCGCGCTGACTACCTCAAGTGCGTCGAGAACACTGGTGACCAGTCGATCGGTTTCCGAGACGAGATACTCTGCAGTGCTCATAGTGCCACGAAGACGTCCTGGACGGACAAGAGCACGAATGAAGAATCGGTTGTCTAACTGGTTTTCTTGAGCAACAGAGTGGTATATGTGAATTTGCTTCGTTTCAACAAAGCAGGGGGTGAGCTTGTAGTTCGACAGACGACTGAGCTCCAATTGGAAAGCAAGAGCAGGTTCAATGTTTCGGATTGCTTGCTCTTCCACCCAAACACCGTTGTCTTCGCGAAGCGTGAAATAGAGGGGGTATTGTCCTCGACGACAAATCAGGATCGTCACTCGACGCACGCCACGGCGTTGGAGGCTATCGTTCCGACAGTTAACGAACTCTGTTAGCTTCTCGCACCAGACTTCTTCCGCCATGTCGTCAGCTTCATCAAATACACGGAGAGCCAAATTCATGACATTCGGTGGTTGATTATTGCCATAACGCTGACGGAACTCTTCGGGATCAAACAGCGGCAACAAGGAAGCGATTTTCTCAAAGCATTGAGCCAAAGCATCGAGGTCAGAGAAGGAGGCAATTACACCGTTTCGCACTGGCTGTGTTTGGTTACGATTGATTAGATAGGTTATGTCGCTAACAGAACCTTGGCGACGAGGATCACTAGGGAGTGTAGTGTTAGCCAAATTCACGTGATCAAATAATATGTACTAACCCTGCAGTCACACGAGGCGTGGCTGGAGGAGAATGAGACTGCCCGAGGTTAAATCTCCATGTCAGGGCACTAGGAAGCTCAGCATCGTCCACGCCATCTCCCTCCTCATAATCAATCGACAACAGCGAATATGCGCGATAAGCACGCCTAACATAAACCTCGAAGGCGGCTAGCGAACAAATAAGTAAAAAGAAAGCTATAGTCCACTACCTAACTCACCAAGTGTAACCATAGGATCAGTGTGGCTGAAGAACGCAGGAAGGACATCGTATACAGTGTAACGAGAATCACTAAGTTCCTTCAAAACTTCAGGAGATGGGGTCCTAGAAACGGGATCAGGAAACTTGACATGCTACATGAGAAAGAGTCGTTACCTATTCGCACCTCCTTGCTCTCCATAGAAGTTCGAGGTCACCGAAGTCTTCAAGATCGCCTCCATCTGAATGAGACGTTCCTCGTATGAAGGCATCTGACCCAAAATGAGTACTTCACGAGCTTTCAATGAGACAGACGTAGATGACCTAAAAGAAAATGAGTGAGATTACAAAAGAACTACATATGTAACGCACTTCGACTCGAGCGCAGCCAGGCCATTGAGTACTTGATACAGGCGGCTTTCGGGGTTGGAGACAGGAAGGCCACTCGATTTGACGTAATCTAGAAGGGCAAGGACTAACTTCGACTTGCTCTGCGCCTTGGTGTGACTCAAAACTAAACCAGCAACTTTATCCAACTCGTCCTTGTACTGCTCTCGGAGGGTAAGAACGCGCGCTTCAATACTGCCTCCGAATAACTTTTCGGTGCTCTCGTAGTTTGCTAACAACGTTGCGAGAGTGTGTACTTCATGTCCCTTAAGGCCACCCATGAACCTTTCAAGAACGTCGTACAACGCAGAGAGTTGAGTGCGGAACATAGCCCTGTCGTGCGCTAGTATATTATCTTGTACATAGTGCTCGAGCACTTTCTTGATCCGGACAGCGGGGAATTCGTGCCCATCACCTTTAGATTTCGCACCCTCGATTGCAGCACGTATACCGTCTTCTAGCTTGAAAGGCATGCGACCAGAGAGTGCTGACAGAATTGCATTGACCTCGGAATAGGGCAGTTCAGGATCGTGTATAACTTCGATGAGGTCCTTGAATGTCGAAGCCATAATAGCTTGGTTATCGTAACCCTCAAGGATATCATTCAAAACTCCGGTGCAACGAAGATAACGTTGGTAAGCTTTGTTCCCAGCGATACCTGGGGAGCCCATAGGTGGGAGTAAACCTTCGAATGGTTTGGCATGTTTCACTCGAGCAGGGTCATCCAGCGTGAGTATACCCAGAATATCTCCCGGTTCAAGGCTGACACCAGGTTGCTTGACAAATTGAACAATACCATCTTCAGCCGCCACTAGGGGCATGTACATTTTCATAACCTGTACAACCAAGGCAGAATTGCAATCAGCAAATAGATAGACGAAACGCAACGAACGAACGACCGACCTCGATTTCGGCATATTGTTCTCCGGCCTTGATATGGTCTCCACTATCAATGAAGAACCTGATCAGCTTTCCAGGACTAGGACTCCTCAACTGTGTCGGGTCGTTCTCTTGCTCGATCAGACAGGTCTTGGCATCCACCATCAAACGAAGAGCACCAACTTCCTCCCTCCAGTAAACGGAGTGACTTCGTCCATCAAGAAGAACGAGTAATCCACCATCCGCAAGAGGGCGTGCACCGACCATAGTCCTACCACCGTTGAGGAAGAGGGTCCACATGGTTTTGGAAGAGCGCGTGGCGGTGAAAGAGTAGCGAACATTCTCGTAGATGAAGTCGACGCCGAAGACGGTCTTCAAGAGATCGCGAACAGGCACTTGGCCCTTGTCCAATATACGTTTGTATTCGCTGAGACAAGCATCAGACGCAAGATGAGCCTTCGTGACAGCACCGCAAACGACAGCCAAAGTTGCATCTGGTCTCTCGGCAGTTAGCTTGCTGCTAATCAGAGAATCAAGCCAGCCTGTGGTAATCGTGTTGTCTTTGAATGCTTCCAGTTCCAATAACTTGATAAGATATTCCACCGTCGTCCTGAAATCACCACGGATACTAAGTTCCTTCAACGCTACGATCATGTTTTTCCGGCTCTCTCCACGATCCTCACCATACGCAAAGATATGTCCGAACTGAGAGTCAGCGAACTCGTGAAGACCACCAGCAGTTGCGACGGAGAAGTAACCCCAGACATTAGTACTCGAACGGAAATTAAGTTCTTGCAATGATCCAGACGATGGCTTGAAACCGGCATCGGGGTTCTCAGCAGTAATACGCACTGCCACGACGTGTCCTTTTGGCCTTGGCTTGCGCTGAAGCTGGTTGGATTCAGGCTTCACCATGTCGAAGTCGATTTCAGAGGAAGCATTGGGGGCAACACCATACAGCGTACGAATATGGCGAATACGGTGCAAAGGAATACCCATGGCAATTTGGAGTTGGGCAGCTGGCAAGTTGACACCGGATACCATTTCGGTAGTGGGATGTTCCACTTGGAGACGCGGGTTAAGTTCCAAGAAATAAAACACATCTTCGGCATGACTATACAAATCTGGTGCAAACTCCATGAGTGACGGATCTCTTGATGATGGAATACAATGGGGGAAAACGTACATTCTACAGTTCCGGCGCTAACATAACCGACAAGCTTTGCCAAACGTACAGCTGCACGTTCCATCTGCTCAAACGTATCTTGTTTTGCGATCGTCACTGGAGCCTCCTCAATAATCTTCTGGTGACGGCGCTGAACAGAACAGTCACGTCCGAACAACGAAATGGCATTGCCATATTGATCTGCGAGTAGCTGGACCTCTAAGTGACGAGCTTGACCGGCAAGTTTCATGATGAATATTGGTGATCCTGGATATATAAAATTAGTAGCCACTCTGACAAAGAACTGATAGAGATTTACCGGGAATCTCTCCTGCGACGGCGTGATAAGCATTCTTGAATGCGTCTGGTTCTTCAACTTTACGAATACCCTTCCCTCCACCACCTTCACTAGCTTTTATCATCACTGGCCAACCAATCTGCTCAGCCTTCTTCAAGCCTTCTTCGACACTGGTAACGCAAGCATCATGGTACGCTTTGTCAGGCACGGTAACGAAACCTTGCTCTGATAGCACTGTGTCCGAAATACCAGTGCCCGACCACGCCATGGTAGGGACATCTGCACTCTGAGCGACGATTGTGCTTGAGATTTTATCTCCCAAACTCCTCATCGCACTACCAGGAGGCCCGATAAACACGATCTTGGTCTTGCTAGCAGACAGACTTTCTGGCAGACGTGGGTTCTCCGAGGCATGACCCCACCCAGCCCAGACAGCGTGCACACCTGCACGTTCTGCGACATCCACGATCAAATCGACGTTGGCATAATTGTTGTTGTTCGATCCTCCCGGAACTTCTATGTATTGGTCTGCCATTCGGATGTACTCAGCGTTCACTTTAAGATCCTCGGGCGTTGCCATCACAGTAAATTCCACAGCACGCTCTGTTCCAAAAGTCTCGTAGCTCCATTGTCGAATTGAGCGAATCTCTTTCACGGCCGCGATACCTTTATAACTGATTAGCCTAGATGCATATATGCTGATGGCAAAGATAAATACCGTTATTAGCTATCAAGACCTAGAAGAGACAGATCAGCATTGTGCCATTAACATCAGGTAATCGAATGAAAAACAGCCCCCAAGTTTATTTCGAGAGACGAAATAGTATATGCACATGTGTGTAGAAACAGATCGCAACGGAGAGCAGAAGATAGGCTACATGAAATCTAACAAGACACACACCTTCGTGATGACAGTATGGCCTCCATTAGCCTTAACAAAGTCACAAACACGTCCCGCAGGCGCCTTGTCTACAGAATTACCGCCTAAGAAATGTCTTTAGCTCCACACCATAGCCTCTTGCCAACGCGAAAGAACACACCTATGTATTGCGAAGCTTTTGAGTGGTCGTAAGCCGACATGGTTTCAGTTCAGATAATGTTAGTGTATGGCCTGAAAACTGAATCCGTGCCAAATTATAAAGGTAAGGAGAAAGGTTAAAGGAAAGGAAAGATGGGGAGCAAAACGCGTTTTCTTGACACCTTCCCCCAAAAGTATTGATCGCTTACGTAACGAATGAGCCCGGTCGTTTATCTCTGTTTTCGGTTCTGTTCCTTGATGGCGCACAGGAATTGGCTCTCGAGAAAGTCAAAGCTGACTGCAGCTTAGTCTCGTTACTATGCTAATGGCTGTTGTCAGCACTTTGCAGTACTTTGCTTATGTTCATCATGAGACATGTCCACAGACAGACAGAACAGACGCTGGGGCTATGTGGTGTACCCATCGATCTACTGCCGGGCGCGCGAGGTGGGGTGCAAATTTATGTAACCTCCCCAACGTCAGATAGCCCGAGCCCCCCGGTCTAGCCGTGTCTATCATCCTATCTAGAAACTAGAGCACCCAACGTGTTGTTATTTATCATATATGTTGTGATCATCGTGTTCAACAAAACGCTTTTGCTATCGCACTGCAATATATAGCTGGCACACACACCCTGTACCTTTTCATCTCGATCAATTAGTATCCAGACAACTTTGATCATCACTTCACAGAATCCGTATTTGGGTCAGGGGTAGTGTTTGATACGCCATATAACATCCACAATACAACACTGAAAACTCGAGCGCTGCACACATAATAATTCAACGGCACGGGCACCCCCATTAAAGGCTAATCCAGCAAATTCGTTTCGTCCGCGTTAAGGATGAATCTGGTATAAAAGCGGATGACCTCTAAAAATCCTTCCGCTCGGATGGCTACAATGAAAGAGGAGTGTGTTAAGTATCCCCTCCTGACATGAGAAGGGTTGGCATGCAGACCTTCATTCGTGGTATGCGCGCCATTATAGTTGTCCGTAGCGCCACGGTGGCCGTATCGGAAGATATGTTTGGTTAGCTTCCAGTAATGTCTCGTGTCTAAAGCAATGCTTAGCATGGATGTCACGGCAGCCGGATCTCCAGCGTACCTGTATTTCCTGTGTTGCGACAAAGTAAGTACTAAGCATCATCGCAACGAAATTGGAAGTCATACCAAGTGATAATCCCGGTGAAACAACAGCAGGGCGCTGAGGTTCAGTGCTTCGCAGATGGGTCTGCAAGGTTGATATAATGGTCCCAGATAGCAGTTCATACGGGCCACTCCCTATTGTCGGAGAAACAGGGGCAGGCTCTAACGAAGACCCAAATGCCTGAGAAAGGCGAACTTGGCCATAAGCAGGAGCACCTGACTCAACGAGTTCGCCAAATGCATCAAGAGACATGTTATACTTGGCTGCTATGGGATTAACAATACTGGCAAAGCGTTCCTGCAATGCTGAAACGGAACTAAGTGTATCAAAACGTCAGTCGAAGTGGTGTAATGAAAGAGAAGCAAAACGACCTATAGTCAGCAATCCTATGATTTGCTATAGTCCACACGGCTTCTGGCAAGGCATTGACTTTGACTCCACCGCCAATAAGATCTATCACAGCAAAACGTTGCTCAGAGTTATACAATGCTAACGTAGCAAAACTGACCTATGGCTTGTGTCGTTCCAGCTTGAGCATAGTATGCAGGATCGAACTCCAGAAGCTCCCCTTCCAGTTGCTGCAAGGCTTCATCACTCGAACGAGACTGCTGAATAAGCTTTCGCATTGATGGATCCAAGCCATTATCGTATTCAGCACGGCATTGCAAGCTTTGGTAGTACGTCCGGTCGCGGACCAATTGTGGCTGATGAGGATGTGCCTCCAACTCGGTAATGATGTTGGAAAGAATGCCAATGCCCTGTCAGTGGGTCTCAGACACTGTGAAGTATTGCAGAATAGTAACGATATACGTACAGTGTGTTTCGGAGGCTTGCTGGAATGTCCTCCAGGAGTCGAAACATCTACACGAACATCCAAATACCCTTTCTCAGCCACTGCAGGGCTGGCAAAAATGGTACCAGAGATATCAGAATAGCCACCTTCGATCACACTTCAATGTTTGCCTCCCGTTATAAGCTAAAAGCTCGATTACTTACCTCCTTCATCGACGATGAGTGATATAGAATCTTCGCCAAACGTCTCGAGCAAGTATCTTCCAATTGAAAGTGCACCCTACAAGATGTCAGAATCATCGACAAATATCAACAACTATCACTCACCGTATAGCCGCCCCTTTCTTCATCGATGCCAAAGGCGAGAATGACGGATCGGGTAGGCGCAAATCCTCGCTCAAGTAACGTCTCGATGGCAGTTCTTCAAGGAACATTAAGTCATGCCCCTATCTCGCCAAAAAAGAAAAACGTGCACTCACAGGCTACCGATAAGACCAGATTTATCATCGCAACTTCCTCTACCCCATATCCATTCGCCATCATAATATCCAGAGTAAGGTGGGTTTATCCACTCATCAGCCGTCGCAGGCTCGACGGGTACCACATCTGCATGGGCAGCAATAAGAACAGGCTTCAACGTTTCGTCACTTCCTTTCCAGTAATACACCAAAGCATAAGTGTTGACTTTGGTTCTCAGAAGGTTTTCATGGCTACAAGAGACTTGTAGAGATCTGCAAGAAGGAATTATACCAAACACACTCACACTCTCGGGAAGCGTGTCTCCACATAAGTATGAAAATCATAGTGAACTTCCCAGCGTGGGTCCTCCTCTGGTGTTCCAAGGTCGTCGAATGTCTCTGTCCTAATAGCCTGTCATTTCAGACTTCCAAACTTGTAGGCCAAACAGAATGCTCACGGAATCCTGACAGCTCCCCCAAGAGACTCGTATGCTTTCAACTTGAACTCTTCAGTCGCGAATTCACTATCAAGACTCTCAAGAAGCGATCCATGGCTGCTCGGAGTGATGGCAGACACCTGGGGACACAAGCTATCTTCACCGCTGCTCTGTACCCACTGTTCGCCCGCGACTCCCTGATAAGAGATAAGGCCTAGCCACGAGCACTGGGCCAGCACCACCAAACCCAAAAGCCCAGCAAGGCCAAGCATTCGAATACGTGATGTAGCACGCGTCAAGTTTCGAGTTCCAGCGCTCTGCCCAGCATGGATATGGGTCGCTAAGCCGAGTTCAGCGTCCCCTTTAGCCTCCCATGAGCCATCGACGCGTCTTAGGAAAACATCACTATCCTCGGTTCGCTTTTTCTCATCAAAGGTGGCTTCCACTGGTACTGACACCTGTGAAGTTGGGGTTTTGCCGCACTTAAGACGGGTCTGGTCGGTTTGAGTTGTTGAATGCATCGAAAATGCACGAAAGACGGCGGTTGTCTTTCTATCTTCAGAACGCATGACCGCAGATAAGAAAGTGTAACACGGTCAAGAACCTTCTCAAGAATAGGTAAGAACAGGTCAACTGTCAGGAGACACAAGCCCCATCGGCCCCTGTTCGGCTTTCCAAGGTCTAATCGGTTAATATATACCGGAATCAAAAATCGCCCCGGTGCATGTGCAAGATTGCAAAGTCGCCGTAGTATATGCAAACACAAAGTGTAGGGCAAGTAATGCTTATCATGTCGCGATTTTTCGTCAGCTGTAATAACAATAAAGACACACCCAACAAATCAGGGAAAATAATTATGTCAAAGAGGATCTCTGGTATGAAGATGATCAATCTGGTCCCTGAATTGTTCTTCTTTCACGAGCACGCACACTGCAGCTGGCATCGATTTACTTTTTCGAGCCTATTAAGATTCTCCGGTGGTGAACGAAAGCTGTCAATTCGTTCATTGCGAGAGAAGAAAGTACCACATCCCGTCAACGTCCATTTCCACGATTTGATGACAAGGGACGCTGACATCCGTGATTGTAGATGATGAGAAGATGAGGTGAGAAATAAAGGTCCTGCCAGGTCCGATGAAAACAACTTATGGAGAAAAGTCTCCAAAAAGATGAAGCGGAATTTAGTTTAGGTAGGCAAGTGGTGGAGTCGGCGTCAAAGGCGTTCCTCAAGAGTGGACTATCACAGCATGCTACACAACTCCAGCGCCTTGCGTGATTTGATGCTAAGAGCAAGCTTTGACTGAACCTAAGTGCCTCCAGGGAGGCCAGATGGTCACAGGTCTTGTCTAGACGTGGAAAGGAGCGCAAGGTGTATGCATTTCTGGAAAGGGTGTAACGCTCGTACACGATTAGGGTATGAATATTTCACAATGAAAGGTGTACATGTGGGAATGGATCACTTGGAGAAAAGCGGCGAATGAGATATACCATACTATCTGCTATCTGGCATCAGGATATACACCTTGGGATGGGGAAACGATATCTTACAGAAACCGATGCCGCAGCCACCATCAAGACAAGAACGAAAGATTGAACATATGGAAGCCCTGGGGAAGCCTTGTCCGCGGAGCGCCAATAAGAAAGCCACGATCACCCCACTATCTAACTTGAAGACTTCTTGGATCAAGCTTTGAGACTTGATCGTAGCCTGTCCGCTATGACTCGTTTCTCAACGCTGACACCTGCCTGTCTGTACATCTTCCTCCACAGTTTCACCGAGTATTAAACGACTTTGGGAGTACGAGTGTGGAAAGCGGTCATAGGTTACGTCTCCATGGTGATATGTCTGAGCTGGTCCTAAAGATAGGTGAGCAAGAATGAATATGAAACAATCACCTCCGTTAATTTCAAATAGGTGTATGCTTGGGTGCAGATATAATACCCCAGCATGAAAATCGCCGCATGGTGAGAACGTGCAGAAACAGGTTGTAGACTATGATGGACAGATCGAACTGACCACCGCACAGGAAGAGTTGGTTAGAATAGCCAGGGCGATTATGCGAGTATGAATATATCCGTCCATGGCCCCACCAAGTGATTGAACCAACGTGATGGAAGGAAACACGGTTTTGCCACATGCCCTTCGTACCGCATTGAAAGGTGAATTGTATCAGATGTCCAGCACAGTTACAACAGGGTCATTGCAACGTGCTATTCCAGTATAGACCAGACAGGATGGACATTGTACAGAGCGTCGAGTACTGCGGATGAAAGTGGATCCGAAGATAGGATGGATTGGGTATCGAGTTGACCGACAACTGATTGCAGGCCAAGACGGGTGGGGTCTGAATTGTGACACGAACGTCGCGGTTGATTCGCGGAAATTGACAAGTAGGGAGATTTGTCTCAGTAAGGGCGACCTTCTATCTGAGATGGCCTGGAATGGGGATTAAGGTTCTGGTGATTTCGATAATGGAGGGGGCATGACTGAGAAATGGACACGACGATGTGTGGATGTCCCCGCGTGGGGCTGAGGGCGATATGGCCTGAGGAAGACCACCCTGTGCCTCAGAGAAAGGCGAAGTATGGTATTGGCAAATAGGAAATGTTGAGCGTTTAAGTGGGGAGCGAATGGGATAGGTGGGAAGAGGGCATGGAGGCTCCGCATGATATGCAGCTTCGGTGGCATGTGTGGACGGAATGATATTAAAGGCTGCTGGTAATCGGAACAAGGCGGTCCACCGGGTGAATTGCTGCAGTCCTGCATGAGGCTCGCGTTGGTGCAGAAGCATGTGGACCGCGCAGCCATCACCCATCTCAGCCACGTGCTCACAACCCTCCCTATTTCTGACCGCCACCTCCAGCTGCACCGACATCCCCTCCTCACCAACCACACAAGGCAAGCCCATTCTCATATATAACCCTCTCCCTCCCAACATCCTTCTCTACACCCTGCTCTCTCCCCACAACCACCATCACCATGGCAGACGTCGCTCCCACCTCTTCCTCCACAGACACCGGCTCCAGTCCCAAAGAAAATAATGGCACAGGCGGGCCAAAGGCTATCATTAAGAACGTCGACATGAGCGAGGAGATGCAGCAGGAGAGCGTAGATATCGCGTCTGTAGCCCTCGAAAAGTACAACATCGAGAAAGACATCGCTGCTCAGATCAAGAAGGAGTTCGACAGACGCCACGGCCCTACATGGCATGTCGTCGTCGGAAAAAATTTCGGCAGCTATGTCACCCATGGTGAGCACTTCCATCCTGCAATCTGCTCTTTCAACCTCTTATCGCGTGCGATCCATCCTCGAGACGCGCGTCTCGGTACGCGTCTCGCCAGTTGGCTGCTTGCCGAGTTTTTTCTTCTTTTCTTCCTGTGATTATATGCATCATCGTGCCTCACTTTACTCACGTCGCCATCTTCACAGAAACGAAACACTTCATATATTTCTATGTTGGATCGCTTGCAATTTTGATCTGGAAGTCATGAGAGTTCGCTCAGAAGCGTGAAAGTCGCATAGATTAATGTAATCCTTCTACTCTCCTTGTATTTTCACTACCCTAACATAACTTTCATCACCAGTACAGACTCGTTGACGAACTCTACCTTCTACTTTCAAACACACACGTATCGTATACTTTCTTGTTATCCCGCATCTTTCTCCCCCGCCAATGACCTTGTAATTACCACGCTTTCAGTGCTAGCAAAGCTCATGTTCGTTGCTTTCGTGATCCATCTGTCATGCTAGAGTTCTGCAAAGATCTACTGATCCTTCAGAACATTATAGTTCTGTCTCTTTTGAGATCTCGGGAAGGATGCCGTCACCTTCCTGCGTGTGCCATCGTGATTAGGCACCTTTCTATAGTAAGTGATGGCTCGTCCGTAAAGACCCCTCATGCACCACTCGATTGGCGTTCGGCTTTCTCAGGGAGAAATCATTCACCCAATCCATCTACAGCTATTTCAGGCAAGTTCTTGCTCGGGAGGATGCGTCAAATTCATGAACTCAAAATATCATCAACAGCCGATGAATGAGAGTATAAAATAAATTGCTACAAGATACACGTTCTAATGTTAAATCAACTAAGGCGCAAACCAACCTGGGTTTGACAGTGTCCGTCCTCTATTGTGAAGTATGATGTTCGTGTGAGCCCAGCTCTGGCAGTCCTCGGAATTTCATCTAACTCCTTCCTACCACCTCTACAATAACTTTTGCCAAGCAATCCCCGTCCTCGATCGTATACACTCCCACATGCACTTCACCAATATCATTCTCTGTCGGTACACCGAAAAATTCAACCATCTTCTTGTCCTTAACACCTACCCCACTCCCCTTGAAATCCAGCTGCAGAAATCCTGGCAGAGCCTGCCCCGACACCAACCTCGCTTCGACTTTACGGTATACAGTATTCGATGATTTAATAGGAATGCGGAATTTGAATCTTTCTCCCGTACGCACGAGAATTCTAGAAATTGTGTTCTCTTTTAAAGTCCCAGCTTGTCCATGACCGTGTTGAGAAGATTCCAGGGACGAGAACGATTTATCTGATGTAGAACGCCCGTTTTCTGAAGTCCGTTTGTCCCCACCCAAAGCGCGGACGTAGTGCATGCCCATACGGAGTTCGTCCATACTGCCTTCTAACTCCTTGAAAACCTTCGCGGTCTGACTTGTTACTCTCTTCGTTTGATCTTTGCTCTCAACTTGCAGACCTCCAGAAAGTGATCTGGGCACAGGGACTCGCGCTGCATGCGTAAATGGCATCAAACGAGGCCGTTCTTCGCCAATTTGAATATTCGCCACATGTGATTCAAGAGATAGGACGCTGGCACTCTTCGTGCTCCTCAAGCTCACCTCTCTAACGACACTGTGTACGGGTTCCGTAACGTGTGTGCGTGCAGAAGAGTTCGAGATCAACGATCTTCTTTGTCCTGAAAAATCCTTCACGTGGACTTGTGGTGGCTCTCTGGGACCTTTTGGTGATTTTGGAGGTGCAAAGTCCGCTCTTCTCCTCGGAATTGATCTTTCTCCGGTGGACGAAGACGGTGAAGCCGTGAAGCTTGCAATGGTACTTGTTCGGTATGCCCTCAGGTCCCTTTGATTTAGCATGGACGCAGACCCTGAAGGTAACCCTTTGGAGATATCCAGGACTTTGTTTTCGAACGGCAGCCCATCAATCGCAGTCCTTGGGTCATCGTCTGGAACAATAAGAACAGGATTACCGATTTTAGGTCGTTTAGGTCCTTCGACTTTGCGCTTGTACCTGTCGCTCACATTCCTCGCCGTTTCTTTTATTTTCCCAAGGAACTCCTTTTTTCTCATTACCCCATACTGCTGGCTATGGGCTTCGAGTGAAGGACTTCGAGGTGAAATGCGGCGAAGGCCGAGACCCAAATTGGCGAAACTTGAATCCTGTGCATGACGTGGAGATAAAAATGGATTTTCTCCAGACTTGTGGATTTCCAAGCTCCCCTTTTCTGAGGTTCCACTTGTGTCTACTTCCTTCGTCCACCCGTAGCCCTTCTCACTGTACCCTCGACTTCTCCCTCCTGAAGTTTCCACACCAATACCATACCACTTCTTCTCATCCGCTGTCCACGCCCGAGTTCCTTCCTCGCCTTCAAGTGCAGTATCACGGACTCTCGCAAAGCGCCTGAATAGGGCCAAGCAGATAAGGAGTCCCACTATACCGCCGATCACCCCGAAGACAACAGAAAGGATCAATATCAGCCTTTTACGTGCACTTGGGGACATCGAACCGATTCCGTGATGGGGACCACCTTGCTTATTAGCCGCAGAAGATGATGTGATAGTCAAACTCGTATGGGACGTCGAGTGAGTCATGTTTGAATACGCGGTTAGCGAAACCGTGATTTCAGACACGTTGGAATCACTCGGGATTTTCCCCGTTAACTCTGCAGTGACAGGATCGAAGATGAGGTAGCTACCGGCTTGGCTTGGGATGAAGATTGCGGTGAGGTTCACGTCGCTATGTTTGTTCGCACTGTCCGTGGCATTCGAGAAGTACCACGTCAAATCAAATTGTACCTTCTGTCCAGGATCAACGACGATACTTCCCAAATTTGACGAGGAGAAAAAAGATGGTACGACTGCGAAAGAGATGTCGCTACGTATGGTCTGGTTGAAGTTTGATGTGAGAGCGACAGGTAATGGTGTTCCTGCGTGTTCCTGGATATTATCAGGAGGCTTCCCAGAAAGTGTCATTTTGGCCGGATCGTACTTCAACCACTCGGCATAAGGAGTGAGATTGATAGACAGGGCAGTTATATTGGCAGGTTGTATAGGCTGTCCGTCCATGAGAATCCCAGAGAAGTCCGCAGGAGATACCAAGGCCACGCTGAAAGGCGAAGCGGCAGTTATGTTGATCGTCGGCAGAGAGGACACCGAGGACAACTCATGATCTGCGATGACCAGATCAAAAGGAAGGATATCAGCTGTATACCCTTGTTGATCAGATGCATGCAATGCTATAGATAACAAATATGGAACTGCAATGGCGTCTTTGTGAGGGGCAACACCGTCGAAAGTAAACGTTTCAGTGTTAAAGTCAATCCAGTCGGGCAGAGGACTGCCGTCTATAAGCAGGGCATCGTAGTAAAGATCGTTTTGGGAGGTGTAAGTGTCACCTTCAAGACCAACGCTAAATGACCAGCTAGGTGGGATTCGCAAGGTTGGGTTACTTGTTGCCAAAGCTGATTCTGGTGCCAGAAAAAATACGGAGGACAAAGAAGGATTTCCTGCATAAAATTGCTTCTCTATCGGAAGTTCCAGCGTGGGGGGTGGATAGGGTGTGACGCAAAAAGAGAATGTGGAGGTAGCAGACGAGTGAGAATCCTGTGCGGTTACACTCAGCTCAGGGGTTCCCTCGTCTTGAGCTTGTGGAGTGCCAGAGAAACTTCGAGTAGCATTGTTAAAGGTTAACCAGCCGGGTAAATTATAAGCGGTATAAGATAAAGTATTATTCGTATCTGAGGTAAATGTTGTGGAAGAGAAAGACCAATAGAATTTTTGACCAATCCGTGCGATAAGTGGAAGCTGGTTGTCGATTGGGTTCGATACATACACCGTGCACGATACAGCCGACGCTGCAACCAGAAACGTGTATAGAACAACGAGCATAGCGGTGGGTGTCGTATGGCGCGACGACGACGTACGTCGATGGACGAGCCGGCCAGCGAGCTCAGGTTTTCCAGTCAAAATGAGAGTAGTGGATAATGAGTGGAACTTGAAACCAATAAAACACAACAAACGCGTTAAGCAATGAAGTCACGTGAATTGATTTTATAACATCGTATTACCCAGCGGTGGAGCAATTCTAGCGGTTAGAGTATGCAGAACGTATTCTAGACAAAAGACAACGACTGGGATATCAGGAGAAATGGATCCATGAGTACTAGTGCAACAATATCAAGGGAAAGTAAGAAGAAACGGAGTCATCAGCATGTGAGAAAATGTGAGAATATTATCACGCTCCAGGAACGAAAGCACTTAGCCCCGCGGCCTGAATCTTAGCAGGATCCTCTGCATTCAAGGCCCCAACGAGGTTGATCAGTTGACCCCTGCCCTCATCGCCGATTTGGTCAACGCCACTAGGGTCCAAGACGTGGGCAAAGACCATGAGCAATCTGTCCATGAAGGGGTACAGCGCTTGTGGGTTCGTGCGGAAGAGATGGAACAGCGCGCGGAAAACAGGGCGGTTCTCGAGGTAGTCATTTTTGAGGGGTAGGCTCTCCATCAGGACGGGAAGGACCTGGTCCAAAGGAACAGCTGCTGTGTTGCGAACAATGAGACGCGATACTGCACCAGCAGCATTGTCTTTGGAGTTCAGCCGTGCGGGAGAAGCATCAGGTGCTACATCGAACAACGGACGCAATGCAGCGAGAAGAGGAAGGAATTGAGGAGAGAGATCCACTTCTGAGTTCTCCACAAGAAGACCCACAGCAAACGCGGCGTTACTTTGTACCTCAGCTTCCTCATCACCAAGAGCACGGTAGAAGAGTTCAAGCAGGGGTTCAGTTGACGGCGTGACAGCGTTCTTCATTCCTGCGATGATCTCTGCCAGACAACCTATGGCAGACGAACGGTCACTTAGGGAGCGACTCTTTTTCTGTACGATGAAAGTGTGATCAGAAAGATTCATAAATCACCGGAACAATTCCCTTACGTAGTATTTCGAAACAAGAGGGAAGAAAGTGCCGAAAGCTTGTGCGAAGTCCCCTCCAAGTGCGTTCGCCAAGGAAGCAACAAGGTCGCCAGCAGAGGAAATCAATACAGAGTCATATTCGGCGGAATCTTCAGGAGCCTCTTCGTTCTCATCTTGATCAGGATCCTGTTGGCAGAGAGCTTTCTGCTCCAAAACTTGAACAGCAATGCTGCAGATAGAGTCGAGATCTAAAGAGTAGGTGAGCTCATGTTCGAACTCGATACAACAGGGTACTTACGGTTTTCAAGGAAGGCAGGGCCTATCTTGTTGATAGTCTCAGCAAACCCAACGCACAACGAAGAAACGACGCTCCTGCAGACTTGTAAGCATGAGAACGAATTATCGAGGTCTGTCTAGCTTACTTATTATCCTCAGATTCATACATCTCAAGCAGAGGTGGAAGGCTGTGACCAATCAACTCCTTGACACTAGAGCTGATAGGAGTTTGCTACACAAATCGACATCAGCAAAGACATGTGTTATAACATGGAGTATAGTTACCACGGTAGTACCAGGCTGCCACTCCTGGAGGTCACTAAGGTCGTAGAAGGTCCTGACGATCTCAAGGAGAGAGTCTGTAGCGGATTTGCGGATACCTTCATAGTAATGGGGCAAGAGGCTAACGAGCTCCAGCGTGCACTGCTCGACGTATGGGAAGAAGTGGTTTCGTGTGGCAGCGAATAGAGTTCCAATAGTGTCGGCTGCGATCTCCTTCTCGACAGCAATGGCGCTGTTCACGTCGAGCATTTTTTCGACATCAATATCTTCTAGTTCGACCTCAGGGTTCCCGTTGGCGTCGATCTCATCCACCACAGCGATAGCGCTGGAAGGTGAGGAGCCAGAGGCAAAAGCAGCAGCAGCTTCAGAAGTGGAGACTAACATTTTCAGATAGGATTATTATTTGAAACACTTTCTTGAGGGCGAAACGACTTACGAGTCTCGTTCTCCTCTCCATGCTCAGCCTGACGGCAACTGGTCAAAAGCGGAGGGACAACGCTGGAGAGGAAAGGCGCAAACTCTTCCCTGAAGACCCTCGCCATCACACCAAAGAACAAGAAACTGCACTCCCTGAGACGTGCACTGCCCATCTCGATACCTTGGAATGCCTGTTTCATCATATCTGCGAAATAGGGGCGGAATACCTCCACACCCACAGCCTCGGCGAAGGTACCTACAGCATCCATGGTGATACCACGAAGTTCAATCTCTTCGCCTTCAGCAGTAAGCACGAGGAAGTGCTGGAGCTTGTTCATGGTAGGCTGGAAGTAAGGGAGGAACTTCTCCTTAGATGCATGTGCAGCACTGCCAATAGCACCAGTCACAACAGCCTTGACAGTGAGAGGGGCGGTGTCAAGAAGACCAGCGAGCTGCTCCATAATGAGTTGGAGGTATTGCTCGATGACATCGTGCAAGATTTCAAGTAAAGCATCGAGTGCTGTGCATGCAGAGCGTTGGGTGGCAGGATCATTGACCAAGGTCATGATAGCCTAGGAAATTGCCTAAGTCAGTGTATTGTCTATTGTCGCATATATATTTACTTACAGGAACAAGGGCAGCGTGTTTCGAAACACATTCTTCCTCGAGCCACTCACAGAGACAGCTCACTGCGGTACAAGTTGCCTTCCTGACCGAGGCATCCTGATCTTGTAAGCCAGCTTCGATGATAGGCCAAACATGGTTCATAAGGGGGGTCATAAACTCGCTGCAACCTTCTACTGCGACACCAAGGGCAAGCATAGCACCGCGGCGGTTGGCAGGATCAGGAGAGGAGAAGTATTGCTGGATGAGGGTACGAAGCGCAGGGAACACTTGAGTAGGAGGCAAGGAAGTCGCAAGACCATCGATAATGCGCAGGGCAGACTATCCATTGGATATACACGTCAGATTCAGGGTAATCAGTTAAACATTCGCGTCACTCACGCGACAAGGAGCATCATCATCAAGGTCTTCGGGTTCGGGTTCAGTTGCAATAGGCATGAGACCCTCCAAGATGGCGGGAGCAAGGTTCTGACTCTGAATCTTGGATTTTTTGCTGGAATTATTTGAATTAGCTGTTGTCGACAATGCCATCAAGGAATATCATACTATTGGACTGTCCAGTTCAAAGCATTGAGAGCAAGAACACGGAGCTCAGCGTCAAAGTTACGGTTTCCGCCACATGTAAGGAGGAAAGAGGCAAATTCGGCGATGTGGGGACCGAGAATAGGAATTTCCTATGATGAAAGGGGTAAGCTGACAAGAAGCAAGTCGAAAGTCGAAAACGGGACGTACGAGAATAAGCAGTGTCTCGAAAACGTCGAAGAGTTGACGAGCGCCAGTTTCGTTATTGGCCTCGAGACACTGTCCGATGACCCTAATCATGCTGGGAAGCAGAGCTTGGAAAGATTTCTAATATCATGCGTCAGAAACCATAACTAATATGTTCCAGACAACCTTACAATGTCGGCCTTATCGTCAGAATCGATGTACTGAGCAATAACACCTAAAGCCCTGTGTAACGCATGTCAGCTCATAAAAGAAACATCAAGGGATCTAGTGAGCATACCGGACAGTCGTCACGCGCACATCCATGCTTTCAGGATCATTGAGCAAAGACTCAAATAGCTTGAAGAAGCTTTGGAGGTGCTCCTGGAAGCCCTCGACGATATTTTCGAGGACAGTGAATAGAATATAAATGCCAACTTCGCGATGTATTGTTTGCGCAGAAGTGCATGACTGATGTAAGAAAGGGAGTAGCTGGGGCCATGTGCCGTTAGGGATTTCTACAGAGGCAATAGCAGCGATAACCCGCGCAGCCGAATGGCGAACGAGATTACTATAAAATGAAGCGATGAAGGTATGAAATGTAAGTTTGTGACTTCTTGAAGATAAAGTAGAACGAAACAGACTTTGGTTCTGCGAGGATCAGCTCTGGAAGTTTATCTTTGATCTGTTGACGCTCATCTTGAGGGAGTTGAGTCCATAGATCTCCGCTTTTCTGATTTATACGTTTGCGCATCTCGACTGCGGCGAGCTGACGAACCTGATGAACGAAAACATGCCTTAATTACCGATCAGAGCGCGATCAGAAGAACACATACAGCGACCTCCGGAGAGCTGGCGAGGATGCTAGCGAGGGCAGATATACATGCTGGATTTTTGTAATATTCGGTGTTCAGCTGAGCTGTAGCCTATTGAGATCATGCGATTAACATGTTGGATCTTCTGTCTGCACGATATAGCGATCTTACAGCTTTAAGTTGAACCGTGTCGTTACTAGAGACCGACTGGGTCAATAAATTGTGCAATCCCTGGATAAAATTCGGCTAGATCGCGTGGTTTTGAGAGAAAGAAAGGACATTAGTGTTTTGTATAGAGCAACATGAATATGATATATACGCACATCCATTGTACAAGGGTCGTAAAGAGAGGATAGGAAGGGATAAGAAGAAAATGTAGATGATGATCGAGATGACCACTACCAAAAATTTGGCGGAGTCCCAAAAATTTTGCCGTTACCCATGTGCACGGCTGTAAAGCATCATTGTCTTCACTCCAAGTCCAAGCCTGCAACAAGTATGGTATGGCTCTGATCCTTGGATACACTGCATACATCTTACACTAGTATGACAAGGAAATACTGCTGAACAACGGTCTACAGGTCGTTCTGTGCTGTTTAACCACTCCAAGGCGAGCACTGATGTCCTCAGGTCTTGTCTCATCGATAATCATAAAACAAAATCACAACTCAAAATGGACTTGTTCTTGTCGCGTGGCTGGACCACAATGCAAGTTATGTCTCCAATACATGCTTGTACCGGTACGCTTCCCTGCTCAAACGGACCGTACCCTTTGCCCTCTTTGCCCTCTTTACGTCGTCCAGGCTGCACCTGTTGCTATCTACGCGTTCTTACGGCACACATATCTCCTTGTGTACCTCATCATTGTGCACCCTCGGTAGCTTTCACTATAACCGTAATACATCGCTAACACACCGAGGACTCGTCAGTGGCAGTGAACTACATTCGTTCGTTCCTTGTCGCTTCCACTCGCAATTGTCGTTCAAATAATACGTAATAGCCGGGCGAAAAACACAATGAGCGTCATGAATGTACACCATAATGCACGCGCAGTGACTACTGCAATTCGTGGTTATGTTTAGACTGGTCATTTGACAATGATCTGCTAAGAATAATCCAGTGGGTTCATTCCATCATGCCATGACTAGAATACAAAATGCGATAAGCGAGCGTCTAGCACTCGACCGGTGAGTAATGTAAGCTATCTAGTAGCTACAGATTATGCATAGCAAGGAGCCCAGATGAAACGAAAACTAGTGCAAATGCGAGCATGCGTGTATCGCTCGAAATCATCGTGTATATCGTAATGCATGCGACACTTCAGGTATCTCAGTCCACCATCTTCTCCTGGAAAAATAGCAGTTTCATGAGGAACCAGAGCCAGTCAAGCCACCCTGAGCACCCGTTGCAGCGATACGAGACTGAGCATCGGATGTAGTGGTGCAGGTGATCGACGTTCCCGCAGAGTTGACAAGAGGAAGAGCTGCACAAGTGAGCGTCGACCCGCAGGATGACGTAACAAACGTGCCCGACACACACTGCGCGAAGTCACCGTTAACGCAGGCATTTGTTCCCTCTTTGAAATAAAATAATAAGAACACCGTCAGTGTGCATATATCTCAAAAGGCAATGCCACGTACCAGTACAGGTAGAGTTAGCAGTAAGAGAAGCGAACTGAGCATTCAATTTCTGCGCAGCTTGACCGTTGGACAGAAGCAAGCTACTGTTACCCGAGGAAGAGGTGGGTGTGGCACCAGCTGCAGACGACGTAGTAGAGATAGTGGTCGTTGTCTCGCCTGTACCGTCATCGCAGTCACCGTCATCATTATCGACGGAAGTCTCAGTAGGGGAAGGAGCAGTCGCAGATCCTGACGCCGAGGGAGTAGCTGAACCCGTAGAGTTCCCAGAGCTTGAGCCAGATGATGTGGAGCCGACTCCAGGGCTCTGAGTGAGATCGGTTAGCTGAGCACCGTTAGTGATAGGTCCAGAGGGGTTTGCAGGGCAAGAACCAGCGGGGGATAGGGGTGATGACATGCCAAAAGGGATGGTACCATTCCCACCGACAGCGATGCCACCGACGAAGGTCTTGGCATCATCACCCTGCCACTGGCACTGATACAACCCGTTGAGTTCAGCATTACGCGGAGCACTCTGACAGTAGGGAACACTCTGAGAGGTGGGCTGCAAGTGAAAGAAACGCGTCAGATGAGTTGGACGGGTGGAAATACAAACACCTACAGAGTTGCGTGGCTGTTGCGCGAAGATTTGGGCAAACTTGATCATGTTGGGGTCATTATTGAGCGTCTTGGCGAGGTCAATCATGTTGTCGGCAGCATCCTGCTGAGCGCAAGCTCCCGGTGCAGCCAAGAGGGTACCGAAAGAGGCTACGGCAACAGGGTTGCACTGTTGGCCTCCGCCAGCAGCAGTCTACACAAAATAGTTAGGCATACGCAAGCGAGGAGAGCTAGACGAGCCTTGTACGTACACAAGCTGCCTCCCACTTTGTAGTGGAGTCGGAAATGGTCTGCTGGATGCGCTTCCACAAAGGCGCTGCGTTGACAGAAGCAGCAGCAAGAGCAACGGTGAAGATGGCGAGTTGAACCATTGTTAGTTATTGAAGCGTTGGTGCGTGTATGAAATGTAAAGTGGTGAGTGTTAAGAGACGGCGTAAATAAGACCTGCGGGGAGAGAACGAGGGCAATTGGGAAAGAAAGACGCCTGAAAGACGGTGGGCGAGCGCGGCTCTGTGCAGGAAGAGGTAAAGAAGAGAAAATGTGGATGAGGACTGCAAGAGATCCGCTGGTCTTTATATAATGTTCTTGGTGGTTCGGCTTGTGCCATTTGTGGTAAAGGACAACAATGGAAACCGGGCACAAGCTTCGTTCGTGGGTCCCGGTCACGTTTCTCACAAAAGACGCGTCACAAAAAAGAACAAAAGACTGAACCGAACTTTGAGTCCCGTCGTCGTGGTAAGCAGCGGGCTCACATTGTACTGTCTCAGTTCATTCATGGTTATTTTCATCGTGGTTCAGAGTCATACGCTCCAATATTGTTCTGATTTCTCTGATTCATAGTCACGCCTTTTCAGGTCTTTGCGATATCTTTACTCCTTTCGGCGTCGATTTTCTTTTGCGCGTCGCTACCGCGGTTACTTGAGACCTACTTGGACAAATTTCACCAAGGCACATAGCTGGAAAAGTTGGGTGCCAAAACCCTGTTTCCTTCCATAACAGCCCCTTTTCAAAAGGTTTCCGATCGTCTGATACCTTTTTGGTGTTGCGCCACAATCATGTTACCTTAGAATTCGTTCATTTGCAACAAACATCCTCTATTTATCAGCTTTCTCCCTAAATGGCCCTCTCAGAAACGTTGTACCTTGAAGAATTGTCAAGGCGACCAACTGCCATGATCGCAAGTACAGATCACGACGAGGGCTCTACCTAATGCGCAAAGTGTTGACTCAGGATCCCACAAAGTTTAAAGGAGCCATGCGGGTCAGTTGGGAGCATGTCGTATGGTGCTGAACGCGGTTGTACACATTAACCCCTTCGAACCAGTTCTATTTCCAAGTCGACGAGCTGGCGCAAATCATCTTCTTTTCGAAACTTCTTTGTTGGGAGTAAACCAGTATGCTAGTAGGTTGCGGTGGCATGCTAAAGTACATGTAGCAATAATAATATTAATACTAATACAGAGCTGTGCATGGAAAATACTCTCAGTGAATGTATGATAAGTCCACCCATACTAGTGTAGCTGTACCCCGACCCCCATCAGATCTCCAACCGAAACCAGAGAGGAATCATCTTCCACATCCTTTCCCTCTCCCTTGCAGCCCACATCTCCAGCGCCCTCGCACAAGCCTCACATTCAGAAAATTCAGCACTCTTCAGCTGTCCTAGCTCATCCGCGACATATAGCGGATCTGTGCATCCCCGTTCGCGGTCAAAGAGGTAGTGCTGCGTTGCGAGCGCTACGAGCTCTGAAAAGTCTCTACGACATGCACGATGGGAGTGAGCGTGTGTGTGCTGGGAGGGTGAATAGGGGAGGTGTAAAAGAGTGGACGATGTGCCCATGGACTGAATGAGCGATGTGATTGCATTTTGCGTGGCCTCTTTACCGAGCATGAGCTTCTGCATGTCAGGGCCAGAAAGTGGAAGCGGGGTCACGATAGCGCCACGGGAACTGTGAGACGGTCCTTCGTCCTCTTCGTTTGGTTCAAAGATCTGAGTATAGTGATAGCGGGAGAGGTCGTAGAACGCAGAAGGGAGCAGACTAGGCTCATTCACTTCGCGAGCGAGATTGATCACAGCCTGGTGGATTATGGTTGATTGAAAGAAGCAATATAGCTAGATGAAAACATACAATTGGTGAAGGATAAAGATGCGCGACGCCAAGACCAGTAGTTAGTTCGTGAGCACGTGCGACGTCCTCGCGAGCATCCCACATCTTGAGCGTTGATGGCCAAGCAGTGCTGAGGTGTGAGAGAGACTTGGTACGCAACGTATCCACAAGATACTTCGTTGAAAGGCGAAGGATACCAGATACAGTACGAAAGTCGGTGTGGTCGTTATTACCAAAGTCTCTGTTAGCAGGATTAAGGTTAGAGCATCAAGTTGTAAGGTTAATAGTGCAGCGTACGGTCCATCATAGAGGGCTGTGAGCAGATTCTCTACATCCTCCGCGCTGTCGTGCAGATAAATAACAGGGCACCCTTCAATTTCATTCTCAGAATCGACTTCGAGGACAGCGCTGCTTCGAGAAGAAGAGGAGTTGCGATCAATAATGGCTCGGGATTGTTCATTGGATTTCTCGTGATGTGGCTGGGGGAGAGAGAATAAATCATGAAAAAATGCTGAATGGCGAGACAACTGTGATTTGTGGACTCGGAATATGGTGTTTTCAGCCCGTAGAACAACCTGTTTGCAACTCGTGTTAGATGTATGGGCAAGAGAACGCACGCGCACAACATGACGTGATAATTACCGATCCATCGCAAAACCAAAGGTCATCATGCTTGGTGAAACCAGAACCAGACGCGTCTTTGCCTGTCTCTTTCTCATCACAAGCGTTTTCCGAATTGGCCTGCTTAGACTGTGGATAGCAACAGGAAAGCTTCTTCGGCGACATTGGTGGTGGGGAGTGCAGACCGCTGGCAGGGATGGGTAGCGGGTAGTAGCTAGAATACATGGCCATTGAACACAGACCATAAATGGGTAGTATGGTGTACTTCAAATGGCTAACTGAACACAAGGATGGTGAGGGTGAGGATTGTGGTTGATGGCCGCGACGGTGAGGGAATGGAGGAAGCTGTGCATGCTGCAGGTTGTACATAAACCAACTGTATTGTCCGCGTACTACATATCGGTCATAGATAAGATAGGGTTCAAACTCCACGATGCACCTCTCGTCGTTCCCTTGACCATACCGATACTAGTAACTACTAGTATGAGGCGAGTGCAGGGTCTCTAGGGAAAAGTGGCAAACGTGTTTTTGGGAGATAGTAAGATATAGTGAGAATAATATGTTAGTAACTAGTGGACAAGCGAACATCCTGTATCTTGACTCCATCCAACTTACACGTCCGAGTCGGCAAAGCTTTTTTCATAACACATCCATCCGTCGTTGTTCTGCGCAAGATTTGCATCTACGCTGTGGTCTGATTAAGCCGGTAAAACGGAAGGGCGCTAATGCCGTGCTGCATTTAGTGCTGTCGTCGGGCAGTGCCAGTCGGGCCAACTAGAAGAAGCGAGATCCCGCTGTGCAAGAATGCACTCCGCCGGCGCATTCTCTCTGTCTGGAATTCGAGCTAGTCTAAGGGACTACTCTCTCGTAGCGATGTCGTTTCCACTCAATGGATCCCAAGAAACAATTCAAAAAGACGGTCGTGTTAATAGGACCTGAATGATTGCTTACGAAAAGCGCACAGGATCCAAACCTATATGCTGCGCGAAGTACGGGTACCAGCAGACCAAGATCTGATCTTTGGCTATAACTTGTTGGCCATACGAAAGAAAACAGCCGCTCATCTTTGAGTACACGTCAATATATGTGATAAGGCTTTCCGAAGATATCTCGCCTGTAATCTCGATTACGTTTGTGGCCGCCTATCTATTGAAAGATCTGTAGGACGTGGAGGTGTTTTTGGGGATCCAAATGCAACTTGACGCCTTCCTAGAATTCCCCATGCGGGTCTGTAATGGCAACTGAGTATATCTAAGGCTAGAAGAACTCAATTCCCCCAATGTAATCACGGGCCTCTTCAGTCAATGCCGGAAATAGAACCTAACAGTTTACCAAAATTACTTTGATCAAGGCGCCGAGTATTTTGATACACGAAAGATATCTGCAAAGATGCTGTTATAGTCCCGCGACATCGTGCAATGGCTGAAGGTACTGCCCTTGATGGTAGGAACGATAACATAAAATGCTGTCAGTTGTGACATTGATCGGAGATTTCAGTTTGAGCTCGTCAAGGCCACAGACAAATTTGGAAGAACCAGCCTTATTCCTTGTTATTTGCCCTGCCCAGTTGCTCGGAAATGGCATTCAGTTTTATTTGGACATCGAGTCAATTGTGCCTTCCTGAATTACAATTACGACTACTGTTATGTGCCACGGAAGTTTGATTATCGCCAATAGTCTTGTCCGTTCCAAGCGAAAAGCGAAAAGGATTTTAACTTGCTGTTCAACACGAGATGTAATTCAAAGTCACATAGCAGTGAGGAAGAGACAAACCGGTACCCCCCGATCAGTGTGTATCGTTCTGGAAATGCTGTAGAGGGGGATCATGTGGCCTTACACGATATTCGAATTTATGACCGCATTCGGCATGAGCTAGTCAACACCCAGTGAACCATGCTGTTAATTGCATGTCTGGCGATAGTAAGCTTAGCTTTTCGGTGCAGAAACAAGTTCGTTATTCGGCCGCCATCTATACCAGTCTCATCACTACATGAATGGATACTCCCGTAAACATTCCTGTGAGAATGGGGTCACTCGCATACTTAAAGAGAGTCGAACGTACTTGTTCAGCAACAAACACATATCCTCCATTTCATCAACTTTACTCAGCTACTCTTAGAATGAGCTCCAGCCAGACAGGACATGTGAGTTTGTTTCTCGCGGTTACTGGTGTTAGGATGAATCTGATGTACTTGCAGGATATCCCCACTCCCAAAGACCGATGCAATGACTGTGAAACGGTTAGCTATCAAGTATAATGTGCAGACACCCAAAGCTTACTTGTCATAGGTCCTTAATTATCCGGTGCAAGTGGACATGAGGGAAGTTATCGCTGGTGAAGGAAGAAAGGCCAGTTAAATAACATATAGATTGAAGCCACACTCATACTATCACTAAAAACAGAATATCATAATATTCGGAGGAACAGGAGCTGGGAAAAGCTCACTTATCAACCTAATTTCTGGCAGAAACGTTGCCGGTACTTCTGGAGGAGCTCATGGTTGTACCATGGAGTCGCGTAGCTACGACATCCAAATCGGAGAAAATAACTTCCAGATTTTCGATACTATGGGTCTGAATGAGCCTGAAATCCAAGGAAAGGGACATTTGGAAGCCATCGCCAAAGCATACGACCTTATTCGTCGCCTCGAGAACTCTGGCGGCATCCAACTGTTGGTTTTTTGTATACGTGGAGGTAGAATCACAAGAACCACGCAGCAGAATTGGAGGCTTTTCCACGACGTCTTATGTGATAAGAAAGTCCCTGCTGTCATGGTCATCACTGGCCTTGAATTAGTAGATCCTATGGAGCGATGGTGGACGGACAATCAGAGGCATTTCAAGCCTTATGGTATAGCTCCTGTTGGACAGGCATGCGTCACTGCGATACCTGGACTTGACGGGATGTACAAGGAGAAGTACAACAGCTCGAAGCTGAAGGTGCGGGAATTGCTGTTGAGGCATTGTGAGGATTTGGGATATAACGTAGGAAGACACAACTGGTTTGTACGAGTTGCGAAGTTTATTCGGAGCTTAAGTTCACATCCCCCATCGCGGAACGACATGCAAAACGCGTTGGTGAAGAAATGTGGACTGTCGAAAATTGATGCAGCCAGGGTTGTACAGAAGATTGAAGAAAAGTAGGTAACGGTAACAAAGAGCAGGCAGACCACGAAGATCTGTGAATTTGTGGTACAGACCATATGGTGTTCGAGTTTAGAAGATGATTACTGCTGTAACATAAAATCGTTAGTTTACTGAGATTTCTGATCAAAAACACAACCCCACCTTGGTGGACTATAGCTTTGTTTATGGTATTTATTAATGGTACTACTTAGAGGGCGATAGCCTCTGAATTCAACAAAGGCAAACAAACCCCGTTCTCTCCCGTCGCCGCCACGGTGACCAGTGGTCCAAACAGTGAATTTATCTAGGCGCAGTTTGCTGAACATAGGCATGCTACGCCTTCGCCCAAAGAAGTTGCCTATCCTTGGACATCCTTCGCGCCCTTCTACGTCTCTTACATTTAGTCGCCGTAGTCTTTTCACCAAATCTACGGGTCCCACCCAGTCGCCTCTTCGTACTGCACTTTACACTACAGTTTTCGCTCTCTCGACTGGCTTGTTTGCCGTTTACTATTTTGATGCGCGTTCGGCATTGCACAGATATGTGCTGACACCAGTATTAAGATATGCTCTTGATGCTGAGACAGGTCATAAGGTCGCCGTCAAGGTATTGAGAAGCGGGTTGGGCCCACGTGACCCCATTAGAGATGAGGACAGGCTCAGAGCAGAGGTGCGTTTTCTGCAGGCTAACTTCTGGTAACTTGCAGTGATACATTTGCTATTACGCCATGCATAGATATGGGGACAAGAAATATCGAATCCAATTGGATTAGCTGCTGGATTCGACAAAGATGCAGAGGCTGTGGACGGTATGTTACCCCCCATCGGTTTCTTAAAAGTGTCTGACGTTATCTTGATAGGTCTGCTCGATCTTGGATTTAGCTGGGTTGAGATTGGGAGCGTTACACCAAAGCCTCAGGTAAATTACATTTCTCTCACTGTTCGCAAACTACTGTTCGCAAGACATGCCGTTCTCATCACAAAAATACGGTTTTGCGCATGTCTTCTTGTGCTCGTATCTCTATGTTGCCGACTGCGGGTTTTATGGTTTTCGCTCATACCGATATCTTGTTTTAGCCAGGAAACCCCCGTCCACGTGTTTTCCACCTTCCTAACGACGCTGCTCTGATTAATCGTTACGGATTCCCATCGCAAGGCGCGGCGTCCGTGCTGGCTCGTCTACGTGCGCGTATACCCACGTTTTATGAACCAGACGCAACTTCAACCGCTGCACTCCGCCCTGGTGCCGTTCTCGCTGTTAACCTCGGTAAAAACAAGACATCTGCAGCTGAATCAGTGGACGACTTTGTTACCGGTGTAAAAACTTTTGGCTCCTATTCTGACGTGCTGGTCGTTAACGTCTCAAGTCCAAATACGCCTGGTCTACGGTGCGTACTGATTCATGTTTTCTCCATCCGTTCTAAATGTTCAATTTTCAGTGGCCTACAAAATCGAGATTTACTAGAGTCTTTACTATCCGAAGCTGCAAAAGCGCGGGACGAGCTTCCACCGTCTCCCCTTACCTTGCGTCGGCCAAAGCTTGTGCTAAAGCTTGCCCCTGACCTTGAGGAATCTCAGATTATTGACATTGCAGATGTTATTCGCCATAGCAAAATAGACGGGGTGATTGTCAGTAATACAACAATCCAGAGACCTTCCAGTCTTACGGACCGTGAGTGAATTCATGTTATTATTGGGACGAGACCGTACATGAATGACTTAATTTACCTTCGCAATACAGCCAACAAGCTTGAAACAGGAGGCCTTTCTGGTGTTCCACTTAAACCTCACTCTCTACGTGCGCTCCGAACCCTGCGTACACACCTTCCTGCTAGCGTTCCGCTTATAGGATGCGGAGGCATTTCCAGCGGTGCAGACGCGCTCGAATTTGCGCAAGCGGGAGCTTCACTTGTCCAGGTATATACTGGTTTTGGCTACGATGGTGCAGGTGCCTGCAGGCGTATTAAAGACGAGCTTTCGAGAGCACTTGAAGCAGAGGGGAAGACATGGGGCGAAGTGGTGAATCAGGCCGTGGAGGATCTGAGTTTAAAGGAACCTAAACCAGTCATGCAAGTAGAAAGAGGGGAGGCCTCGATCAAGAATTTGATTCAAGAAGCGGAGGAACTGAAGTCGGTTTTAGACCGACTGGGAGATAGAATAGGGGCTGAGGAAGATAAATTAGGCTCTGAGAGCGGTCAGGCGATGTTGACTGTTATTTCATGATAGATAACAGAGAATCATTCGGGACCCCGTTTAGCGTGGCGCGACTACCAGTACGCACGCTGATTATTTATCATAGTTCAAGATGAACAAGCTTAACTTCCTACCCAAATGGATACAATCACACCTCAAAGCCTCCCGTTCTCAGCGATTCCTGGTTCCGATTCTCGGTGTGAGTTACTAGTGAGTCACATCGTGTGGTATAGCTGCGAGTAAATGACTACACAAAGTACTATTGCACCAAAGATTTCTTATCGGCTCGTAATATGCCAATGCCAAGCGGGAACGCGCATGCGGATCCTACCCCCTCTTTCAGCAAAAGGAATAAGATGTACCAGTGGAGGTAGATATTAATAATATGAGTGTTTCGGTACGCATTCTGTAACGTCCCAGATGCAGCTAACGTTATCGCTCAATCCCCCGCTTTGCATGCTGCCTTAAATGCAACACTAGTAGCAGTGCGATCCATCTCCATCCTTCGCCTCTTGTACTATTTTTGATACACTTTGTGGCTCACGATGCCAGTGCGACAAGAGAACTTTTCAGCCATCGCCGGTGTCACTTCTACCAACTCGGCAAGCCATGTGCAGGAGATTGATCCCTCTGCAAAGTCGATCGCCATAGTCGGTGCTGGGAGTGCTGGGTTGGCGATGTTAAAGTCACTTTTGGACTTACCGGAACACACGAGGAAAGGTTGGGATATAGTCTTGTACGAACAGCGTCGGGATGTGGGGGGCCTATGGTTCGTTTCATTTCTGCACTGGATTGATTATTTCTGAATCACTCGCAATAGGCTACCAGATCACATTCCTGCACAGCACTCAGAACTACCTGAAACTCCCTTATATCCTCGTCTCCACACCAATAGGCCCGTTCCGACCATGACTTATCCCGGGTTTCCCTATCCAGCCAATACACCCCTATTTCCGAGTCATGAGCACGTCGAGAAATACCACCGAGATTATGCAAATCATTTTAACTTGATGTCGTATATCAGGCTGAACCATACAGTCTTATCATCTTCATGGATAGGCAATTCGACGGACGGAGTGTGGAATATTGTCGTTCAGGATCATAATGGCAACAAGCTGCATAATGCGCACGACCACCTCGTAGTCGCTGGTGGACGCAACCATATACCGCATATACCCAAGTTCGCTGGTCAGGATATATGGCTTGAAAACAGCCCTCGAGACGGACCAAAGCGAGAAATTCTGCACTCGGTATGGTACAGAGAGCCGGAAGAATTCACAAGTCGCAGCGTGCTAGTTGTGGGCTCTGGCGCCAGTGCACAAGATGTGACTTCTCAAGTGTGTTTAACGGCTAGAAGAGTACGTTGATTGTAACAGCAGTGAAGACTGTGTACTGATCTTCTGATAGACATATCATTCAATCCGCAATAATTCTGCTCCCCCTGTGGTGACTGACGTGATTGTCAAGCCAGAAATATCTCACTTCACTTCGACATCCATCGTTTTTGTGGATGGGTCTATCGTTTCTGATGCAGACTTTATTATTTTGGGAACAGGATATGAACTTCGAATACCCTTTCTGGAGGAAGGTAATGAGCTCGCAGTCAAACCGGAGGCGCATACCAATGAAACATATCGGGAAGGCTTGGTTACAAACCTGCGATATCTATTCCCTCTGCATCAGCATATCTTCTCTTTGTCACCTTCATATCCCACAAATGCGTTGGCCTTCATTGGTCTTCTCAGAAAGACTTCACCCTGCCCGTCAAATACCGCTCAAAGTGTCTATGTTGCCCATGCGATCGCAAATGCAAGCTTACTACCAGATCGGGAAGACTTGCTTCAACAGCTAGCGGCTATTGAAAAAAGCCTACGCTCGCGTGGCTATGACCCATATTATATTGGTCATCGCATCCCCGATGGCAAGTTCGACTATCAGGATAATCTCAAAACGTATCTCCAGAAGCATGGTGCTTTACCAGACGACGGGAAGAAATTTGTAGAGGGTTGGCGGCGAGAGGCGCCCGGATTCCAGTGCCTCGCGCGGGGTTGGAAACGAGTGGAAGACCTGGGTACTCAGCATGAGTGGCTTGATGGAATTATAACTGAAGAAGACTGGGCGGGTCTCATGAGACGCTTGAATGATTGGCAACTTAAATGGGAAGAAGAATATGGTCTGATATAACCAGCAGAGCTCATTTCAAATTAGTATGTACGAAACAATTGTCAAACCATATATATGTATATGATTTATAGACCTATGATAGGCTTACTCAGTGACTCCACTGTTGTGGACAACAGCACGAACCAACTTGAAGAATAAGCTGGATGTTGTTTGCAATAGCGTCAATACGTCCGACGGATTGACTAAAAGGTCCGTGAAGATTACACCAGCTAGAGCCTATGGATCCAGAAATGACGCGTTAGTACCTAGTGAACATGCGAATATCCCGTATCTTTCCTCAACCCAGCATGAATCGAAGTACTACCGCAGACATGTCAGTGCAAAGCATGTGGTGGTGTTGATGTGGGAGCTGGTATGATGGAGGGGCGCTAATGCCGTGCTGCATCTAATGCTGGGGCAGTGCCAGTCAAGCCAACTATGAAAAAGCGAGATCCCGCTGTGCAAGAATGCACTCCGCATTCTGTCTGTCTGAAATTAAAGCGGTGGTAAGGGATCACCCTCTCGTAGCGATGGTGTTTTCATCCGACGGAAGCTAAGAAACCACTCCAAAAGGCGGTTGTAATGACAGGACCTGAAGGATAAATTGCGGGTCGGTGGCAAAAACTGGGTACTTAATGCTTCTACTGTAATCATGGGCTTGTTCAGTCAATGCTGGAAATGGAATCTAGCGATTCACCAAAAAATCCTTTCATCAAGACACCGGGTATTTTTAATACACGAAAGATATCCTGTTGCCGTACCGCGGCATCGTGTAGTGGCTGAAAGAACTGCCCTTGATGGTGGGAGCGAATAACATAAAATGCTGTCAGTTGTGACATTGAGCGGCAATTTCAGCTTGAGCTTGTGAAGGCCATAGACAAATTTGGGAGAACCAACCTTATTCCTTGTTATCTGCCCTGCCCAGTTGCGTTCAGTTTTATCCGGACATCGAGTCAATTGTGCCTTCCTGAATCGCAATTACGACTACTGTTCTGTGTCAAGGGAGTATGATTATCACCAACAGTCTTATCCTTTCCAAGCGAAAAGCGAAAAGGATTTTAACTTACTGTTTAGCACGAGATTTAATCCCGATGTAGATTGACTATACCAGAAACAATGGCTGTCGGACTGTATCTTAGCACTGCGATATGTTAGCGTAAAGTCACATAGTTGTGGGGCAGAGACAAACCAGCATTCCTGATCATCACGTATTGTTCTGGAAATACTGTAAAGAGGGATGATGTGGCCCGAAATGGTTGGGATTTTATGACCGTTCAAATTTGTCCTGTACTCGGTCATCCCATTCGGCATAGGCTGGTCAACACCCAGTGAGCCATGCTGTTAATTGCATATGTCTGGCGGTAGTAGGCTTGGCTTCGCAGTGCAGAAACAAGTTCGTTATTCGGCCGCTATCTCTACCAGTCTCATCACCACATATATGGATACTCCCGTAAACATACCTGTGACAATGGAGCCGTGCGCAGAGTACTTGAAGAGAGCTGAACCTACATTTCAGCAACAGACACATCCCTTCCATTTCATCAACCTCACTCAACTACTCTTGAAATGAGCTCCAGCCAGGCGGGACGTGTGAGTTTATTCCTCACGGTTACTGATGTTCGGATGAAATGGATGCACCTGCAGGATATTCTAACTCCCAAAGACCGATGCAATGACTATGAAACGGTCAGCCATTGAGTACAATATGCATAGACACCCAAAGATCACACCTTGTAGGTCTTTGAGTATCCAGTGCAAGTTGATGTGGAGGAAGTTATCTCTGGTGAAGGAAGAAAGGTAAGTAAAATGATACATCGCATAAAGCCTCAATCACATTATCACTAAAAACAGAATATCATAATATTTGGAGGAACAGGAGCGGGGAAAAGCTCCCTTGCCAACCTAATTGCCGGCAGAAACATTGCCGATACGTCTAGCAGAGCTCATGGTTGTACCATGGAGTCTCGCAGCTACGACATCAAAATTGAAGCGAATAACTTACAACTGTTCGACACTATGGGTCTGAATGGGCCCGAAATTCAGGGAAATGAGCATCTGGAAGCCATCGCCAAGGCATACGACCTTATTGATCGCCTCGGGAACTCTGGCGGCATTCAACTGTTGGTTTTCTGTATACGTGGGGGTAGAATCACGAAGACCATACATCAGAATTGGAGGCTTTTCGATGATGTCTTATGTGATAAGGGAGTCCCTACTGTGATGGTCATCACTGGCCTTGAACACGCGGATCCTATGGAACGATGGTGGACGGACAATCATTTGCATTTCAAGCCTTATGGTATAACTGCTGTTGGACAGGCATGCGTCACTGCGATACCTGACCTTGACAGGCTGTACGAGGAGAAGTTAAACATTTTGAAGCTGAAGGTGCGGGAATTGCTGTTGAGGCATTGTGAGGATTTGGGATATAACGTAGGAAGACACAACTGGTTTGTACGAGTTGCGAAGTTTATTCGGAGCTTAAGTTCACATCCCCCATCGCGGAACGACATGCAAAACGCGTTGGTGAAGAAATGTGGACTGTCGAAAATTGATGCAGCCAGGGTTGAAGAAAAGTAGGTAACGGTAACAAAGAGCAGGCAGACCACGAAGATCTGTGAATTTGCGGTACAGACCATATGGTGTTCGAGTTTAGAAGATGATTACTGCTGTAACATAAAATCGTTAGTTTACTGAGATTTCTGAGCAAAAATAAAAGCTTACCATAGCAAATGCTTGGCTGACGAGTAACTCCGGTTACTAGTAATAGTACTTAGAGGGCGATAGCTTCTGAATTCAAAAGCAAACAAATTCCCGTTCCCGCCCACCGCGGTCACGGGCCTGGCCCGGGGTCCTATGGTCCAAACCCTCCAATCTAAGTCCAAACAGTGCCCTGTGATCCTATCTAGAGGGGTGGGCTCAATCAAGGATTTCAAAAAGTGCAGGAGCTGAGGTCGCTGCTGGACCGACTAGGACGTAGAGTGGCGGCCGAGGAGAATAAATCAAGTTCCAAGTCTAAGAGTGGGCAGATGTCACGGTTGACTGTTATTTCACGATAGATAACAGAGATTCATTTGGGACCCATTTTAGTGTTGTGCTACCGGTATGCACGCTGATTATTTATCCTAGACAAGGTGAACGAGCTTAACGTCCTTCGCAAACGGATGCACAATGCACTCCTTGAAGTCTCGCGGTTACATACAGTTGTCAGCAAATGACTATTGCACTAATATCTCCTGTCGACACGTAAAATGCCAGTGCCAAGTGGAATCCTGTAAGAGGATCCTACGCTCTTTCAGCAAATGGAGTACCATGTGGACATATATGAGACCACAACACGCGATTTTCTTTGGTAGGCCATTTCCTGTAACTTTCGAGGTGCAACTCACGTTTATCCAGGCCAGAAGCTCATTCTCCTCCTTAAATGCTAGTGGTAGTTCAGTTCATTCTACACTTATCGCATTTCATTTTGATACTGTTTTGCGATTCACTATGGTAAACTTGCGACAGGCGATCTCAGGCTTTTCAATCATCGTATCCCTCCTACTACCTCCCGCTAGCCATGTGCAGGAGGTTGATCCGCCTACAAAGTCAGTCGCCATCGTTGGCGCTGGGAGTGCTGGGTTGGCGATACTGAAGTCACTTTTGGACTTACCGGAGGACACAAGGAAAGGCTGGGATATAGTCCTGTACGAGCAGCGTCGGGATGTGGGAGGCATATGGTTCGTTTTATTACTGTACTGGATTGATTATCTTTAAATCACTCACAATAGGCTGCCGGATCCCAATCCTGCACAACCCCCAGAACTGCCTGAAACTCCCTTATATCCTCTTCTTCATACAAATACACCGGTTCCGACCATGACTTATCCCGGATTTCCCTTTCCACCCAACACGCCCCTATTTCCGAGCCATGAGCACGTTGAACAATACCACCGAGATTATGCAAATCATTTTAGTCTGGTGCCGTATATCAGGCTGAACCATACAGTCTTATCATCTTCATGGATAGGCAATTCGACGGATGGAGTGTGGAAGGTTGTTGTTCAGGATCATAATCGCAACAAGATACTTAAAGAACACGACCATCTTATAGTCGCTAATGAACACAACCACATTCCCCGCATACCCAAGTTCACTGGTCAGGATAAATGGCTTAGAAGCAGCCCTCGGAATGGACCAAAACGAGAAATTTTGCACTCGATTTGGTACAGAGGACCAGAGCGATTCAGAGACCGCAGCGTAGTAGTTGTAGGCTCTGGCAACAGTGCACAAGATGTGACTTCTCAAGTGTGTTTAACGGCTAGAAGAGTACGTTGATTGTAACAGCAGTGAAGACTGTGTACTGATCTTCTGATAGACATATCATTCAATCCGCAATCATTCCGCTCCCCCTGTGGTGACTGACGTGATTGTCAAGCCAGAAATATCTCACTTCACTTCGACATCCATTGTTTTTGTGGATGGGTCTATCGTTTCTGATGCAGACTTTATTATTTTGGGAACAGGATATGAACTTCGAATACCCTTTCTGGAGGAAGGTTACGAGCTCGCAGTCAAACCTGAGGCGCATACCAATGAAACATATCGGGAAGGCTTGGTTACAAACCTGCGATATCTCTTTCCTCTGCATCAGCATATCTTCTCTTTGTCACCATCATATCCCACAAATGCTTTGGCCTTCATTGGTCTTCTCAGAAATACTTCACATTGTCCATCGAACATCGCTCAAAGTGTCTATGTTGCCCATGCGATCGCAAATGCAAGCTTGCTCCCAGATCGGGAAGACTTGCTTCAACAGCTAGCGGCTTCTGAAAAGCGCCTATATTCCCTTGGCTATGATCCATATTATCTTGGCCACAGCTTACTGAAGTGGTTCCAGTTCGACTATCAAGATAATCTCAAAACATATCTCCAGAAGCATGGTGCTTTACCAGAGGACGGGAAGAAATTTGTAGAGGGTTGGCGGCGAGAGGCGCCCGATTTCCAGTACCTCAAGCGGGGTTGGAAACGAGTGGAAGACTTGGGTACTCAGCCCGAATGGCTTGGTGGAATTATAACTGAAGAAGACTGGGCGGGTCTCTTGAGACGCTTAAATGACTGGCAAGGTAGATGGGAGAAAGAACATGGTCTGGTATATCCTGCAGGGCTCATTTCTTATTAATATGTACGTTATAAACTCGATGCAGTGTCAATTACTAACTGATGACTCATCTAGACGCGTACCTGTCATTATTGAGATTTCATGTGAAATCTAATGCCAACTGGAATTATGATGTGGATCCTACCGCCTTTGACCATGTACTTATCGTATGTCATAGTTTCGTATAATTGCGTATGTTGGGCGTGTGACTTGTTCGGGCCCTATAGACGCGATCGAAGTTCTCACTCAGCCAAAGAAGCTGATAGTATGTGGACGTATCTGTTCATCTGGGTATTTCTGGTAGGCCACAACGTTCCCGGTGGCTAACGTTTATCCCAGTCAGAAACAATACCTTTATGGTGCAGGCATCTCAAGGTAGCACGCCATCGTATCTCACGATGAGTTCAGCCTCGCTGAGTCCGCCTTACTACATAATGCTTTAAATGCAGCAAGGTGTGAGTTGCTGATTCAATTCGTTCTGTATCCTTGCATGACTCGTTTGTGATACCTATACTTTTCTGTTCACGATGGTAAATCTGCGACAGGCCGTCTTTTCAGTCATCGCGTCGCTTTTGCTTCCCCCAGCGAGCCATGTGCAGGAGGTCGACACTCCTTCGAAATCGGTCGCCGTAGTTGGTGCTGGGAGTGCTGGATTGGCGATATTGAAGTCGCTTTTGGACTTGCCGGAAGACGCAAGAAAAGGCTGGGATATAGTATTGTATGAACAGCGTCGGGATGTAGGAGGCATATGGTTCGTGTTAGCAATATAACTGCGTTGATATCTTCTAAACTGCTATAGGCTGCCAGATCCCAATCCCGCGCGACCTCCAGAATTGCCTGAAACTCCATTGTATCCCCTTCTCCATACAAACACGCCGATTCCGACTATGACCTATCCCGGGTTTCCCTTTCCACCTAATACTCCCCTTTATCCTAGTCATGAACACGTTGAACAATACCATCAGGATTATGCAAACCATTACAATTTAATGCCCCATATCATGCTAAACCATACAGTCTTATCGTCTTCGTGGACAGGAAATTCAACGAATGGGGTGTGGAATGTTGTCCTTCGCGATCATAACCACAACAAGATAATCAGAACACACGACCACATTGTGGTTGCTAATGGGCACAACCATTATCCCCATACACCCCAGTTCGCTGGCCAGGATGCATGGCTCAGAAATAGCCCTGTGGATGGACCCAAGCGAGAAATGTTGCATTCGATATGGTATCGAGAGCCGGAGAAATTTACGAACCGTAGTGTGGTAGTGGTAGGCTCTGGTGCCAGTGGACGGGATGCTGCGTCCCAAGTGTGTATAAAAGCCAGAAGAGTACGTTGCTTATAAAGGCAGGGAATAGTGCGTGTATTGATATTATAAACAGACGTATCATTCCATTCGCGATACCTCTAACCCCCCGGTAGTGACAGACTCTTTGGTTGTCAAACCGGAGATATCTCACTTCACCTCGACAGCCATAGTTTTTGTGGATGGGTCTGCCGTTTCTGACGTAGACGTCATCATTTTTGGGACGGGGTACGACCTTCGAATACCTTTTCTAGAGGAAGGCAACGAGCTCGCAGTCAAACCCAATGCGCATTCTAACAAGACCTACCGGAAAGGCTTGGTAACGAACTTGCGATATCTCTTCCCCCTCCATCAGCATGTCTTCTCCTTATCACCTTATTATCCCACCAATGCCTTATCTTTCATTGGCCTTCCTATACTCGTTGCAAATTGTCCCTCAGACGCTGCTCAAAGTATTTACGTCGCCCATGCGATCGCTAATGCAAGCCTACTCCCGGATCGCGAAGACTTGCTACGGGAGCTGGCGGATATTGAAGAAGACCTGTATTCACGTGGCTATGACCCATATTACATCGGTCACCGCATGGTTGAAGGATCCACCTTCGACTATCAAGATAACTTGATCACTTATCTCCAAAAGCATGGTGCTTTACCGGACGATGGAAAGAAATTCGTAGAAGGTTGGCGGAAAGAGTCGCTCGAGTACCTGAAACGGGGTTGGAAAAGAGTAGAAGACCTCGATATTCAACACGAGTGGTTGGATGGAGTTGTTACTGAAGAAGACTGGGCTAACCTCATGAGACGCTTGAATTATTGGCAAGGAACATGGGAGAAGGAACATGGTATTGTATATCCGCCAGAGCCAGATTTCATCTAATAGTTGATACGTATAAACCGATGGTCAAACAATCTATATCATTTAGATATGGACCTGAGCGCCGTCACTTTAATGACTCCATGGCCTTATCCGTAACACAGGATTTCACAGTTCCCATTATAAATCAAATATTCGGACGTGTTTTCATGGCAAGGTGGCCGAGCGGTCTAAGGCGCCAGACTAAGGAGACCACATCATTGGATGATGCATATCAATCTGGTCCTTCGGGGCGCGAGTTCGAATCTCGCCCTTGTCAAATTTTTTGCTCGTTCTTTGTTCATTTTGCCTTGGTGACCGGCACGCGGGTGGATTACTTACCATCTACAATACCTTCCTAATCTAGAATTCTGTTTATTCGCGTTTGGCCCTTTGAACTTTTCCTTTTGTGCCACTTCTCTTGGCTCTATTGTGGACAGCTTTTGTCCCGGCTTCGGTAACAGTGGTACAGTGCAGAGCACAGGTCTCGGAAAAGTATAAGAACTGTACAATGGGATACGCGATGAAAGCATATTTATATTTTCCCCGGCACCTGGTTGAAAGCTGATATAACGAATGCCATTATGCTGTTCAAACTCTCATATATCTTTTTTACACCTCGACATATCCGCATTCCGGGAGAGGTTGTCAGACCAAGGCGCCAGCGTGCGAGAGTAATGTAAACATCGTACTATCCCACTCGTTCTCTCTAGCTGATGTCATTGATAGGGATATCCCTTCACCATGGCATCACCGCCTGTCGTCTATCCGCAAATCGCTGGAGACTGAATAGTCTCAGTCACGACCGTCTATGAACGTTTTTATCTATCGATCTTATCTGTTGTCAATGTCAAATCATCGATTGTATGTATGAATATCATGGGAATCCAATATGGCAGAAAGAAATGTATAGTGGATTGAGATGGGGCCGGCTCAGGCTTACGTGGACTGTGTTTGATGAGTGTATTCGTAGTAGCAGTGTTCCATTACAAAGGCGGGATATGGGGTGGTATCTGTACTATATACAGGCGGGCATACGATGGAGTAAAGCAAATTACACACGAGCTTTATATCGCTGGCATCAGGTATTAATGGATGTCCATGGAAGATCTGAAGTCGCGAAGTCCATATATTATTGGCAAGGTTAAGGCAAGGTTGGGATGGCGACACGAAGTCTACAATGGTCCGAACTCAGAATCCACCAGTGGAAGATGGTGTTAGTGGTTTCGCATCTGCAGAGGGTGGAGGGCCATTAAACATGGCCTTGAGAGTAACTTCATTCCTCTTCTGTCGTACACGCTCCACCTCTTCCGCCCCGCCCGTCAGCTTGAGTTTCTTACCGCTCACAAATCCTACCAACTCATCCTGGAATTCATCCGAACGACTGGCCAGTTCCTTCTCGCGGTTCTTCTGGTTAGCAGCGATAGCTTTCATCCGTCGCTCTGGGTCCACAGAAGCACCTCTAATTTCCATCATTACGGTGGTCAATCCGCCATGGCCTTCGTCTACAGGTAATGGCTTGAAGCCACGGCCACGATTCATGCGTCCGGGAGTGGTGCCACGAATCGATATGACTTTCTCTATATGAGTAAGAATATCGACTACTGCCTTGTGATCGTCAAGAAGATCACTTAGGAATTCTTCTTGGTGACTGAGGAATCCTTGTTCTTCAACAATATTCTGCAATTCTTCCTCCCAAGTCTTCTTCCACATTGGCTTTATGGTCTTGATATGCTCCTTCAAGCTAGCTAGCTCTGCAGCAGTAGTGGCGGTATCTTCTTGTACGGACTTCAGAAGCTGAGGTTTAGGATTCACGTGCCGTTTCAATACATCATCCTTCAATCCTTCTATCATATCTTGAAGTTCCTCCACCTTCGTCAGCACATTCTGGCTGCGAGTATCCAATTTGGTCTTGCCAGAGTCAATGTATGCACGAGCACCTCCCACGTTAGTAGTAGCAAGCTGCTTGACCGACTGCGTCTGATTGCGCAACGTCCCGAGGGATTCCTTTGTTTGCTTCATGAAATCGGTGTATAGCTGCCGCATGATCCCTAGATCACGGCGGAGGTTTTGTACTTCGTCAAATTGTGTCTTCAGATCAGTGACGACACGGGTAGAGTACTCAGATAACATGGAAGCTCCAGTCATCTGTGGCTGGAGCTGGAGTGACTGGCCAGTCATTTGGGGAGGAATGAACGGATTCGAGTCGAAATGAGCGTCACCGACAATGCGAGAAAGCCGGCGGGCAACATGTTGAAAGTGTTTATCAGATGGACGGTCAGCGATTGGTGTGCTCTCCGCAAAGTCATGGGCAACAATTGGTTGAATAGCTGAAGAACGGCGGTTGCTCGAAATGGTAGATTTGAGTTCCTTTATATCTTGGGAAAGACCGGATATCTGAGAATCGATGTGTTGCTTAATCTGATCAAGTGCTGTTTGTGTGGTTTAGATGGGCGCATTGATAAGAAAAATGATGTAAATGACTCACGTTCGATGTTGAGAGAAAGGAGACACTTCTCCTTTACTTCATCCATATCTTCTAGTTCATATTGGACACCGCTGGATGGGTCACGAATATAGATGGCAGGAAAATTTTCGAGACCAGGGTTGTAAGTAAATTTATCAACAAACAACATCCGGACCGATGAAAATGTAATGCCGGGCTCGATCGATACCTTCTTCACCTCTCGACCCAATTGAAGGAAAACATCAAACGATCGGGAAGGCGACTCTACTATACGTTCCAAAGACCCTCCAAAAGTGACAGTTCTTTCTGCAGATTTGTTTCTGGGCAGATCATTAAGCTCTGGAGGGGGAGGGGTTGCAGCTGGTTCCGGGACAAAAGTTGGAGCCTTGAATGTGGGAAGCGAAGGGACTGGCGGAGTGGGTTCGCGTTCGATCGCGGGAGAAGGTGTACGTGACTGAGATCTGTTTGATTTCAGGATGCTCTGCCTTATGTTCTCTGATGGTGATTCATCGACCTCCGTTAATACCGCCAAATCGCCTGGAGTTAGTGCAGATGATGCAGCCAATGAGCGACGATTTGAGTTTTTCGTGGATCGCTCCCGTGTGGTTGAACTGCCGGTCATCTTCGATATATTATACGTTGAGAAACGCTTCGATGCACGCCGAGCGAGGGTATCGCTTTTCTTCAGCGCAGCTAACGAGGAAGCCATCCCAGGCGCTTGAAGCGAATCTAGTGGCGGTGTCTCAGGGGGAGATCCCGAGTCTACACGCTCGATAACAGGAGAATCTTCTTGTATCATTTCTGGCTCTTCTATCACAACTGTGGGCGGTGACATGGGCTTATCCACGAGGGAATAGCGCTTGACTGAGGAAGGTACAGGTACAGCAGCTTGCGTGGGGGAGGTTGGCGGTAAGTCTTTCTCCACAGGCTTTGGGGTCGCCTTCGCTGACGTTACAAGTGTTTCAGAAGATGAAGATGATGATTCAATAGAACCAAGAGATGGATGATATGTGTTAGATTTGGGAGTCGAGGTGCGTTCTGTGGGACGTGGTGACGAGGGTAACGACGCCCTTGTAGTGATAACGGGTGTCCCACTCTCCACGACAGCTCTTCCTGGTACATCCGTAGGCTTCTCTTCTGAGAGAGAGGATGGCACGACCTGGGGCGTGCCCTCCTTCTTCTTTCCTGAAGGTTGTGCGCTTCTCCTTGAGATGCTATCTTTATCGGCAATGCGTTCTTCATCCACAGTACTCCGCGATAACTGAGATCGATGCTTTGTTTCCCCATCACGACGTGAACTCTTCTCTGAGCGCGAGGAGCGACTATCAGTGCGTGAATGTGTCGACTGCTCTGACCGGTGCCGATGGTCGGACACTATTCGTCGATACATCGACTGCTTCCCTCGCAAGCCTTGCAAAAGGCTTGTTATAATTTCACGCACTTTGGGGAGATAAATCGCCAGGTTTTCTGCTGTTGCTTCCTCTGAAAGACAAACTTCGAGGACCTCACGCAAGTCCTCTGGCACCGCCATGAGGTCTCTGTGTTATACTTAGAGAGGGTGCGTGTAAGCCAGGAGGCATGATTACGCACGACATATCGATATTAAAGGCACCAAATGCTGCCACTGCGGCATTGAAATCATTGCCCAAACGAACATATACATCACTGACTTGATCCTCTGACATCTTCAATGTACTCCATAGCGTAAGTGATTCCAAGAGTTGTTTAATGGCCACCAAAAGTCGCGTTACAGCGGATTCGACTGCGGGCTATGATGTGAAATAATATAAAGCAAATATGAAGACATACATTCCAGTGAACTTACATGTGAGTTTGACCGGCCACTACGCTCACTTCGCGAAGAACTCGCAGGAGCCGCTGAGGCTGCAGGAGGATTTTCGCGTTTAGAAGTTTGCGTTGAGTATGGGGGTGGTGGTGGTGTGGACATTGGAGCATGAATGTATGCTTGGGATCCGTGTGTTCTATGTACTATGCAAGGAAACACTTACAGTTCGCTTTACAGTGGCCCGAGTCCAGAGAACACTGGGATTATCGTCGTGAGAATGCATTTGTCATATCATCTACTATAAACAGTAAGAAAGATCATCGCATCCTTCCCACCTACCAGAGCTAATATGTTCATCATGATATTATATATGCCTCGAGGCATTACATGCCCATTGCCAGCTATTTGGTGCGCTGGATCACGCAAGCATGGGCGTCTGAATATTACCCTAGACCCACAGCGCTACTGTTAGTAGTACTCTTACCATAAGCACTCTTTCCTTGCGTATCGACCATACTTCGAGTCAGTAAGTCTTCCGGCTTTACGACTTACAAGTGTAGTAACTGAGACTGTTTATGGCTTGTGTAGTAAAGGTGTTGAAGCAGTGCCATACATAATGGTCTGACTATGATTATGAGAGAGGATTGGCGTTGCTTGTATCTCCATCTCCGCAATCAAACACAATCTGTTGAGCGAGTGTCTTGACCGATTACTATGGAGCGACTTGACGTGGTCTTTTTCCACGAGCACCCTCCCTACATGCGGACCGACAGTGCCAGAGTCAGTCCTACCACTCATAGCATCTCATCACCGCGGGAGAGGATATCAGTCAGGCTCGACTTGCAATGGTGATAGAAATGAAACACGACCCGTTGGGCAACTCGACTGATGTTTTCGTGAACGAATCTGACTGATTTTTATACGTGCTCCATTTATTTTGGCGTTTTAGCTCCATACTTGAGTACGTGTTTTAACCTTACAGCTTACAAGTTTCGCCGTTGTAATCAGGGGAACTTTATATTATTGAAAGATCCATTGTTTCTCTGCCAGTCTCATCCCTCCCAGTGTCTTATCACCACCAGAGAGAAGACACCCCAAAATCAACTGTGGATGGTTATGCCTTAATTCACTTCTGGTCGATGATAGAAACTGGGGACAATATGCGGAGTGAGCAACTTGACCTAGGTTTCGGTGAAGATATCTGATGTCCCAGCACCTTGATTGCATCGCGACTCTTGCGATTCGACATTTATTTGAGAATCCTCCTGTCAAGTTTGACAGCTAAGTCTAATATATATTGGTGCTAAAATGGAATGCACCAGGTCCAATCTTGTCAACGATGATTTAATCTTCGGAGGAAAAGGAGCGGGGGAAAGCTCACTTACCAACATCGGCGGAAATATTGTCGATATATTCAGCAGTGCTCATGGTTGTACCATGAAGTCTCGCAGCTACGATATCTAAATCGGAGAAGAGGGACAGGAACATTTGGATGCCATCGTCAAAGTGCGTGACCTTATTTATCGTCTTGAGAACTCTGGCGGCATTCGGCTGGTTTTCTATATACGTGATGGTAGAATCACGAAAACCACTTCTACGAGGTCTTATGTGATAAGAATGTACCCGCAGTCATAGCCATTACTGGCCTTGAACAAGTGGATCCTATGGAACGACGGTGGGTGGGCAATCAGAGGCATTTCAAGCCTTATGGTATAAATCCTGTTGGACAGGCATGCGTCAATTTGATACCTGGACTTGACGGGATGTACAAGAAGTACAACAGTTCGAAGCTGAAGGGGTACAGTGGCAAAGTTGTGACCCATCGGATATTGAAGATCATGAATTCAAAACATGATGAATAAGATGTAGGAAGACGTGGTGCACGTGTAACTGCCATTTCTGACGTTCATTCGCCCCTGCTCATGTGCAGAGACCGAGACACTTGAAGCCATATCCCATTGCCTCGTAGGTATGAGGGCATCGGGATTTCACCCTCTCATTCTTTCAGTTTCAAGTTGTTAGTTCACTGAATGGTGAAATTGCAATCTCACATGCCAGAATCTGGTCGCTTGTAACACAAAAAATTATATCAAAGTGGTAATATTGTGGACGTACGGGAGCAACAGCATATTCTGAACTTGGTAGTGGCCTATGTAGATACCTTGCGTTGCCGACTTCTAACGATGGGGACGCCCTGTGTCCGCATAGCATCCATCTTGATCTGTATCTGTTCCGTTTCCCTGACTGTTCTAAGCCTCCGCTTTGCCACTTCTTTCAAGATTTTATCTCTCCGCACATAACCAGTGAACCTCCAATTCTTGCTCCCTTTTTTGGTCATCCGCAAATATTCATATCTCCTCCACCGCTTGAGTGCGGACAAGGCGAATTTCTCTTCCAGCCATTTCTGTCGCTCTTTCCTCGCTCCTTCGTCCATATCCTCCATTGCCAACGGATAGTAGAAGGGGTCAACCAACCCCACTACGGCACGCTTATATGTCTTGTAGGACTTTGTACGCGTCCAAGAACCATCGTGAGGGTCACGATATATAGGAGACAGATAATTAGTGGTACGAATATAGGTCGTCTTGACACCATAGACGGCGGACAAGTACGACCGAACGTCAGTCTTGGTCACTGACTGGGGAATGCGAAAGGTTGCTTCGTAGGGGTTGTATGGCTGACCCGTTGGGGTATGGTTACGAACCATGCGAAATACAATGTTTGGAAGATAGATTTTCTGTCCGACGACTTTGAGTTCTTTTGTCCCATTCTCCTCCTTGTACTGCAGACCTCGCAACCTCGTCCGCCGCTCATTTAACCTTCCGAGCCACTCGCCTTCTGTAAGTTCATTCCCGTCTTCCTTGACAAGCTCGCCTTTTGCAAGGAAACGCTGGTATCGAGAAAATTCTGACGGAGTAAGGTCGCTGCCTGAGGGAGGTTTGAATGCATCCTGTTTTCGTAGACGGCGAAGACGGACAGCATGGGGAGTAGATTGCTCCCTTGCAGCTGCAGCATGCTTTGATAGTGCAGAAGCACCGTCTGGGACTGTAGTCGCGTACAGACGACGGAAAACTCGAGTCAAAGACAGCATTGAAAGCTTTTCTACTTTTGCGGTTGGACGCAAAAGTCGGGTCTGAGCAGTAGAGGAAATTTCTCCACGTGGTTGCACGTGAGGTTTTGGGTGCGACACCGCCACCTGGCTTACAGGACTCTTCTACCTGCTTTCCGCTCACCTTGAGCTTTATCTGTAACCACCACCTTGACTGGATTCGTATAACCCCATCATATAATCGCTCTTTTACTCAGGATCAACGGGCCAACATGGCTGCGTTCTCTATTTTTCGATTTTTCCGCTTTCTGAGGGCAATATTTGCCCCGATGGCACTAGTTATTGGCTTCTCTTGCTTGTTGACCTTCATATTTATTTTATACCAGCCAACTACAGGACCAGGAGAAATACAGCGGCTAGGATGGCAATCATGGGATGTTATCTCTATGACGGACTACGAACAACTGCCTACAGACAGTAGCTCGACACCGGGTCAAGTTTCTGGCGTGGACTGGTGGAACGTCTCGACTTCTCAGGACCAAACAGCTGACGGTGGCAGTCTACCATTGGATGTATGGGCGCCATTGCTTCCACATGATACTGGCCGTGCGTGCATCGTGTGTCTAGTAGATGTCATAATATTGACTAACCTCATGTCCCATTTATTAACCTGATATTAAAAGTCTCTGAGATCGCCGTCACCCGGTGCATGTTCCCACCCGACCTTGTTGGCGATATATGCGCACCTTCTACAACCATAGAGCAAGATGCTATCAAGGGTAAATGGGTCCGTGTAGAGCGAGACCTTAACAAGCAGTCTGGCCTTTGGTCTCTGGTTCGTATATTCAGTGGTTATTACCAAGAGGACTGGTGATCTTATCTCTGCCTTTATCGTCATTCGCATACCAAACAGAACATTTACTATAGACGCACACGCCGTCTTGACATCCCTCTGGTTACTGACTTCCAGCTCCTTCCAGCTGGCGAATCACCCACCCCCCTGACGGACCCCTGGGTCAAGGTAGATCACTCTGTCAGAGATGGTGTCATGCGCACAGACCCAATCTATTTGTGGTATCGTACTGGAAAGACTTTGCGTGAGATGTCAGCAGAGGAGAAACAACAACTTGTCACTGAAGTAGATGTTCTATATGGGGAAGACAGACCTTGGTATGGCTTCGAGAAGCTCGAACCTGCTATTACACCAGAGCAAGAAGGTCGACTTGAGAGCGTCTGGATGACATATCGTAGAGGCGTGAAGCGTATGTCTTTTTCTGGTCTTTACACTTATGTTCTCACAAGAATGCCTTTCAGCCGTCCCGAAAGCTCCTCCGCTCCATTTTTCAAAAGATGGGAGGTTCAAGGTTCTTCAAATTGCCGACTTGCATTACTCTGTTTCTCGTGGAAGTTGTAGAGATACAACGATTGAACCATGCGCCAGCTCCGACAATCTGACCAATACACTCCTTGGTCAGGTTATAGACGAAGAAAAGCCAGATCTCGTCGTATTTTCAGGGGATCAGCTGAATGGTCAAGGAACCTCATGGGATCCAAAGTCTGTTCTAGCCAAATTCGCCACTGCAGTAACGGACCGAGGCATCCCATGGGCGGCAATATTTGGGAATCACGACGAGGAAAATGGTGATGTGAAGGAGGAGCAAGTTAGGATGATGCAGGCACTGCCATATAGCCTTGTTGAGAGAGGTCCAAAGGACATACATGGAGTTGGCAATTATGTCCTCAAAGTTAAAAGTGCCGATGCGTTAAGTCCCAGAATCTACCATACATGCCAGCCCATATCTAACTTTTTCGTTTTCAATCATAGATCAATGACACACCTACTGACTCTGTACTTCCTGGACTCTGGATCATATTCGAAGGGATACTTGGATTGGTTCGGCTTCTTTACACCGACGGAGTATGACTGGATACATGAAGTAAGTTCCCTGCATGTAAGTTTTCCAACGTTGCCTGATGTTCCTTGCAGGACCAAGTGGACTGGTTCCTGCAACAGTCTGGTATGTAAACCTACTTTATTAGCAGGACATCTTCTGAAGGGGTTATATTACAGGTACCATCGATGCAATTGAGCGTCCATTCACACCAGATACAACCAACGACTTCGATGGCATCTGGGAACGCCAATCTGACCAGCTGACACCAGAAACTCGTAAGCTTGCAAAACCCAATGCAATGGTGTTTTTCCATATACCTTTGTGTGTTATTTTTATTCACATTTATGTTACCATTGGTGACACCTGAATTTGGTATTCAGGCAAGAGTCGTACTCCACTCCTGACAGGGACACTCGTACAGGCCAGCTATTGGATTATGGATTGCATGGGCTCGAGGGACCTGGTGCTGCCAAGAAGAGCGATGGCTTCTTCGAGAAGGGTTTGTTGACAGCTCTGGAGAGTGATCACCGAGCTAGTGCAAGTATTCCTGAAGTTAAGGTCGTCGGGAATGGTCACTGTCACAGTATGTTGCCCATCTTACGTTTTAGCTGGTAAAAGGCTGATGGAGGTTCCAGTTACCGAGGATTGCAAGCGGGTGAAAGATGTCTGGTTATGCTTTGGAGGTGGAGGGTAAGCCGTTACATCCGTCCCCAGGACAAAAGTAAATTGATTCGTTCTCTAGATCATATTCAGGATACGGGAAAGTTGGGTGAGCAGTTTGTCAATTGTAATTAGTGTTTCTAGCTGAAAATTCCCCCCAGATTCGACCGAAGGTTCCGTGTATATGAGGTTTCAGACTATGGAGAGACCATCCGCACCTACAAACGCACAGAGAATAATGTGATCCTCAATGACATAGTGCTTGCTGGTCGGGGAGCTCCACCACTAAACAGCGAAATGCCGAGGTAGACAGGAGAGACCAGTTTTTGTATTATTACCAGAGATCAAGTATTTTGGAATGCATATATGGAAGTTTTAAAAGGAATTTCGTCACTACTATATGTGTCGGTGGTATCTTCGCGCGACGCGACTGGATACACGATACGCGTCAAGTGCACGTGACAGCTATGGTTTATTACTTTAGGTAAAGGACTAGCAAACCCCAGCTTTAATCTCAAAAACATATAAAACCCTTTTACCACGTTCGCGTTCACTTTATCTTTTGTTTCCATCCTCACACATACAGAAATCAACTATCTCAAATCCCAATAAATATCTAATAATTGTCTGAACATGGTTTATTATCGTACGCCCTCGTCGTCTGCGAACCCATCGCCGTCCTCTTCACCAGCGTTCGGTCCTGTTGATTCATCGCCCTTATCTTCTCCAAGTTTACAACCAATAGTCCTCGATTCACCCCCAGCTACACCTGGACATGTCTTGCACCCCTTCGCAGCCTCTACTAAAGCAAACAGGCGTCCTCCCCAGTACGAGAAGAAGCTGGAAACACCTCCGGTAACTCCACCGCAGGCTTTCACTTCCAAACCGTCACTAGGATATTACCGTGTCCCCAAGCTTACACATAAGAGTGAAGATGATGACTTCTTCCGTGGTAATGGTTCTCCTATAAGTAGCTCCTTTTCTCGTCAGGTATCACGCAACTTAAGCCGTGAGGAACAAATATGGGATGACGCTCTCGAGAAGCCTTTCAGCACGGGTATCGGTGCCATTGACCTCAGGTGTCTGTCGTTTCATCTTAGTATACACTTATTGGTTCTCCTGATCATCCAGTTCACAGTAATCAACAATTGACATATATCCCTCCGTCAATTGCTGACCTTTCCAACTTTTTCAACACATCCGAGAAATCGGAGCAGGTAAACATCGTCGATGCAACCGCAGTTCGCTCCTTCTCTCGTGTCAGCACTGGGACAGAGAGTAGCTCGTCTCGTACTCGTTCGTTCGGAAGAATAAAGTCCATTGTCGAATCTGGGAAAGAAAGGCATGAACTCCAGCTCTACCTTTCCGGAAATCAAATCAGCAATCTACCCCGCGAACTATTTTCTCTTCAAAAGATGACTGTTCTTATTCTTCGTGAGTCCTCGCGTCAATATGACTCGATAAATGCTAACTTCATGCTCGGTATAACAGGCGGAAACCTTCTTACATCTATTCCGTCAGATATATCTCATCTTTCGAGCTTACGCGAGCTCAACATATCCAACAACAAGCTCACATATCTTCCATCCGAGCTTTGTGAGATGCCTGCTCTAGATAAACTGTATCTGAACCCGAACCCATTTCTCCAAGAGCCTTCTCGTTCTGTCACGCATGTAAGACCTGCTTCTCCGCGACTGGAAGCTCTTCAAGTCCGCCGTTCCCGATCCATATCTCATTTCTTTCTGCAGCGAAAAGAAGAATTAGCAAGGCCCCCAACTACTGCCGTCTCTTCTGCCTCTGTTTTCGTACCTTCCATCCCGCCTTTAAGCGAAATGTGCTATCGCAAGCTTCTCACACCAATCAGTAGTTTTGCTACTACACCCACTGTTCTTTCAGAATATTATGGTGTCCCGCTTTCTGAATGGTGGGAAGATTGTATCCCCTCTAATATCCGAGAGACGCTGGGGGCATGCGTACCAGGAACCTTCAAACCCCACATCTCATTATCGCCCACCTCGAGTCCTTCTCATGTCCGTTCTCGCAAGCAGTCGCCTTACGTTAGCGTCGGTGTATGTCCTAATCCTAAGCACCGGGGCAGCGTGTTCATAAAGCATGCCGAAGAAAGGTTCACATGGGAGAGGGTCATCAGTGGCGTTGACGTCGGAGGCTCAGTCCCCGTGCGATGGCGTGGCTGCCTACGGGGTTGTCTAGACTTTTTGGTGCAAAATGACGAAAACGCTGTTGAAGCTGAGAATTCTCCTGCGAGTGGCCACGATGCGGACACGGAGTTAAACTCAGAGTCGGATGTAGATTCCCTGATGGCGGTCGACGACGAGATGGATGCGATTCAGGTGGTAAAGCTGGATGGAAATATGCTCGCTATGGATGAGTTTGAAGATTGATTTTGGTGGAGCGGGCTGTTGCATTCGTCTGCTTGCGAGGGAGTCTTTCAACCGGACGCGTCAATGTCCTTTGGTTGAGTTTTATGTACTGGTGTTGTGGACTGAAATTGAGTCAAGTCTATATCAATCTTTTATTCGCAAACTGATGCGCGGTCACACCGAGTTCTGTCTACACAGTCACGGCCTCAAATTCAAGTTCCAACGCGCGATACAATTATGCCCAGTTCAGCGGGCTCAACTTCAAGAAAACGACATAACGCTGAATCCAAGCTTACTGCAAACCTGATGATATCTTTGGCTCAGCGTATATGTTTAGCAAGAAAGAAGCAATCGGCTTAACTTGAAGGGTCATCGCTAGTATTGCGCAGAGTCTCTTCATTTCACTAAATTCTGACCGCAAGGACCATTCGTCATCGTTTCCTTCCTAGGTCTCAAAAGTCAGTGCAATCGATGCGCATTTCAGAATATACTTGAACTTCCTGGAGCGATCTGACTGAATGGTCTTCTCGAGTAGGACAATCACCTGAAGTCATCACTGGCTTCTGACAGCTATAGCTTAGAATGGACTTGGCAGTTCTCATGGCAGCGAGCGTAGTTCGATTTTGCCACAAATCGGAGCATCCTTTCCTGGTTTCATACTTCAAGGTGATGGGCGTCATGGTGGCTTCCCGTCAGTGGTCGTAGCCATCTCGTATACAAATTATGGCGGCGGCATGCCTGCTAATAATCATTACCTCTTTTAATAGCATAGCTCCTGCTCCATCCTTGGCGGACACCGCTGGAGCTTCCTGTGCTCTATTGTTGCGCAGCTGCTACGTTTCTTTCGAGTACAGCACGCATAGCACACGCCTCCTTCAAGCACGGAAATGGGCGATTATCCTCTGCGACACTTACGTGCTTATCGAGATGATCGCACCCGACGATAAACATCAATCCTCCCCAAGTCTCGACCCAAGCCTCGTTTTATAGCGCGTTAAGTCGGTCTTAGCCGTCAGACGTGATTCGTCTGCACTATAGCATCACTATAACTGCACGACTTACTTCTATTTACATACTATGATCAGAACCTTTGTCAACAACAAGGAGCAAAGGCTTTTATGGGAATTCCGTGAGTCTTCATGCCTCTTCTCATCGGCCGCCATTGACGCGCAGTATACCTATTGAATCGATCGCTTCCATTAGACGCCCCACAGTGGAGAACAGTTATTAAAACGTTGCTCTCTCAAGGATAAATGCCACGAACGGTCTCTTCTTATCAAAGACGCCTGTACGTTGACACTCAGGGACAATGTCAGGGATACGCTGGCCAAGCGTTCTCGATACCTTTGCAGTTAGTTCTTTCTCTCTGATTGGACAATGTGGCGGCTTCTTCGACCTACCCTAATTTCAGAGATGCGAGCACAGACTCCATTATGAGCGCTCAGCTTGCATAGCAATTCCAAATTTGTGTGGTGGATGAATGGTTACACTTCGAGTTTTGGAACTGCCGTATCGCGGCAACAATTTTTTTTTAAAATCCCGATGGGTCTGATCGAAAAATGTGTACCTTAACCATAAATCAAACTTCAATGTCCATATATACTAACTACAGGTTGTTTGTACATGTTGTACTATACAGTTGATAAAGCAGTGGCTGATGATGTCAGAGGGTGCAGCCTGTGTGACCAGCTCCGCTGCATGAGAGACTTGTATCTAAAATAGAAAGAAAGGCAACACGGTGCAAGAAGGTGGAATTTGAACAGAAGGAAAAGGGCCGCGTGGCATGGAGTGTGAAAACTACAGTAAAAGGTTAAAGAGGAGAATGAAAGTTAAAGGTCCGAAAATGTGTTATCATAACACCTTGCTGTGATCACCTGGCAATTGGTCAACAGAAAACTGGCACCTGCAAAAGGAGTCGACAATTCAGTAAGTTGTGCAATTAGGACATAAGAGAAAAAGAACTACCTTGAAAATCAGACAAGAAAGCCAAACCATGTGAGAGATGGTACTGGACATGTTGCATGAAACAAAGAAACTTAGCAATCCTTCTGCTTGTCATTTAAGCCAAGTCGAGGTGAGGTGCTATTGTTGTTGATATACTTCACAAAGTCACCCTCAATTCGCTCCTCCAGCAGGTACACTGCACTTTTCAGACTCAGCACAACTGGCACGGCAATGACAGAATGGACCATACACAGGCGAGGTACTGTGGGAGGCGGGAGTTTGGTGGGACCTTTTTTGCGGTTAGAATTGCTGATGAATTGATAAACTATTTTCATCAAACTACACCCCCAATACATGCAGTTGGCTTTGATAAGCATTTTTGCTAACTCACCTTTGATAGCCAGCCGCTTCCTGCCCAAGGGTGAAGTCAATATTGAAGCACTTGTTGTACTAGGTCGAAGCTGGTAGTACCACAGTTTAGTGACAATATCTCCTCCATGTAGGAAGATGATGGTCTGAATAGGGAAAGTGGGGGTAGGAAAGAGCTTGTTGACGAAGACAGGGTGACAGGTTTTGAAGCTTCCGGGGGGTCCAAGCATTGACTTGCTACTATAGTCCACTGTCAGACTTGCACGTGATTGCTTGTCTGTATTGTTGACGTTGAAAGGCAAGGGCGTCTTGAGGAGTGAATTCAATGTAGCCGTAGGTACTGGGAATAGAGTGTACATCCCTAAGTCATCTTTTACTGCACAGAATCAATACAAAAATAACACACCTGAGCTCCTCCTCATTAGGTACATGAAAGTCCTCCTCATCCTCACTTCTGTCTTCATCATTGTCATTGCCAACAACCCCACCCACCTGTGATGACTAAGCCAAACATTGTGATTGCTCTTGGGAGATTGTAGCTACGGCTTTGGAAAAAGCAATAACTGGTCGACACTGAAAGCAAATATTAGTCCTAAAAGTATGTCAGGAGCAGTACATACCTGTGCACGTTTTGGCAATACTGCATTACTTATAGTATCTTCATCAGCCTTCTTGGCCCTCTTCTTTGGACAGGTTGCAGCACAGAAAACCTATTTATATAGAGCAAAAGTGAGAAAGACTAAAAGTTTGATACTCACCTTCTCCATCACACTGATGTCTGAATCGTCAGGCAGACAATCACCACTCTCAACCCCACCCTTTAAATTCTCTTTCCAAACTAATAAGATTTTTCCATACTGCGCATAGGTGACCACAAGTAAGATTGTGACTTTGCAATTTGCTATAAACTTAGAGATGGGGTCTTTGTTGCTGACCTGGTAAAAGACTTCGTGAAGGATGAGGCGCTCCAAATTCCACTGAGGCTTATGAGGGTCATAGAATAAAAACTTTGGCGACCTATACATTTCTAGTGAATCTAGAGTGAGGTCGTAGTTATTGGTCCACTCTGTCCATTCTGACTGTAAGTTTTCGATCGCCATATGCCACACTTCTAAACACGTTGTTGATGATGAGAACTGTTGTTAAAAAACCACACACAAAACAAACTAACACACAATCCTCCCAGATTCCACAGAACTTGTTTACGGGCTTTGCCCCCTAGAACAGTGGGTGCTCTAGTTGTTTGTGGGGTGGTATGTATGACGATCCTTCAAAGTAAAACCCAGAAATATATGGGTGTGGGTTTTGAGGAGGAGGGATAGTTGAACTATAGAAGATAGAGGCTTTATGACGAATATAGACAAGCACTACCTTGCTGATTGTAGCACAAGGTAGGTTTAAGAACGACGAGATGACAAGGTTCCCAGTGGTAGCAGTGGAAAGTATTGTGACCATACTAGATCACAAGTAGCAGAGTAGTGCATTTGAGATTAGAGAAGAAGTCTGGATTGGAGTTCTTGTTTGTTTTTACAAGGTAAAATACAGGGGTTTATATAGTAAAAGAAAGGTAGGTTATGCACAGTATAGCTGTGCAAAAAGAATGAGAAAGAACATGAAGGAAGGAATGTATGCTGACAAATCCTGCATAGGTAGTATAGAGAGTGGTGACATCAGATATGGTGGGGGAGCAAAGAAGACGAGTAGGAGGAGGGTGGAGCTGACAAGGAGGTGAACTAGAATGGGGATCCAGAAGTGACTGTCAGGTGAGAATAAAAAAGAGAGCAAGGGTCCCATGGTGGGGCTGAGTAAAGAAAAAAATAAAGGGAGAACGACAAAAGCAAGGGCACAATGTGTAGCCAGTGGCGACGCAAAAATTTGCCAAAATGCCAAAATGCAGAAAGTACCGAATGGAAGAGCAAAGGTGAGCGCGACTGGATTGCCTAATAGAGGCGGTGCTGATCAGCCACAAGTTCAAAAAGGCGATATTAATTACTATTCCATGTGGCACTGTGCCTGTGTGGCACAAAGGCGAGTCTTTTTGAATATCCACTTCATTTTTGACACCTGTCCATGCTACCAATCAACTTTGGTGCATGACAGTGGTGAGTCATATGAACTACTATGCAACACTATCTTGGTGAGTTGCAAGAATGAATGTGATACTTACATCAGTCATGTGCCTCACTCATTATTTGTCATGTAAATCTCTATGCTGCCCCTTCCGCCTTTGGGCTGTGAAGAATATAAGAAGTTAGAAGGGGTGCCAAAAGATAAGCAATGTGAGACTTATGAGTAAGTGGTGCCCAAATTGATACAATGGCTCCCAACATCTGTTGAAAGAACTGACTGGAATACAGATGAGAATCTGGTTAAAATCAGTCTGTAACACACTGCATTTGGTGGAGTAGTGTTCTTACTGCCAAATGATTATCTGGTAAGGCAGATGAACTATGCTACTGTATATCATGAGTCACAACAATGAGCCTGACATAGACACCACACTCATTGCAGCTCCATATTTGGTCAACCATTCATCGGGCTCAAGGTGTGCAAGGTGATCACTTGAAAAATCTTGTCCATTGTAAGGTGTCACATGACTTTGATATCGTTCCATTCCACGTATTCTCTTTCTCACGAGGAAATCTTTTGGTTCACTGTTACTCTCGACGACCTCTCCTCACTTTGTCTCTTTAGCTCCTCCCCACCTCTTCTTTTGGTTGTAGGGATGACGGGTGTTTGTCCTGGCTCTCTATAAAAGGTCAAGTTTTTTTTTCATATTTCTTTAAGTTCACCCAGCTCTTTATGCTCACCCAGTCCTCGCTCCTATACCTGCTTTTCTTCATTATGACAATGTTTCCTCCCCCTGCACCTTCAAGCTCCAAACAGCCTAAAAGTTTGGTGTGTGATGACGAAGTTGATAATGAGGACAAAACCCTGGGTAGGTCCTTTTTTTTCTTTCACAATATTATTGTATTTTACTCACAAACAGTATCTTGTAGGCATTGTTTTGTCTTTACTCTCCCACATCTCCCTCAATCCCAGCAATGCCATGTTGCTGATGTCTGCAGTCCTTGATAGTGCCCAGGGAAACCCCATTCCTCTTGCTCCCACCACCGTCAACTCGCCTACCGCCATTGCTTTGACCTCGTTGTCTACCACTGTTGCGTCAAACACTTCCTTGACCACCGTCACATCAACTCCCTCTGCTACCACTGTTCTATTGGCCGTTTCATCCCACGGCCCCCCTGTTCCTGTCGCAGCCATAGGTGTATTGGCATCTAGTACCAGGACCCACTGCGACCACAATGGTCAGGCATACAATGTTCCCGAGGGTCCTGTTACAGGGGCAGTTTATTTAGTTACAAGGGGTCGCCGTATCAGCATTTTGTCCAGCTGGTGAGTTTTCCTTCCATAATACACTGTCTTACTTAACTCTTCTTTCCTCTGCAGGCAACTCACATCCCCCCATGTGACGGGTGTCAGCCGTGCTGTCTTCAGCCGTTGGCCTTCCGTTGAGGCTGGGATCACTGCCATGGAGGACGCAATTGATGCGGACACAACACAAATTTTGCCTTAAACTCATACCTACATTGTACGCTACGCTGCCTGTATGATAGACTGAATAAATGCGCAAAAATGCGCTGCTTTCTTGCCTTCACTGAAGTCATGCATCACACCCGCACAATTGAATTAATATTTGCAAACAAGCTCTTGATCATACATATAAACAATTGGGATTTTAAAAAAATTGTTGCCGCAATACGGCTGTATCCAAAACTTGAAGTGTAACCACTTATCCACCATAAATTTGAACATTGGGTTGCAAGCTAACACAACAAGCAGATGATGAGGCCTGGAGCTTGCCTAAAGCACAAGTAAGCCTTTCGGGATTCTTCATTCCACCCATGCACAATCCTGGTTTCTACTAATTGTTCACACAGGGATATCATAACTGTATGCCTAATGCTTGCTGAACCGCACACGTAAGGCACAAACACCAAGTTATGGACCATATCAAAACTGTAGGTAGCCTTTAGCTTTACTATAGCCTGCAGAAAAGGGCGACTGTTCTGTGAGTGCGTTTATCGAGATTATTTCTATAGAACACCAACTCACGTTTTTTTTAAGTGTTGAACATTGATTGTGGCCATCTAACGTGATTCATCTCAAATGTAGGAAATGTGATTGCTAATCCATTGTTCTCGAGAATAAATGCGGCAGATGTTCCCTGGGCTCATTGAGGTGTCCATACTTTGGTATCAGGAACATAGGGGTTGATTGTGCAATTGTCCCCAAGGGTTTGGGGGTGGTTCTTGGTTTCTGGTTTGACAATAACATTCTCTTTGACCTACCTCCTTAATCTGAAAGTTGTGTGTGTGGAATTCTCAACCACAAGTGCTCAGAATGTTGCTTAGAAGTTCCAAAGGATAAGGTTTGCCAGAGTGTTTCATATTTGTTACAATACACAATTTTTGGACATTTAAATTTCATTCTCCACTCTAACTTTCTTCTGTAGTTTTTGCACACTGTGCCATGCGGCACTTGCCTGTTCAAACTCCACTTTCTCATGCTGCACTGCCTTTTCTTTATTTTAGCTACAAGTCTCTCACACCATGGGGCTGGTTCACACAGGCTGTGCCTCATGACTCATCAGCCACTGCCTTCATCAACTGAACAGTACACATGCACAAATAGTCTGTAGTAGTATATATACCCCAATAAATTAAGGAGACTTCTCAGCGAGTCTTCCTGTTGTTTACTCACAGCTAACTTGATCCTATCTTAAGGGGTAACTACTCCCACTCACTCCCTTATTGCTTGTCTGAGTTGTGCGCCAGAGTATACATACTCTTGGTTGTAACATTAGGACTCGCTCCCTTACTCCCTTACTCTCTTACACTTTGTGCAAACCCAGACCACAGGGTTAAGTGGACGTCTTTCAAACAGCAAGATTTTGGTGCCAGACGGTGTTGAGCTTTAGCTAGCTGCAGAAACAAAGTGTGTGCCCCAATCCTGCAGGCAAGCTCCTCATGACAAGGTACTAGAAAGAATTGAACAATTATACACGGCCCCCAGTGTTAAGGGGAGTACTTTAGCTCAGCAGTTGGTGTGGGACCACTGTTGATTAGATTTGGATACAAAACCTCTTTTTCACACTCCTCTGACCAGGCCAGGCACTTGCCTCTGCCAGTCTGGAGAAGGGTTGACAGCTTAACAAGCGGACCACCCCCTGACAACCATTCGGACCAGGGTTTTGTACTATAACCTTACATACATTTTCAAATACTATAGTGTGGGTAGTCGGAGATTGAGATCCAATCCTCAGCTGGGAAGAGGTAGATCCGCAGATAGAAAGCGGGGACCCCCAGCTACATTTTTTTACATTTACAAAGAGAACAAGCTGTCATGTTGTCACAACCACAACAAAGCGATATCAACACTCTGTTGCACAACATGGATGCACACATTGTGGGCATTGGCTTATTTAAGCCCAGCTTATATCCTGAAAATATGGGAGTTCTGGGTTCTGATTGGCTAGAAAAAGCTAAAATTGAATGTTTTTAGGATATAAGCTGGGCTTAAATAAGCCAATGCCCGCAGTGACAGATACTGTTGTTGACAATGCAGCTTGCCGAGATTCAAGCCGCTGTCATGCACCAAAAGTAATTGGTAGCATGGACAGGTGTCAATAATAAAGCAAATATTCAAAAGACTCGCCTTTGCGCCACACAGGCATAGTGCCACGTGGAATAGTAATTAATATTGTCTTTTTTGAGCTTGTGGCTGATCAGCACCACCTCTATTAGGCAATCAACTCACGCTCACCTTTGCTTTCCATTCGGTACTTTCCATGTTTTGGCATTTTGGCAAATTTTTGCGTCGCCACTGGCTACACATCATGCCCTCACTTTCATTGTTTCCCCTACCCTTTTTCCTTTACTAGGCCCCACCATGGGCCCTCTACTCTCCTTTTTATTCTCACCTGACGGTTGTTTTTGGCTACCTATTCTAGTCCACTGCTCCATCACCTCTATCTGTCACAACCAACAGTTTGTATACTCTGGCACACAACTTCAGACAAGCGAAGAGGAAGTGAGTGGGAGTGGTTACCTTTTAGATAGGACCAAGTTTGTTGTGGGTAAACAACAGGAGGACTCGTTGAGGAGTCTCCTTAATTTATTGGGGTATATATACTACTACAGACTATGTGTACATGTGTACTATACAGTTGATGAAGGCAGTGGCTGATAATGTCATGGGGCACAGCTCGTGTGACCAGCTCCACTGCATGAGAGACTTGTAGCTAAGTGTCACAATCAAAGCTTTGATACTCTGGCGCACAACTCAAACAAAGCTTTTAAAGGTAGTGAGGGGAGTGGTTACCCTTAGGATAGGACCAAGTTAGTTGTGGGTAAACAACAGGAGGATCTGCTGAGGAGTCTCCTTGATCTTATTGGGGTATATATATTACTACAGGTTGTTTGTACATATGTACTATACAGTTGATGGAGGCAGTGGCTGATGATGTCATGGGTCACAGCTCGTATGACCAGCTCCACTGTGTGAGATACTTGTAGCTAAAATAAAAAAAGGCAGTGCAGTGCGAGAAGTGGAGTTTGAACAATGATGAAAAGTGCCACATGGCACAGTGTGAAAACTACAGAAGAAAGTTGAAGAGGAGAATGAAATTCAAATGTCCGAAAATTGTGTTATTGTAACACTACCCTCCTTCTAAGGCTCAACTTCCAGGTGAGACCAATACCGGAGGTAGTAGTTAAATTTTTGGGCATAGTTTGAAAAAGGGAATTAAAAAGGTTTGAATCCATGCCTCTAAGCTTCCTAGGAGCCGAGGGGTTCTTAGAGCAAAATTCATGAACAGTATTGCGGGAATTGACCAGATAGGCTTTTGGTTCCCACGTCCTGTCCTCATCTCCATAGCCCTTCCTTAGGACTAGGAACTCTAACTTTCCACGCTTCAAGCGTGCATCCACCACCTGTTCGACTTCAAACTCTTTTTCACCTTCCTGGGTGACTACCACTGGTCCAGGCCAGTCTATGTGCTGTCCTAGCAGCAGCCCTTTGTAGGGTTTTACACAGCTAATATTAACTGTGGGTACTACCCTCATTCATTTTGGGAGTTCCAGCTCCACTGCATTGGGTTTGACTTCCTTAATCCGGTAAGGACCAATCCACTTCTCAGTCAGTTTTCTAGACTGCCTATCTTTCAATTTTAAGTGGTCGGTATCTAACCAGACCAGGTTGCCAACCTTGTAATCAGGGGCCTTAGAGTGTCTACGCTCTGCCCTGTCTTTCAACTGCTCCGCAGTTTTGAGAAGCTCCTTGCATGTTTTGTCTAAGACAGACTTCATGTCCTTAGCCATGTTCCCAGCAGCCTCATTTTTGCTTTTGCCAGGTTCCACACCCATTTTGGGAAGGTACAATCTTGTGACCTCAAATAGTGCCTTTCCTGTAGCCATTGACTGTTTAATATTATAAGAGAACTGGGCTATCTTTAGCCACTTGGCCCAATCTGTCTGTCTATCATTAATAAATATCCGGAGATATTGCTTCAATTCCTGATTGAGCCTTTCCATTTGTCCATTGGTCTGCGGATGGAACACCATTGATAATTTAGGTTTGATGCCCAGCATCTGGCATAACTCTTTTGTAAATTTGCTAGCAAATTGGGGTCCCCTATCAGAGATAACCGTTTCCAGTAACCCATGGGTAGACCATACAAAATCTTTAAATAAGTCTGCCGTACCAGTGGCCATAATGGTTTTATTGGTGGGAATGAATACCACTATTTTGGAGAAGCAATCTACTACCACCATTACTGAATTGTACCCATTTGACTTGGGCAGATCCATTGTGAAATTAACTGATATATCCTGCCAGGGACCAGCTGGTATTGAATTTGGCATAAGTTTACCGGCTGGTGGTTGATGTGAGTTCTTTGCCATGGCACGTCTTAGACAGGATTTTACATATTCCTGTACATCTTTGACCATGCCAGGCCACATGTAGTTTCTGGAGATCAACTCCATTGTTCTTTGCCACCCAGGGTGCCCAGCCACTGGAGTGTCATGATGTCTGTCTATTGCCTTGATCCTTGCAGACTCAGGCACATAGATCTTGCCTTGGTAATGGAAGAGCCCGTCTTCCCATAAATAATGTAAATTGCCATCAAGGTATGCCTTCTCTTCTGAGGAGATGTCTTTCTTGAAGACTTCTAGAAGATTGGAATACTGCCCGATTTGAACATTGGCTACACTGGATTGGTTTATCAGGGTGACACCTTTGTTGTCATCTCCGATGCTGTTGGCATGATCCTCTCTTCTGGTAAAACATCTGCTTTCCCCATAGAAGCACCAGGCTTATGAATTAATTTATAATTAAACCTAGACAAGTACACTACGTAGTGGGTTTGTCTTCAGTTCAGGTCTCGGGCCGTCATAAAATACTCCAGATTTTTATGATTGGTCCAAATTTCAAATTGGTGCCTAGCACCTTCTAAGTAGTGCCGCCAGTGCTCTAAAGCTCTAATGATGGCCAGCATCTCCTTGTTGTAAATTTGATAGTTGTGCTCTGTGGGCAACAAACCATGTGATAAATAGGCACAAGGCCTTCAAAGGTCATCAGGGCATTTAATTGACAGAACAGCCCCAGTAGCAATATCAGAAGAGTCAGTTTCTAGCCGGAATTCTTTGTCCAATTCTGGAAGTGCTAATATGGGCACTATTGTAAATGCCTGTTTAAGCTTATCAAAAGCTTCTTGTTCTTTGGCGCCCCAGTGCCAGACAATGTCCTTTTTTGTGAGATCATTCAACGGTCTTGTTATCTTCCCAAAGTTTTCAACAAACCTTCAGTAGAAATTGCCTAAGCCAAGGAAGGCCCTAACTCCTTTGATGCGAGTAGGTTCAGGCCAATCCAAAATAGCTTGAACTTTCCCAGGATCCATCCTGATTCCCTTCTGGCCAATTATCATACCGAGGAAGTCTACTTCCTTCACTTTAAAGTTACATTTTTTGGGTTTGACGAATAGGTCCCGTTCCTATAAGCGTCAAAGGACTTCTTGCACGATCCTGTCATGCTCAGCCTTATCGTCTGACTTCGTAAATATTAATAAATTGTCAATGTAAATGATGACACAGTTTTCCATATCCATGAAGATCTCGTTTATCATGCTCTGGAAGGTCGCCGGTGAATTGGTCGACCCAAAGAACATAACAAGGGGTTCGAAGGATTCTCGGTGGCAGTTGAACGCAACCTTCCAAGCATCTTCTTCCTTGATTTGTACATTATTGTACCCCCATCTGAGATCCATCTTTGTCATGATTTTGGCGCCAGCCAACTTGTCTACTAGCTGACTAATCAAAGGCAGCAGATACATATTTCTAACCATGTATTTATTCAAATAACAATAATCCATAACCATACACTTTTTACCATCCTTTTTGGGAATGAAGAACACCAGGGATGTCATAGGGCTCTTGGAAGGTCTGATGTAACCCTTCCTAAGCTGTTCATCTATGAAACTGGAAACCTCATTTCTTTCTGGAGCAGAGAGTGGAATCATATATCCCTTTCTAGGTTTGAACATGTCCTTCAAGAAGGCCACACTGCTTTAAAAAGCAATTGCCAGAGCAGCTTGGGATTTATTACCAGAATAATAAGAAGGCCTGGATGACTACTGCACTATTTGAAGAGTAAGGCATGCCCACATTTAGTGTCATGAAAGTGCTAATCACAGTATACAGATGGATGAAGTATTTTGATCTCAAGATGCGAAACGAGAACCATCAGGTCTGCCTATTTGTAGACGGCTTCTCTGCACACAAGCTATCATACCAACCAACTAATGTTTGGATGGATGTTACAATACACAATTTTTGGACCTTTAATTTTCATTCTCCTCTTTAACTTTCTCATGTAGTTTTCACACGCTGTGCCATGCAGCACTTTCCATTTTGTTCAAACTCCACTTTTACGTGCTGCGCTGCTTTTCATTATTTTCAGTTACAAAGTCTCTCACACAGTGGAGCTGGTCACACAAGCTGTACCCTATGACATCATCAGCCACTGCTCCCATCAACTATATAGTACACATGTACAAACAACCTGTAGTAGTATATATACCCCAATAGATCAAGGAGACTCCTCAGCGAGTCCTCCTGTTGTTTACCCACAACTAACTTGGTCCTATCCTAAGGGTAACCACTCCCCTCACTACCTTTATAGCTTTGTCTGAGTTGTGCGCCAGAGTATCAAAACTTTGGTTGTTACAATGGATGTTCTCAAAGCAAATATGACTTCATTTGTGCAGCCATGCGATGAAGGCATCATCCGCTGCTTCAAGGCTGGATATAGGAAGACTTATTGTGCAAAAGCACTTAACCTTGATGAAGCCGGCAAGAGGGACATTTATTCAATCAATTTACTTAAAGGTGTTTTGATGGCAAAGGCTGCTTGGGAAGCAGTTACATCAACTACTATCCATCACTGCTGGGATCACAGTCAAATTCAACTGTATGCCAAGGTCTGATTTGAATTGCTCTTGTTTTCAAGTCCTAACTATTCTTTGCACAGAGATCCCTTCATCCCAACAACTATCCCATACAATGATGTACAAGCACATGCAAATCCTATTGCATGGGGTGTTATGCGAGAGTTTGCAGTCAGTGACTCTATGACATTACCAATTGCTAAAGCTTGCATCAAACAGGCCTTGTTTGGGCAATATTTGGATGGAGACCAGAGGCCGGCATTGAACACCATTATGGATGCTGAAGGTGACGCAGAAGCTGCAATTGCTGCAGTCAAAAGTCTTGCAAATGTGCAAATGCAGCTGCCAGTTGAACAGGCCTCAAGATACAAATACCTGCACATCCAAAACTGCCACTGCAGCTCAGTAATATTGAAGACCAGCTGAAAAATGCAATTGGGGAACTCAAATCTCAAAACTGCATCTTTGGCAAGCCTCTAACAGTTGATGAAGTTGTTGATCCAGCTGCAGAGAGGTTGATTGATAAAGAGTTTGCACTTGATGATAGAGAGATTGTTGCTGAGGTCTGAGAGTCAATGGCTAGTGAAGAGGACATAATTAGTGTGGATTTGGACAATGAAGACAAAACACCATCATGATCATGGACTCGCGCCGAGATCATGAACCTGTGCCAGGATCTTGAACAAGCCTGTATCCAACAGGCAGGTTGGGGGGGATCGTTGGACTTGATGGGCAGCTTTGTCACTATAGAGCATTTCTACAATGCCAAGAAGTCCAAAATGCTAAGCAAACCACACTAGATTCGTTCATAGAATAGAGTAGGAGTGTTTCAAGCAAAGTGTTCTGGTGTCGCATTGTTGTCACTTGTGGGAGTCATGCTGAGTCACCCTAGGTCACATGTAGTCACACATGGTAGCACCTCTGGTAGCACATAAGTCTCGTATTGCATGTAGTTTTGGGGCCCAGGGGTCCTGACGTTATGCGTTATGAGACAATCAACTGTACCTCTTTGTTGGTGGTGTGTTCACTATACTTCAGTGCTTGAGCAATCTACTGTTCTTGACGTAGTAGACTGATGAAACAAATATACTGACACGCTATTTGTATTCTCTAAGCACCTTGATTCAAAATATTAGAGCTATATTCATTTACTGTTTAGAATAGTTGTTGGATATTCGGTCCCTCAGGGCGCGGGAACAGGCAAGGGAGAAGGATTCTTTTGGAAAATGAATGCCGTAACAACGTAAATACATGCTTCTTATATAACAAACATATGTAAATATTGTGTGAAAGACAATGATAGCCACAAAAGGCCGGTTGTAATCACAGACTAAAGCTTCGGGCGAAGCTCCGGATAGCCTACACATGTCCGGCCGTGCAAACACCTACGTTCCCACACTGAAAAGCACACACAGGCCAAAGCCAAACAGTGTTCACCGCTGGCGGGAATAATCCAGAACAGTAGCACTCGACCATACCATATCCACTACCAACTGTGATACCGCCAAATTAGCCACTTCAACAATATGATTCAAGGCAACCATATTAGTGCAGTATAGTAGCACTCAACTATACCTTGCTTTACTATTCTCTGCTCCAGGTATGGAAATTCCCAGCTATCCCACCGCTAATACGGTACCAGATGCCGCTATGGTGCCACACAACCATACCGCTTGACAATGATACAGTATTGCACGACCACACCACTCGACCATACCGCTGGGTAATGGTACAGTATGGCCTGATCATATCAACAATCACAAACTGGGTACTGCCTCACGATATGGTGCAACAATGCCATGGCTTCAAGCAAATGTAGCTATGGTACGACGTGATCATACATACTCCATTTACCACTGTTGCTAGTATCTCTTACGCTAGGAATAAAATCACTGTAGCATAATCATTGCAATCATATGCATAGCAATTTAATGACAACTAGTCATAATGTCTACGAGAACTATGCATGATAGAAAATCAAATCATGAGTTTCCAAAGATTGGGATAAGCAGTAGTAGACCTACATACCTAATACCCCGCATTTTGCAGATCTTCAGATGATTCCAGATTGATAGGAAAACCTTTGTGTACAGGATTGCATGATCCTGCGACATGTAACTCACAGACTTGCGGATTCATTTCAAAGCACTGTTACCACATTCTGCAGCACTCGAATTAATCTGTGCCAGCCAAGGATCTGCATTGGTGTAAGTTGTGAGAAAAGCAGCACGAGAACATTTTGTATGTCCTTTAGCATGAAAACCGTCAACGACAAAAAGAGTATCTGCAAAAAATTCCGGCTCACACGTCAAGCAATATGGTCCCAGTGCATATGCGAAGTCATACACGACTACTTTGGGAGCTTTAGGCCAGCGTGTAACAATGGCCAAGAAAACATCATTGCGGCCTTCTCCTCACGGGATACAGTGGAACCCATAGCATATGCTATGGGTACACCAAGCACACATTATTCCTCCAGTTAAGCGCTGCTCGCCATACTGGGAATAATACTTTGAGCACTTGTCTCCACGGTGTCCACCAGGCTCGCTGCAAAGATCATACTTGAGGTGAGGATACTGTGGTTGAGACCGAATTTGCGGCATGCTGTACAAACACCCAGTCTGAATACATTAGAACTATGACGGCCCATTGTAGAATACAAAAAGAAAACCTTACTTTTTGCCAATGTGAGCCAGAGTCATTCGGTTCACTGGCAGCCCTCACATCATCAGCTAGGGGTGCTTCCTTGGCCAACAGCTTCTTTAATACTTCCCGTGCTTGTTCGTAAAGCCAAAAGCACAAAGATATCATGCCCGGGGGCTAAACCTCTTTTCTGACATTGTAGTACCTAAGAACATCATATACACTTGGTATCCCAACCAAACGCGACATAGTGTCTGTGCCAGGTGATAGAAGAAATTTGTAGACATTATATTGAGCCGACCTATTTATCATTTTCAAGATAGATTCTTCCGCAGCAAGCTATTATCCATGCAAAAAGTAGAACAAACCGCTTCGGCAGACAAAATAACAATATGAATACTTGCCTACATAAAAGAATTTTGGCACACGCTTGGGGGGTAGCCCTTCAAGGACAGAGAACCAAAGTGAGAAAGGAATAGTTGTGCTAGTGCCGTGTTAACCGTTTGAAGCCGGGCAAAGATTTTGGGCTGGACTTTGAACGCGAGAAGCAGCTGGATATGATACGGCGCAAGTCGCCACATGTTTTATGATCTACTATAGCTTGCTGACCATATTGATAACGCATTGATTCTCGTTGCAGGGAATTATCTTGGGCTACTGTAGGCGGGTGAAGGGAGGAAAGAAGGTGTTTTTGGCTGAAGGCCAGCGTGATGCTGTCCCAGATTGTTTCACATGGTAAAGGCCCACACTTTGGGCATTTCATGTCGTTGTCGAACCATTGAAGTTGTACATAAGTAAACCATACTGCTCTAAATGTATCCTCCAACACAAAAGGATGCAGAGAACCGTAGTTCTCATATTGACGGCTCACAACAGCCACAAATGCGACAAATGGAGTTTCTGACGATGTGAATGCACTTGTGTATTCGTCAAGGAGGTCATGTGTGAAGACCAAATGATTATTGAAATTGAAAAGGCCTGATTCTTATAAATCTGGCCCAATGAAACGCCGTGGACAGGATGGACATGGCTGTACTTCAATAGTAGAAGTAAGGGCACCAGTCAGCTTGTAGATAGTGCATGACTGTTGCTCTTTGTCTCGCAGAGCTGAGTAGCTCGCGCTGTTATGCACCAAAGTTGATTGGTAGCATGGACAGGTGTCAATAATGAAGCAAATATTCAAAAAGACTCGCCTTTGCGCCACACAGGCACAGTGCCACGTGGAATAGTAATTAATATTGCCTTTTTGGAACTTGTGGCTAATCAGCACCACTTCTATTGGGCAATCCAGTCACACTCACCTTTGCTTTTCCATTTGGTACTTTCCGCATTTCGGCATTTCAGCAAATTTTTGCGTCACCACTGGCTACACATTGCATTGCGCCCTTGCTTTTGTCGTTTCCTTCACTTCCCTTCCTTTGCCTAGCCCCACCATGGGTCCCTTACTCTCGTTTTTATTCTCACCCGACGGTCGTTTCTGGATCCCCATTTTAGTTCACCTCCTTGTCACCTCCAGCCTCCTCCTCCTCATCTTCTTTGCTCCCCCACCATATCTGATGTCACCACTTCCTATCCACTTCCATTGCCGATCCGTTGACTACCACGTGCCACTGCTGATATCAGCAAAGCCCCGGCGGCCGGTCCAAATAGGGCAACAGGTCCATCTTCATGACATCGATCTGCCATCATATACTATCGAAGCATCAGTCGCTCGTCTTGCCTGGTTGGAGCGTGGGTGGGTAGTTTTTGAGCTGGAGAAGGTTCATCCCCTTGCATCACCCATGTTCATTGCTGTCCCATTCACTTGGGTACACTTATCTTTTGTCCATCGTCTTCGCTACAGCTACACCTACCACACGCTGCCTGGGACTCACTTGTTCCAAATTGGGACTACTCCTCTCCCTCCCTTGTTTGACCAGGTGGTCCAACACAACCAGTCCATTGGTAAGGCCATGGAACTGTTGGATTTGGACTAGGTGGTGGACCGGTGGCTCCAGTTTCTTTTTTCTCAGCAGAACATTCATTTACAGTGCGATTATTTTTGATTTTTGAATCATTTTTATGGACACATATTTTTTAGAATGCCTGACTGACAATAAAGGAACTGTTTATACTGATAGTGTTTTGCTTTACACTTTATTTTCTGCATCTTCCCATGACATCATGATTTTCCTGCTCTCTTTTTGCTATTGGACTTTACTTTATGGCTGTACAAACCTGTGACATTACTCACAGCATTCATTGTTCTATCCCTTTCTTTTCCTTTTTTTGACAATCTTATCCTGTACTACCTACGCAGGATTCGTCAGCGTACATTCCTTCCTTCATGTTCTTTCTCATTCTTTTTGCACAGCTATACTGTGCATAGCCTACTTTTCTTTTACTATATAAACCCCTGTATTTTACCTTGTAAAACAACAAGAACTCAAATCCAGACTTCTTCTCTAATCTCAAGTTCACTACTCTGCTACTTGTGATCCAGTGTGGTCACAATACTTGCCACTGCTACCACTGTCAACTGCTGTCATCGTCACTCGTCACTTTTGAAAGTGATTGTCATCCCTTTCGATTAGAGTCCTTCTGAGCACTACAGTCTGTGCATCAGGAGCCTGCTATCACTGGGAACTTTGTCACCTCATCATATTGTCATTCTCAAACCTACCTTGTGCTACTATTAGCAAGGTAGTGCTTGTCTATACTCGCCACAAAGCCCCTATCTTTCTGCATTCCAACTATCCCTCCTCCTCAAAACCACACACCCATACATCTTTGGGTTTTATTTTGAAGGATTGTTATATGTACCACCCCACGAACAACCAGATCACTCCACTGTTCTAGGAGGCAAAGCCCATAAACAATTTCCGTGGAATCTGGGAGGATTGTGTGTTAGTTTGTTTTTGTGTGTGTGTTTTTTTCTAACAACAGTTCTCATCATCAACAGCGCGGGAGCAGCTGCAAAATGAGTTTTTTTTGAGTGGAAGGAGTGTGGGGGCAATTTGGATAGGATGAGGGCAGGGGTAATATACTACATCTTCATTGATTGATGCCCAGATAGGTGGTAGAATATATTCATAGGATATGGCTTGATGTCCTTTTGCTTTCACTGTCCGGACATGGGTAGTTTTTTAGTATACAGACATGAGTATTGACAGTAACCGTAATAAACATGATGGCTCGTACCTGACAACTCTGCGGGATTTTGACTTGTCTTCTCAGCATTGAGGTCCCTTGCGTTAGAATCACTTGTCACCAATTTTTGCAGCTGGTGACGAGCCCTCATTACATGGACACATGTGCTACTGTGATCTTTACTACAACTCCAGTGTCCCTCTCCTGTATTTGACCCTGTGTGACGGACTATAGCTCGACTTTTGATGGCTGGCTGATTAGGTAGTGACACCAAGAAAACATTCATTGAGATGTCATCGTCAACTGTCTGGCGAAAGAATAAAACCACAGGCTCTTTATCTCATAGAAATAAGTCCTCAAGTCAACATAAAATGCTGCCAAGTCCCAAAAAATATCATACTCACCATTGTAGCAAAAACTGGTTTTATCCTGGGGAAAACATTCTTCTCCGAGCTCTTCGAGAAACTGAACATGCATACATTCATTTGCTTTTGGACAAAAGCAGACAATGACCCATTCTGAGCTGATCTTCTTCATTTGAAGATGGTACCAGGTATCCTGTTTGGAGAGTATATTTGTTACTATATGTGTATGCCCTGGCCCAATTGAGAAACATACCATACATGATTGATTCTTTGCATCCCAACCCTGAACAACAAAGATTGTGCAGCTGATTTGATAGATTGGAACACACCCCGCCAACGCGAGATCTGCAAAATTCTCATAGCCATTTGCAAGATTTGTCCCAGGAGTTCCAGATTCTTGAGCAAGTACAGGCCGGGTTGGTGAATCTACAAAGAGCATAGCCTGAGTAGCATTGAAGTCAGTGATGTCGCCCTGACTTTCATCATGCATTCCACTGTCTTCAACCACTCATTTCCTCTTGGATTGTCGACTCTTCACCATTCTCGGAGCCCCAGTGTATCGCGATTGTTTTTCTGGAGTGAAAGTGGAAGCCACGTCAAGCAAACACAGGGCCTTAGTTTTGTTAGTAGTAGAGTAAGCATGTAAGCCTAAAGGATTTGTGATTCCTACATAATCTGTTGCAACAGTCGCACCGGGGCTCAAGACATAGTTGATGGTCGCAATACTAGCAGGCCTGGGGGTACTACTTGACACGTATTGGGATGGTGAGGGCGGGGGTGTAGTCACAAACATTTGTTGAGGTGATATACTCAACTTGTTGAATCTCCGTATCTTCATCTCTTCATGGTCCAGCGAGTGTTAATTGTAGCACATTTGAACTTGGTACCACGTGTCACCATTTTTCCTTATTGAGATTGCGATCTAATCGGTTTGATCAGCCACTCATGATCAGTACTCAGTATGGTTTTCTATGACTCTCGCTCAGCTGCCTGTTGGCACCTCAGGTATATAGTTTCTCTACACCATACTCCAGCTCTGATCTGCCACACCCAGAAAATTTCCATCAGACCTCATATATAGCGATGGGAGGCATGTCTTTGCCTTGCTCATCTTTTGCGCCAGGTCATTCATTATGCCTGCCTCAAATACTGGTAAACCTCTTTGACACTGTTGAAAATGCCCCGGTCATCCGCCTATGTCATTGTGTCAGCACACTAAGGCTGGGAGGATTCATCTACAGTTTGTAAGTTCCACTCACTTGTTTTTTATTTAATATAACAGACTCTGACATTTTGTATTTAACAATTTAATACAACATCAGGTTCAGGCCGACAAGGGAGGAGGCTCATCTACCCACCAGACCCAATTAGATGCACCTCAAGCTGAAACCGGGACTCCAGTAGTAGAAACTTTCCAAGAGCAACATGTAGTTATGTCTGATGTCCTTTCCTCAATTCATGAAGATAGTCCAGCCTCAGGTCCGAGCAACACTCAATGCTTGCCCACGCTTGCCATAGGGCCTAGCATGGTATCACAGTGCAGTACAGTACAACCGCCGCCGCCAATAGGACCTGAAACTGCATCCACAGTTTCTGTAAGTTTTTTCTCTTTTTCTTAAGATTCCAAACTGACTTTTGAATTTCTATATTACACTCGCAGGAGCACAATATTGATCCCGTGCTACTCCACCTTGACGCACCTCAATCTCCCAATCCTTTCCAGCAAACACTCTCCTTGCCTGAAACCCCGCAATCATACCTGTCTCGTGAATCCGAAGCTGTAACTGGGTCAGACATGACCAACAGTAGCTATGCAGGAACTTGCTGAAACCAGCCTGAAAAACCCACTTTATGGTTGCATTGAGGGAGCAAAGAGAGGTGTGAGTGATTGGCGTGAGTGATTCATATTTTGTGCTAATTTGTAGTTGACAAAATCTTTTATATCAAGCTATTCTACGTACCACACGGCTCAGACCCTTTTTAATGACATCAAAACAAGCATCTGCACGGTTTGCAAGATGCATGGAGGATCTGGTTGTGCATGTAAGGTATCTTGTTGCCCACTTACCACCCCTTGCTAATGTGCTCTACTGACAGGCCGAACGTCTCTCGCACAAAAAAAATTGCTGGCTGCTCTTAGCAGCCCAGCATCCCCAGGTCAATGCCCATTTTATCCACATCTCCTCGCTTGCGTTGTGAGGCCAAGGCTGACACTAACCAGATTGTGAACTCATTTGCCGACACTATCAACAACCTTCAGAATGCTCGGCGAACCGATGCCATCGAGTTGTCGCAAAAACTCTCAGAAGCTAATCGGTCTAAGGAACGGGCAGAGGCTGAGTTAGCTAGACAACAGGTTGACCTTGCAGAAAAAGATGCATTGATCTCTGAATACAGAAGCCGGCTGGGGTTGTCTTAATGTGTAGTTTCATTTGATATAGTGGTGATGACAATAAATTTGTGAATGATTGCCTACCATTCCTACATTGGCCGTATCTATGCTAAATTGTAAAAATGCAACTTTTCCTAAGTTTAAATGACACATCAGATATATTTCTGAAGGAAAGCGGCAGGCCTGTATGCTACAGATTACATATAGATTAATCTAGAACCACCTGGCAACATTCTACCGGGAGATCCTCCAGCTCGCTCCACAGATCTGTACTCGAAGACTTTGAGCTTGCATCTTGTGGGTCTTGTGGGGGATATGGATCCCTCGGCCAGGACGGCCCTCCAGGCCTAGGAACAGGATGCAGGCGGTTTAGCAAATAGTTCTGCCTGTACTTCACAATAGCCTCTCAAAATGTACCATACTTCTTATATACATTTCCTGAAACACCGTTGTCACGAACTGAGACATCATCCCTGCCAGAGTGATCAATCCCAACACGTAAGTCATGAGTCTGTACTGGACTTACCATGAGTAAAATACCCCAACTTCTTGCCCCACAGAAATCACAAAGAACCCTTCAGGTTCTATTCCCGGATCTGGGGCATGGACATTATCAGGATGTGGGATACCTGGATTGTCAACATCTCTGTCAACAACCCTAGGCGTTGAGTTGTTGAGGGGTGGTGGCAAGACTATGTGGTTGCACTGCAATTGTTGCACCAACCTCTGTCAATTCTTTGTAGTGGAGGTGGTTGTACTGGTTGTGGTTGTGGTTGTGGTTGTGACACTACAATTATTTGATGTTGTAATCGTAGTGGTAGTGGTAGTAGTTGCTGTACCTGTTATAGAAAAAGACATTAAAAACGAATCTATGTATGTAGTATAGTATGCACCTTTATCATACATTGGCGCTCAACTATATGAGCAATGATCGTCAAAAAAAATGTTTCAATATATCTACCATACTATCATAAAAGATCGTGCTTGACTAACTGATAAAGGCCTTGCCTTCATTCCCTCCCCGACATTTCACAATGTTTGTCGTTCCCGAACAAGCCCAAGGTGAGAACCTGTGATTTATAGGAATAGTCAGTGATTGATTTACTGGTGACTATTGTTACGATTTCTATTGGACATTTAAGGACTACTCATTTTACTTTATTCATTGGTTATACCATTGGACTGATGACTCATTTCCTTCACATACACTCCCGTTCTTCTCGCATTTGCATTACCTATTATAGTACTTAGTCCTTAACGGACGGACCTGCCCTAGATAGGACCTAACTCCTATCACCGATTCTTTCCATTATAAATACACATGCAACAGTAGTAGTATTCTCCAATACAATCCTATGCAGTTTACGCTTACAAAGCTAGACTCTTAAGATCAAGACTTCTACTCAGAAGAAGACCAACTCTCGTTGGAAGAACTCAACTCTGCACTACATTCTCAAACTTGTCCTCGGATAAGTCTCTTTACAAAACCTCGACGAACCCTCGGACTTTGTTAAGCACTTTGTGCGTAACAACTATTAGCCAGGCAACAGGTCACTCACGAAGACATGAGGAAGGTAGCGGCAGAGTTTGATTGGAAAATTGCCGAAAAAAAAGCTGAAATCAAAGAGATCGTTAAGAAGAGAGGGAAAATACAGAGAGGTGGTGGAGTAGGTACATCAGTATTACTGCAGACTTGACAGAGTCGAGCTTACCTTTTGAAAGGCCCTTTGATCACCGCCCAATCTGAACTCACAATGCTCGAAAAGGAACAGCTCCATGCAAAAGAAAGACTACAGGCTGCAAAAAGAGGTAAAGTAGAACATGTTCAAGAAAAGTGTAGAAACATATGATATTACCTATTCTAGACGATAAAAATCAGCAAAGAAATACCAGAAGCATTGAAGGAGAACATGATGAGGGCAATAAAACCAACAAGGAATGTGAGGCGCAGGAAGACACAGCGGGGGGGGCGGGAGAAAGTGTGGCCAAATGCGAGGCCGCAGAAGGCGAAGTTGCAGTTTGTGAGGTCACAGAACAAGAGCAGGGGGAGCTTGAGGCTCAACAAAAGGAAGGGGGTGAGGAACACGAGGTTCCAGCAGAAGGTCAGGATGGCCTAGCTGAAGAAGAGGGGTCTGGAGGACAAGCTGATCTGGCTGCAAAGTTAGCGAAGGTGGAAGCAGAGCTCAAACAGATGAAAAAAGAGTCAGGGAAAAAAAGAGGACGAAATGAAGACTTAATTGACGGAGGAGACGACGAGGACATTGATAAAGGACCCAAGAAAAAGAGGAAAGCCAGACAAAAAGAAGGAAGTCACCCACCTCAAAAGGACGAGACATCAGAAGGTAATAATGGTAATAATATAACAAAAAAAGACTGCCAGTGACTGATTTGATGCTGTAGAAAAAGAAAGGCGAGGACAACTGGAGATCAAGAAATTTCTTCAAAATCCAAATGGATTGACAATTGATCCTGTCATTCGAGCACATATTAGGGCAAGTGCTGATCATTTCCCTGAAGCTGCACGAACCTCACGCCAGCTTGCTCTGCACTGTCTGACCACCAATCGCGAGAACATCATATGTCTCTTCCACCAAGACAACGACAAAACCGACTCCATTGCAAGTGAGATGAGATTGAAATATGTCATTTCAGGGACACCTCATGTTCAACAAGTCAACAGGTTGAAAGTTAATCAAGTGGAACGTGTGGCCAATTATCTCCATTGTGGATGTCCAGAGGACACTGCCCTATTTGACTTCTACTTGTGGAAATGTCTGCGAGCCACAGACGCTGAAGGGAACAACAAGGAGAGTTTAAAGGACCAAGTGATTCCGCCACGCTTGCGCTACTTTCTATATGAGGCAATGCAGGATTTCAGAATAAATATCGACATGCTCTACTCCTACAAAAGCAAGAACACAGAAGCCCAAAAAACATTATTGCGCCAGTTTATTGGTTGTGCAGTGGATAAATTGCACACTCTTACTGAGAAGGATGGCGAAGACAAGGAAGTTTTTGGGTTGGAATCGGGCACTAGTGCAAGTTTTGCCACACATTATTCTCGTCACAATCCTATTAGCTACTCCTCTCCCAGAGGAGCCACACCTTCAGAATCATCAGAGTCAGACTAGTTATAGAACAGCTACATAGTCAAAACAATTTTCCTACAGGCTAACTTCATGCAAACCAAAGAAATTGTGCAAATCACTGATTTGAAACAAAGAGCTTGCTAGTATTCAATATGGCAATATTGTGTGAACAAAATTATATCAAAACAAAAACAGAGCGAGGATTTGAACCCTCGAGTCTCATTTCACTGTGCCACACTGTGGTCCGACACAAAAAACCATGTGAGCCTTGCAAGCTAACCAAAAAATGTGGTTCCATGCAACTACCACGTAGTGTGAGGCAACAATAAACTATAACTAAAACAGAACCTGTCTCCTACTGCACTTGCAGGGAGTAAGAGGTTCAATGAGCTTTGAGGTTGACAGACGCTAGTAAATATAGCAAGTAGAGGACTTGGGAGTAAACTCAAGGGTTTTGGTTGAGGAGTAAAGCGGGTAAACTCAGTAATAGAAAACTAAAGAGCTATACATGCAATATGTAGGGTTTATATAGCTAACTGTCCGTTCCTTTAGACTAAAAGGAGAATAGATGAAAAGTGGTCTGAGGAATAAATTGTCCAATAAGAAAAAGGGAACAACTATCGTACGACTTTAACTTGATTAATCAGCAGGTGAGAGAATTGTACTAATAATAGATGTTTGTCACGCATGTTCAGGAACCGTATCCTCATGATGAGGTACGATCCTGATCAAAGTGTTTATTAGTATATCCAGGCCTTGATGGGGGTTGGAGCTGGTTGGCGAGATGCCTACTACCAGTCCCTACCCATCATGCTGGCTGGCTGGGAGTGACCAGTCTTTGATCTGTGATATAAAGTGGTAGCGGTGGTTAAGAAAGCCTATGAGGGCTATGAGAAGTAAGATAGCAAACAATACCTCTAGCCCTAGAGCCAGAGGTGTAATGGGAAAAGTGTTCGAGAACCAAGACATAGAGAAGATAAGAAAAAGGTAAAATGGTCCTTACACGTGGTTTTGCAACTGTGCAATTGTGCAATAATACCAAACCAATTGTATAGATATGTACACAGAAACCATATTACCCAGGATGATTTCCAGGAACCATATTGTGCAATTGCAGTACAGAATTGTCTGACCATACTGCTAGATATGGTCAGGGAGTACCAAACCAATTGTATAGATATGGTACACAGAAACCATACTACCCAGGATGATTTCCAGGAACCATATTGTGCAGTTGCAGTACAGAATTGTCTGACCATACTGCTAGATATGTTTCATTCATATTGAGATATGGTGTTATGTACATGTATCATCGTGTATTATTGTATACAGTAAAATGTCACCATACTGTGCAATCATTACGGTGGGCTGTGAACCTGCGTGGGGCAAATGTCATATGTGGCTGAAAGTGGCATGTCGTGAGTGTTTGCACGGCCGGACATGTGTCGGCTGCCCCCGAAGCTCCGATGTTCGCTTATGTAATATAATTTCTACAATAGTCACTGTGTACTAGTACGTCACGATCTCTATTATACTATGATCTATCAACCTTGCTAATCACAGACGGTGCTGCAACAGTGTGTCACTGGCACCGAGCTTATCATTGACACTGCCAGTGGCAAGCCCTTCAGCGCTTCAGCGAGTCTAAGGCTGTTCCTTGGAACCCCTATCATATAATATACGTTAAATGCAAGAGGGGCCGCAGTAGTACAAAAAAGTGCACTGCAATGCCCCTAAGCCAGGCATTGCCATTGACAGTCATGCAGATGCCCTCATTCACTTGCTCAGTCGTGCGAAATAATGCTATTGTTCTACACAGATCTCTGGCGCCTTCGTACCGCCTGGCAGTCTCTTCCATACTATCCGACTGTACTTCTTTCAAGCACTATCGCTTCCCAATTACTTCTAAAACACTCACGCTTTCTTACAATATTATTTTTCAAAAGTTCGAACACGAACAGTCCAGCCTGCCTGTCCTGTAACATAAATTACACGAGCTTTACTGCTCCTAATATAAATATTAACATAACAGTTCGTCAGTATGGTCCGTCACCCCGTATTTCCATGCGTAATCCGACACACAGCATTGCTATCCTAAATAATATCAGATGAGATTGGAACAACTACCTATAGCGATAAAACGAAGACAACAGTGCTGATGATGACAGTAAGTGTGCTAAATGAATGTTTGGGCAATGCTGCGCTAGAGGTGCGATCGCCTTCGGCGGTGGCAGACGCAGAAACAGACCCTATAGTTGGCGTTGGGGCAGCGGCATTCACTCCGTTCATCGCGAGAGCCGTTTCGGAGAGCGCAGCAAACCCAACAGATGCAGGGTTATAGCGGAAAACAGAGTAGACGTTTTTCTACCATGGTATCGTTAGCTTTTATTAATGATGCCGCAGTTGTCAGACTCACAAGGAAAGTGTCGCCTATTATCCAAGAGGGAGAGCCATCGGAATTACCGCTACCGCTTTCCGCCACAAAGAACGCACCGATACACTCAGTAGTACTACCTTCGAGCTGCGTATACTGGAAATCCGCGGGACTGATGGCCCAGGTGTTACCACCAAAGTTCAGGGACACGTCAACAACGGTATTACACGCTGGATATGTCAAAATGCTCAGTCCGCATTCAGGTCCAATTGAGTCAATACGTTATACTCACGATAGCTATAGTAACCTTGATAATTGTCAGACGTAATCGCGGCGGAGCCTGGTATTTGTGCATAAATGGATGCAATGGAGTCTGATGGTCCACCAACGTTGGTTGTGCCAGTGTCGATAGCAGCATAGGCGGAGTTGGTATTGATAGAGGTACCTTGAACAGTGACAGCTACGAGACGTCAGAATTCTCCTTGCATATAGTGTTTAAGAAAGACTAACTTTTGAGAGGCAGAAGCCACCATGAAGATGAAATGACATTTTGATAGTCAATTGAACCAGTGTATAGACTCTGATTAGTGTATCCTACGTGATAATGATAAGTCAGAGGAAGAAAAAGGGAGAAAACAGTAATTTTACCCATTGTGAAGACTCCTCCGGGTTCCAAACTCTGGGGATTAGTTGCGTTGAGAAAGCTGTATAACAACGATTGATATCGTATACATAAGCACAAATTCAGTTTGATTATCGTACCGTGTTAATTGAAAGGACATGAGCGGCGAATCCCAAGAGTTACTACTGGCCAGCGTTTGCCAAAATGGAGTTGCGCCCGACTGTGCTATAGACTGCCACGCAAGACCCATCAAACCAGATACTGGACTAGTGAGAAGATTTTGTGACACGGCATCAACGACAGCTTTATGTTTGATAGTAGTGAGTACGACGATATAAAAGGGAGATGGTTTGACTAACCAAACACCTGGTTGTTAACAGAGAATCCAGCCATTTGAACGATATCTTGTCCGAGGGTACCTTCAGCTTCGCCCTCGCCATATTGAATAACAAAAGATTGCGACAAGTTTTTAAAACTTGATGAACTTGCAGCATTGAAGGTATTACTCTTCGTACAAGCTGCTCCACAGGCTGCGCTAGCTACCCAAAGATCACTGAAGTGACCCGTTACTCTCGGAGTTCCTGGATTACAACAAGACCGCTTACGATGAGCCAGTGTCTAGTATAATATCGAATGAGACAGGAGGGGTTCCAATTGCAAGAGACCCAAAATAACTGCAATAGTATGTTAATGGAATGGGAGAAAGATCTACGATATACGCACGAAGAGTCATAGTCCTGGTCGACGATGCTAATGACAGAGATTAGCGGCTGCCTGATATGCCCAGCAAATGAATTCTGCTTACAGGTTCATTCCAGTACTTCTCTTCTGTTGGGAAGATCGACTATACTTTGCTGCGAGTGCTTGCCTTTGCTTCTTGGCATGCATCGCCCATTCTGTTGCGTTGCGAGCTGCACGGGTTCGTCTTACAATAGGAATTGATAGTCCACCAGACGATGCAGATGGTCGAGGTGCCCCGAAAGCCTCCCATGAGAAAGATAGTAAGATTACTGATACAAGGGATAACGAAGGCAGCATTTTGAGCCTGTGATTGAAGTGGCCCAGACGGTAAATAGGGAAGCAAGAGTATAAGCAGGAAAATGCGGGCAGAGAAGGCAGCGACGGTGGGATTGGAGGGTATATAAGCCTGGAGGGATAACACCTTTAGTCGACCTGCGAAATGGGCGGTGGAATAGCCTTTTACTTGGACAAGACACTGCGGAGCCCTATGCGCAGTTCATAACGACACCTGGCTGCGGCACCTGCGGGTAATACCTATACCCACGAACTTACTTCCCTTGTATAGGTTGTCACACGTCACAGATCAATAGCAAAAACAATCAAGTGATCAATCAACAATTGGACACGATAACCGTCTGGCCCTCTTTCTAAGCACTACCGCTACCGCACATATCTGTGTTGCGGGTATAGCACTTTTATTGAAGCAAAAAGGTTGACTTTAGGTGACGTTGAAATTTCTGTCGTGTTTATATCATCAAATGTCACAGGAATTGATATCTGCTCCAAGGTCTCACGCATATATTTCGCTTACAGCATTGTCATGTCTCATTACGCCGAATCCGACACATAGGGTATTCCACCTTACTGTTCCTGTCGAGTGCATGGTACAGGCTTACAACGCCAGGCCACCGACATGTATGTAACAAACACTCAGGTCAGACTTATGGACACTTTCACCGTTGCCACCAGTGGAATAATGCGTATGCCACGCCAAGGAAACATCATGTATCAATTGTCACACGATCATACAACGAAATGACGATTTCAAGAATGCTGGCCTACTCCCTACAGAAATGCAGGTCGACCCACCGTTCCTTCTGAATCTGCAAACCATGTTTGCCAAAGTAGCGTTCACTCTCAAAGTACCAACAATCAATTGCTCTGACCCAATTTCCGACCCCCCAGACATAACGTTCTAGTTCCGGACCTGCCAATGGCACGCGCTTCATTGTTTTCATATACCGTTCAACAAGACTGGCGTGTCGCATCTCAATCCAGTGCATGGCGCCGTGGATATCGGAATGCATCTCGTGCATAACATTCGTGACAATATTATGTACCCGATGTCCCGTGTCCCGTTCCACGATGTAGGACACCATATCCTGTTGGTAAAAACACTGAGGTATAGGAGCTAATCGATATCTTTGGTGCGAAACCTTACATTACCCAGAATGATGAAATCAACAGCCAGCCGCTCTAACTCTAGCACAGCCTCGTGATTGAGCAAGTTTTCGTCTATATCGGTATCCAGCTCAAGGAGAGCAAAGAAAGGGTACGCTCCCGCTGTACCCCTCCGAACAGTAAGGTAGTCCTCGATGCCACGGATTTTACCAAGCCGTCTATCTTCCGCTTCTTGAACAACTGCGGTCGTGTACACGTCCATGGTTTCCACGAATCGAACTTGTGCATGATGAGATGCGGTCTGGATTGCGCGAGCCCACATTCTGTGACAACCAGCAAGTTAAAATGATGCCAAGAAGAAGTACGTCTAGTCCCTTACTGGCGAGCCATTTCACCGAGAAGGCATTCGCCGCTAGGACGAGGTTTGTTTGGGTTTCTCAAGGCATCCATGATAATATCTCGTTGCGCTTGAACGCCATTTTCATCTTCAGCATCAGAGTACGCATCAAATGCGAAGGCGAAGTTCATGACATCAGCACAAGTGCGCAGCCTTTCTGTATGGAAGAGAGAAGGCTCTTCGGTTACTGTTTATAGGAACTTGTTGGCGACGAAACAGACCTTTATCAAACTTCGGGTACACGAGCGCAGCGCAAAGATCTTGAAACAGAATTACCGTCAATGTGCTGACTTGTATATGTATATCAGGAAGGATGCTGCTCACTAAAGTCGCAGGCATTGAAAGCCTTTTGCGTTTTTCCATCAAAGGCATGGAAACTCTCTACCCACGCCGACGATTCCGCTTTCACCTCTTCATAAAGAGGGTTAATTTCTCGCTGCCAAGGCCATTCTACCAGAGTGTCCGGAATGCGAAAACGCTCCGACTTCTGATCAACATTTGGCATCGTGATGAAAGGTGTGTTGAATATTACAAAATGGTATGGGCTGATAATGTTGGTATCCCAATCTCATCCCCCAGTTCGTTTTATCCTATCTGGACTTTCTTTTCAGTACCAGATGCAGATGTCCGCCCGTAAATTTAGGGAGATTACCATATGTCCTTCATTTGCGCTGCTTGGGAAATACAGCTTCTCAAAATCATCCAGTCTAGGCGATATCTAACTCTGCTACTTTACTATAGAGATAACTCATTGGTTGGCACTTGAGGCCTATAGTTGTTTCATGCTCGGGTAATCGTAGGCCGGTAGTGGTCGTACCACACGGGGTATACGAACATGCGAGATCACTCCATTCTCACATATAAAGCGGGCTTAACGTCTCAAAACTACAGTAGACATATGACCAGATATTCTCGATGGATTTTGGCGCGACAGCTCCACAGAATGTACAGTTCGGAGGACCCCCACATCTGCGAAACTGTCAACGGTTATTGGGTCAACAAATGAGATCTATGGCTTTCCATATTTCAAACAAAGCCCTCGGTCATCACGGACCGTTCGAATGCTGTATCCGTATCTATAAAGCATGAACTTTCCCTTGTTCAACTTTACCAAAAAAGATAAATCAAGTTTCCTGTCAATGGCAAACCACCAAGATAAATGATGAAATGATGACAAAGCATCCGTGAAGATTCCAGTCACATCCTTACGAGCTTGACACCCATTACTTACAGCGTACCGGTGGTTAATGGTTAATGCGCAAGTCATGCACGTACCAAGGCGTCTTTGTAGAAGAATGCGTTACTCACACCGGTATCAGTGGTTAATGGTTAATGCGCAAGTCATGCATGTACTAATGCGTCTTCGTAGAAGAACGTTATTTATACTCGAGAACTCAAAACGTGTCTTCACGTCTCTTTCAATGCTGGTGACGACGCCTTATCATCCCGCATATCCGTGGCCACCATAGGAATAGTAAAAAATGTACGTTCCAGTGACGCTCTTTGACAGCTTGGGGTGCACTTATTAAGGAAGGGAGCTGATCATGATGAATGATACCTGCACCGGGTGTGGAGCCGTACGTAAAGCAGGAACACTAAACTGGCTTCTGTTCTCGCCTCGTAGCCATTCTCTCGCCGGTATTTTCGCCGGTGGTATCTGATTGATGATGGATCAGAATCCGTCCAAGCACTTTAGGTAAAATGGTGAAGAAATCAGCTTTCTTGAGTTTGAATTAACCATAGCGCTTGAAGTGGCAGCCGATAATGCATTATCCAGTGAAGCCTTTCAGGCGCTGGTCAGACGCTACCTGGTCGGGACGGCGTGACTCGGGACGAAGAGAAGCCGCCAAAGAGCGTCTTTTACTTTCAAGTGGGGACGCCTTATACGGTGTGCTATATACCACCACCCCAACAGCTTTCGATATTCGATGATCAGTGATATAATAATCCAGTCAGCGTCTACAAGGAATCTACCGTGAGTCCGTAGAGTCATTATCCCAGTGCCTTCGTCTGTTAGTAAAATAAATACAGTCCAGATCCGGTGGACTCGACATGTTATCCAAAGAGATCCAAATTTAAATCAGAGTAATGGTCCCGGAGACAGCAGCTAACACCAAAGAATATACGAAGAACGGACGTAATCTCCATGCTGCACTAGTGCTGGTCTCATTGGCCACACTAGCGCTCGCAGTCACCGAGGTTAGAACAGGACCAACGCTGGGCGTGGGCGCAGATCCATTCGCACCATTTAACGCAAGAACTGTTTCTGACAGCGTCGCAAAACCGACAGAAGGAGGGCTATAGCGAAACACAGAGTATACACTTTTCTATGAGGATAAAGTCAGCAACAAAATGTTTATCAGAAACCAAGTCGCTGGAGAGTAAACATACGAGGAATGTATCGCCTATGACCCAAGGGGTTGAGCTGGTGACCTCGTAAAATGCACCAAGACATGACGAGCCGTTCGAATCGATGTAAGCGTATCGGAAATCAGAAGAATTTATAAACCAACTCGGTCCCCCAAAGGAAATCGACACGTTCACTTGAGTATCACATGCTAGGGTTGGTGTAAAGTCATCAGTAAGGCCGAGGTAAAATAAGGACACGGTCGTACGATAACTATAGAAACCTTCTAGTCCTACACAGGGCTGCGAACCTGGAATTTGTGCATAAATGGCTTGAATTTGTGCACTTGGGCCTACAACAAGGCTCGTCCCAGTATCGATGGCGCCATAGGCTGAGCCGGTAGGAATCTCAATCGAAGTATTTTGCACGGTAATGGCTTACAAATCTTCCGCTCAGAAGCGCAATATGAAAGGTCAAATGAACGCACATGTAATAGGCAAAGCCCAATATGGAGCCAGATTATCCAAGATTGGCTGATAATCAATATTACCGACATATAAACTGTCGTTGAGAAAACCTAGGAGCACGGAGAATGAACGATGAATGGGTATCTCCATTTGAAACTTAACATCGTCGTACCCATCGTGAAAGTACCTCCTGGCCTAGTTACATTACTCGCGCTTGGGGGATAACTGCAAAATACCGGTGTAGCTTTTGACGGTGGATACCAAGCCAACTCACTGAGAAATTTGAAAAGCCATGACGGGTGAATCCCAGACGCCGCTATCTGCCAGAGTTTGCCAGAATGGCATTGGATCACCTGGCTGTTGCCATCCGAGCCCAACAAGCCCAGAAACGGGACAGTTTGCTAAACGTACTGAAGTAGAATTGACTATACCTGTCGTTTTCAAAATGAGTTAAACATACGTACAGGTCATAATAGTATGAATTATACGAACCAAACATTTGCTTTTCGACTGCAAATCCTGCCATTTGTACAGTGTCTTGAGCATACATCCCAGAGACAGTCCCGCTACCATATGAACTAGAGAAAGGATCCGACAGATTCTGTGATGTCGACGACAGCGCAGTGTTATAGGGCACAACTTGTGTACCGTCGATATCGCAAGGCGTGGCATTCACCCAAAGGAGACTGGTTCGAAGTTGAGTTGGTGAGAAAACAGAAGTGGCCGATACGCACGATGAGCCAGTATCAAGTGTCACATCGAATAAAGCGGGTGGGGTGCCAATAGCGAGTGATGCGAAGTAGCTGGAGGGAGATTAGGACGGTTCTACAGAAAATACACGAAAAACGACCTAATATCATCCCCCTGATTTCCAACCCTAAGGAGATTTTGTAAGTACTACACCCCAAGAAGCCTCAGAGATCTCACAAGTCTGTCCCCGAACTCCTCCTGGAAGGTTGTGACGTTGTACCTCCATACTTAGCTAAAACTGCGTTTCTCAGATTCCTAGCCCGAGATTCCCACCCTTCGTTGCTGGAAATTGGAGAAGGTCGCTTTTGTAGCTTGACGGTCTGTCCCGACGTTGAATATATAAGTGGAGAATCTGCGACAGCTTTCAACAGAAGAGACGGCAGGGCAATAAGCACAAGAACTACTTTTCCCCACATTACCAGAGAATGGGAACTGGAGTCGTTCACATTGCGAGTATTGAACGTTATGTTTATATAAGAATGCAGTGAAATAGTTAGAACGTTCTCACAGGACACAGTATCGTCGAATTTGACCAGTTCAACAAGCGCTGTGATCGTGATGGCCTAGATTCGGATTCTATTTCCCTAGCCCCTGAAGCCATATTGGTCGACAATTATACATCAATCAGAAACTTGAAGCACATCCATCAAACCAAGATGATATGTGACATTCAGGTCGAACTTGAACGTTTGAACGTTGAACCGTGTCAAGTACATGTCGAACACGAACAAGAACAGACCATAATCGCGGAGTTGTTACGCGGTGCGCCTCGTCCACCCTACCAATAACCAATCACAGGATTTCGCTGTTAGGAAGTAGTTAGAACCACACAGCTGATCTGACGCTATTGAGAATACAGACAATCATATGAAAAATCCATAATTATGAGATGGATTCATATCAACGGCGCATCCTTGGGAATGCTGATCAACAACGGCTGTAACATACACACGCTGTTTGCTCTGGAGCACAGTATCGTGGTCAATAATGCTGCTTCTATGATAGTCCCAATCAACGTTTGCTAATAGCGCTATCCCAGTTTGACACAACGTGAAACACGTATCAGCATCTATTGAACGTCGAGGGATATCGTCTTCTATGTCAACCACGACTCAATGACACGATGACTGTGCCACCGACAAGGAATATGTTGATTAATTCGTATCTCTGGTTGATTTATGAGCGGAGACAGATTGATGAGTTCCGAAAAAAGAAACAAACAGACAAATAGGACTTGTGACATGGTTAATTTATGAGTATTGATACATTCCAGAAATTGACAAGGTCTCGAGCAATTTACCTGACCGTGAATTTGCTACTGGCACATGTGAGTGATCAGTATAGTATTCACGAGATTTATACCCACTTACGTTAAATAAAAATGACTCGTTCGAAAATTTCTACCCCTACAGTCGCTCTTAATGACCCCCATCTATTTCAGCGGTAGGCTGACTGTGACTACCATTTGATCCAACGAGACTAACATGTTGATGAGCCATAGACTTCCTGTATTCCACTAGCATTTCTATACTGATCATCTTCAGCCCCCAACGATCTGCGAATGCCCTACAATCGTCCCTTCGCGCCATGGAGCCCTGTTCGTCGTCATTGACCAGTTCGCACAGCACGCCTCCAAGAGGCTGATTGGTCAGCATGCAAAGGTCGACGCCAGCCTCGGTGTGGCCTTTTCGAGTAAGTACTCCACCTTCGCGTGCACGAAGAGGGACAAGATGTCCGGGTCTGGTGAAGTCGCTGGCATCGGCAGACGGAGAAACCAGGGCACGCGCAGTAAGGGAACGATCATGTGCGGATATACCGGTGGATGTTTCTGTTCGTACAAAAAGACATTATTGACAAATAGTACAGTACACGCAGTATAGACTCACTATGCTTGTAGTCTACGGTTACGGTGTAAGCTGTTCTATATCTTTCTTCATTTTGGGGTACCATCATAGGAATATCCAAACTTTCTAGCAGTTGGCCTGGCATCGATATACAAATATATCCACTGTTGAAAGGAGGAGTGAGAACCGGGTCGCAAAACAGAATGAAGATGCGCTTGTACCTCGTGTGCTTTATCATCCACGCCATTTTTTCTGTGGTACATTGGCTAGCGGACATGATCAGATCACCCTCGTTTTCCCTATTTTCATCGTCCATTACGACCAAAAATCCCCCAGAGGCAAATACAGCCAGAGCTTCATCTATAGGGTCGAATGCAAACGAAGTCCTTTTGGGTCCATCGGTCACTTGTTTCGGGGGCAAGCGATAATCTTGATGCAGAGAAGACTCGAGATGCTGGTGAGCTATACTTGTAACGGCTTCGCCGGAGGCTGAGTGTACCATATTGACAATTGTAAGGTTCGGGACTGAGGATATGGATGACGATTTCGGTAATAGTGTATATATGCAAACTTCGGAAACAAGATGTTATGCTGGCGGGCTCACAGGATGGTTGGTCATACACAAACACGAGAATGAGGATATTTGCGTGCGTTCCTGTGTAATCTTTGAATCATAGACCGATGTGATCCGTGTCCATGGTAAGTGAAAGTACGGAGACGAAACGGCTTTCCTCTGCCAAAGTCCTTTTTTCCATTGACTCAGCTGTAATGCCGCTGCCTAGCCGCCACCCAAAAGCCGAAGCCGTGCCGAAGCGAGGCAGACGTGGGCATTCGGCCATTTGCGGAAGAGCGAACCGGAACAGCTGCCTACAATTTTTGAGCGCAACACGGCCACATCTTCCGCATCCTCTTCCTCTCTCACTTCGAGCCTCTTTACTCCCCCGCTTCGACTTGGACAGGACATCCCAGTCAAGCAGCCCTAGAACATCACTTAGAGTCTTATAACTCAGGCTAATATATTCACGATGTCGCATTTGGCACCAACTGGTAAATGGGATGCCAGGTAAGTTGCTCGTCGCGTCAACTCGGCATTTTTTTAAAACTCACTTTTCTTCAAGGTACCTTGGCCCCGTTCCTCACGACTCTTCATATTATGCAAAGTGCATGCTCGGTGGTGTCCTTGCATGTGGTATCACACATGCTGGTATCACTCCTCTCGATGTTGCCAAGTGCAACATGCAGGTATGTTCATATCAACCTTATACAACCTTTTCTTTCTTGACGAATTATACGCAGGTCGACCCCGGAAAATACAAAGGTCTCACTTCTGGTATCGCCACTCTCCTCCGAGAAGAGGGTCAGACTGGTATCTGGAAAGGTTTTGGTCCCACCTTTGTCGGCTACTCTCTCCAGGGAATGTTCAAATACGGTCTCTATGAGGTTTTCAAGGATCTATACATGAACCTTGCAGGTGAAGAGATTTCAAACCAATACAAACCTGCCATCTGGCTTGCTGGTTCCGCTTCTGCTGAGGTCTTCGCCGATATCGCCCTTTGCCCTCTTGAAATGACCAAGGTCAAGATTCAAACGAGTCCTAGTGGTACATTCCCTACTGCTTTCGGTGCTGCCCTGTCCCAGATGAGCAAGACTAAAATCGAAACGCGTTATCCTTTCGGTTCGCTCGTTCCTTTGTGGTCGCGTCAGGTCAGCGCTATTCCGCACCTGCACTTGGCAATTTTGACTGACATATTTTGTTTTTGTAGATCCCTTACACCATGGCCAAGTTCTTCTTCTACGAGAAGATCGTTCAACTCTTCTACACTCACGTCTTCACTGAACCCAAGGATAGTTACACCAAGACCACTCAACTTGGAGTTACTTTCGCCTCTGGTTACATCGCTGGTGTAGTTTGCGCCATCGTCTCGCATCCGGCTGATTCTATCGTCTCCTTACTTGGTAAACCCGCGAACAAGGGCAAGAGCTTTGGACAAATCGCCTCTGAGGTTGGTATCGTTGGTCTTGCCACCAAGGGTCTCGGCACTAGGGTTCTCATGATCGGTACTTTGACTGGTAAGTCTTATAGGTGTGAGATCATCGACTTGTTGCTTATACCTTTTTGTAGGCTTCCAATGGTGGATCTACGACTCATTCAAATCCTCCATGGGTCTCGGTACCACTGGTGGAAAGTAAACACGGCCTCACTGAAAATGTTTGTACCAGTGCATCATAACGCATATAATCTGACATTTTTGCTGACCTCTCGCTTGCAGGATATTAATTTGGGACGGACGTTTTTATTGTCACTATTACGACTAGTTTACCGGTTCATATTCGCTCTGGTTCATGTTTACTATTTACCCTTTTTTTTCGTTTTACATTTCTTCCACACAATAGAGAACACGAACGAACATACCCTAAATCCCCCCACTCTAAAACGTTCGCGAGAGCTATTCATGTTCATCGAAACTTGAAGGTTTGATTAAGTGGCCATTTTGGTCGGGTCGAAAGTTCTGCGCAAATTAGCTGACGTCATTCATTCGTTAAAAATGAAGAACAAGGTAACAAGCTAAATAGTCTCCTTTAGCCGACCAACATATTGATATGAAAGTCGATATCAATAATACAACTGGAAGGTAAACATGGACGGAGATCATCGAATGTCATTACTGTGGTACTTGAGATCTGATAGCGCCCATCGTGCATTATTCACAGTGGTGCGAGTTTCACGTTTATTACTGTGATGTTCCTTGTTGACCTTCTTGTTCAGCATCAATGATCACCCTGGAAAGACTCATGGATACGCCTTTATACATATCTCTTTCAAATAGGCTATGGCCGAGCTCTGAGCGCTGAGGCCTGAGCGCTGGCAATGATCAGGGAACTATAAATGTTTTCAAAAGACACCTGGAGGCACTGCTAACGCTAGCAAGCCGTAATGCGTTACCCGTAAGTCATGGCAGCAATACGGCTGGTAGCGGTGGAAAATATTCACCGAGGAATCCACAAGGTGCCCGCAAGAAAGAAAACCACAACACGCAAAAAGAACAAAATGTAAACGTCCTCGAGACGATGGCAGGTTGCGATCATTCGGCAGCCTGGTCGAATTAGCGTGCCGCGCTATATGCGCATTACTGTGGCAGCTCAGGCTTGTAGTCGTCATGAACAGCACCACACATCTCTGCATCATCGAACACGGGGTATTATAACCTCTTGTGGGACGGGCACTGTGTTAGGTGAGACTGCTCTACGGCTCCGAGCATCCTGGAACCTCAGATTGTAATAACTTTCCCTTACCCCTATGATCGTAGATCACCGGATGGCAACACACCGCGACTTCCCTCACGACGGAAGAGACTCTAATAGAACCCACAGCCTTTTCTCCTTTTTCTACGCTTTCCTCGGCCGATGACGTCGAGTAGGTCACCTCCGCAGTCCATTGTCCAGGAGCAGTACTCATCCGCGTCAATGATGCTGCGGACATGCATAGCTTGGAAGCAGAGTTCGGGCTTGGCTCATTGCATTGCTGTCGAGTACATCATGATTTTATGATTTTACGGCTGCGCATGTACAAACAGGGCTTGGAGCTGAAATAGATCTGAAGAGTATTATGGTAGGTTGCATTCAGTTCCACATATGTAGCATGACGGTATCTGATTTCACTATAAACTGCAGAGAAACTACATAACGGTTCGTACGTGTTTATATCTGATTCGGGAAGATCAAACGAAGTCCCAAACGTTTTAATGCAATCCACAAAACATAGGCCAAGGCAGATGGCATGATGCAGAGTAAGCCAGTCTGATATCATGATGGTTTTCAATAAGTACAATAATATTCTGATACAGATAGACTTGATCTAGACTTGATACTGGGACGGCGCAACGCAGGCAAATCCAGACATTCTTCTGTGATGAGGCTTACTGTAAGGTCCAGCTCTCCTATAGATTTCTGTCTAACCCACCCAGAGTTTTGCTATCGTCCTCCTGTGGCCATTGGCACCACAGGCAAGATAACTTTTTTTGCATCAAGCGCGGACAATCCACATTAGCTCAACGTCCAGCGTGCTGGTATGGAGAAAACCTCTGAGCACCCCACCTCCCTGAGGCCTCTCTGAAACCCCTTTCAAGCGAGCTGCTCCAATAAAATGTGTGCTTTTGTCCTTGAGTCTCTGTATCTCTCTTCCAGTCGACCTCTAACGCCTTTTATAGCAGTCACGCAGACGTGCCCAGCAGGCTGCATCCCGTACTGTTTGAAGGTTTCTTCGTTCTCATCCATCCATGTATACCTTGTCCTCAAGGCCCATAATAACGATAACAATAGGAACGCGTTTCTAAGTGGCATCATTGTACTTCATTGCGAGCTCTTCTTCTACTATCCTATTAACAACAGAGCTTTTCCCGACGCCAGTCTCGCCAAATATAATGACATTGCCACTGTCTTTACCTGTTCATGTTGCTTTGACAGTCAGGGTGAAGGTATAGGTTAACAGATGACGGTATACTGACCCACAAGAAAGCCCCAGAGTATAATAAGTACGTTCTTCACTCCTTTACAAGTTTGGTAGTACTGTCATGCTCAGAGGTATATAAGTATCTGAAGCCCCTGAATCGAGGAATTGGCGAGGTCGTCATAAAACATGTAGTTGTCGGTACGACGGCACGAATACAAAAGCTGACGAGAGGAGTTTCGATCAGCCTATGACCTCGGGGTCCTGGGTCTTGTATATTTGGCTTTTCCTACTAAATGCCCAGCCATTTTTTTTGTATTGAACGTCCTCCTCGCGTTGACCCTGAGCTTGTTCTGTTAAACAGTCATGCCAGTGAATATAAAAACTATATGGGGTACTCACATATCGCAATTGTCGTCACGCTGACTCGATGTATATTTATGCACCTAGTCAGCGTGATAACCGCCATTAGCAACCCAGGACTACATTGTGTACACGCTGACTCGATGTATATTTATGCACCTAGTCAGCGTGATAACCGCCATTAGCAATCCAGGACTACATTGTGTAGAGCTGTATAAGCATATCGAGATGGGCTGATAGTACCAGTGGCGGGTTTATCGAGGCAACGGGCCACATGTGAGTCGTTCAGGGGTTCGATCTTTCCTACTATTAAATGGCTGGACATTTTTGTATCGGACGTCAGATTTCCCAGCTCTTCTTGATGATTTGAAGAGCCCCTGATCATGAGCTTGTTCTGTTAAACAGTCGTACCCATAAATATAAAAACCATATGGGGTACTCACAGATCGCAATTATCCTCACGCGGACTCGGTGCATATTGGTACTATGTACCAAGTCAGCGTGATGGCATTAACAGCCTGGGACTACACTGCGTAGCTAAGCTGTACACATAGCGGATGTTGGGATGGTAGGACCAGTACTAGTTCTATGATGGCCGCGGTCTAGATCTCACCGGGCCGGTTCTGTCATTCGCCGTGACGTGCCAGTTGTATCTCAAGTTCCGAGCGAGTCCTATGTCAATGGCAATGGCACTTGGATCCTCGCAAAGCGGAACAGGAGCTCATAGGACTCAGGGAAAGTCTGACCTTAAACACCAATAAAACAATAAGAAAAAAAATGACAAAAATAAATATTTTGCAGTAGTCATGGTAAGCCGGGACGAAGATAAAGAGTTATTGCGCGGCGGATCAAGCAGAGATCAAACTTGGGGGGGGACAACAAGGGAAAGGTTGAAAAAAACGGCGACAGTGACGTGATTGGACGCTGGAAGCGCAATTTTCGCCGTCGTTTCAACATTTCATTGAATCACATCGAGAGTCGCTTATTAATATTGTGATCATAGGCTGTAGGAGATCCGGTTGGTTATGTGGCACACACTGGCAAACTTGAAGAATGCGCTGTGAACACTAATCTGGCCTCAAGTATGGATGACCGTAATTACCACTTTCAAGGTTGCGTCGAAGGGCTCACAAGCTTCGCATTGATATTTAAATATGCGGATCATGCATGGCGAGTAATGTTTTTTTTTTGTCGTTTGTCGTAAGCGTCGATCCCTGGATGAGCGAGAGAGAAATGTCACTAATGAGTAAAAACATGGTTTCATCGCATGTCTGAATCGGATAACTGTCTGATGCGGTCACATATGCGGAGGGAACCGTATATCCTGCTGTGGTATGAAAACGATTAGCTGCTTCGAATTAACTTGAATAAAAGGTTATCTGTAGCATGATGAGGATCTCTATGATAAATGCCAAAACATGCCACAGAGTGCACGACAGTCAATCTTGACGCTTGGAGCTCTAGAAGCCGAATCCGTCCATTATACATGGCCAATATAATTTGAACCTCCATCGTACTGCCTAGTATGAATCACAATGACGCACGTCAAACCAAGTGTTTGAAATTCAAAAGAAGAGGTGACGCACCGGAGTGCGAATATACCGCACCGCATAGACAAGCCCTCCGGTAACTGGCACGAGCATTCCGAAGAAACTTCCGGTTCAGGCAAAAAACTTCACTGTCAACTCATTACACCCGCTTCAAGTTTGACAGCTTCTTTCATTCAACACAAATACCCGGTTCTCCTCGCCCCGGCCAGGTAGCCAAATCCAATCCCGGGATGAAACGCGAAGTCTATTTCAGAGTCTCAGGCTTTGCCAAAGTTGGAGAATGAGAAAGAAGAAAGATAGCAGGAAGATTCTGAATACTGTAGATCCCGTAGATCGTTCAAGTCGATCAGCTTCGCGTGGGTATGGAGATAAAGGATTCAAGGGATCCTTCTGAAAGCAATTTCAAGAGCCCTAACACGTTGCACCAAAGAACGATGACAAGAGAGTGGGAGCATATGCATGTTTGTTACCGACATATGCGAAGGATATTCGAAAGTGCTTCATGTCAGTCCTACCGAAGACACGTTGCAAACACATGTATACGTTTTCCCCACACTACTCACAATGACACAGTGAATGGCGCCAGTTTCCTTCGAAACGAAATGTATCGGTTGATTTCTGCTCACGGTGTCACCAAGGGCTTATTCACCCCACTGCCCGAGACATAAACACAAACATACGATTTGTAGTGACTTATTTTTGGCTTGAATGGATGAAAGGAGAAATTGACAGCTTTGGACAGCGAACGCCAAGGATTGATTGATGGATATTTGGATGGGCGCTGGCTCTGGGTTGAGTTTGTGCAAGTCAACTCGAACTTGATAGGCTTCTATACAGGATTTTCCAGAGTGACATGTAGATTTCACACTAGAACACTCGACGGCCGTTTGCAGCGCAGCAGACTCAGCCCGGGATCTGCGACGACAAGGCCTCCGTGGGTGTTTTTCTTCAGAGGAAGCATGAGAGTCTGCCGCCATGAGGCAAATATCAGTGGCAACATACGAGGTGCCAACTGAACGTTGCTCGGTTCAGAGTCTCGCGAGTACTTCCGCGAGGCGTTCCAGGTGAGCGCTTCTGGGAGAACAAGCTGGTGGGAGATTTGTGATATCATAGAGTAGGTTTTTGATATCAGTTGTGGCCTGTGTTGCGACTTGATAAGACCTGTGCGCCACCGCGCCACTGCAAGGATAGTGATCCGATTTCTGGTTAAAGGAACAAGAGTTATTTGGTATTATGAGAGAAAGAACAACTGGCCCCATTTGAGCGTCATGAGACCAGTGTTCGGCGTGGATTGGGGAATTCAGGGGTAGAGATAAAGAATGCAATGATAGTGGCGTTACACTATGTCCAGTGAGCAAAAGTTACGGTCCGAAGATACTTATGAAGGGACCTGACTTGCTGCCTCCGGCTACAATAGCGATGAGATACACGGCTTAGATGGCACTACAGCCGCAGCAGACCTGGATAGTGTAGCGGTACGGTTCAACAAGCAGCCGCAGCGACAGCGACAGCATTGTGGATTCGGATGGGATGATGGACCGTGAAAGGGCCAACATAGGAGTTACAAAATTATTTTACTCATTTTACGGGATGTTTGCCTGGGCGGGAACGGATCGAACATAATGTGAAACGATCGGATCTGAGCCTGGAAAGGAAAATAAAATATAAAAACAATAATTGCCCTGACTGGATGTGATCACGTGAAGAGTGAAAGCTACAATTACAACCCGGAAGGCTATCCCGACTCGGATTCCATCCAACGCCGCATTGCTTTTGGCCATATAAAGACTCTTGTTCTCTCTCCTCCTTCTTTTTTTTGTTCGCTGTCTTGCCCGCATCCCGTCAACGCGTCTCGTCTTCAGTTCCATCTCACCTCCCATCTCAACGTCGTCCAGAACAACTCCAATCATGTTCTGTTCCACTTATTCGCCTCTCTTCACCATGGGCCTTCTTTCTGAAGGTTCTAGTTCTTCCTCCCGCTTACCACCCCAGACCATTCCCATGAGTCCCAAGCTTGGAAGCGTACGCTCAGACACGCTCTCTTCACCTTCGGGCTCCTCGCAGAAAGTACAGTCGCCCACAGAAGAGGGCTCTGCGTTTTACTTCACGCTTCAGACAGGCAGGGATACCATCGAACTGCGATCGTTTCTCTCCCTAGATTTGGCAGAGCACAACATGCCTCCAACTCATCTCGGTAGAAAACCATCCAATGCCTCGAAATTTACTACCTGGTCATCTGCCTCTGATGCTCTCTCACCGTGAGTATTGCGTTTCAGCGCTCTTCGTCTGTGGCTATACTGATCAGCCGTTCCAACAGACGAGCCGAAAGACCGTTACGAACATTCAACTCTCCTCCTTCTCCCATCCCCACTCTTCGTCGACCCTCTCGCGAGTCGCTGCGTAGCATTCCCTCGCCAAAACCTGCACCTTCTTCCATCCTCCCCGACATCCCTCAGATTCTTGACCGCCCTCCACGTCTGCCGTCTATCCCACCGTCACCGCCTCTCTCGATATTCCCATCCTTGCATCGATCCTCGTCTTCCGCTCCCGCTGCCATAAATATATGCTCTCAAGTTACGTCTCCTTCCCCTCCCTCGCCAAAAGCCTCTTCGTCTGTTCGCTCAGGGTCTATCAGTTCGCGCGACCGACAACGGATCCGAATGGACACTCTGGCATGTCTAGAGGGCCGTTCGTCAGCTGGCGACCACATTCCTAGGTCGCGGCTACGACACAATTTCATGAGCATGAGTGCTGACGAGGACGAGGACACAGAGAACGTCGTGTCTCCCACTTTCCAAATCAACGTTGAGGAATTTGCCGCCGTAGCAGCTGTCGAGGAGGAAGAAGACGTCGTCATCCCGCCTTCTCCCCACAAGCCTCTTGCTTCTCGACTTCTCCCTGCCCCTCGACGAACGCCTGCTCAGCCCCAGTCGCGCAAAAGAGGAAGCACGATAGAGTCCTGGTTCCCGTTGAGGAGCTTCATCGATCTCAAGGAAGATGATCTGCCTTCCTGGAACTGGAGAAGCTTTATCGAGATTGGTGGCGCCTCATAATCCGCCTACGCTCTTTCGACGATCCTCTGTACAAGCTCAAGCTCGGCTACTTGATTTCCTTTTCACGTTTGTATTCCGGCGGTCTTCCTACATGCTGGACATTGTCAAGTTTCTCATCTCGATTCGCTGCACCGCGCTTCAAATATTTATCTTGAACACTCATACAGCCTTTTAAATCATGCATTGTTGTCCAAAAAGATAGTTCACTTTCATCCTTCGTTACTCTTATTGTAGATCATAAATTTTGCTACACTTATCACTACCCTAGGCTTTATACTAATAATGTCTTTCGATTGTTCTTTCATTTCATTCGATGTATGTATATCCACTGTCTGTCTGTATGTCGCATCTCTCCTTAGTTCTTTGCATCCATCAATGCACCGTTGTTCACTGCACTTCGCTGCCACTGGGCTTCTAGCTACGTTTCATGATTTTGAAGGCTATGGTGATGGTGGATCCATGCTATGCTTGCCAAGGATCAACGAAGTCGAACGCTGGTGTTCACGCTTCTCTGTCAACCGTTGCACAACGTTACAACCATGGTGTATGATAAATCAAAACAGTATGTAAAAACACTTAGCCACACGAAGCATCCACATTGATGCGCCATTGACAACGGCTGACTCTCACCTGCAGAATACCCTGAATACAGGTCCTGTCCTCAAACAACCAAAAAGGGAATAGCCATTCCTGCTCGTCGGGACTCGGTGCCTGGCCCTAAGTCGCAATGATACCAGGTATGGAACGTTCTGTTTTGTTTACAAGGTTTTGCCAAACAAACCGCAATGACAATGTGCATGTGCCAAGAATGATGAATATGGATTATCATGGATTTTTTTCGAACCTGAGCCCCGCTCAGCTCGGACAGGGTGCTAGCTCGATATGGCAGCTTTCAATTTTGACTCAGGTTCGAGACGACGCCACCATTGATGGTGGGTGCTGACGTTGGAGTCTTTCATTTCATGTGACGGGTAGTCGCCCTTGCTGACCTAATTCAATATATTGATGATAGTCGATCGATATCTTGTAAATAAGGTCTGCTTCAAAATAACGGTGGCGTGCAGAGTGCCCCCCCTTCGGTCAATACAGCAAAAACACGAACACTATTCAAGCTCCGTTGATTGTCAGCAAGCTCAGCACTCAGCGAAAACTCTATGCTAATCACTATGCCTGCCTCATGTTGGGTCAGACGAAACTGACCATTCGCACCGGCGTACCTCATCCAGGAGGTCACGTCCTTCTGCCTGGGCAGCCTGGACACTGTCCGAGTGTACAGCTATGGCCTTGATGTTCAAGTTGACCATCTCAGCCACCTGTTCTGTTTGGTAAGCCCGATTATTTGTCGTGGTTAAGCTACTCACCTGAGTATTTCCCAAGGCAATGAGAGGGGTTACAATTAGTATAACTGGTGTTGTCGGTAAGTCCTCAACTCCATGTACTGGATTTGTGATTAATCTTGAATTAACAGTAGCAGGCCATAGAAGACAGCCGTTTTGCCACCTCCTGAGCTTGTCATTCTTGTGAAAGCCATTGGCTTTGTTTCAGGTTGTATAGCTGCTATGCCAGCATTAGAATACATGTATCAATGTATCACCAGTATATATTTTTTCGTCTGATTTCACTAAGTCCTTGCTCTATCTATGCAATGCCGAATAGGCCGTTAAGCCGATGTGTGCCGTGCAGTTTTCTCTCTACTTAAAACCACCGAACGGGGGCACCCACCAAATCAGCGTTATATTGGACTAGACTATGTGACGGGCTGGTATCAAATCGATAACTCTGGCCCAGGGTATGTCAGGAACTTCATTTCGTTTTGAAACAGCACAGTAGTAGGTAACCATACCAGGATCTCTACAGCACAGTGTCACTTGTACAGATCTGAAACTACCCCACACGTCCTAACCCAATTGCAAACCGGGGCAAATCTCAGCCATGGATTTTTATCGTCAAGGTGATTGCATACTCTGGGCTGGTACATAGGAGCCGGAAACAGATGCGGTACCTGCCACAGACGTGTCTCGTCTCGTCGATCGCGGTAAGGTTCCAGATTGAAGAAGATTCAAGACCACTGAAATTTCAGCTCTGGCGCATCTGTCATATTAAACAGGAACCCCGGCACCGATCAACCTTTACCTCCATGACACGCACTAGTCAAGGAACGAGATCGGTAGCACCCTCAGACCAGCTTCTCTGTCCAAATGCGAACGCAGTGATCGATCGGCCTGAATGTTCTATTTACTGGCACCCAATAGTTTACCCAGCAGCCCAGACGCAACTGCAGCAGCGGCTGATGATGGCGTAGTAGGTCTTTGAGGTGCCTGTGCCGGTGTAGGCACGTACAGTTGATTTGGGTTTGATGGAGGCCGCGAAGGGTAAGGTGGAGGACGCGAGGGGTATGGTGGAGGGTAATTCGGGGGGTAATTCGGAGTGTTACCCATTGGATGTGGCGAGAGTGGAGGCACTGTGTAGATAGCAGGGTTGCTAGGTTGAGAGGGAGAACGTAGATGTTGCTGTGTTTGATGGCGAGCGTGCGGGTGTGATGAAGATGCTGCGACAGATGGAGGGGCGATCGGTTGCGACTTTGCGAATTTGGATGCATCTGCCGGTGCGGCCAAGATAAGACTCATAGCTGGAATCACACTCAGAAGGCTGCTGCTTACTTTTTGGTTCAGCGTTACTTGTACTTTTTTTATCTTTGTCTTTGTCTTTTTGTTTCGCCTTCTTCTCTTTCTCCTTATTCCCTTTACCACCTTTCTTTTTTGTCCTTTCCATTTCACTTGCGATATTTCCAGTAATATATGCGCTTGAGCTTGGGCCCGTCCGCGGCTGAAGCTCGGGCATGTCTATCTTACTAAGGTGGACAACCAAACTGTTTGGTGGGGTATACTTTTCCGCTTCTTTCCCTTTATTCTTGTTCTTGTCGTCATCCAGGTTGATGATCCTAGGTCCTTTCTTTCCAGGTGTTGGGGTGGTATCGTAGACAACGTACTGATGAAGGTCAGATTCATCCGACAACCCTACAAGTCCAGTGTAAGTTGCACCATGTACGCCCGTGAGAAATAAAACCTACCAGCTTTATGTCGTATCCGTTTTGTCTCTTCAACTACCTGTAGAACTTTAGGAACCTGCGCTGCACTAAAAGAACGAACAGTGATAAAAAGCATCGCATCATCCTGCGAATGAAGGTAAGTAATATAGAGTGTGAGAATTGACGAAGACTTGCGTCAAGCATATTAGCACAGTATCGTGCATAATCGCCTACATTCCCTTCTTCCGTAACTGAAACCTCGTTCACTTCACCTCTCGCTAGCTGCATCTCTACAATTCGCTCTATTCCGGTTTTGGGCGCGGGTTTTGGAGGTGGGGCAGGGGGAGAGAGGACTGTAGGATCTGATGTCTTGCGTGAAGCCGTGCCGAAAAGGGTCTTTGGTGCAGGTGGTATGGCAGAAAGTGTAGTAGCGGCAATTGAGGGAGTAGATGTGTCAGAGTTGGGGTCGTGATAGACATCACTCGCATCTCGGAAGGAGAGTAGAGCGGTGAGTATCACGATTTCCAGACCCTTCCGATCCTCGATGTCGAATCTGAATGCCGAGTAACGATCAAGATCAGACTCTCGAGCCGTCATCACCGTGATGAACGCTACATACCTATTTAGATTATAATCAAGAATTTGGATGGCAGTTGTTTTGATTCTGCCAGGGGGTTCTTTAGTCACCGCGACGAGAACGGGAGGGTCCGGTTTGCGAATCATGAAGCATTCTTCACGTTTCCACTCGAATTCATGGCTATCAGAAAGACGCGATGAGAAAGTAATATTGGCGCCCAATTTAATCACTTACTCTTCCCATTTGAATGCCCACCGGAAAGTCAGCGTGCCGACGAACTTGAGTTCGACTATTTGATTTGGATTATAAAGTTCTAATGTCTTGTGTTTGCTGGTTGCACTTGGAGCTGTGGCAGAAGCCAGCAGAGACTCGGCTATTGGGTCTATTGTTGGCCGCCCGTAGGAAGATGCGAATACGTTAGGGCAAGATCAAGGTCTCGACGATAAGACAACATACCGTAGACTTCAATTTTATACACTTGCCCGGGAACACGCTGTTTCCTGTAGTGCACGTTCCCTGAGGGGTCCACGAGGTCCAGTATCAAGCCACTGGAATCGGATTTGTTCGGTATAACATGAAGGGTGAACAGGTTCTGGTCGAGACTCATGGCACAATGCTGTATTGATCAGAAGCTCTTCCAGAGAGCTATATTTTAGGGTATGATTTTGATGATTGGTATGTTCCTAACGAGCAGGCCAGTCCAGACTAGTGTATGAAGCAGGAGGAGAGTGATATGATGGATTCAGAAGCAATGGTGTAGCTTTTCAGTGGTTTATGCGTTGAGCTGCGGTGTATCAAGTGGTGGGAAGCATCAAAAAAGCACAGGGAAACTTACTGCGGCGGTATATATGGTTCCTTTGAGTACTCTGTAGTCGGTGTGTACTGCGATGATGCTGTGTATGAATATGGTGAAGAGTGACCGACGTTCCCACGGTGCTTACTTGCTGTTATGGCCAGTTCTTCAAACTGAACGAGAGCATGCTCAACACATCTACAATTGCGTAAGTACATATAGATGGATTTCAGTTGCCTTCAAGTTTGGAAAATCATGTAAATGAAATTAGAGACGTAACGAACGACTACGAGATGGGTGGGCTATGGGGTTGGCGCTTTCCTTCCACTGCACTCCTATAAATGCAAACATCCAGGTGTCGAGGTTACAATTCCTCCTAGCATCAGTCAGGACTTTTCTCAAGGATTCGCTATGGTAGCATGACGTAGCGGACTCAGGCTTTCAACGTTGTGTCGCCTTCCAACATCTCGATATTTCGTCGACGTATTCTCAGAGGATGATTTAGAAATTACACAAATATATATAAAGGTCCATCTTGCACAAGATCAATTTGAACTATCTCATCATAACGCCGGACTTTCAGTGGCATTTTCCTCATGTGGCCCTCAAATTGTTTTTTGCGTCGCTAATAACTTCATTGCTGGAACTGTGCCATGTCTACTGGGGGTTTTTCTTTTCTTTCTTTTTTTCTTCTCTTCCGACATTCGAGGACATCGAGGATGTTCCCCCAGATACACGTACTTATATCGAAGTTAGGAAGACTATCAATCCTACCTTGGCACGATATCGTCATTGGTTCTTCCTCGTACTGGAACTATCTTACGATAGGATTCGACGATGGTACGCGAATTGGAAACTCCTGAACTATCACTACCCCGTGACACTTTCCAGTTGTGGGAAGCAAAAGCTATTCAGACCATCCACAAACACAATACAACTATGAGATGTTTTCGAGGGTATAAAATATATGGCTGGGTCCTCGTCCTCCTCCGGTATCAGTAAAAGGTTGTTTAATTACAGTATATATTACTTGCATACAGATGATCATGATCGTTGTACCGCCAACGCCGTTCACAACACACTATGATCCACCTCGTTAATTTTCTGTACAATTATCTCCGCCTCCTGCTTCGGGATCCCACACTGCTTCCTCAACGCATTTTGCATGTCATGTTTGGGCACTGGTTGAGGAGCAAGGTTTTGAATGTGCCGCGCAACCCATTTGTAAGCGTCTGAAGCTGAAATAATTACCAGAAAGGGTCGGGTATAGATGAATTCATTTTTTCCAAAGAATTCATGGGGCTAACTCCGCCTGAAATTCCGATGCGTGTTATCGAACTGACCAGACACAGCTATTAGTCTCTTTACGCCCACGCTATGTCTCGCTCTACTCAACCTGCCGACGACTACAACGATGATCTTGATGATATCGACGAATTTGACGAGAATGGGATGCCTGGAGGCCCCCTGACCATTAAGTGGACATCGGAACGTACAGATCGTCTCCTGGATTGGTTGGAACAAAATGTTCAGAAACGACATCTGCTCTTCTCCAACTCCCAGGAAGATGCCAACAAAGAGAGTAGGAAGAAGGGTCAGGCAAAGTTGAGCAAGGTTACGATACATGGGGAGATAGCTCAATTTGTATTCAGTGGAGATAGGGATCCAGTCATACGCAGCACTCTCAAAGCCAATCCGGGAAGGTTTGCAAAAGCTGTCGATAACCACATTGCCTCGTACATTGTCCCTCACATCTATTCAAGTCAGGCCAACTCATAACTTTCTGTTCAGACTCAAGAAAAAATACCGTCAATCTTGTACAACGCTGGGTCATACTGGAGCTGGTCTCACTTTTGACCAACTAGAAGGGAACCCCGACTACAAAGGACCAATTGGTGCGTTCCTACATTAGTTCAGGTCGCCTTTTCCTTTGAGTAGCACAAACCACTGACTATTTGCATTATTTATAGGCGTGATCACTACAAAATTCAAGATCTTCAACCGTCTGCATGGCTTTTGGCAGAAAATCCCCAACTATAATCCGTTCACAACATCGTCAGATCCAGACCAGGATCACGAGGCGCAGGCATTCGATATGTTGTTCCCAAACAAGCGTAGCCGGAGTTGAGCTGACCATCATGCAGCAAGTGAACCCGCAATGCAGGTCCACAATCAGCTACCTCAACAACCTCTCCCCCAGAGCCATGGGTATGAGGATTATCAGCATTTCCAGAATGACAACTTTGTCCACCAACCGTTCAATCAATTCGCTCAGTTCAGTCAAATCCCTCCGCATATCAACCATCACAGTAGTTCTCTCGCCAATTCTGGCATGGTATCTTCAGCTTCTTCCTTGCCAAACAATTCATCACTACCTTCGCTACCGTCTATCGCAATTGATCCTAGTTTTTTTGACCCAAACGCCGCCAGCCTTTTCCCAGGAGCATACCATCAATCCCTTTCTTCACTTTTCCAGATGAACCATTCTTCCCACTCTTTCGGTTCTTCATTTGACGATATGCAGCCTCGAGGTCTCCAAGGTTTAGAAGTCGGACATCTACAAGTGCGTGATGTACCATTTCAAGATATACCCTTCCAGCTTCCAAGTTCTCCTGTCTCTGGATCCGTGTCTGGACACTCTGGTTTCTTTATGAACCAGGCTCCCGCTTCTCCCGCCTCGGGCCACTCCAGCTTCTACGCAAGCGTACCTCCAGGCTCTCCATCCTCTGGCCAGTCTGGCTTCAGTGCAAATCCCAGCGTGAACCTCGTTCCTCTCTCACCTAACCCTGGCTTCTTTGCGAACCTTCCCCCGTCTTCTCCCATTTCTCGCTTGGCCTCACCTCCTCCCCCCGTCCCATCTAAGCTTACTGCAACTGCGCCCGCAAAGATTGTCAAATCGGGAAAACGGCCATCTGCTGTGACCGTCAGAGAGACACTCCGGGCCCAGTTAGCAACATCGTCAGGCAACGAAGTGAGCACAGAGCGTCTTATCACCACAGACAGAAGGGTCAGTACAAAGGACGCTGGGACCCCACAGTCTGCAAAGGTGGACGACAGGCCACGTAAGCAGCCACGATCTCATATTGAGGACAATGTGTCCTTGATGCAGAAGGTGATGGAGCCTGTTGCGCAGGCTATGCAAGGACAGCAAAGCCTTGCACAGGAGGCACTCCAAGTTAAGGGAGGTAAGGTAGCCGTGAGGCATGCGAAGTACACAGCCATAGCAGAACGTGCACGCAGCGACAGGCGGTCGAAAGATAAGGAAGCCACTGTGTTGGAACACGAACAGTTCAAGGAGAAGCTGCAGTTAGTTAACAGAAGTCAGGTACAAAGGGAACGAGAACAGCGACAACATGAGAAGGACATGTTTGAAATGAAATTCAAACTCATCCAAGCCGTCAAGGATATCCCTGGTGTGGATAGTAGCATCATCTCTTCCCTTCTCGCCAACAACTCTACCTCGCCTGCTCCCTCTTCACTGGTGTCCAATTTCTTTGAGCAGTCAATTTCTGGCCCTGTTGCTTCCTCTTCCACTTCCATATCCACCTCTGCTTTCAATTCTCGTGTATTGGACAATTATAAAGATTACAGCGGTGATGATGACGCTGATGATGACGCTGATGACAATGAAGACTCAATGGCAGTTGATGGGGGGTTGTACGAGTGACATCATACTATCATGCTTGTTCTGAATCATCGCTATCTCTGTACTATCTTATTTTTTGTATGTTTGTTGAGCAATCATAGTGTTGTGGTATTTGTGAACAAAGTATTACATTCAATGTTTACAGGTTCAGTCTACATAAAGATGACTAGAAAAAAGTCCCAGCATTAAACGATGACGAAGTAACTGACCCTCGGGTATATTCACCCCATCAACGACACGAGGTGCTTCTGGCAACTCACAGGCAACAGCTATATCGTCAGGTACATCCTCGGAAGCTTCGCCCTGATTGTCATCTCGCCCATCATGGTTGTCAAACCCGCCATCATCATTCCACCTTTCAGCACTGTTGTCGCCTTCTATAAGAATCACCAAGTTGTGCAAAATAAAACATGAACATAGCCACATAACAGCCCACTGATGCCTCTGGTGTGAACTGATTTGTATCCTGAGTTCTCGCAGAGATTGAAATCGGCCCTTGAGTAAGCCGATTGCATGCTCCGATCGGATCCGAATACGTGAGAGGTAGTAGTTATAGTGGCGCTCGCTTTGCGTAAGGTTACCATTTGTGGGACGCTTAAACGGCGCCACACACCATTTTTGGAGGGGGTATGCCGAGTCTGCCCACAGCCACTCGCCTTCGTCTAGAAATGCTGTGTGATCGCGAAAGATCTGAGTGCTTTCAAATGCATAGGAGTCGTGGACGCTGCCTGTATGGCCCAGACCGTAGTCAACTATCCGTAGATTGTGCGGCAAGATAACGATCTGGGATTAATTAGTCAATATCTGTATGTAATATTTGTGATCGGGACAACGCACCTGAGCGTTTAATGAGTAATTTGATGAACGATCGTACCAGGCCTCGCCAAAATGGCTTGGCTTTTGGAACAGCAGGAATGTTGTCCCATCTACTGAAAGCCAGCCGTTTTGCCATGATGGGCAGACCTTTGACCCTGCATAAGCTTTAGCTTTTATTTTTTCCTCATTTGTTGGTTTGCACATAACCATGTCATGCAGGGAAATGAGCGCGACAACCACCTGCTTAGTCAATAGCGCTACTGTGCCGGCTGATACTCCAGCCCATTCGGCTACATCATCGCATGACACAGCATTCCCGTAATGTCCGGCCCGAACAAGAAATATGGCGAGCTGGAGGGAAACAGCGTACTGGGGGTTGTTGGACTCGTTATGAAATATTGGGTGGTTCTCGATCAGGGTCATGATTGCATCAAAAGTTGCCGGAAGCACGCGGAGCTTACGCGAGAAATGGCGGGTGTTGTTATGGCGAGCCCACTCAAGCAAGCCAAGTTGGGGCTGCTGAAATGCAGGTGCTTTGGGAAAAGAAACCCTGGTCTCTTCCACCGTTTTGTGTAGCATCATGTATACTACGGATGTGACCTGCATAAGTGTGAGCTGAGTGATTGGATGTGATTGATACCCCATATCCTCAGCATCGTTGTCCTCACCACCCTCTGACTCTCAATCAGATTCTCGATCCGACTCGCCTATGCCGTCAGACCCGCCGCTAAGCGATAAGCTATCCAAATTGAGCCCCAACCCCAACTCTGATCCCACATTGGAGCTAACCGAGTCGCTGGAGTCGGAATTACTTGATGATGACGTTGAAAGGCCGATAGACAACTGGGCCGGTTGTTTCAGGGAGGCTAGCAAGTTGTTAAGTAGCATCGTTTGTGAGTTGATGAATAAACTGTTGAGAGCATTGAGATGCTGATCGCGGATTGTAGGACAGTGTCGACTCATAGTTACGATGTATTTGTGGGGGGGAGGCTCAATCTGATCTGATTTTATATATATACAACCTTTGTAGTCTGACTTTGTATATCTGATCGAGAATTCATCTATACCCGACCCTTTCTGGTAATTATTTCAGCTTCAGACGCTTACAAATATCCACTTTTCTTTTTTTCAGGCTCCTGAAAATATTTCAGCGTTTACTTCGAACGACGCTATTTTCTCTTGCAATGCACGGCGGCTAAATAGGCCACGTGTATCAGAAAACATTATTTTTGCACAGGAATGTCATTTTGCAATCCTGTGTGATAAGACAGGCACTGCCCTATCACGATGTGGCGACTGGCGTAAAGCGTACATTTCCGTCAATTATAAACCTCGCCAATCCTCGTGGTTTGAGATCAGTTGTAATTAAAGATGGAAAGGAAGTGATAGCATCCTAATCATACTCGCAAGTATATCCTCAAGTCGTTCGGATCTAGATAAGATAGAGGGTCTCAGAACTCGCAAATGAGTCTAAGTATATTCAAGTAAGTACCTAGATAAGATAGAGGGTCTTTACTAATGGTTAGCTAGGTATTCGAAAGGGTATAACATAAGGGTCTCACCTCAGAACTTGCGAATGAGTCTGAGGTGCTACGTGGCAACCAGGCCACTTTATAGGTAAGACAGAAGCAAAAATTTTCTGATGATATATAGTGGTGCACGGGCCACCCGTACTTACTCGCCTTCCTTTCTAGGCGCTTCGTGTTGGCTTGCCTCTTCACTCGAAACTCTTCGTCCAACATATCCTTGAGGAACACATAATTGTCAGATAAGGTGGTGATTTATCTTTTCCAACAGCGTGTTAACTGGATAGTTTGTGATACATGCCTACACGTTGTAGCCTGTTGTGTATTCGTAAAATGCTGCGCCGCTGGATTTCCGCCATCAATTATGTTTTAGGTTTGTATGATGCCCCGGACTCAGTGGCCCTCGAGTGGCCTGTTACAATTGACATACTGGCACCTACTTACACTTCACTATTTTGTACTTTTACTTTTCATTTTCCAAGTCACATGACTGATCATGTGACCATTTATTTTACTTTACATTTTCGACTTTTCATAGTCACATGACCAGTCATGTGACACAACACCTGACCAGTGTCTAGACTCATCATGTGACCGGTCACATGCTAGACATCAGACTTTAAACTTTATTTACAACTGTACAGTACCTCATATATTTTAGTATATGTACAGGAGCAATACATGGGGAAGGACTCAGCGAGTCCTCCTGTTGTCTAGCACAACAAACTTGTTGAAACCTAAGGGGTGATCCCTTCTTTCCCTCTTCTCTCTTTGCTTGTCTGAGTTGTGCGCCAGAGTAAGAAACTCTTGGTCGTTACATGGCCTGTGCTGGGACACCCATTTTGTCTAGAAGTGGCCCAGCAGTGTGATTCTAGCATGTTGGCAAAGCCACCCTTGGCAGCACTGTCGAGCGGTTCCCACTTTCTATCAGACTGGTTTCTATGCATTGGGGAATGTGTCTCAGAGCCAGCCTCATGGAAGAGGCTTACCCTTATATCCTAGTTTGGATCTTGATATATGTAGGCCTTGTATATGCAATATCTCCGATTAACATGTAGATGGTCTTGATATCCTCACGGGAGGCTCACCTCGGTATTTCAAATCTTCAAGTTGGTACTCTCTCCAATCATGACATCAGCGGTGTTTCTTGGTCATCTCAATATGTTTTCTAGAGCTCTTTTTTTGAAGGCTCTCCATTTGTAATTGTTGTGCAGGCTTATTATGTTCTTTTTTGTGCAATATATGTTTATTTCAGATTACATCGACTTCCAAACCTTTCGCAAGATACAATGAGCACACTGATATAGCCAACACGGCAAATAATGAAAGTGTATATACAACTATCACTAGGTGCTTTTAGGGCGGCGCTGGATGTTACGATAACACAATTTTCGGACCTTCCCTTTAATTTTATTCTCCGCTTTAACCTTGTACTTTAGCTTTCACACATGGTGCCACGCGGCACTTCCTCTTTTGTCCAAACTCCTCTTTCTCGCGCCGCGTTGCCTTTCTTCTTATTATAGACACAACTCTCTCACACAGTGGAGCTGGCCATGCGGGCTAGGCCCCATGACATCATCAGCCACTGTCTCTATCAAACTATATAGTACACATGTACAAATAACCCTGTAGTAGTATATATACCCCAATAGATCCAGGAGACTCCTCAGCGAGTCCTCCTGTTGTATACCAACTAACTCTCTGCATCCTAAGGGGTAACCACTCCCTCATCATCTTCCTTATAGTGTGTTCTGTGTGCGCCAGAGTAACTAACTCTTGGTTGTTACATTAGGACTCGCTCTGTCTACTCTCTCACACGTTTGTGCAAAAAGTCCCACTGGGCACCCGGACTCCAGGGTGAAGGAGATTTGGTTATTGGTTGGGAATATCCCACATAGCAGATGGGTGCGCTCTTCGCGACGGCCTTGTAGTGCTTTGGGAGAAGAACCAAAACCGTTGATACGCGGCCCCCAGCGTTAAGGGGAGTACTTAGCTCAGCAGTCGGTGTGAAACCGCTGTTGATTAGAATTAAAATACAAAACTTCAATTTCTCTTTCCTCTGACCAGGCCGGGCACTTGCCTCCGCCAGTTGGAGAAGGGTTGACAGCTTAACAAGCGGACCACCCCCTGACAACCGTTTGGACCAGGGTTTCTTACAAATACTTTTTATATAAATTTCAAATACTATAGTGTGGGTAGTCAGAGATTGAGATCCAATACTCAGCTGGGAAGAGGTTGATCCGCAGATAGCAAGCGGGGACCCCCAGTTACCTTTTTTTTTTACTTTACAAAGAGAACAAGTCAACATGTCGTCGCAACAAGATATGAACAGTCTGCTGCACGCCATGCGTGCACAAATTGCAACATTAACCTCTCAACTTGCCGAGCTGCAAACCAACCCCCCTGTGGCAACCCCCTCGGTCGAGAAGAAATTCAACAAGAAAGTCGAAGTCGTCGTTGACCCTGGCACCTTTGAAGGAGACAGAGCGCGATTCGCCGAGTGGTGGATCAAGCTCCAGATTTGGGTCAAGGCAAATTGGGACGCGTTTGCCGACGATTTTGAGGTAGCTACTGCGGTGCTATCTTGACTAAAAGGACCTGTGGCGGGTCGATACGCCCAAGTTAGATTGCAGGAATGCTACACCGCGGGAGTGTGGCCAACCTGGAACAATCTCAAGAAAGAGATCGAAAAATATTTCAAACCGCAAGCTGAGCGTTGTCATGCACCAAAGTTGATTGGTAGCATGGACATGTGTCAATAACGAAGCGAATATTCAAAAAGACTCGCCTTTGCGCCACACAGGCACAGTGCCACGTGGAATAGTAATTAATATTGCCTGTTTCGAACTTGTGGCTGATCAGCACCACCTCTATTAGGCAATCCAGTCACGCTCACCTTTGCTTTTCCATCCGGTACTTTCCGCGTTTTGGCATTTTGGCAAATTTTTGCGTCACCACTGGCTACACATTGCATTGCGCCCTCGCTTTTGTCGTTTCCCTTACTCCCCTTCCTTTGCCTAGCCCCACCATGGGCCCCTTCCTCTCCTTTTTATTCTCACCTGACGGTTGTTTCTGGATCCCCATTCTAATCCACTTTTTCGTCACCTCCACCCTCCTCCTCCTCATCTTATTTGCACCCCCACCATTTCTGATGTCACCACTTCCTATCCGCTTCCGTCGCAGATCCGTTGACTACCACGTGCCACTGCTGATATCAGCAAAGCCCCGGTGGCCGGTCCAAATAGGGCAATAAGTCCATCTTCATGACGTCGATCTGCCATCATATACTATCAAAACATCAGTCGCTCGTCTTGCCTGGTTGGAGCGTGGGTGGGTAGTTTTTGAGCTGGAGAAGGTCCATCCCCTTGTGTCGCCCATGTTCATCACTGTCCCATTCACTTGGGTACACTTATCTTTTGTCCATCATCTTCGCTACAGCTACACCTACCACACACTGCCTGGGACTCACTTGTTCCAAATTGGAACTACTCCTCTCCCTCCCTCGTTTGATCAGGTGGTCCAACACAACCAGTCCATTGGTAAGGCCATGGAACTATCAGATTTGGACTAGGTGGTGGACTGGTGGCTCCAGTTTCTTTTTTTTCAGCAGAACATTCATTTACAGTGCGATTATTTTTGATTTTTGAATCATTTTTATGGACACATATTTTTTTAGAATGCCTGACTGACAATAAAGGAACTGTGTTGATACTGATAGTGTTTTGCCTTGCCCTTTTTTTACTGCATCTTCCCATGACATCATGATCTTCCTGCTCTCTTTTTGCTATTGGACTTTACTTTATGGCTGTACAAACCTGTGACATTACTCACAGCATTTATTGTTCTATCCCTTTCTTTTCTTTTTTTGACAATCTTATCCTGTACTACCTACGCAGGATTCGTCAGCATACATTCCTTCCTTCATATTCTTTCTCATTCTTTTTGCACAGCTATACTGTGCATAGCCTACTTCTCTTTTACTATATAAACCCCTGTATTTTACCTTGTAAAAAACAACAAGAACTCCAATCCAGACTTCTTCCCTACTCTCAAGTTCACTACTCTACTACTTGTGATCCAGTGTGGTCACAACACTTCCCACTTCTACCACTGTTAACTGCTGTCATTGTCACTCGTCACTTTTGAAAGTGATTGTCATCCCCTTCAATTAGAGTCCTTCTGAGCACTACAGTTTGTGCGTCAGGAGCCTGCTATCACTGGGAACCTCGTCATATTGTCGTTCTCAAACATACCTTGTGCTACGATTAGCAAGGTAGTGCTCGTCTATACTCGCCACAAAGCCCCTATCTTTCTATAAATTCAACTATCCCTCCTCCTCAAAACCCACACTCATACACCTCTGGGTTTTACTTTGAAGGATCTTTATATGTACCACCCCACGAACAACCAGACCACTCCACTGTTCTAGGAGGCAAAGCCCATAAACAAGTTCCGTGGAATCTGGGAGGATTGTGTGTTAGTTTGTTTTTGTGTGTGGTTTTCTAACAGCAGTTCTCATCATCGACACCGTGTAAAACCCTACAAAGGGCCGCTGCCGGGACAACGTGTAGACTGGCCCAGACCGGTTGTTACAGACAGGGAATGAATCGGATAACCACAACATGATGGGAATACAATAAGAAAAATCAATTCCTCACACTTTCTTGTCACATAAGATGTCGTGAAAGAGCCTCCAATTCTGCTCCGTTGGTTCCATGATTCTCCCCACACGCATACAGAACGCCTCGAGACAATGAATGAGTTGATTTGCTTTGACTATGGTGTTTAGGCTTGTTCAGACCCATAATATTGAAAGGCTGTAATCTCTTCTCCCCGATGAAAACTTCGTAGCTGTGAGACTCCAGGGTGCAGCCATTAGCTTGGCTGGAAGTATGTGTCACATCATCAAAGTAGGTTTACTAAGAAGCTTTTCCATGCTCCTGTTCCTCCAAAGATTATAATATTCTGTTGAGAGAATGTAAGTACACTTAAGACACATTATAGTTCAGGAATGACAGAGAAACCTTCATCACTGTCGGAGCCCCCCCGTACAACCTCTATAAGATACAGTAGAGCAAAAAGATGGACACACTTGCACCGCTATTGTACCGAGTGTTAGTGGGAAAGTATGGGATAATAGAGCAGACCCAACTGACCATAAGTGCTTTGAACATTTGTAAATAGGGGGCCATCAAAGGTAATACAAAAACAGTGTATATCCTCGAGGATCCGAACATCGTGGACTGGTAACACTGCATTATCTTTGTCCCACTGCCATTACACATATATCACACTTCTCTCACATACAGCAAAAAGTTATTTCATGCAGAAAAGGTGAGCGCTCCTGGATCTTATATATATTACCACATCTGGTTGATCCCAACTTTATCAAAGTAAGTTGGAGCAACTCTGTTGATGGTCACAAAAGGCCACCTGCATCAATCATTGACTTGGAGATCAATGTTCTCCTGGAATTACTGACTGACAAATAATGAGTCCTCTCCTTTGTGTTTGTTAATAATTTACTGCAAGGTCACCAGATAGAGCTATGACTAATTTTCACATTGCCATGCATTTGTTATCAGACTGTCTGCATCGAAACAGCGGTCCTGGAGTTTGAACTTTCCCTTATATACATGAATCGGTGTCGGAGTCTAAGGAAATCTAAATAAACTAATGAGCGACAGTAGTTCTACGAGCAATAAAAGAGTGTTAGAATTATGGTAAACAAACGAAAAAGGAAATGTGAAGTAACACGTATCCGTTACATAATTATTCCCACGGGTTTAAAGCTAGTAATCCGAATTATTATGATGATCGATATACAAAGTGTTATATGACTCACCTTGCTTGAGCTCTTGATGTGGGTTGTTAGACTGAACTTGCTCAATCACCTTGATTACAGCTTGACTTTGGTATAACTGCTGTTATTCAACGGACTGTATGTTGCCCTTCGGTATCGGAAATTAGTACACAGTCCTTTATTAAGAAAACGATAAAGGCCGCCTGTGATCCGGAGTGTTTCCCACGATTCGTCTTGAGCTTCTCATTATATGCGTTGTCTTCGATGAGAATGCCTCAGGGTGTTAACTGGTCCTTGAAACCAAGGAATTTTCTGATAGGCATAGCCCATAACCTGGAATAAGTCTGATGCGACCGGTGTGGAGAACTTTACAAAGGAAGATAAGGAATAGATACATCTTGATGGGCAGGGGTAATTTTGATAAGTAGGGACTACTTTGATCTATGAGAAGGGATATTTGCTAATGTTTCCATCTGATCAAAAAGAAGTTCACCGTGCATATGAGTCATCGGAACAGATCTAAAGAAAAGGACATATCATCCAAAACGAAACTCACATTTTAATCGTCCGATCACGCCCCCCACTCACAACCTTGTCTGCAACGAAGTCGACACAGTACACTTCATCAGTATGTCCGGGAAGGTCAACTTTAAGCTTGTAAGTTTTGAGGTCCCAGATCTAGAGTCTCCCGTAAATCTCATCAGGAATACAAACTAGAAAAAACATACCTTTACACTAGAATCGCGACTCGCACTAACTACCATCCGCGAATCTGCACTCCAGGCTAAGCGATACACAGCACCTACATGCCCTCGCAAAGTCGCTACAAACCTATTCCTTCCACCTTGGTCGTCACCGGGACGTATGGACGCATCCCATAATCGGATGGCTCCGTCCCAACCCGCAGAGGCAGCCCACCGCCCATCTGGAGAGAATGCTACATGCGCGATTTGCCTTTGGTGGCCGGTGAGCCTCGACAGGGGGCGGGGTTTATCTATGAGATAATCTAAGGTAATCTAATGATTGAGGAGCTTCATTGCTTACCACCGCTAGATGAACCAAACAGCGACCAAAGGAAGAGTGTATGATCATCTGAGCCTGTTATGAGAAGCTCGGGCGTTGTAACCAGAAGAGCTTCGTATCGTGCGAGAGCAAGGGATTGAGCTGTATGAAGGTGAAAGAGTGAGCAGAAGGTACTTTAAGAGATATGCAGACATGAGACCAGAGGAAAGAACAACAGCTATGACAGCTTCAGATGATATAATTGCGGAAGTGCAAAAGGGTTAGATATATGCAGCAAAGTAGTGCATAAATCCTTGGAACGTTTCACATGAATCCACATTACAACATAGTGATAAATGCTAACTAACAAGGTCTTAAATTAGAGGGCAAAATAACACACCTTCAGCATCGTCACTCGGCCGCTTATTAGTATGATCGAATGGGCCCGTACGCAAGACGAAGTCGGTGTTGAGTGTGAGTGTGGTGACCCAATGAGCGTGATCTTTTAGAACATGTAGTTGTTTACCCTATCATGCAGGGAATAAATTCAGCGTTCACAAAAATGACTCGGATGGAGGGGGCTTACGCCATTCGCATCCCATACTCTGACTGTACGATCGCTTGACGCGGTGTAGAGTATTCCTCGCCTACCTTTTCCCCCTCCGCCCCATTTCACGACGTTTACGCTGGCTGTATGCCCGCCAAGGGCGTACTCGAGACGGCGGGTCGCCACAGACCAGACACGTACAGTGCCATCCTTTGAAGAAGATGCGAGACGCGGAGAAGCTGAGTTTCTGCGCATATAGGCAACATTGAGTGATGAACGTTGCGTGCCGATGAAAAAATGACGACAGAGACTGGACTTACATGTGTGCGGGCTCCCAGGCAAGGCTGGTGATCCATTTTGAATGTCCTTTCATCACGTCGCCGATTGCCTTTCCAGTTTTTGGGTCCCATAACCTAACATGTCCGTCATGCCCCCCAGTGGCCAATTTTCGCTCTCTCGGCTCCCATTCCACGCACAACACCCAACCTGTATGCCCTTTGAGCACGTGCGACGGGGTCTCTGTGTTTAGATCCCACAGCCTTGCATGCGTATCCCCTGAGCCCGTTGCCAACAGCGTTCCGGTGGGCGAGAATGATGCGCAAAGGATGGGTGAGGTATGTCCAGAGAGCGTGGATGAGCAGCGAGTTGCTGGGCGGACTTTAAATACAGACTGAGGAGAACAGTGGACTACTAGGAGATCTTCTTGGGTGAAAGCGTGGGAAGGATGATTGAGGACATCGGATTCGATGGATTTTGAGATAACGATGCGGGTTGGTGCATTTGATGGTGTGGCTGCATCGGCTGGGAGAGTCACATAAAATGAGAACGGAATGGCATCGTCGTCATCGTCCTTTAAATCATGCAGATTAATATTGAGAACAACATTAGTACTTGCGAACAGACTTTTTTTCTTATATTATTAACCAGAGCCTCGAGTGCATCACGAGCAACATTGGAGGGGAGGTTGACAGCAGGAGCAATTGCTTGGCCGTCATTTTCTGCAACAAACTGCACAACGATATTTGGAGAGGGTTTGGGTTGTTCTTGCTCTGGTTCCGGGAATACCATGGTACACTTTCACGCGTTTTGGGGGAGGAAGAAGAGTAGCCATCAAGAGCGAAAGTGATAAATTTTCGAAAACGAAAAGCAGATTTGCCACTTTTTGCACTGCTTTCCTATTCGGGAAATCACACTTTACCAAGCTCTATACATCAAGGTCGTATCGTACAGCCCTTTACAGTTCACATTTACGTGCCAACGTTGTTACTGTACTGTCAGAGAATCGATATACTGGGAATAGGTGAAGATGGCTCGACTCGATATAATTTGAAACAAATAAACAACTTCACCAATCTAGGGTTGTCTACAGATTCAAAGTTTCAGGTGAGCTCCTCGACAACAAATTCTGAGTAAATGTAAATCTATGAAAATAACCCACATTCAGAATAACAATGAGAGCACATGGATATACTTGCCAGAAAATGCAGGTTTTATACCATTTCGGAGATAGAATGACAGTAACAGTAAAGGAAATACAGCCACCCCTCCAACTTGGACCCCTCAAATACAGATATGGTCCAGAGAAGCTACAGTAACGGTCCGCGATATCACCATAAAAACACTCCTAGCCAGCCACCACTTTCCCCTTTCTTCTCCCCCTCAATAGTTCATACAGAGCTGTCGCCGCCACACCACGTTCCACCACCTTTCCCTGCTTCACTTCCTTCTGTCCATGGCTAGGCACATGTTCTTGTTCACCCTCTGTGGCCCCAGACCCGAGGACCAAAGAGAACCTTTTCGCAAGCCCTTTCCCGGTGGCATTAGCCCGAGCCGTGACTGGCGTCGTCTGGAGGGCGACTGCAGGAAGAGAAAATCTTTTATGCCGACGAGCCGTGTCTTCGTTTCTGCGCGGTGTATTGCCCTTACCCCCAGGTGTAGACGATCCGCTTGCGGGCCCCGCAAACGGCAATTCATGCATGCCGTTCAGAGGTAGAGGTGCTGACCCTGACATGGCGTCCTGCTTTACTTCGGCCATCGAGTGTGTGAAATGCGACACGCTCGGACTCGGTACAACACTTGAAGTCAAACTCTGTTCCTGCCCTATGCTTTGTTCCCGACTCAAACTTTGGGCAATACTCCGCTCACGCCCATGAAAATCTTCCAGAATATCGTAGTAGCTTCGAGGACGCGAGGGTGGTTTTACTCTGATGCGTACTGGTGGAACGCTTGGAGCTTGATCATTCGAGTACGAACGGATGATTTCACCGTCTGAAGGCTCACGTTCGTGGGTCTCATCGCGCAAGAAGCTATCATTTTCGAGTTCAGCATCGTCTGCGCTGTCTTCAATACGATGCAGGGGGCGCCGAGGTGAAGCCCTGTTCCCATAATATGATTCAGTGTAAATATCACGTCTAGACGGACTTCCCCTCAACATGCATAACTCCTGCTTTGACGGACTGCCGCTCGAAATGTTCCTGCCTGATGCAGAGTATTCCTCGATTGCCATGAGTGCCTCTGGCTCCGGTGCGAAATTTGAACGAGAAGGTATAGACAACCATGTAGGGAAGGATGCAAGTGTGGGTGAGACAGCTGCGGGTGATGGTGTGGGAGGTGAGGTCAATCGGGGGAAAGGTGAGGACGCCTCGCTTTCAGAGACGCCTTCGGACAAGGTAACTGGTTCCGAAAGGGGCGGAAATACTGTTTCGTAACACTCATCGCAAGCGCGGGCTGGTTTCCCCGAATTCGAAGATGTGGGAGACGTGGGGTCTGCTATAAAAAACGTCTATATGTACCATACTCATCAGCCCCGCGAGTTGGACAGAACAGAACATAAAAGTAAGGTATTCATGCCCCAAACAGTGATGTCAAGATAGGGAGGACGAAATATAGACGAAAGAAAAATGCAACACAAGCTCACCTTTTCTGAACATCCTGCACAGACGCATCTTCCACATAGTCGACAGTGATGTCGCCTCCTTCTCCATCCAAATGCCTGACCACATCGCATACAGCTCGATATTTTGGCATCAGGAATCCAGACAGGCGGAACATAATGCTCAACATGGTGTCTAACAGTCCTCTTTCCGTGTGCTGGGTCCGATCGCAACAAGTGCGGTGCAAAATATCCTCCACGACTAGATTCATCCACAGTTCGAGGTGAATGTGGCAGAGCTTGTAGACTTCTCCTGAGATGCGTTGTACTGGCGGATGAGGTAAGTGTCGAGTTAGGGTGTATCGCATTGAGAGATATAAGTAGAGATGCTTTGGTGTCGCGGATGGCATCCGTCCAAGCATCTCGAGCAGACGTGGATTCTTTGCATTTCAATAGGTAAAGAAGGGCAGTACTCCGACAGAAGTAACCACTTACCAGCGTACACAGTGAATGATCCTTCAGGGCTCAGGATTTCAAAGCGGCGCTCCTCACCCCATTCTCTTCCTGATGAAGAACCCACAACAATCTCTACGTCCACTAGGCTCAAATTTCCCTTACAAACCCATTTGTCTCCCGTATTAGAATTGCTTTGGGCCTGACTAGGTGTTTGTGATTTCTTCTTCCGGGGGGAAGGAACAACGGTGACCGGGCCATTTGCAACGTGGGGGGCAGATGGTGTAAAATGTATAGGAGGGGATAAACTCGCGCCCACAGGCTCCAGATTAGGGCCGGTGACCTTCTCGTGCGCAGCAACATGTGCCTTTAACATTTCTAGTTCGGCTTCACTTTTACTCCTGCTGCGTTCCATCATAGTTCCCGTCTGCTTCTTTACAAGAATGTTATCGTTTGGGATTGAACTGGAGCCTCTACCACCATTTTGCTGCTCATCTGGGTCCCTTGAGCCAGAACCCTTTGACTTATTCCTTCCTATCCTACCATCCTCATCCCACATCGATTCCCTCTCTCCACCTTCCAGCCATATTAGATAGTCTGAAAAAAGTAAGAACTCGCGTTGAAGGGATGTCACAGATCCCCTCACGTCGCTCCACCAACTTGCTGGCTTAGATTCAATCTGAAGCAACGCCCCCCGCTTGACGAACGTACGGCCTGGAGCTACTAGTGGAAATGGGAGATTTGTAGCAGACCGCTGGATGGCAAGTAATTGTAGAGTTTGGGAATGAGTGGACAGAGATGTATTAAGGGATGTTGTGACTAGACGAGAAGAGTGACATAAATGCGGAACCTTAAAACGCGAGAAATAGTACCAGCTGAAGTGCGAACTCACTTTTACTCACAAGCCTGTGTACTTCCTCAAGCCGCCTATATTCTGGATCGTCAGGGTCGGTACAATTTATGAGGTCTTTTAGGAGGAGGAGGTACCGCGGACAACGTTGAACGATTGTGAGAAGCCAGTCGCGAAGATGAAAGTTTGCACAACGAGGATGCAACTCTTGTTTCGCGAGAAAAGTCGCGAAAGCGGTGGGTGGAGAGGTGACAGTTGAAAGTGTTGTTAAAGTGGATATAGTTGTAGAAAATGACGTGATAAATGGGGTGTATAGAGAGAGGTAAGGGAAATGAGCGAGGAGAAGGGGGGACAGGGGTGGAATTTCCACAGGATTTGCGGGTGAAGAAGGCAAAGGGGAAGACAAAGTCGTTAAAGAAGGGGAAATAAATGCGGTGAGAGAAGTAAGAAACGAGCGGTGAAAGTTCCAGATATCGATAAAATTTGAGAACACTGCTGTGAGCTCCACGCGTGAAAGTAAAGGGTGCGCCGTATCAAGGGATTCGATGATTGGGGTCAGGAAATGCTATGACAAAAAAATCACAATAAGTTCTGAAGTCGGCGCAAAGTAGACGTAACTAGACTGAGACCTACTGAATAAATAAGATCCAACCCATCGGCGTAGGTCCTCTCGGTATCATAAAATTCATGAATGACTCTCCGTCGTTTTGCAAGTCTCATCTCATCAATATGTACGCCTGTTCTTCTACGGTTTCTACGCGCGTGATCTACAGGCGGTAGATGACTTTTATGTTTCTGAGCGTTACGCAAGATGGCAGTTGGTGCCAGAGCAGGCGAAAGGTTAGAGGAAGTATGACTGCCCTCTTCGAGGAGCGAGTCAAAGGAGGCAAGGCTCACGACCGAGTGCCTGTTAAGCGCTATGTTGGGTGCGCTAGGGAGCGAAATCCGTCTAAATGGGAGATGCGGAGGGCGAGGTATGGGTGCGGGCGGAATGTGAGAGGCGGAATCGGTAGAAGGAAATGCAATAGCTGAAGAAGACATAATGGACGAGCCTGTAGCAAGGAAAGTGTGGCCGTCAACAGAGACCGTGTTGATGATAGGGCTGTCGTCGTCGTTGGGAACGCCGTGGACAAGGTATTGCTCGTCGTGGTGGACGTCGACCGGAACGACCCTAATTTGGAAAGTAGCGTAATGGTTTTGGGATGAAACTATGAGTCTTCAATATTTGCACTTAAAGTTCATTTTAGGCCTCAATTGTTACTAAAAATGTAACAGAATCGTACCATTTGGGCCCACAACCCCATCGATATCACGACCTCGTCCACGACGGGCTCCTTTGACTTCGGGTACACTGATGGTAGAGGAGGAGGGTAAATATAGCTATGGAAAATAACGTAAGTTCACACTTCACTCAAAATTTTCATCTGTCACAACTAGGCAGGATCCAGAGTCTGAGCCTAGGATCGGTTACTCTTTCTTACGAGCAGTTGCTCCCACCGATTCAGGCTAGTACAGTTGCTATACATTCTGGATTAGTGGAATTTTGGTATCGGTATCAGGATGCGCGCGTATCCTTCTTATTTGCTTCGGGAGATGAACATAGACGTCATGGAATGATCATTATCTGGTTTATCGTTGGGAGTCTAGACCTGAACATGTCTGTGGAATCATGCACGAGAAAACCAGACATTCCTTGACTATGCTCAAATCGCCATCAGAGTGTATGTGCTCTTCGCTTGGTGTTAAATATTGCAAGACCTAACCGGGAGGAGTCAGTGTGTTTTCTCCTTCGCGAAGATTCGAATCATTGACACGATAGAGAAGAAATTTTGCCACATAACAAGTATGTGCGACCATAGATGAAGCTCACTTATGCATTTGCTACATATGCAAGGTAAGTCCATTAGTATCATTAGCATCATCATCTCGATATACTCAGGTGCTCTGGTAGGTATGATACCCGTAGCGAGTATAGCATGTCCAAGAAGTCGCCACTATACCCTACCTATCAGTGAGTTAAGATTCACGTTGTAACTCGTGCCTCGATCCAAGCCCCCCCTGTCCGTCTCAGAAGCGCAGCTGCTCAAGTGCGTGAATGCATCGTGAGCAAATTGACAGGCTTGCGATCCTTTATAATGGCTCATACGAGCTTTCATGTAACGCCTTGTTGCACAACTTGTACTTCCTTGTGATCTTCTTATCGTTTGTCCTCTTTCGGGGTCATAAGGCCTTTAATTCCGGGCCTGTTTCCCTTTCCAAATACTGAACACCATGTGATCTGGATTTTACCTTCCTTCGAATTCGGCAACAGATGTTCAAGTGACCGAACTCGACTGAACAACTTAATACCACTAGATCATAATTTTCTCTTCGAGGAGATGCTCAACAGACAATTACCAGAGGTAACGTCGATCCTATATCGTGGGTAACTATATATAGTGCTTATATGGTATGCTTGTTGGAATTACAGTAGACGTGCACCCCCAAGTTGCTGCAGTCCTAAAAGCTGTGCGACAGGTGTCAGATGGTGCCTTACAGCTTCTGATTCAAAAAGGTCCGCAATCATCCTTGTCCTCGTCAAGTCCGACGCAAAATGTCACACACTTGTACGCACTTGTGTTCACCATGGCGGAAATTGGCAGTCACGTCTCGTCGCGGCCTTAAGCTTCTGCCATGCACCATGCGCTCTCCCCACGAGTCTCTTGCACATGCTGACACGAAAGTCACCAGTTACATTACCTACCGATGCGTCTCGTGGCAAGTCTCGTGGTATATGCTCATGCGTTTGATTCAGAACCAATCATGATCTGAATACCCTCATGTCTGTATGACGACCGTTCAATACTAGCCGTGCTTTTTGTGTTATAAAAATCCTACCCAAGATTGCCCACCCATTCCCTTCAGAAGAGAATTTCTATCCCAGTAAAAAGACAACATGTTAAAAGCGCTAGCTATTCTCGCAGTTATTTTGCCTTTTGTGGCTGCCCAGGATCTCAGTGTACCATCCACTTGGTCGGTGAGTATCCCCATCCAAATTATTACGTTGTTACATTTCTGAATAACCGCAATCAGGGCACTAGCACTTCAGTCGCGAAGTCAGACCGTATCACTCTCGCCCAAAATACCATCAACACGTTAACCCCCTCCCTGGACACTTCCTCTGCAGAATTTAGCGGTATGTCTTCCCCCATGTCATTTCCTGTCTCCACTAGCTCATCACCCGTTATCACTGTTTAGGTCTCGGATACTGGCAATGTGGTAATGTCTTCTCTGCGATGGCCAACGACGACCACGTTGCAGGAACCACGACCAACCAAGCCATCGTAACACAAGGACTGAACCAGGCATTCAGCGACTACTCTGACTATGATCAATACGGTTACAATGATGATGCACTGTGAGCATTATCCAGAATAGTCTTGATATGTAAATGCTAACGAATCACCGGTGCAGATGGTGGGCAACCGCAGCATATTACGGATATAGGGCCTATGGTGACCAAGGCCTCCTTAACAACGCTATCGCGACCTGGCAACACGTCTCGAACTAGTACGTCGTTTTATTGCAGACCTACCCCATATACATTGCATAACTTACCCCTCATTGTCAATAGTGTCATCTCTGCTGCCAATGCAGCTGCAGGAAGTATTTCCACCAAGAGCTTTGCCATCGAAGGGTCCTGCGGCGGTATGTATACCTCCTGCATTTTCGAACCGCTCGCACTCATACCTTGTGACAATAAACAGCAACTATGGCAGGTGGTGTGTTCTGGGTAAACTATTTTGATATTTTTCCTTGCTTAGAATCCAACTGAGATCTCATTGTAGAGACCTACTTCTGATGACACTTCCGTCAACTCTGTTACTACTGGGTATGATTAACTGTGTGCTGTGTCTAGCTTTATCTAATGTCCTTTTTTACCCATAGACTCTACATGACGCAAGTGTCTATCATGTCTTCATCTGAATATCAAGCTGATGCTGTAATTTTTTCTTCCTAGGCTATCTGCCTTCCTCGGCGAAGCTACTGGCGATAGTACCTATACAACTGCTGCTGAGCTCAGCGCCACGTGGATACAGAATGTCAACCTTAACTCTGACTACCTTGCCCTTGACACGGTTGATGCTCAAGACTGCTCTCGCTCAGCCGCCACAGAGCTTTTCACGTACAACAGCGGGAAGCTCATCGAGGGTGTGGCCGTGCTTGCACAAAGCAACTCAGCCTGGAGTGGACTCTTAGCAAATGCAGTTTCTGGTGCTACCCACACAACAGCCTGGCAAGGCAACAACGGCATCATCACAGAGGGTGCGGATGTCAGCGCTGATAATGATGCCGTTGGCTTCAAATGTTCGTTCATCAGTCATGCCTATATTTCTAACGATGCGGTACTTACGCCCTTAATTAACCGCTTCAAATGTCCATATTAGCTGTCCTCATCCGGGCTTTGCATGAAGCTTACACCAGGAACTCAGGCAACAGCGCCTTACAAACACTGATTCAAAGTTACATCGACGTCCAGGTATGGTTACAACAATACTTTATAGTATACATTCCTCATCAATCGTGCTATTATCTAGTACAATGCCCTCGCCAATCTCGCATCGACCAACAGCGGAGGCACTATCTGGTACTCACCTGCCTGGGCAGGACCCGGTCCATCGTCGATGATCTCTTGGGGCCAGCTTGCCGCATTGGACGTGCTCGTCTCGGTTATCGATACTAATAACTAATAGATGGAAGAATATCCAGCATCAGGCAATACTGTAGCAGATTGCCTAGCTGAAAGATAAATGTAATATAGCATGACACAGGACAGGATTATTGATTATTGATGGCACTTCTGAATCATCCTATTTCAGCTGGACAAAGTGTTCAAGTTCTTACAATCAGATCTACGCCCGCCAAACCTGCGTTGAAGGCGGCCACAATGAGAGCCTGGACGAGCTTACCATATATGTTATTGTATTATAAGTCACTACAGTACACTCAGGCTCCTAACTGTATATTCAAGTTGAGATAACGATGTGGCTGAACCTCACTCAGCTTGGAGTGCCACTTCGCGATCTATATGGTGCCATGCATCTTGCTGTGATGCGTCGTCTAGTTTGACAGTATAAAACCATGACTAGGCGTGCACCCTTCATCGTCGTTGAAGGTCTTGATAGATCCGGAAAGAGCACTCAAGCGTCAATCTTGTGTGACCATCTTACAAGCCTTGGTCTCCCCGTCGAATTATTCAAATTTCCCGGTTAGCCTCACACTTTCACCGTACAGTTATCGTGTTTAATACTCACAATTTACATATTCGCTCGCTTTAATACTTTATGCTACATGGTTGCATTAGATCGCAGGACAGCGATCGGGAAAATGATTGATTCGTATCTGCGGTCAGAGTCTGATCTTGACGATCGCGCTATCCATTTGCTCTTTTCTGCAAACCGTTGGGAACTAGCGTATGTTCCTTACGATCGCTTTCTTTTCTTTATGATTCAGCTCAAAGCCCAAATCGCGTCTCTCTAGGTCTACAATATCCTCACATCTTGAAAAGGGCACAACCATTATTGCGGACCGCTATGCTTTCTCCGGTATTGCCTTCTCAGCACGTAAAGGTCTGTCATACAAGTGGTGCCAAGCACCCGATGTCGGTTTGCCCGCGCCAGATCTGACAATGTTTCTTGATATCGAGCCCGACATTGCACAGGCTCGTGGGGGTTACGGCACAGAGAGGTATGAACAGGAGGAGGTCCAGAGAGACGTGAGGCAAGTATTCGAGAGGATCGAGAAAGAAATGACGCATGCGGGAGCTCGTTGGGTGAAGATCGATGCTGGTAGAACTCAAAAGGAGGTCTCACAGGATGTCTGGGTTCATGTGCAATCTATCTTGGACAGTGTTCACCATCCTGTTGGGACATTATGGGAAGAGCCTCAGGAAGGCACACTTGGGTCCATTGTCAAAGTATGAGATATGGATATGTCGTAAACCGTGAATCATGGCCAGTATTAGCAGTAATAGTAGTATGCGTAGCCTCTTTTGTTCGCAGATTTTTCGTAACTGATTCATGGCCCAGATAAGACAATTCTAGAGTACAATGATGACAGCGTACGTTATATTCATATGACATTATCAAGAAAGAAAGACAAAGATCATCAAATGCATGAAATAAAGGAGAGTGAATGTGTCTGCGATATCTGCAGAAATAAAAGGCTTCGTGTAAACGCTGACACCCTGAATTGAACCATGGATCGGTGATCAGCCAAGGGCACACCTACCCTCCAATCTGCCTCCGCGATACCCTGATAATAATATATCCAAACCAACCAGAACACTTTGAAGAAAAGGACAAAGACCAGATAGAATGATTGAACATCAGCAACTGCTTTAAGCACCCGATGAAATCCGGGATACAACCACAGCGAGTGCAATTAGAACACCCCACCTCCACTTCTCCCATATTACTTGTCGCCAAGATGCGGTCCAACCTGTTGGCGTCGTGTTTCCGTTCGTATTTAAATTTGTACCACTGTTCGTCTCAGCTACCTTATCATTCCTGACTCGCGGCTCAGTATCGACGCCGCTTCCTGTATTAGAGGAAGGATGTGCGGTGGATGGTCTTCTCGTCACTTGGGACGTGTTTACATCGTCTGGGTTTACAACTGGAATTTCTGGTTTTCCTCGCTCGCGTTCGCCCATATTGGGAAGATCTCTTGCCGTGAGAGTGCAGTGCTGTGCAGGGTAAAAATGTAAGCATCAGCATAGCTCTTAGAAAGATTATAGATGGTAAGATGATGATAAGTGAAGTTGAGTTTGTCGATGGATGATGCACATCATCAAGTGCAGAAACCATCACGGAGTTGTCGACATCTCGTTGTACGAGAAAGAAAAAAAATTACTCACATCAGGAAAAGCCTCCTTAAACCTAGGTTGTGTCAGATTCCATGCGTGACTTCGTGCGGCAAACGACCGTTTATGCACGTCAGTGGACGTTACGGATCCGGTCGTCATTTCGTCAGATAACATGAAGGACAAAAGACCAGTTAATCTAGGTATAGAACAAAGTCGGTCAATGAACAACTTGCGATCTGGCCACATCAAATCAAGAGGTAGTATCAAGATATCTGCTCACGGGGCCCGCAATAGACACCGAACAGGTCTGATGATGTGTAGATCGTTTGTCGACTTACATAGTGGCAACACTCCAAGCAGGATTCCACTAAAACAACGTAAGGAACCCGAGTAATTAAGTCACAAGGGAAGTGACATAGGGTTGAATATAAGCTTACCGAGCCCGGATGAAAATCTGACATGGAGAAACAGATTTTCTTGTCAGGTTGAAATCGTCCAGAAGGAGTCATCATCTTGGAGAAGAAATCAGTAGGAATTCTATTTCTTCTTCTTCTGAAGATGGAATACCTTGATGCCAGGGGGTTTAAAAGGATACTCAGAAGGAAAAAGTAGTACCCCATGGTATTCTCCTCCGGCAAATGGTGAATCAGGGGGTCCTCGCTACGGAGGAAGAGCGTCAATAAAGCTGGTGGCAATGGTGGACGAAGGGGCATACGATAAGATAATTCCCTGTGATCGTGCATCTGAGTACATGTTAAAAACAACTTTGTGGGCGGGCGTACATGTGAGTATATTCTTTTCGTCTGGAACTGCCCAAACGAAGGGCGGAGGCTCCTTCTGCATGCTGACATACTCCTTGGTAAGCTACACAAAGAATGTTGATTGATATGGCATGTATTAGAACATGAACAAATGCTTACACGCTTTTGCGCGGCTTTGCTTGCCATATTGGTGGGGGGGACAACGGACTAGAGGTTGGGACGGGATGTGGATGAGGGTGGTGACTGTACTGAGCTCAGAGCAGCCGGCCGTCCCAGGTCACCTCCATAAATAAGGCCAAACAATCCGAGCATTTACCGAATTGAACCGGTGCTCGTTGCTTAGGTAATCTTTCTTTCTGTCACTCGCATCCAGTGTTCGTTGTCGACCCTAACAACATTCAGACAAGGTTGGCTTTGTCTAGTCCCAAGATACTCAGCCCCCTTCCGTATGAGATTTCATTGTTATCTCGACGATTAACCCTCGTGAGTAACTACGAAGTTGGGCTATGTACACTGACATATTCTCCGAGTACAGTAAAACATAATTGTTCTTTCAAATAAATCTAATAAATAATGTAAGTTGATATAATCAGCAAGAAATCAAATATTAACACCATAACTTAAAAGTTGTTCAACTATGTGACCGTCAACGATCATGCACTACTTGTACATGCGCTTTGTCATTACTCTATATTTTTCGTTGTTATGCAGGACAAGAAAAAGTTGGCCTTCGCATTTCTTCCTGGAAGATCAAGGCATAGCTCCCTGATCAACTGTCGAGCCTGGGGTGTATCCATGAGTCCCGTTCCGTAGACGTCTATACTGTGTACAACAGCGGGCGTCTCTACGCCGTTCACGGGCGGCGGCAACGAGTTAATGTATGGATAATTGGCTCGCACCAGTACGAGCACTGGTATATATGTGCCTCCACATGATCTGTAGAAGGCTTCGAACCTTCCGACCGCAGGACGTTCGGTTTCGCTTTCTATGTATGCGACCAGCAGGTGAATTCGTTTTGGACAACCTTTGATCGATTTCCTAGACGTTGATTGTAAACCCAGCTCCTTCATGTGGTATACACAAATGTCATCTACATCGTCACTCATCGAGAGCCTCCGAACATTTCCCCCTTTACCCCTCTTGACACCATCGTGGGTAATGTCGCATGCGATTACGTTGGATATAGACACGTTTTCTCCGTTCCATCTTGGCGAAATCATGGAACGAACGTCACCAAGAGTAGCCTCGATCCAATTCTTGCTTGAAAGTTTCCAAGGTTTACTGCGACAGCTACTTTGTATGAGGACTTGGGCTTTGGTCTGTGAATCATTGTAACGAGTTTTAAAAGCATCGGATGTGATGTTACCGTCTCCGAGTGTGGTCACGCATGCGTGGTCGTGGAAAAACATGCGATTCTTCCTGAAAACCATCTGGTTCTCTGTCCACCATCGATCCATATCCGATTCATTTTCCAGACCGGTTACAACTGCCACAATGGGAACTTTTTTTCTGCAGATAGCAGAATAAAAAAGTTTGTAGTTTTTGAGCAGTACGCTCCTGACCCGCGGTCCGCGAAAGCAGTAAACGAGAAGACTGACACCTTCCCCGTCAGCCAGGGTTCGAAGGAGCTTCTTCATGCTCGCTAGTGCCGCTGGTCCTGGCACAGTCCCATGAATCCCTTCGTTCAGACCTGCGGTGTCCCAGATAAAATATTCGCCTTGATTGACCTTCACCTTGTAACATTGGCTATCAAACGTGCATCCTACGGCCTTGCTGGATGTCTCTGCTACCCTCTCCCCCGCGATCAAGTTGATTAGAGAGCTTTTCCCTGCGCCAGTTTCTCCAAAAATTATGACGTTTTTTGCTATCTGCATGCATTATTGACATAATGTGAGTATATCAGCGATTCATAAGTGCGAGCTGAACACGCCTCATGGCCATTTCTCGCCTCAGGTTTTGTTTTATTGCCCCTCTTCGCCTGGAGTGGAATATTAGTTCGGACACTCCATTTCGAGTGAATCGACAAACCATATTATTAGCCACTTTGCGTAGATGTGGCTACTGGGTTAGAAGTTGTAGGGTGATGGGTAAGATCTCTCCTGCGTTATTGCTAGTACGCTGCCTTGATATCCTTTCACAGGTTAAACGCCGTTGATATGGTTCGTCTCAATTGTTCCGCTATATAACTTGGAGCTTATGACCACGTGTTGTCCGCACGGATTGCTGTAGTCTGTGAATTAAATGCTTCATACTGTTCCTTTCGGGGTCAGGATTTATTGAAGTAAACTCGTTAGTGTCATCTTAAAGTATGCACTAGTAGCTGTACTTATTGTTGTTCAGGTCATTGAGCTTCCTTATATGGTGACTATTATTTTCACATCGAACCGATTATAATGATGTTGTACTTAAACAAACAATTAGATGTGTGATGCGGAACGCTATCCCCATTGTTAGCTCTACCATGAGACCACAAGGTTCAAGTGCAACCCCCAGCTTCTGCTTCAGGTAGCTGTCAGTGGGTGCCTGGGGGCTTTTATTGATAAGGTGCCACGAAGGTCATATGCTTAGTGGTATACATAGTTTACGACGTTTTTTCGCCTGCCATCACATCAAGAAGCTCCGGCCCATGATCAACATTAGCGCTAAAAACCTCCACTTACCGCGGGCAGCTATCATTACACTAAGCCTCCCCTATCACATTACGATGAATGTGCGCCTAATATAGGGGTAATTTATTTAAGCATTCGGTAGTGGGAAAGGTGTGTTCACATCGTGCCTTTTCATATTGACGTAGACTGATCCCTGAACTACCCTTTAGAAAAGTAAAGAGGCGCTGAGAAAGTGAACTTAGTTGGCTGTGCACGGAAAGCTGCAGATAGGAGCGAAAGTCGTGGTTTCCTACTACAGTTTCTTCTTGAAAGTGACGTGAGTGAGCCGTTATGCGCCATGGCCTATCATACCCTTCCCCACGTGTTTCCTGATCATGACGGGTATTAAAACAGTTTGTTAGTGTAGCATCGCAATTCAGATTTTGATAACCTCACTTTGTGGTCACTACACACAGACCTTAATTTACGTATTTTCTACTCCGTTTCCCCATATTTTCTCGACTGTAAAGTGCGTCTTCTAACTTCAATGAAAATGTTTTTTGCTCAACCGAGTCACATCAGCCATCACAACCATCTCACAGGCCATGGTTGTCAACTCTTTCCCACCAAACGTCATAATATTTGGAGAAACGGGTGTTGGAAAAAGCTCCCTTCTCAACCAGATTGCGGGGGCGCAGAAAGCAGATATATCTAGCGGGGCTGAAGGATGCACGCTTGACTCGATGGAGTACGAGGTCAATATCGATCACCGTCCATTCCGTTTGTTCGATACCATGGGTATGAACGAACCTCAGCTAGGGAAAGCCGGATATCTCGAGGCCATTGAGAAGTGTTATCGACTCGTCCGGTCGCTTGAGAAGTTGGGCGGAGTGCAGTTACTCATCTTCTGCATGCGTGGAAAAATTACCGCCACTGTGCAATCTAACTGGAAACTATTCAACGACATCTTTTGTTCGCGAAAGGTGCCTGTTGTGCTCGTGGTTAACGGCCTTGAGCAAGAACATTCGATGGATAGCTGGTGGACGGAAAATGAGAGGTATTTCAAAAGTGCTGGTATTGTCCCCGCAGGCCATGCATGTATCACATCGACCTTAGGACTACATGCTGTGTATCAGAAGAGGTACGAAAGTTCGCAGATGAAGGTGCGACGATTAATTTTGGAGTTTTGCGGGAACTCGAGCCCATGGAAACCGGAGGGGAGGACGTGGTTCGTGCGGATAGCCAAATTTCTACGCACTGTGACTTCACGGTCTCCTTCTCATGGAGAATTACGAGCCATGCTACACAAGAAGCTTGGACTATCTAAAGCCGATGCCACAATCATTGTTCACCGGTTTGAACAAGTGGATGCAGAATTCATGTTCCATATACCACATTAGTGGGTCTTGGGGTCTGGGACTCATCGCTGGAGGTTGTGGTGGTAATTGTATTTCTTATTTATGATACCAATTTCTGTGCGCTGAGCTGCCTCTTTTCACGACAACGAAATTTACTTACATTTACTCGCACTATACGACGTCTCGTTTTCTCGACCACCGTTCCTGCAGCGCAGAAACATTCCTGTGTTGTTAGGCAATATTTTTGATGTCATCTTATTCCGTCCCAGTGTCCACTTTCACAACTACCATACTACACTTAAAAATGTGAAGCCTTCCGTTCAGATGCCTATATATACCACCAATAAGAATATTCACTTATAAAGGTATCATGAAACCTGATATCCTCCTGAAATCACCCTTATGACGTTGGTGCTTTCCACTGCGAGAGCCAAGTTTTCATGTATGAGAGGCCGGCAGTCTGTACCTTCGCGATGGTATCATCAACGACGCCGTTCTCAGTGATGAGATCGGAGCAATGGAATCCATCACCCTCATAGATGGGCTGTGTGTCTGTGCTTGGCTTGTTCAGGCCATCTGCGGAGACGGTAGCCTCACGCCAAGGGTCACCTGTTAGAATATACAATCAGAGCCTTGTTTATTAAGATAAAGAAGTGACGTACGAAGGCCATTAGCAAAGAAGAGCCGGTCAACTTCCACGTTCCATCCTTCATAATCTGTATCTGTTTGCTCGACGGTGGGTGTGGGAGGTGTACTGAATGCTTGAGGGAACATGTTCACGCATTGCCTCTGCCCAAGTGATTTCAATCATGAAAATTCATCCTTGATGAACACGACTTACCTCTTCGTATATAGGCTGAATAATGCGACTTACGATAGCAGGCTGACCTTCAGGAGGGCCGACCTGGTAGTAGCCAACTTGGTTGCAGCTGAAATAGACTGGTCAACCCTGCCCAACAGTCACTATTGTGTGAACTTACACCATCCAGAACCACGAACGGTTAGCATTGTTGACGGCTGTGCTGGTGTAGTAAGACGATGTGGTGTTATAAGTCCCCAGACACTCCCTTAATAGAGGTGATGAGGGCGATGAGTGAATGACAATGAGCGTGTACTGTGAGACTACTCACTCAGCATCGACACTTCCGCAAACTGGATATAATCCAATCATTAGGCGTTCTTAGCAACTATACTCGTTTACTCACCATAAGCATAGTAGGTAGTGTTCCAGAATGAGCCCCATGCAGTGATTGTATGGTCAAGTCCCCAACCTGATGCATTTGCGCTTATGCCATTATCAACTTCAAGAGCGTCACAGAATTGGAAGAACATCGCTCCAGGTCCAACGTCTGGTTGAAGGGATTGCCAGTCAAACAAGTTGTCTTGCACTGCAAAGACGTAAGTTATGATACTAAAAAGAGACATCATGAACCAGCACAGTTGCTGACTTACATGCGGAGGCAAAATCATCGATGTGGGATAGCCCACTTAAACCAAATGCCGATTTGAGTGAGTCGATTGCAGCAGTGTCGTTATTCGCGTAGCTCTGGTCAAGGTAAGCGATCACTGCTTCGACGTCAGCGGAGCAGTTTTGGGGCATGTATTCGCGAATTGGTGTGAAATAGCCGTAGTAATCACTAAGGGATAATATCAACATCAGCAGAAGGCGATGAAGCGCGCAACATTACGTGATAGCTTCGACGACTCCAGAAGAAGCATATGCCGCCCAGAAGATACCTGGCTTGCTAGAAATGGAGTGAGTGAGAATGCTTGCATCTTGACTGATGTACTGACTTAACCATGGTCCAACTCGTCAATGCACCTAACACACACACACGCATATACGCATAAGTGATCACTCAAACTTCGCATTGAAAAATAGTACCAGAATAGCTGCCTCCAATTAAAACCCAAGGCGCCTGATCAGGCTTGACCTGATCGCCGCCTGGCATAGGCAAATCCACATTCTGGGCAAAGTAGACCAAGTCGTCAATGGCTTGCTGGATATTGAGCAGTTCGAGACTTTGCGAAGTCAAGTTGTCATAAGGATTAGACAGGCCGAAGAACCGATGCTCGACGATAATAGTCGCGCCGCTCTGTTGCTGAGCAATAAGACCGTTCACGGTCTCGTTGGTCAAATAAGATTCATATCCTGCGAAAGTGAATTTTACATAAGTTCAAAACGAAATGTAATGCAAGGCTTTACAATACCATCTGCGTCGGTTTCACCGGGAGTCATCAAAATAATTGGACCCCCAGCCTCGTAAAACTCCCAAGTTGTCCAGTATCGTTGCTGGAATGTCCCCAAACCCGGATTGTTGTGATCGATCAGTTGGTCGAAGTAATACACGGTGTCAATGGGTGGCAATGTCGTTCCATTGCGATCCATGAACGGACCTGCGGGTGCGGGAACATTTGGAAGAGAAGGACGGCCTCTGAGCATGGCGTTTGGTATAGCAGCAAGAGCCATAGAGCTCAACGCCAAAGGCGCAAGGAGGAACTTGAATAACCTAGGGGAAGCCATTTAAACCAAACGTTGGGATTGCCTCGCAGACGATGGTTCGCGCTCGTTATCCAAGAGAGCTGAAAACATTATCTCTGTTCTGATTCTGTTTAAATAGTACGTACCTTCCTGGGAACTGTCTGCGTGTACCACATGAAAGTGCTGTACCACATGCCGTTGTTGCTTCCCAGAGACAAGACCAGATGGAAATATACTGATTAGCCACGTGACATAAATAGCGACTGTCCAGCTAGAGCCGTCGGGCCGAGGGTGCTAGAAGCAGCATCAACCACGCTAGCGCTTTTTTGTCCATCTGGGCAGTGACCCCATGCCAGTGATATGAACTAAAGAAAGAGAGATAAATACACACCTAAGTGCGACCTTGACCAAGCGTTTATAGAGAATGTGAGCATAACGCTAAGCTTCTATTGCTTGCAAACCTTCCAGGGATTGTGCACATATGCTGAACAAGCTAGAAGAAAGTCTTATCAGCAGTCGCAGCATAAAGAATGGTATCGCGATAGTCTTTTGCTGTAATTTTCTGTAAGAATAAATGCTGGTGAAAACTATGTATCGCAATAAGAAACCACTAAGAAAACAACAGGATTTGGGATGATGCTAGAACACAATTGTTGATAAACACTTTATACGAGGGACTCTTCACTTCTTCTTCCAACAAAACATGAACGCTGTCTAGAATGTGCTGCCTTCCGGTGGCTGAGGGAGCTTCCGGTTATTGAAAGATGCCATTTCCCTGTGACAGAGGTGAAGTGCTGTTCAGCCATGTGCAACCTAACGAAAATAAAAACTCACCTCCGGATCTCCACAAGAATAGTCTCGATGCTGCTGCTCCTGCCCCACTGAGAAAGAACTGGGAGTTTGTGAGGATCAACTTTCCCGTCAGTCTGGTTAACAAAGGGGAGATTGACACGGGAGATGAACTGAATAGTAGGGGGCCTTTCCGGGTACGATTCGCCACAGTAAATCTTCAAGCTGTAGATGCGGTTCTCGTGTACCGTCTGCACCATATCAGAGTAAGTGGATGAAGACGATGAGGGTCAAAACTAGGTCTGATGTTTGCAACTTACATGTCCTGGCCCGATGATTGTTCCATTCCAATTGCTCATCATGATATCGTCGCCATCCTCCAGTCCGTATGAGCACGAGCCATCTCCGATCCCTTTCTCGCCCTTCTCAAGCTCCTCTAAAAGCCGAAAATTGCGTGGAACTGATATCGACATGCATTCAGTCAACAACGCGAATGAACAAGATACAGCAAAGCATAGAATTACCCTTGGCCATGAGTGGAATACAAGAAAGAACCTATAGTATAGAGGTCGATACGAAACAGACTTGCGGCTGTTTGCGGTTTCGGCAGTGGCCTCTTCGGGCTACTGCGCGGAGTGCAGCCACGATCCTTGCAGACACCGCCTCCGCAGTATACATATCGACCCTTCGTTACCTGTCTATCCTCTGCGCAGAACCAAACCCACAACCCGCTATATAACGCTCATAATATCGTCGGATAATGTTTAAAGGCGGGCAGGCCAATCCTTATGATGAGATTGTTGGTAAGATGTACAGAAAGCTCTCAGAATCATCTTGATTTCACACTTCACTACAGGCAAAACGACGGACGAGAATCTTACAAGCGAGAACTGGGAACTTATTCTGAATTTATGCGACAAAGTTCAGGACGAAGGAGAACAAGGGTCAGTTCTGCACTTCCCTATCTTCTACCATCAATACCCTTACCCATCATGTCCATCCAGGGCACGAAATGTCATCGCCGCAGTGCTCAAGCGAATGACTCATCGCAGTCCTAACGTACAGCTGTACGCTCTGTCATTAGCTGAATCATTGTCCAAAAACTGCGGTGTTGAGCTGCATCGTGAATTGGCATCTCGCGCATACACTCAAGCTCTAGAGAAACTGATCACCGATCGAGTACGTGGATCCATATACTTGAGATGAAGCTATGAACTGATCATATGCATGTCCAGACAACTCACGAAAAAGTTCGACGAAGGGCACTTTCCCTCATTGCCTTATGGACCGCTGAATTTGAAAAGGATCCCTCACTAGGGATAATGGAAGAATGTTACAATAATCTGAAAGCCAAGAGTAAGTATTTGTGAACTATATGATAGTAAGATGCTAATTATGTCCTGTTTCTCAAGACTACAAATTCGAAGTTCCTCAAGAGCCTCCTCCTCCCACTGTTGATGACGAAGTCCGCCGAAGAGAGGAAGAAGAGCTGCAGAGGGTACTGGAAATGTCAGTGCGTGACAAGGGAGGGCGTAATCAGTGGGCTGAAAACTCTTCATCGAGTGGTGCTGGTGGCTCTGGGTCTGGAAGTTCTAGTCGGAATGCTGCAGTTAGCTCAGCAGTACCCGCCTCAGGTACACGTCAGCAGGCTGCTTCTCAAGCGACATATCATTCCGGATACGTCCCCGCACGAACACCATCTCCCAAAGTCCAAACCCCCGTTGCTACCCAATCTGTTGCCTCCCTTGCTTCAGCGTCTACCACTTCTATTTCTTCGCAGAGTGCATCGTCTATCCCAATCATTACGCGCGTCCGTGCTATGCATACATTCGAGCCTACGGAGCCTGGTGAACTTGCTTTTGAGAAAGGCGACGTGATCAAAGTGGTTGATCGCGGTTACAAGGACTGGTGGAGAGGACAACTGAAAGGCAGGACTGGCATCTTCCCTGTGAATTATGTGGTCCGTATCCAACTCACTTTTTATCCGTGATAATAACAAACTCTAAAAATATCTACCCAGGAACACTTGCCGGAGCCTACAGCGGTAGAACTCGCGAAAGAAGCGGAGCAAGAAGCTGCAGTCTTTGCACAGACTGCGAACATCGACAGGCTTCTGACGCTGTTGCGGTCTTTGGACCCCGCAAAGGATAATCTCGCTGATAATGAAGAGATACAAGTGCGCATATAATTCAAGTGTAAGATTAATATCTGACGGCAAGCATATACACAGGAGCTATATCGGTCTAGTATGTCACTAAGACCAAAGATTGTTAAGCTGATCGATAAGTACAGTCAGAAAAGGGGTATGAAGCTATTCACATTCCTAACTCCCTATACCTTCTGACTATGGCCTCTATAGCTGATCTCGTATCCATGAACGAAACCTTTGTGAAGGCTCGTAGTATATTTGATCGTATGATGGAAGAAAGCCTTGCAAGGCACTCTGGAAGTTGGTGTGCTTTATTGGTGGACGAAATCTTTACTCATTTACTCCCTCAGTGTATGATCCTCAAGCTAACTACCGCAACCCACCTCCATCGCAGTATCAGCCAAGACCCGATTCTCGTGCTCGTCAAGATTATGCGCCCACTCCACAAGGGTTTGCCTGGAACCCTGCAGCGTATGATCAGAACAGATACGGTGCATATCCTGGGCCTGTAAGCCAGTATCCAGAGGGCATGTATCAGGGTAATCCACAAGTTCCTGCTCAGTCTTACGGTGATCACAATGGTTATACTCCTCCACAACCTGGCTTTGGACAACCTTATGGCATTCCACCCACAAACGTGCCGTACGGAGTGCCCCCTTCCCCATATCCTCGACAGCAGCCAATTGATCAGAGCGACGCGACAGCCACACCTCATGCACAGCCAGTTGAACTGCAGGCACCACCGCAGCAACTACAGTACTCTCAAAATTTGCAACCCCAAGTACAAGCACAAGCACAGGTGCAAACACAGCCGCAGCAGCAGGCACAGAGTCCCGCGCAGCAATCCGGCCCTCCTTATGTCTATGATCCCAATGGCACGTATGCGGACCCTAATGTGCAGGCATGGGCAGCGTATTATGCTCAGGGGGGCAACGATAAAGCTGGTGCAGTGTACTTCATCTCTGTTCCTGGAGTAACCGACGATCCTGCGCACGTGGGGCCCGAACCTCAGCATCATGGTGAAGCTGTTCAAGCGGAGCAGTCCACATACCCCTCTCAAGACCCTGTAGCACAACTCACTTCAGTATCTACCTATCAAGATCCCGCCTCGGCACCCATACCTTCCAATCAGGGACCAACGTTCCAAACTAGTGATGGATATGCAAATCAGCCGTCGCCTCCAGCCGCTGGACAGACAGACTATGGCGCTCAAAATCTAGGTCGATCACCTTCATATCTTTATCATCGAGATAACCTTCCTGCAAATTCTAATGTGCAAGCTAATCAGTACGTCGGTGCCGGATCGTCTTCGCCTCATAGTCCGAAAGTTGGTTCTGGTCCTTGGGTTCAGGCTCAGCAAATCAATGAGCCTGCTCCGCAGGGCATGATGCGAAGGCAGTCGGTGATGCATTCTGTCTCTGCTCATGCCCCTCTTCAGTATAGCCCCCAGGGTGCATCGCCTTCACATCAACAGCAACAATATATGCCGCCTGCCCAAACCGGCGATCCCACGCCCGTGCCGTCCCAATACGCTCCGCAGCCTGTTCAGCAGCCATATATGTCCCAATCACAATATGGCGATAATGGTTCTGTATATGCCCCTCCTCAAGACGGTCGACCCCCTGTAGCCGCAGACCCAGGAGGTGAAGCTCCCCCTCAAGGCTGGCAGTCACAGTATCATTCATTACACAACCAATTTTCGGGAATGAGATTAAATGGAGAAAGGGCGCAAGGTCCTCAGTCGGGACAGCAAGCGCTTCAGGGTGTTGGTGCTCCTGCTTAAGTACGAAGAATAGAATGAGATTTCCACGTAGTCCTTTGAGTACAATCCATGCTTCATGCCATATAATACTTTCCTTGAGTTTATGTCGATGAGATATATTTCCGTTTGAGGGCACACAGAAGCGACCTCGCAGACCAGCGTTCGGTGGTTCTGTACAATTTGAGTGATTATAAAGGTGTATGCAAGTCATGGTGTGGCGCGAATTTATTTGGATCAAAGGCTGTTGACAAACAATGATCAATGTCCATGTAAGGAAACCGTCATCTGTTTTAAATTGAACAACACACATCATGGCACTTCCGACAAATGGACGGGTGATAATTGATACGACGGTTGGAGAAATAGACATAGAGTTATGGTCCAAGGTACGCCAGCCACAAACCCATTCCCAGTAAACGTCATGTTCCAAATCTGCCTTCATAGGAAACGCCCAAAACGTGCAGGAATTTCTTAGCGTTGGCAATGGAAGGTACGTGCGCATTTAGTTTGTAACTTTCCATCTAGCATTAAATATATACCACAGGCTACTATGATGGGGTTATCTTTCACAGGTGAGGATACTATTGACCATATGCGACCTTTGCTGAAGTATCACAGGGTTGTACCAGGGTTCTTGGTTCAGACGGGAGATAAAACAGGTACGGGAGGAGGTGGGGAGTCATTCTATGGAGGTGAGTTAATAATGAACACGTCAATCTAATTTCACAGTATGACACCAATACATCAGAACCATTTGAGGATGAAATCCACCCTCGTCTGCGTTTTGCGCACAGAGGTCTGATAGCCATGGCAAACAATGGCACAAAAAACTCCAATGATTCTCAGTTTATAATTACTCTCGGTTAGTCTATCTCCATCTGGCTTCATGCTCTATAACTCACAGATAATACAGATCGAGCTGATGAGCTCCATGGAAAACATACCCTCTTTGGTCGGTGTATGGGAGACACGATCTATAGTACGTGCTTTGATAATTGCTTGCATGATCTATCTTCTTATTGTCAGCCTTGAAGATGTCATGAAAATTGGTGACATGGGTTAGCCGACAAGTTCCTTGTTGTTGTCAATATATTGATATAAAGTCTACAGAGCTCGATGAGAACGAACGTCCTTTATAGTTCGTCACTTCATTAAATGCATACTGATATATCTGATCATAAGTTTTCGACTATATCAGCCCTCCCAAGATCAATAGTATCACGATTGTGGATAATCCATTTGATGATATTGTACCTCGCATAACAGCCGCAGAAAGACGTGCACAGCAGCGAGCAAAAGAAACAGCACAGCGGGAACGTGAAGAGGCAGATAGACGACGAGGTGCAAAAAAGTAGGTATTGCAATGACACATACGTTATCAAAATAACTTGAAACATCATAGGAATGTCAATTTACTGAGCTTTGCCGAGGATGAAGAGGACAGAGGAGATGAGGTACCTATAAAGTTCAAGAAGAAAGCTATTGTCCGACCAGATCGTGAGTCCCAATTTCTAACTCGACTTATGAGGATTTGCACTCAAGGCCAGAGTAGTATTAGAAGACCCCCAGTCCACAGCTATTCCAGAAGCAGTTTTTCCCCCAATGCCTAGCAGGAGAAGTAAGTCCGAAGACTCCGGGAATGTTGTAGAGACAGGATCCAAGGTATTTTTATCCGGTTATCTACCCCCGGAAGCATATAAAGGGTATTCCTTAGGCTCAGAAAAGTCCTCAGAAAGGTGAACGCTCAGATATAACTAAGATACGAGAAAAACATGCGTTGGAGCAAGTTGCTGGAAGGTAATATCTGTCCTACTTTGATTTGCGCGGAAGCATTGATAGCCGTCTTAAGCAATTCCCGAAAAGTTGAAATCGAAAAGATGGAGGCAGAGATTCGAAAGCTTTCTCGAAAGCATGGTGACGATAGCGACGACGAACATACACGGAAGAAGACAAAGAATAAGTCTTATCTAGAAGAAGAGATGGCCAAGTATTCCAAAGGGAGAGGTCTGTACAAGAAGAGTAAAGATGGGAAGAAAAAGGACGAGGGTGATGTCCTTGCAGCGCTGAATAATTTTAGAGGCAAATTAAAGAGTTCCCTATGGAATGACATAGAACATAACGGTGGTGATGAAGAGGATACTGTAGAGGAACAGAGACAGGTCGATGATGAGGGCATGGAAATAGATGTTGATCGAGGATTCATGGGTCACGCGCTTCAATTCCCAAAAGACGACGGGGAGGAAACACGCAAAGCGGAGCGGGACTATGAAGTCATTGATCCACGTCAGCGAAACGCAAGAGCGAAGGAAGAAGAGAGGGAGAGAAAGCGAGCAACGAAAGCAAAAGGTAATCGATATAGACGATGAACCGGATCTTGTGTCTATGTGATAAGTAATTCCTTTTATATCAATGTCAACTTCTCGGAAGATACATCAAAATAAGGATCATCATGGTGGACATAGTATGTAGTGCGTAATAAAGCGGTTTACAAGCGAAGACAAGTTCACTCTAGTGGCCGTCTACCAGTGTAGCATCGTCACCTTTATCATCTTCCTCCCTGTGAACAGTACTATTCTGTTTCATGCTATCTAAGAGCGCTATTGCATCCCATTTGGATATTCCACAATGGCTCAACTTCCATATCATAGCAAAGCGTGTGGGTAAGGGGAAAAGGCGTCCCAAATCGCGCAAAAATCGCGCGAACCAAGTGTTGCGGTCTTTTTTCCACCCTTTTTCAAGGGAGTGCTGTTCCAATAAAATGCGTACCTTTGTCCTTGATTCTCTGAGTCTCTCTTCCAGTTTGCCTCCAACACCTTTGATAGCAGTTACGCAGGCGTGCCCAGCAGGCTGCATCCCATTATGTTTGAAGGCTTCTTCGTTTGTATCCCACCACCCATCCATATCTATCTCATTCTCAAGTCCCGTAACAACGATAACGATAGGAACGTTTTTCTTGCAGAAATATTCATAGAACAGTTTCCAATTTCGTTGCGTGACCTCGGTTATCCTAGGAGCACGTATGCAGTATACAAGAAGGTGTACGCCGTCTTGTAAATCGGTGATGAGCCGGAAGCTATTAGCAATAGCTTTAGCATCCACCATTTTCCCTGAATCTCCCTCGTTGGTCCCCACTGTGTCGTAGAGATTGTAAGTAAAGCTCTCTGAAAGCTTCACCGCGTAGGATTGGTAAGTGAAAGTGCATCCAGTGGCACCATTGGACGTCAGAGCGACGTCTTTATCTGCTATCATATTGATTATAGAACTTTTCCCGACCCCAGTCTCTCCAAAAACGACGACATTTCGCGAGGGAAGCGTCATGGACTCGGAGTGAAGGGGAACCTGAGCGGGGCCGCGATGGTAGAAATTTGAGAACGTGATGAAAAGAGTTATAGTGGTAGGTGCTGAATATTCTGTACGCCAGGTACTGTCGGAGTATGTACTGGTCAGGTAGTGTGTTTATATAGCTAAAACGCACCGGTTGCAATAGCTTTGCGCATGCTACAGGACTCTGTCGATAATTTTGATACTGACACCTACCTGAATAACAAAACTAGTAGCGTTTAATCTGTCATTTTGGGTTGAAAGATGATCAGAGATTCCTGGTAGACGCCCTGCCGTCATCGCAGGACCTCAATCACGAAGCGCTAGAAAATGAGAAGACACAGAACTTCTATCAGACTTCAAGTTAAATGAACGTTGCTAACACGAGTGGTATATGACCATAGGAGACATGGCTGGCCAGTGGGCTAAGGGCTATGTTGGGACCAATGACACTCTTATTATCAGGTGTGACTGATACGGGAAAATGTGCTAGAGGGCACCTTCGTCAGAGCACCCGGGCCTTCGCCCATAATTATTCAAAGAGAAATACGGACTGAGTACGATTCATATTTAGTAGCGAAAAATTCTTGAGTACATGATATACCTATGGATTTTTGTCTTTTTTAGTATTACACCGAAAGTGAGAGCAGCCTACCGCAGAGCATGTCTCCCTATCTTTCTCCTGGGCCAAACCATGACTTGGATCCACATCACGTGCTCCAATGAGTTCAATTTCAGCGGCTGATAGGAAAAGTAAAGTTCAAGATCAGTGGCTTCCTTTCTTTGATGACGCGGCTTTTTCCAGCGTAGTGGGACACTCTTATTCATGACAAGGATTGGCGTCTTTCTTCGTATACGCACAGTTGAAGGGCTGCAGGAGGACCGCTGTATTCTCATACAAGCATCCCGAATCTAATGACGGGTGACCACTTGCCAGTCGATTCGCTTATAACACCGTGACAACTACACGCACTTTGCATGTGCTGTAGGTGAGTAATCCACTAATGAAATACTTCCTACTCTGGCATGAAACCCGTTTGGAGAGAAGCATAGCCAATTGCAGTGACGGCATCATGCAAAGTGCTTTAGCCTCGCTGTAGTGCCCCACGGCCACGCCTCACCATACGCATCCCACTTCTCACTCTCAATTCATCTTTCAGGGAAAAAGAGCGCTAGCCTGATCGAGGGTACAGCCTTCTCGAAGCCATGTTTGATTGGGCTCTCAGCCAGGGAAACGGATAACCAAAAGAATAGCTTTCTACGATGAGGTAGCCGATAAGCAATCTATAGTCAGCCGCGCATTAAACACATGCATTCCTCCCCGCGGTGGCTTGTTTACTGCTCAAGCCTAAAACCTTCGACACGTAGATAGCTCCAGTTGAAAAAACATCACTCACCCAAGAAACTTACCTGAGGGCGACTTCTCCAGTCGTACAAGTAGCTATTGTTCTCTGAGATATACCTATACCAAAATAAACGTGAGTTATATTTCAATCTATTATTGATCTATTGGGAAATCGTTGCCTATGCCTTCAGACACCGAATATGACCTCAAACGTCCGTAATGTTCTGTTTTTTGGGGAAACTGGAGTTGGGAAGAGCTCTCTGATTAACATGATAATGGAAGGACACACCTCCGGAGAAGAGAGATCATGCACACCTGTCGCCACTTGGACTAACACCGACCCAGCGGATGCTCAATTGGTGCCAGACAAATCAAAACGGCCTACGGGCGATGTGTTAAAGAATCCGGAACATACCCAAAAATCAGACGTTCGAAACAGGGAGAGTCATGATGTTGCGAATCATAGCATGAGATGTGGAGATGAGGAGAAATCACCCACATCATGCTCTCGTAGAGGTTCATTACACCCCGCAGAGGTTTCTAGCGGTGCAAAAGGATGCACCTTCAAAAGCAAATCGTATCAAATGAATATTGATGGATTGGAGTATAAACTGTGGGACACCGTGGGCCTTAACGAGGGAGACCTTGGACGCGTACCCGCTGCACAGGCAATGGAAGGGCTTAAAGACCTTGTGCATGAAGTCGTAGGAAAAGAGGGGATCAGTTTGCTCGTATATTGCATTCGTGCAAACAGGATTACACAAGCCTCCACAAAAAACTATCGTGTCTTTTATTCTGCGCTTTGTCGGAAGAAAGTTCCGATAGTGATAGTGATCCTAGGACTGGAGAATTTTGAAGGGGAACGTATGGACAGCTGGTGGGAACAGAATGAGAAGGACTTCAAAAAGTACCGCATGTACTTTGCGGGTAACGCATGCGTAACGGCAATACAGGGACAACCTACGCAAGATGGGACTCATTTGTACGAGGATCGATATCTTGAATCACAGCGGAATATAAAGAAACTTATCTCGTTGCGGTGCTCTCCACAACCATGGAAGGTGTTGCCAAACCATGCTTCGCAAGTCATTCAGGACATTGTAGGACTGATGCAGAAGATGGAGGAAGATAACCCAAACATACTCGTCTATAATTTCTTAGGCCCGACTGCAGCTATCCAGAAGAGTGGTTTCAATATTGCCACATGCATTTCCGGTGAACCCATAGCAGAGACATTGGCGAGTACCGTCATCATCGGCGGAAAGCGCTACACACTTCACGATGCAGATGCGTATGATAGACACATTGACATTTCTAAGGCTATGGAGAAAGAGCCCCGTTTGTTGATATTCTGTCTGCCCGAGGAGCAAGTGGAGAAAAGTGTGCTAAAATGTAAAGAGATCTACGAGTCACGCAAGTGCGACATACCTCTCCTTGTGGCCATCACGCCTGCTGATTACGCTTATCCTATCCTGGAGCGGAAGAATATCATCGCACAAGCATTCGAGAAACACTCTGTGTCCATTTCTTCCTATACGGGCTTCAAACCCGAAGGCACGGAGAGCCAACCCAAGTATTGTGAAGAACGCCTCTGGTCGCACGACTTGGCCGAGCTTATTGTGCGGTTTACGCTGGAGCTTCCTGCCAAAGATCCGGGAGTACTGAAGTCGTTATGGAAAAATGTACTCAACGTCATGCGACGCAATCGTTAATTGGAATAGACCCCTTTGATTACTTTGACAATAGGCTACTTTTTTCTGTAGTCGTAAATCGAATGGAGTAGTTGTTAGAAATATTACATATCGATCAGCCATGACGCCAAGTGTGTTCTGTTCACTAGTTAAAAGTTGACACGAGTTTTCCGCGCGAGCAGGGCGCTTGTGTAGGGCGGTTAAAGGGCGCGGCACAAAGCTGAAATCGAAACAAAGAGATATAATCTCGGCTCGATACATGTTATGCACGAGTAGACGGCCAGGTTTTTCGAATGCCCTCGTCATTACTTGAGCGATGACATGGAACGTTCAAGAACGAGTAGTGGGCACAGTATGCGCAAGGCCAACTGCGTGCTTGAAGCGGTGAAGGTGAGCTCAGCTGCAGGGAGACGCACATGACAGCCTCACGAACTCGAATTAAATCAATTTTATAGCCTTACCAACGCAGGATACACACCTTGACTGTGGGGCGAAACTGGGCGGTTCACCGACTATATGTAGGATATCCCCAACGCGGGCATGCAACCCACTCACATTACTTATTCTTCTTTTTTTGTTCGACAGTTGCTTCATCAGTGGCACCTAACAGGTCGTTTATAAACCGCAATCGCAATCGCAATACTATGTGGCAAACTCCACTCAGCTCGGCCAAATTCTCGCTCAACGTCGGTGGTGTTGCTGGATTCTTTGGTGGGGATGAGGCGGTATCAGCCATGGCGACGATTTATATGAGTCGGGGAAGGAAGTGGTTAGGGTGGTATAACTCTCCGGGAAGTTATGTGGTGGCGAAAACATATGGAAGGCTAGCAAACTCAAAATTCTGGAATGGCATTTTTCCGGGAGTGAAGAAGGAGCCAACTGTGGTCTTTGGATTGGGTGGGATGGGCGGGCCCGAGTACGAGGCAGCGCAATCGAAGACACGTAGTATCAGAAACACGGGCCACGTCGGGTACCTCATCATGAAGGAATGCGAGGACCTACACGTCGCCACTAGAGCAACAGGGAGACAAGTGACTCCGACCGACGTAACGATAATGAACCTGACGCATGTACCCGAGGTCATCTTCAAACTTCGTCCTCCTACAGGCTATACGGTATCAGCCCTAGCCCTTATCCCCATCCTCGTCAGTATTTTTTCCTGTGTCCTGTGCGGCATATTCCATGATTGGTACTGCTGCACGATGATAATCGTGGGTATCTTGGCTACCCAGTACTCTTATCTCGCAATTGGATCTGGCAGCGTACACTTCACTCATCCACGGACGTCACATAATGCACCTGCAGGGGACGGTATGCTGAAGGACAATCGACAAGTCTCTATAGTATTAGGTCCAGAGGGAGCCGTCAATGCGATCACAAGAGGGCGCTTTTGGGTCCGATTGCCAGATGAGCCCGAGTGCAGCTCTATAGGGCATGCATCACTACTGCTCATAGCGCAGTTCCTGCTCCAGCTACTTTTGATCCCCCAAGGCACGCTATTCGGTCAAATCCTGTTCTTGGGGACATTCGCCGTATCCTGGATTTATAATGCGCTTTGTCTATCTGCGGATAACGAAACTGCGCAGAGGGAGATACTGATGAGCCAAGTGTTACGAAAGCCTTCGATGGTAAAGTATAGGTTCGGGACGAAAACCGCGATGGCAACCTTTGTGCTCCTGGTGCTCAAGCCAGTAAAACCGTTGGACTTATTGAACGAGTTGCTGCCCGAAGACACAAATGTATATCGGATATGGAAAGAGACGATTGCAGCGCAGATAGGGAAGGAGGAATTCTTGTTCGACAAGGATAGGATTGAAGAACTCGTCGAGTCCTCCGTCATAGAGCTGCAGAATTTATCAAAAGATGCCAATGATGCACGTGAGGCATTCGAGAGGTACCATGGTGATGAGGTGTTCCGCGGGCCAGGTAACGGAGAAAACACTATGGTTTGAAAGGTCGCAGATATATATATACTTTCCTATTATTATTTTTATTGTCTCAGCCTGTTACGAATTAAGAGGTCTTTAGTTATATGAAAACATATTTTAAGTTACAGGCAGCTTGGAGATAGACGTACCAGGACGTATACCTCTGAGTAAATACAACACATGCCAGTGGTCATCCGTTGCTATACGTCACGTGAGTCGGGACCGAAACTACCATGACTTCAAAGCGCGTACTGAGTTAATAAGAACGCGCCCCCATACCATGGATCAGATATATACATCTACCACCATAGTATCATGTCACCTTCCACCGGAAACGCAGATCGTTTCCTCGAGCACTTAAACGAATTTGATATCAAGCTGGAGGAGAGCGCCTTAAACTATCTTACTAGCATGCTAGCAGTCCTCTCCACTAACAGCGACATTCGAGAGTCAACAGAAATGATATTGGAAGAAGCAGAAGTAGACAGCGAGCGCATGGATGTCTTCTATGCAACGCTAGGAGCATCAAACGCGCCAGCCTCCACACCTTCAAAGCAGCGGTGAGAAATGTACTTGACCACTGGCGCGGAGCTAATGGCACAATGACTGTGAAGGCCACCGAGTGACGACCCAGTACCAGCAACTCCAGCTGAAAAGGTTAAACAAGGAAAGGGAAAATCGTCAATGGCCGGCCGGAGACAGAGGCACACCCAGAAGAAAGCTGCCACTGATGAAAGTGTGATCACTGGAGTCGAACCCACAATTATCGCAAGCTCGCAGCAGAGCCGATTTCATCGAGAGACTCTAGAAACAAGCTCTAAAGATATCGATCTGGCCGATGTCAATATTTCAGTAAATCAGTTGGATTTGTTGGTTGATGCACACCTTAAATTGAAGGAAGGTGTGCGATATGGTTTGATTGGCCAGAACGGTGTTGGCAAGACAGGTAAGCTTTCGCGCCTATTATCGGAGTGATTCAAGCTGATATCTATAAACATAGTCTTAATGAAGTGTATGGCCGATAATATACTGGCGATGCCGCAAAATTTGAATATTCTTCATATCACACAACTCGAAACCTTCGATGAGTCGACTGTAGTGCTGAATGAAGTCTTAGACGCAGATAAAGCTTCTAAGAATGCTCTATGGGAGTTTGAAGGTTTGTAGTAGTATATGCCATCCAAGTAAATAACTCACCTTTCAGGCAGAGTTACACCGAGTACTGGGCAACGAAAGACAAAGCACAGCAAAGAACACAGCAGAGCTTAACAGAGTTGTGCACAGAATTCTACTCTCACGACTGCGAGAGCGCCTTGAAGATGCTCGGCGTCTAGCAATTAAACGCTCTGGCACACGAGGACACGAAGCTCGTCAACAGCAGCTGAAGCTCGAGAAGGAGTACAGCGAACTTGAAGTGCAAAACGCGCAAACATTCATTACTTCACGCATGACTGCTGACCTCTTGCCGGAAATCTTTGACAAATATGAACTGATAAACGTGGAGGCGCAAGCTGCAAAAGCACGGAAAATCCTGAAAGGTCTGGGATTCAGCAAGGACCAGACTGATGCGCCAGTAAAGACACTTTCAGGAGGATGGAGGATGAAAATCGCACTCGCAAAATCGCTGTTCCTAGAACCTAACGTTTTGTTCCTTGATGAACCAAGTACGCCATCTTCTTCTGTGCCTATTATAATGTCGCTAAGTCACGTTGATAGCCAACCACCTCGATTTACCTGCAATTTTGTGGTTACAAGAATATCTAATTAACGAAACAGAGGGTCTCACCGTTGTCGTCGTTTCACATGATCGGGAATTCTTGAACGCAGTCACAGATGAGACGATTATTCTGAGAGACAAGACCCTAAAATATCACCCAGGCAATTTCGATGATTACGAGAAAAATAGCGAAGAGCAGCGTATTCGTAAGCAGACCATGCTTGATACCCAGGAAAAGAAAAGGGCGAAGGTAGTGGCTAGTATTCAACATAACGTTCAGCAAGCCAAATCGACGGGAGACGATAAACGCCTAGGTCAGGTGGCTTCGCGCAAAAAGAAACTGGATCGTCTGGGCATGGAAAAAACAGAAGATGGAAAGCGGTTCAAGGTCAGTTACTGGGCGGGGTACCACGATGGAGCGAGGGAGAAAGTCACAGTGGAGCAAGCAGTAAAGACCGCGCCCATAAAGATACCAGTCCCTGAGCCGCTACGATTTCACGGCTCTACCTTCATGGCCAAAGACACTTCTTTCAAATATCCCGGTACTCAGAGAAACGTCATCGAAAATTTCTCTATCGATATTAAGTCCAATGATCGAATCGCAATCTTGGGTCCCAATGGATGCGGCAAGACCACACTACTTAACATGTTGACTGGCCAGACAAAACCGACAAAGGGGGAAGTTTATCATCACCCTCTTCTTCGGATCGGTTATTTCTCGCAACATATTGTAGATCAGCTCGATCACGATTGTACACCGGTAGAAGATATGATGAAACGATATCCAGGCCTGACAGAGCACGAGTGTCGGGCACAATTTGGCACCGTGGGGATCACCGGAAACACGGTATTGCGCAAGACAAGAAACTTGAGTGGTGGACAGCGAAATAGGATTGCACTTGCACTTGTCCTGCAGAATGCACCTCACGTGCTTGTGCTTGATGAAATCACAAATCATCTGGACATGGGGACAGTCGAAAAGCTCGTGGATGCACTGAAAGAATTTACCGGAACACTGATCTTGGTTAGTCACGATGTGTGGTTCCTGAAGCAGTTGATGGAAGAGGAAGAGGACGACGGTGACGGCCCAGAAGAAGAAAGCGAATTTCTACGGAGAGAATTTTATATTGTCAAGAATGGGCAGGTCGGCAAGTGGGAATCAGATATGGACGCTTATGTGGAGACTGTAATGGGAAAAGTGAGAAAGGCTCGATGAAGAAGAAAGAAAAAAGATGCTGCAGAGCATGCTTTGGTTGCTGGCTTGTTGGCACATTCCACTAGCCTTGACTCCAAAACTTGGTGCAATGTATAAACCAGTCCGTACATTGTGAGATACTTTCACCGAAGCTAGACTAGATTGGTTGTGGAGTGAAAAGAGCATTCGATGTGTCAGGCGTACGAGTAAAGGATACATGGACAGGAGCCTAAGCTTGAATCGAAACCAAGAATGATGAAAAGCTGAAGAAACCAAGAAATTCGGTCCCAGCCGAACCTTGATGGCAATGACATTAATATTCTCATTCCTGCCCCGAGATTTTCCTAAGCTTTCTTCTTTCGACTGCAACATGTCAAACACATGCCATTTTATGTCTTGAACCAACACCACTTTTGACGGATAAATGGATGCTCTCGTTTCAGATGTAATCCCCAGTTTGCACATTCACATCAATAATGTCTCTTGGCCTGCCTTGTATAATCCTGCTATTGAGCTGGGGCGTGTCGCTTCTAGTGGGCCAGTGCAGCCAGGGGGCTCTTACTTAACTAACGCTAACGGTAGGCACATTTTCTTTTTCCTGGATCTGTTGTAACATTGATTTGAGCTACCTTCTTCATAGATATATTCCATTTCACTCTGTACTGGACCTTGGTCTTTCACATTCCCTCCTATCTAGTTTGTGGAGTATATGCTTTCCTTAACTTTGCGTTCCCACCAACACCTCTCGAACACCACTCGTTTCCACTAGTCAAGCAACCTTCTAATGTGTCACAGCCAGCTGACCATTTCTCCTCACACAAACACTTGCCACAGTCGGCTGCCACCTACCCTTACTCGCGGATCAAACCCTCTCGAATGAATACGCGTCGCTCAAGACTCACTTTTGCGATTTTAGTCCTTCTCACTTTCTTCTTCGTCAGCCTGCTGGGTACTATACTGAGTTCAGCCATTGTGGGATACATATTGGCTGCAGTGTATAGATCTGGAAAATTTTCCATGTCAACGTAAGCCATTCTCTATTTGGTGCGGGGTTGGATGAAGAACCCCCGAATCCCTATTTGATTATTCTATAGATGGGTTCCATTCATATGGGCAATGATACATGGTCTCGTCGCTTTGCTTGGGTGCGCATACAGGGTCACATTTATTTATGATTTTGCTGAAATCCATCTCTATTTCACTTTACAGGATTTGGCCGTCTGTTGTCGATATAATCTGATATATATTAATCATATCTCTTCACGATTATTTTTGCCTCTATCTTCAACGAACCAAAATACTATTTGCATACGACCAACAAGCAGACAAAGGATTGACAGTAAATGTTTCAAAGAGTCAATCGTGAAAATACTTGACAGCCCAGATAGCGGATTGAGATTGAACACCGAGCTGTCCTCACCCTGTTCTCAGGTGTGTCCATACTGCCAGTATAGCATATGGACCCAAACACGTCAATCATCGTGGCAATATGCAATATAGGTGAGTAAGATGAAACATTCTCCCGTTGTGTTTAGTGATCAAAGTTAGAGCACCAGTTTCCTATGTAGTGATGTTGATAGAAGCAGGACAAACCCAGCAGATTTGGTGATGCAACATTAGTACATTGGTCTAGAATCGTCTTAGTGACCACTTTGGCTAGTCGGGTGCTTTTATCGGAACCCACCCTAGGTCGTGTTGGAAAACAGCGTGGTATGTGTTCTGTTGCCGTACTAGCAAACTAAACTCCATTTGTTGGAAAGGCAGGCCTCTAGACCATTTCAGTCATGTTGATGTTCAAGATATCAGATTATCTTGCAGCTCTTCGCTCGGATGTTGGCCGTCTCCGCGGCTTCTTGACGTTCTCGTGGATTCAAGGATTCAACCAGGAGTCAAATACGATGTCCGGAGAACAGTGAGATGGTTCCATTATGATGTCCTTCTGGAGGGAATATCCGCGTTGGATGAGAACAAACTGGGTATTACAGCTATTATCAGGTTACCAGTGTCTACAGATTTGATTGCACTCCGGAGAAAGGTTGCTAAGACTGTGCAGCTAAAAATAGGACACTCCATCATTGATCTCTAAATAGAAGTATATTAGATGGTCATTCCAGCCCCAGTGAACTTTCCTCTTGTCTCTGAACTAATCGCCCTATGTCTTCCCTGCACGGCTCAGACATCAACAAGCCTCTTGAGGAGGTCGACTCGAACAGTCTGCCCAACACCCACAACGACGCCGTCGCACATGCACTCACTTCCCTCGTAGGCCACTCCGCTGCATCCGAGCATGGTGGAGACGTCACTCAGGGCATTCACGGACACATCCATGTCCTCGATCACGTAAAGTGGCTCAAGGGAATCGTACCAGAGGTGCAGAGTCTCGCTGCCCACTACCATGTTGGCAATTTCGTCATCAAACGCGAGACAGGAGAGAAGTTTTTCGAAAGTATGCCTATCTATGCGCGCATCGGCATGCACCTTTTGTTCTGTGGAAGGGAACAAGTTAAATTGCTTGAAGGTTCAAAGCGTGTTGAAGATTTATTGAGAGAGCAGAGCGTTAGAGAGGGGAAGATATACGACAGCCCAGATTCGGTCAAGAGTATCCCATCCTTTATCCAGACATACAAAATCCAGATGGATGAACTCCTCGAGCCCGACATCCGTAAATACAGGACCTTCAACGAATTCTTCAGCAGAAAACTCAAGCCCGAAGTAAGGCCCGTACAGAATGCGGATGATCCGAGCGCCTTTTGCTGTGCGGCTGATAGCCGACTCGTCGTATACCAATCGGTGGATCTTGCTAAGAAATTCTGGTGAGATCCTCATCCTCCGAGTCTCTGATTTTTGCCACTTGTTTTTGTGTAATATCTCAGTTCATTATCTCTATGCCAGGATTAAAGGGGATGAATTCACTATTCCTGCACTCCTTGATCTGCCTGCGGAAGACCCTGTATCCATTGCGCTCGATGGTGCCTCACTTGCCATCTTCCGTCTCGCACCCGCAGATTACCATCGCTTCCACTCCCCCTTTGATGCGACCATCAAAGAAGCGCCGAGAGATGTCAAGGGACAATACTATACTGGTATGTGTTAAATCATTATCTCCAAAATACAACTCTATGCGTTTTATTTCCCTTCTCGCCTGGTTTTTGTTGTTTTGTTATTTTGCTTATGACATTGTAACTAAATCCTACAAATATAGTCAACCCTCAAGCCATCAACGAACCCAAACTCGACGTCCTTTCTGTGAACAAACGATCCGTCCTTATCGTAGAGCACAAGGCATCTGGAAAACCCATTGCCTTCGTCGCTGTAGGTGCTCTGCTGGTCGGAAGTGTTGTTTGGACTATCAGTGTCAGTGTTCTTGCGGTCTCTCATTTTCAAAATGACTTTTCTGATCCTCCTAACATATAATCATACTAATCCTTCAACTATCACATATACATGTTGTGTCATATCAATACACCTCGCATATTATCGGTGTTGGGATATTGGATAAACATCGTAATCAAACGCTTATATGCTATGACCTCGATATCTGCGTGGCTCAAATCCCGGGGTGTATACATCTCATGGCAACACATACATACTATTTCGACAACTTCCACTCAAATATTTACGAATCTGACGCTAATGATATGCGATTCTGCGGTCACCCTCGCGTCTTATCTCTATGGTCCTGGACGCCGTCCCATATCTGAACATTTTCTCTCACAAATTCACTCATCACCTCTTGCCAAATCTTGCGTACCATCAGGAACCGGGCGCCTCCGTCTGCCGTGGACAAGAGCTAGGCTATTTCGCATATGGCGGATCAACCGTTGTCGCCGTTTTCCCCCAAGGCTTGATCGACTTCGATGATGACCTTGTAAAGAACTCGGATGCTACACTAGAGACGCTTGTGAAGGTAAAAAGCATTGCTTTCGACGGTAGCTTCAGCTTGTATTGACCCAACTGTCGTAGGTTGGTTCCTCCCTTGGACACGCCCCTTCTGCATAGAAGATAGACAAATATATGAAGGAGATGGATAAAATGTACTAGTATATCATTGATAAATGCGTATGAAGCGTACGAATGGCGTATATGTACTTTATGAGTCTTGTAGTAGTTTCGTGGATGTAGTTGATGGCATATTATATCGCTCACGCTGAGACGCTAAAATGCGGTCAACATAAGGCCACCTAAGGCAGGAACTCCAACGTTAACGTAATGGCCAACAAGGGGGCTTAACTGTTGGGAGCTACCGGGCCTCAGAGGGTATCATCTAGTCTCCCTTGCTGACCTAATTCAATATCAATATCAATGATAGTCGATCTGTTAATAAGGTCTGCTCGATTTAACGGTGGCATGCGGGTAGTCTGGTCCGAAGTAAGGACCTTTGGCAGGAACCCCCGCTTCGGTAGTAATAGAGAAGGCACCATGAGCGGCACATTCGGCTTGAACTCGGCATTTTGTGGCTAGTCACACCAGGAAAAAGCACATAAAGATTTCAGCTGAAACAGCTACTGTAGAGAACAAATGTTATGTACATGATCCCTACTATTGTATCACAACTACGATAATTTATGTAGCACCTTGGACCTATATGACTCTGAATATCCCATTTCTTTTTGCCCATGTTTTGGTTCGGGTGTGTCTACAATTCGTAGCGGCGTTTTAATTGGAGTGGCTGACAGTTTCACTATCTCAATGGCTCAGCATCTGTTTGGGATGGAAGAAAAATTTGAAGCTAGCATTGTTCGTCATCTGAGAGCTTCACTATCAACTCTACCGATTCACACAAAGGCTAAGTGGTGAGTTACGCTGGTTGAAGCAATAGCTAGCCTTTACTGTGATGCTCAGCTATATTCAATCGGAGCGACTGAGCTTAAAATCAAGGTGCAAAAGAGCTCAATATTCGTTTTATTGGCACCGAAGGGGGGTTCACGCCAAATGGTCTTACTTTGGTGCAGACCTTATTTACAAGATATCAACTCATCATATATTGAATTAGGTAAGCAAGGGAGACTAGTAATTTGTTGTGTTTCGTTTTCATTTGTTTTTGATGCTTCCCAATAAATCAATAGCTTTCGTTTTCAATTGTTTTGAGTCTGAATGGTCCTGAAATCAAAGAAAGACAATGATTCAAAACAATATATTCAGTGTAAATATTCTACAATAGCTGACAATAATATTCTAAGGATTGAAAGGGTCATTCTGGTATTTAGATAGATACAGAATGATATATTCGGTGACAATCATTTTCTATCGGCCTAAATATTGTCGTTTCCGACTGGGTTTCAGGCCTCAAGGCCCCACTTCCTTCGACAATTAAGGCCCCCAAGAGGCCTTTGGTCGGTGATCAGGGTCCTGCCCGAGGTGCATAAGGCTGTGAAGGCATAATTGTGTTGCGGAAATACATGCATATTTCCTCCAGCATATCAAATTACTCGTGAAAAGAATTCATGAGATGCATTCAAGTTCGTCAAGTTCTTGATCCCCGTTTTCATGCTTTACAGACGTTGGTATAATTTCCTCAGGAAGGCGAGAATAAACATGGAGGTTTTCCATCCCAGCCTAACAAATTCTAGTCCGAGGCAATTGCAATAGCTATCATTCAACACCTCCGAATAATTTAATAAAACCCAAAACTGTTACGGTTCCGGTCAGCTTTCAAACATTTTCGCTGTTCCAAGTCACGTATACATCCGCTGCGCAGCATTGCTAGTATTTGACAGAGATTCCTTGGCAACGTTTGGGGATGTATTGAAAATTTTTCACGAGTCCCATCACACTTCGAAAGAGATCTAAATTTACGTGATGCTTCATCGATTTGCTTGAATCGATGTACTTATCATTCCCTCCGACTGCAATCCGAGTAGACTCACTGCTACCTATAGAAGTATATGTCCGGTATGATTGGAGATTTGATCCAGGTAACGATACCTTGCTACAACTCTGACGTCGATTGCGATTGACCCGAGGATGCTGTAGCGGGCTACTGGCTGTGAAGGAATGACATCGGTAGGTCGGAACAGTTGAAGATGGCCTCATGGACACTCCATGCTGTACATTTCGAACTTCACCAATGACAGGATTGGCCAAAAGCGGGCTGGAGATAATAATCGCAATCGAGACAAATCGTGCAAGCCTGAGGCTGTGATGGAAAGATATGATCCCGGCGTCCGGGTCACGAATTTGGATGCAAAGTTGATGCAAATCATCGATATCATGATGTAAAGAACTCGCTAGCCGGCGGTCCGTGGCATTCCGGCCTTAATGTTGACGCGTTGACGTTGTTTCCCAGTCAAGTTTCAATTATCTTGAGACACTTTTATCACACTCTGCTAACCTCCAAGGCTTTTCAAGCATGATAAGGAATCAACATTTACCAAGCGATACAGGAAGTGAGTCAATTTACTCACAAGTACAATTTAGATGTAGAAAACACATCTGAGTATACATTCCTTCTTCAGACACACGCGGTGCTCGGACGTGGAAAGTTGATCGAAAACTGAAAGTTCACCGGAGAAGACGCGAGCACTGCGATTAATTCAGTAAGAAAGAGAATCTCATGAAGTAGACAACGCCGTTGTACATCTGCTAGTACCCCAAATCTCTTGAGTGAAATTTGACAGAGAGATTGGCGCACATATCACTGGCACTTGTTCAGGGTAAGTGGTACTATTTCATGTCATCCCACTAAAATGAGAGTTAAGTTCCATGTGCATCGGTTGCCTGCATAGTCGTATTCCAGTGCAACCTCACGGCTGCATTTCTGTGACTCTTTCAGCAGAGCCCGAACCATTCAAGCGCCGAAAAGTCATTGTCACAGTTGAAAATTTTCTAGTAACCTATCGCCATGGATGTTCTATTTGGATGTTATGCTGCTCAGCTTTAAAATTCAGTATACTGCTTCTTTCTTTGAAAAGGTGTAGATAGGTGGTGTAAACACGTCCTTTTCACTCAGAAACAGTTGATCCAGCTTAGTACATCTCAGGGGCAGTATGTACGCGCCTCGAACTGCATAACCTTGATGGAATAAGAAGCCTTAGACAGGCCCAAGTAAACCTTACTGGCCTCCAAAACTCGAAGATTAGACAAGTCAGATGCAGAATTATGTCGAAATTATTTCAAGCGAAGTCACGGTGAACCAAACAGCAAGTACTATGAGCGTCAATACATAAGCCTCTCTATTCCCATTTCAATTGAGTACTGGAAAAATAATATACCCGACCCCGAGATTGGTTATGATTCCCTAAAATAGCTGCAAGTCATTAAAGTCATTGAAACCTGCTGAACATCGCTCCATTGACCGGGTGGGTTACATCGAGAGTAAGGCTGTCCGGCACACTTCAAGCTGGAATAATAGCTGGAATGGTCGGATAGCTGGCCACCAGACAGTATAAAGGTCGAGTCACACTCACCACTTACCTCCCATCTTCCTATCATCTACTCTCTACTCACTTGCTCCATCCTCCTCGTACAATGTCTGACCTGAAAACTTCAACTACAGAGCGATTCCGCTTCCCAGACACCTTGGCCAATTGGCCTTTTGAACGCCGTTTGAACCCGTTCTATGAAGAGGTGAAAGCGGAATCATCTGCGTGGGTAGAGAGTTTCAAGCCGTTCAACGAAAAGGCCCAACGAGCATTCTATCGTTGTGATTTCAGTGGGTATATTCACCTGTGATTCGCTTTACTGTAGCTAAGGCTGCTTACTTCATAGATCTCTGCGCATCTCTCATTTATCCCCACTTCGATAAAGGTAAGTTTTCCTCACTGCTTAGTAGCTTCCTAAACACTCACTGGCCATCGTGTAGAACGTCTTCGGACATGCGCAGATGTCTGCAACTTCATCTTTGCCTTTGACGACTACTCTGACCTGGAAGACGAGCATGGTGTTCAAAAGCAGCGTGATATGATTATGGACGCTCTACGGAACCCATTCACCCCAAGACCAAAGGGAGAGTGCGTCTTAGGGGAAATGGCCCGCCAGTAAGTTCGAAATACCATAGTCTGGATATATACACTCAACAGTTTGATTGCAGAATGTGGGCACGTGCAATCCCTACAGCATCTCCTCACAGTCAGGCGCGCTTCAAGGAGACCATGGAAGTTTATATGACCGCCACCATTCAAGAGGCAGAAGACAGACGCGTGGATAACATTCGTGGCATTGACGGCTTCCTCGAAGTTCGTAGGGGGACGGTTGGAGTGAAGCCATTTTTCGCCCTCTTCGAGTTGAACTCTGATATCCATTCTCACGACAAATTGGTTGTCAATGAGAAAATTCAAGAATTGGAGGAACTGGCAGCTGATATGATAATTCTTAACAACGTGAGTATCTACACCATAGAAACAGCTGAAATCGCTCATGACTCGCCATCTTCGAAACAGGATATGGTTTCTTATATCAAAGAAAGGGATGACGGACATCATGCCCATAATCTTGTGACCAACGTCATGTACGAAATGAATGTCGATATTCATGGTGCGATGTGTTGGATCGAGCAGCGGAATGACCATATTATTCAGCAATTCCTTACAACGAAGAAGGAGATCCTTGACTTGGACAAGGAATTAGATTGGTATATCTGGGGCATTGGCAATCTGGTTAGAGGCACCATTTCCTGGTTTTACGAGAGCGAGCGTTACTTCGGGAAGCGGGGATTAGAGATTCAACAAGATCGTTGGATAGACCTGTACTTCCGCAAGGAGTAACATTATTAACATAACTTTAATGATTCCTTGTATTTTACCATATCAATTAGATAGGGCCCGAGGACCCTCCATGCTTATCCCATATCATGAGATATTGTGTAAACGCATTTGTTGATTGTAAAATAAATCTCTGGAGTATAATGCATATACGATACTAGTAAGCTAGCAGAATAGATGCCTGTAACTAGATGCCAAGCCTATTAGGGCTCCGATAGTGCCGCGGTAAGTGAATTACTGATATTAGCGGAGGATTCCGCCACTGATCGCTTTCTTATCTTCTTTCTGCTCTGGCGCTCCTGTTGAGCGGCCATATACTAAAATGACAGAGGCGGTCCTTAAAGGAATTGCCCAGGGCTTACAGGTACAATGCTATCTTCTCCCTCGCACGGCATATCAAAAATATTCAAACCAGTGTAAGAAGACGAGCCGCTTCGACACACAGGGGGGTTGCGAAGCATACAGGCCGGGTGTGCTTGTCAAGGAGTCGAGAGTGACTTGATGAGCGCTTGCAGTCGGAACATGAACATATCCAGCGCGCCTGTGGTTCTCGTCAGACTTTGATTGCCTATCCCGGGACATCGCACCAACTACATTTATACCTTATGACTGTATATCTCCCGGTTAGCGTTTCCCCTACGTCCGATGTTCAAGCACTGATATTCCATCTCCTTCGTGAGTATCAGCTTGCTTTGAGTCGCACCTTGATAGCTGAAGGATCACAGGTTTGCCTATGTTGACGCTGAACGCACCGGAGGCGCACATGAGTTCGTACTAGTTCAAGGGCGCTGCACGCCAAAAATGGATTAGGATTTTCTCTTAGGTTTCGCTGCTTTAGATCATCCGGTTTCAAAACCAAGCAGTGCATGTTCATCTCATACCAAGCCGTCAAACATTACTGGACTCAGCCTTTGGATATAAGTACTTCCGTTAGATATGACACTTCCTTTACAGTACTTCGCCAAGGTACAACCGCGACTATCGGTGCGGTTGGAAGAGTCGCCGTCGGTTAATATTAAAACGTCACTCTTTTTGCACCTGCCAGCTAATTTTGAGCAGCAGAACTGGTACAAATAGGATGTCAATTTTCTTCTATCGTTCAAGTTGACTTCCACATCCCTAGCCTGCAATGTCTACATCCCATTACAACTCCGAGCGTTTTCGTTTTCCCGATACCATGTCGAACTGGCCTTGGACTCGTCAAATAAGCCCCTTTTATGAATCCGTCAAAGCAGAGTCCTCAGCATGGGTGGAAAGCTTCAAACCTTTCGACGAAAGGACACAGAAAGCATTCAATCGCTGCGACTTCAGTGAGTACTCAACAGTGTCAACTTCTATAGTCTACAATTCATATCATCTCTGCAAGGCCTTGCTGCTGCCCTCGTATATCCTCATTTCGATAAAGGTCCGTCTTTATTATTATCACGCCACCACATTCCGTTGCTCAAAGCAAGTGTATAGAACGACTACGGACATGCGCAGATGTCTGTAATTTCATATTTGTCTTCGACGATTACTCCGATCTAGAGGATGAGAACGGCGTTCAATATCAGCGAGATATTATCATGGATGCCTTGCGGAACCCTTTCACGCCTCGAGCGAAAGGGGAGTGTATTCTCGGTGAAATGGCTCGACAGTACGGCTATTTCCACTTTGTTATATTATAACCTCGCGCATTAACATCATCATCTGTAGAATGTGGGCACGTGCAGTCCCGACTGCCTCTTCTCACTGTCAAGAGCGGTTTATTGATACCATGGATGTATATACAAAAGCTGTCGTTCAGGAAGCCGAAGACCGTCGTATGGATAATATCCGTGGCATTGAAGGTTACCTTCATGTTCGCAGAGGGACAGTTGGAGTGATGCCCTTCTTCGCTCTTATCGAATTGAATGCAGATATATGCTCCCATGACAAGCTCATGGATGACGATAGAATCAGGGAGTTAGAAGAATTGGCCACGGATATGAGTATCCTTAACCAAGTGAGGTTTCAAAATTCTACGCCCAGTTTCAATATTCTCATCGCTGATGATAATGGCAGGACATGTTTTCTTACATTAAGGAGAGAGATGATGGGCATCACGCTCACAATCTCGTCACCAACGTCATGCACGATTTGAAAGTGGACATCAATGGCGCCATGGATTGGATTGATCAACGATACAGTATGCTCGTGCAAGAGTTCATCGACATCATGAAGGAGGTCCTTGGTGAGAGTGATGTTGTTGAATGGTATATTTGGGGCATTGGAAATTGGGTAAAAGCTACACACACCTGGTGCTTTGAAAGTGAACGATACTTCGGGAAGCATGGACTACATATACAGAAAGAACGATGGATAGACCTATACTTTCGCAAGGAATAGAAGTATATCGTTACGTCTGCAAATTCTATGTAGCACTTTATCAGTTTATGTATCCCATGTTTGAACGTACGACTGCTCAAAGCCTTTGCTAGTGTTACAACAGAACTCGTATCGGAGTTAAAAGAAGAGTGTTCAAGTCTTAGTCTCCCGGCTAGAACTGTTTGATAAGAGGCAAGTATAGATGAGAATTAATCCTTGAACACCATAAAAAAACTAACAATCACCCATAGACTCAAAATCCACAGTAAGTGCGCAAAGCAGATGATTAGGATATCAATTGATAGTCAACACCTCTGACATTTAGGTTATTCGTCAGTGCGGCTAGATCGGGGTTCAGGAAAAGATGAAGGCAGTGGTCTTCCTGTATGAAATGACTACGACTATGCATGACGCATCTCTAACAGGATGACGATTGATAGCATCGATCTAAAGCATTTAGCTTGAGACTAAGGAGAGAAAACTTATGCCAGGCGGGCACTTGATCAAACAGATTTTTTTCTTGAGGAAATGGGTGCGATAAAAAAGTAGCATGCTTTACGCGGCCACCGTCGAACAGTTCATCAGTTCATCAGACCACAGACAAGCGTGTGTCTAGTCCATATATGAAGTAGCGAGGGAAAGTGCTGACTGTAAAGTCAAGGTAACCAAAGTTGAAGGCAACAAGCCGTCGGAAATTTCTAAGTGCAACCGCAGGGCCGTAGATGATACAAAGATAAACCAAGTCGGAGATGTTGTCAAAGTATCACCGATAATCAACGAGGTATAAAGGCATGGGCTACAAACCATCAACATGTATCACATCCATATAAACATGTATCTCAAGTCTATTGCTCACCTTGGCTGCGTTGGCTGTTTTAACTGCTTCTACACCTACTCCACCAGCAGAGAGCTATGCAGATGATGGGATAGATTGCGGGTGCATTGGGCCTAACAGATTGTTGTGCTGTTGATATTACCGGCCACTTCAATATCTCGAATAAACTTGCTGTGCATAGTGAGTGCCTTGTTCATTGACATTTGAAATTTTGTTGAGTTATTGCTGATGTAGTAACAGGAGGTTGTTCGGTGAAGGATTGTGATGTGGGATTGTGACTTAATAAAGGCGGTAGAACTGAGTGTTTCGGAGGGTATTTTCTTTATTCATTTACGCATTCGTCATGATACATGTGTTCCACAATGAGTCGGCACTCGCGTATCTGGTAAAGGGGCGCTATAATCAAATGTGCTCAGTTACAAGCCGTTAAATCTAATTCATAGTGTTAGGTAGTGTTGGGATCTGTGGACAGCGTGTGTTTCAATGTTTCAATGTTTGGTCACAGTGGCCTCACTAAAACCATACAGACCTAAAGGGAGGGGGGGGGCATTTAACACGAATTGTCCACGTGATAGGGCCATTCGAAGGACTTCCACAAGGCATCGATGCGCCCACTTATTTGTTTGCCTTGCTGGGAACGAATCTTGAAATGATGTCGAGAGCGCATCAGAAATCGGCACCTAGTGTGCAGGACGGACCCATTTTTTGAAACCACCCCTACCAGCGCGCTGAAAAAATGCTGCCTTGGACGACCCAGTAAAGGATGGAAAAAGCAAGTCTTGTTGGTGAAGTTATTTCACCATTCTTGATATAGCAAACAGGATTATAGCCGCACCCGCAAGGAAATTATTCTCGCGTCCTCGATACCAGTACAAACAAGTTCATGTTGCGTCCAGAATTCGACCTTCGGATGGGCCAATATTCCAAATTCCCGATCCAGTGACGTGTGAAGAGCGCGAAGTAACTCTAGACATATGCATACTCGTAGGCGTCACGACCTTCACATGTTTTGCAAAAGACATCTCGTGTCGAAAATGATGACCTTGAGCTTGAGTTTGTTACCAGAGGTATTCCGAATGTCTTTTTATAGTTGAAAGACATCGCCCGCAGGTCGACGGCAGTCGTTTTGTCCGTCGGCGGGAATGGTGGGCGATGGGCATGGGGCACACAGTGATTGGCATCGACTACATTATATATGCTTGACGGCGACAGACTATGACGACATTTAGAATGAGATAACGATGATGTCGAGGGTGAATCAGCCTCAGTGTTTGGTTTGGAATTCAACCGGTACGCAAGCAGGAAATTCCCGACGCTAGGTTAGCCAGGTAAGGACCGGTATACCACCCCCCCTCCCCGTGGGAACGTCCTAATATGGTAATATATACTCACAGGTCCGCTCAAATTGCAGGTTGTTGCTTGCGCTGTGTAAATTACATAATCAATTAACACTTACAGCTAGTCACAGCTCAGAACACTGAAGGGACTGGTGGCACATATCAACAGGCTACTGCTATTGGTAATTGTATGGCTTTGAATTCTCAAAATGATGTATGGTCAACCTCCAACTCACATTTTTACCCATCCAGGTTAGTTAGTTAAGGCCCATGTTAGCCAGATAAGACCCTCAAAGGACCCCCTCCAGCCTGACGTCTCGGAATTCGCCGGTGCGTACCCCTTGAATTCAACGCGAAGTCCGCAGAAAGCCGGGAGAGGCGAAACGTGACGGAAGAGATGATACGGTACGATACTAAAAAATAATGACACTCGTCATCGAATAGTCCGAATACAATTATATATACGACCGTCTAGTGACTAGGTCACAACAATACTAATATAAGACAAGATATCAAAAGTGTCGATAGGGTGGGCAACAACGCTAACGAGGAGATAGACAAGGTATGATGAGAAGTGAGTGAATCAATAAGAACGTGGGTGATGATGTACTGCAGTATGTCGGGAGATATGCCTAGAGGATAATCACGACGAAGAGATAAAGTTCGAAAGTTGCCGAGGAGGTAATAGCGGTAGTGGACTTTTATAGAGATGCCAATGGTAGGAAATATAGAGATATGGCGAGAACAGGACAGAGGCGGATAAATAGGCTACAATGCAAGCGACAAACAGGCTTGCTGACCTAAGAACACCCATGAAGAGAAGGTGAGAATGCCAGCGGATTTAAATGCAAAAATGCGTTCAATAGTCGACAAATGCGATGAACACATATCGAGCGTCCGCTTCATCACTGTTGACTTCTGGAGGTTTGGATCACTTAGACCTTTCTGCTGCCATCTTATTCCTCTCCCTTGTATATCCAACCCCGCCACTCATTCTCCAATGTCGACTCTACCCATGCACTCTCGTCGTCCTTGATAACGACGGAGGTATTCCTTGCTCTCGTTCAGACTCCCGTTCTTGTTGCTCGCGCTCAAAGGCGAAATATGGCGTGAAGTCACGCTTGCAGGTAGTGGATGATATCGAACATGGCTTTTGTGATTGGTGTGACTGATTGACACTAGACTTGGGTGTGGAAGGATTTATCTGAACATCATCACTAGGCAGCAACGCAGACTCCTCCCTCGTAATCGTAGCTACTGGAACCGGTGGCTCCGCAAGAGGAAGAAATGGCGCACGCTGCAATCCTGACTTGACGCCGACGGGTGGACGCTCATAAAGAGACAGAGGCGATGGAGCTGGGAGGTTCGGAGATGGGACAGCGGGTAACTTATGGGTACCTTTCATGCGACTATAGGGATTTTGAGGGATCATGTGACGCGCAAAGGGATTATGAGAGTATGGATTATACGTCGCGCGGGGAGGAATATCAAAATAGTCAAAAGAACTCGAATCGACATCGGCATCGATATCGAGATTGAGTGCGATGTCATCAGGTGACGGTGAAGGCGAATGTGAAGGAAGAGACGGGGGCGGACTATCAAGGGAGGCGTTGGTCAGCGAAGGGGTGGAGGTATCACAGTCGGAATCATCCAAGTGATCCCCAGTAGAGTCTGTGTTCGATGTGGTTGTAGTGTCCAGAAGAGGCAAGAATGGGAAGGACGGTCTAAAAGGTGGTCGGGCAAAACGGGATTGCGAAGGAGGTGGGGGCGGGGCGGCTCGAGGAGGGGCGGGAGATGTAGGAAGAAGTGGCAAAAGACCAATGGGCACTTTAGCAAGGTATTGACTGTGAGGACGATTTGAAAACGGATCTGGCAGCTGGTTTGCTTTTGGAAGTGAGCGCTGTATCTCCTTCAGCTCGAGGATATCCCTGTGTACCCCATGAGGCTCAGCTTAGTTCGGTTAAGCAGTAGCAACACAAACGACTAACTGGTAAGACAACCGCTGAGCGACCTCTGCAGGAGTCCTGTCCCACTCGTCTGCAGTATATACCTCCTCAGTGCCTTCGTCGCTGAAAACGACGGTCTTCTTCCCACCCTGAGTGGGACTTGCACTTCGAGGCGGCGTCGGCGTCTTGAGACAGCTCTTTATGCGAGAAGGCTTCGGTCTGCTTTCCATTGAGAGAGCTGTTGTACTGAGAGTTTCCAGATCGAAGATGTTATCGATAGGGCTCATTGTCGGTGTCGTCGCTGCCATCTGGCTGTGGTGGTCGTGTGAGTGGTCGTGTGCAAATTTGCACGCTGGCTAAAGCCACAAAAATAGAGCCCAGGTGGATGTTTTTGGTCGGTACCGTTGTGCCAGAGCTGTAAATACCTTTTCAGAATGTAATTTTGGTGGGACTAGAAGTCTGCAGTTACGTCCAAGAGGCCTTTCAGAGGCGGCATTGGACTTGCCATCGGACGATCCCGTTCTTGTTCGTTCCGTCTGTCTCCGTCATGCGAGTATCCACACAGTTCCGCCACAAGCATCCTGTCTTCAGCTTAGCATGCTTTCCTTGCGAACTGCTGAACTGTTTGTTCTTGGTCTTGTCCTTGGTATTAGTCTTGGAAGTGTCCAGCTGATCAAACCCAATTCTATACATGAGAGGGATTTACGGCGCGGCGCACATACTGACGGCATTGCAAACCCAGGCCTGTCAAACGTGAAGCTCTTCGACTTGTTACAGGAAGGACAACGCCAAACTTGCACTTTTTAGTGCTCATCAAACGTGTCTCTAAATGTGAATAATTTGCAATTTCCGAGCGTTAAAGCATTAACCCCTTCTGCGCGACTTGAAATAAGCGGCCGAGGCTGCATGATGATATGGTTAAATCACGACATTGCCATACGTGATAACGAGGCTCAAAAAGCACTTGGTACTGCTGGATCATTGAAGATGAAGTGTATGTTCAAATATCTAATATGCCTGTACTCAATACGCATGTTGGACAGCTTGATTTGTGGTCTCAGGTTGTCCTGATTACGATGGACAGTTACCTTACCGATGGTACCAGTATCACCTTGTACACGAAGTTGGCCGCCTTCAACCCTGCACCTGATCAGTAATAAAGGCTAAAACTGTTGAATAGTTTGCCTCATCCTCGAAATAGAATTCCCACTCTCGTGCTACTGGACTCCTCTACATTCTCCCAGGTATGTTTTCGGATATTTCAATACCTCCTTTGACCAGAACTCACATTATTTATCTAAGTATGCTGCTTCGAACTTATGGAGTCAATATCCTCTATATAACACATACTCCGACAGGATATACTCAACAACGTGCAACTCGAAATAGTGCCTTTTAAATGATTTGCCTCATTTACCTCGTATTCTAGTTCGACAATGGTAACACAACCCCCAACTAGATAATCGGAGGCCAAGGATTAGATAGTCTCGTCAGGGTCATACATGCTATCTCAACAGTGGCTGATTTCGACACCTATAAAGTGCTTAGGTCGGGACGCAACTTGTGCTGAACCTCTATTTTCCACAGGCGCGCGTTGTCTTCCTGTTATTTGAAGCTTCATGCCACGGCTAGGAAGTCTTGACGTTCCTTTCCTTTCCTCAAGCGGTCCACCCGGGACCATTTGTCCAGTACTTTCGCTTGTAAGAACTTTACGAGCATACAAACCATTTGGTAGCTAATATCCAAGGTACATATGTCGCATCACAGTCTTGTAATCTTTCAAGCTAGGCACTTTTTTACAGATATATTTCTCGCAAGGGGAAGCGCCGGATTTCAGCGCTCAGCTTTCAAGCAGCACCTCCCAATTAATTTTAAAGGGGACACAGATGAATATAGAATGGTCATCGATCAGTCAAACCTCGTCGATACTTCGAAAGGTCACAGCGGTCGTGCGTGCCAACGCTGCGCAATCGCCGGAAATGCTTATACTTCACCATCCCCGCATTTGCACAGAAACACACATGTACATCATGTCGATCTTAAGTCGTCGTTGGCCTCACAAAATCAAGCAGGTGAGCATGTCCAGGTTTTCGAGTGCATGTATAGAGAACGCTCAATCAGAATTAAAATCTAAGGTGAAGAGGATTTATTTTTCCTTGCATCGGCATTAATCTGAAGGAGTTTTATAGCTCCGTTACCTCTGCAAATCCGTGTTATCGCAACCCTGTGATCATCCACCTAGTCCAGTCTTTTCGCCTTGTTTATCATCATGCGGTGCTGGACGGATAATACCAACAAGCGACGTACTCCTTGTTGTTTGGATACGCTGTCAATACAGACACGGAATAAATTTCAGCCATTCAGACTTTGTGGACAATTACCTTGCAAGGCAAAGTGCCTAAGGTCGTACTTCATTTGATAGGCTTGTGCCAATAGTGCAAGTAAAACGCCAGAGGACTGCTAACAGGATGGCTTCACGCGATATGGCAAAGGAATGAATGCAGCCGCTGAGCTTCTTACTCTTGGCTAATATCTATCAGGGTCTAATACTTTTATTTTTCGACTGTCGATTTCACGGCTATAGCACTCAGGGCATTAAAAGGTCACCCGAAAAGGACGTCGCCGACAATTACTCAAAGTTAACACGACTTGCTTTTGAATAGCATCCAGCTGTGTGGGTCTCAACACATACCCCTAAACTATATGTGGCTTATATATGCAGTACCTGCCTTTCTCAGTATAATTGTGCGGCGTCACGGGAAGATGAAATTATCGGCCAATCAGAACAACTTCAATACAGCTTCACACACTGGTTACTTACCTGTTCAGGGATGATCATGTGATACAGAGCCGTATCGATGTAAGTTAATTGTGCCGCAGAGAGAAGTGCCTAGCTAGTAATTACTACGTTTACGGTAAGTGAATTATCTCGGTAATATTCCGCCCTACTTTGACTTCATCACAAGTAGTAGAGCTCATTCATGCAGGCGATAGCAATGTTCCACCACGTACTTTACATGAGGGCGTGAGAGCGGCATATCAGATAAGATTACCCCTGTATCAGTGAGTCCTGTGAATTTGTTTTATGCTCTACATCGCTACAAGTGTCATGACGAGTCAAAATCCCACGGGCTACTTCGTCTATCTGAACGGTTGCAAGTACCTCGTCCTGTGTTTTCTGTTTCCGGTTGCAACACTTATCGATGGCACCTGATTATACACAACTTTGGATATATTCTCTGATATATTCCAGAAACTTCCCAACTTCTTCTACATGGCAGGAAAAGAATTTTGTAAGGACGCAGGATGTCCTTGTGATCTATCACATGTAGTATCTTATACACTTTTTGATCGGTCTGCTAAAATCTCCTTGCTTGTCTAGACATTGCAAATTTGAGGGAAAAGAGCACTTCAATACGAAGCATTGAAGATCGTTATCACAAGCTTTCCAAGGGTATACCCCTCCATTAACGTCACAACTAATGCACACACCAATGTTAATGTTCATATAGCTTGGACGTTGGCGGCCACATTGGAGACTCCAAGATTGCGGAAGGCTACCGGACACGATGTCACGCAATTATAATATTATGGCCTAATAACCTACCTTACCTAAATCACTGCCTTCAAAAGGTGCTAAGAGGTCCCAGGCCAATCATTCAATCAAGAATGCATTCACATTAACCAATGTTTTCATCCTGTGAGCTGCTACTACGCATGCTATCGCACATCAATCATCAATGACACTCATTGACTCGGCCAGTGTTGAGTTTATTATATCTGATAAAGATTTCAATATTATATGCTGTCTTAAAAACCGACGAGATGATTTCGTGAGTACAGTTTCTTGTACGCTATTGAAGGCCAGATGACGTGAAGTCATCTTCTCTAGCAGGTCACCTTCCAGGCTGTCGGTACTCGGCAGTAAATTCTCGAAACCGAGGAACTATTATGCTCTCCGTACCCTCGCACAATCCGCCTATCTCCAGAGAATTCGTGTCTCGACTGTCTGATTTGTGCAGGAACCAGTCCGTCGTTTTACGTATCAGCTTCCGCCTTGGACAGGATTGCGTGACCTCTCAGGGTGTCGTCCTCGTTGTTTTCCGTGACATCGTTTTTCAGAAAAATACGCCTGCTGTATGAGTGCCCGCACGTGCGAAATAAAGGCTCAAAATTCCAACGTCCCCGTGTCTTAAAATGCCTCTTGATTTAGAGACGTATAGTATTATTGAAGCTCCACTGACATACGTAGCCACGAAGAAACAGCTTCTACATCATGGTGCTTTCCCGACGAGCCAACGAACCATCATGATCTTACTGGTGTCTGATAAACTCTCCGGTCCTGTGTCGTCTCGTCGGTTCGGAGCCGGCTTGTATGGTCTCCACATGTATGAACTCTAGTCATTGTTACGGAGTTATCAGGGGAAATGCTTACATAGAACTTAGTGAAGTTAATAACCTACTGCCAATATATCCACAAGGTTTTTATACAACGATCGATCAATGGTTTTTTAATTTACATGTCTATCAGTGTCTCGCTACACTTGGATTGTTAGATGTCCCTGGTCAGGACTGAACTGAAATCTCTTGTCCTTTGGTTGGAGCGAAGGGCTGTTCTCGTGTGCTTTCCGTAACCATTAATCAGATAATCATTGGCGTGAAGGCATAACTCAACAACAGTTATCAGATATGAGGCGCTCAGTTGCCCCTGCATTATGTCACTGTATCATACCGGATACATTACCATTAAATCGCGTATACTCGTGAGATGGCGGCACTTGAGACGATGGTATGCTTGACGGCGGCACGTACCTTGACCGCAGCGTCGGTTCATAGTTGACTGTAGTCTGTTGACAACTGTGTTTGTAACCTAGACTTTTCCTGTAACCTTACCCCAAACTGTGATGTACAGCAAAATAGTGAGATCGATGGCAGGCTCTGAAACTTTTCATCATGGGTCAACTAAATTCAACCATCACTATGCACCGTGGTGAGAAAACAATCGAACTAGCACGCTGAATGAACTGACGCTCACAGAATTTCTTACTTACAATGGCACTGAACGTGGAATATCAGACACCCTTGGTCGATAACTGCGCCAACAGGTAAAACATCTGATGTCTTGGCAATATGCAACGGTGAGCGTGAGACCTATGCTGGGTGTGCCAGTATCGGTACCGTAATACGACAAGCTATACCTAGAATGAGAAGCTGTATCTGCATTCGGACTGTAGAGCCGCTAGTATCGTGAGTACAATACCAAGTGTTGACATCCGTTCGCACAGGGAATGAGGAATGATGATTGGCAAGACAGTACAGCTGACCGACATAGTAACACGAGGGTGGACCGAGTATCCGTGTTATTTCACCTAACAACTCGGGAGAAAGTTGCGAATGTACCATGACGAAAGACTTCTGTGAACGCTGTTGCGATGGGCATGGGTTTGATGGAGGTATGCGGCAGTGCTTCAGCTTTTTGCTTGGTGGTGTGGAATGTTGCGAGTGTGGGTAAGCGCTCTCAGGAAGTCATGGATTTATCTGATAAGGACATGAAGTCTGTGATAGAAGTTTTTTGGGTCTTCGCGAACTCTGATATTGAGTTCTCAGGGAAGAAGACCAAACGGCAGGAGACACGGCAACTTGATGCCTGTTTGCAACCGACATGCTGCCCCCACCATCTGATACCGCTGTTAGCCTTTCCACGTACAAAATACCTAAACAAGTACCACTCCAGAGGTATCACGGATTTGGTTCTACTCAGTTGGGAGGAACACGAGGAGAGCACCAGTGAGAAAATATTGAAAGATTTGAGTTCGATGAGGCTGTGTGGTCTGAAAGCAATTAATCTGATAAATACTTCTGCTGCTGGCAGGCACAAAGGGTCGCAGGGTGCCAGGTTATGGGTTTGAGAGAGAGGTCATGAAGCTTCTCCATGCCTTCCAGTACCTCTCGAAGTATGTCCAAGTATATCCATCTGCATCGGAAGCTGATTAATCAGCTTGATAGGAACACGTTGCAGTACCCCGCAAATTCTGCGCTTGACGTGAGAAGACATGCGGCACAGATGAGCTTGAGGTGACGATGGTGTCCAGAAAATGCCAGGACAAGCTCTGATGAGAACAGCAAACGCCAAGGCTTACCATGTACAGTATTTATCGGAGCTGAGCGCTGAGCCAAGAAGATAGATTCAAGTACTTTCTTTTTATGCGGAGTAAAAAAGAATTTTCGATATGATATGATGCAGCGCTTTTGCCTTGGATCTGTAGATATGATTTCGATATCTGGTAAAACGCCAAAGCGACAAATGCACGATGGATCGGCCTGAGACTTAAAGGAAACATAGAAACATGAACACATGCACGTGGTCAGGCGTTTCTCCGAAATTTTCAAGCTAATAAGGCTCCCGGATGGTGTTCATATCAGGGGAACAAGAAACTTGATACGTCAACGTGTGCAATGTAAATACAATGCGTTTTGTTCCTGATGAGCTGTTAGGGCAATGCAACAGCAGTATTTTGAGCACACTCACCACATGATTTACATGAAACATGAACCAGAAAACGACCTAGAAATGACCTACATTGGAATACGGATTTTTTCCCCAGAGAGTTTTACAGATAATGATTACAAGACAGTAACTTGTGTTAAGCTAGCTGAGCGCTGAGCGCTATACACTGGTAGAACCGTCTGCAGGTACAGTTAAACATTTTGAAGGCTGTGCCAGAGACGCGTTTGTTTACTGCCTTACGTAATCGAAAAGTTGGTTGCCTTGCTGTTGCCTGCAAGTTGTTCAATCCAGCCAAGGGCTTTGACCAGCGAGCTCATTGTTTTGTAATGCCTGTTAAATATCTCGAAAGTACGTTGCATTTCTCCTTGCCTTCGTTAGGTACGTGTTTGCCTACTTTGGAGACTGACAATGTCGTCTTGTAGACTACCTCTCCGAGCGGAAGCACTTGCAAACTCTTCCTCTTTCTGTTTTGTCGGACTCTCGACTGGGAATCGATGCCTCTTACTACCTCAAGCTATTGACTGAAAACCCACCGTCCAGGGAGCCCCTGCTTGCAGCAACAGGTGGACTCCCGTTGGCGCTAACACAGCGCATCGAATCTGATCTTCGCGCCCTTGAAAAACTGCGAATTAAGCCTGTGTTTGTATTCCCTGGACTTCTCCCCAACAAGCGCTGGAAGCAGTATCAGCATATGGAACACAATGAGGCGTGCAGAGACAGGAATCAGGCCTGGGCAAAATACGAGGCCGGTCAGGAAGACGCGGCGACTAAACTTTTCGAGGGAAGGAACGGACTGGCGCAATGGGATTTGTGGAGGATGGTACTGAGAATTTTTAGGCATAGGAATGTGGAGTTTATTATTGCTCCTTATGTTGCTTGGGCTCAAGTAAGTCTCTTCTTGTGCATTCGTTCCTACTCGAACTATTTTTTCCAACCAGTATTCAATGTTTTACTTTCAAACAGCTGATATACTTGCAACGCCACCCTAAATCATACATTCATGCTATCTTTGGGCCAACCGATACGTTACTATATCCTGGAGTTGATAAACTGATAACCTCCTTGGACTTATCTGCTGCGGCGCCGTCTTTTTCCTTCACTTCGAAGCGCACCATTTTAAGCGACCTCGGGGTGAACGAAGACCAATTTTTGGACATCGGCATACTAGTCGGTTTCGATCATTCTTCTCCATTCCCGCCTACCACGCACGACCAAGCTCTAAAAGCCACCGTGGATATGGTCAAGTACTACAAATCAGGTCATGCAGCCGTATCCGCATTCGCCGACCATCCCATGGTCAAGAGCAATCAATATTCCGATCAGTATGCCCGTACACGTTCAATGATCAAGTATTCTCTTATCCTGTCGTCCGAGGGAACTGTGATGCCACTACCCCTCGTTATCACCACCCCTCCTACTCACGGTCATCCGAATCACCATCCCCACCATCCGACTGCAGCGGATATACCGTCAGACCTCCACGAAATATTCACGCACCGACTTCCCGATGAAATCTATTTCTACCTCTCTCGAGGACTACTCGGGCCGCAGGCGTTGGTTTGGTTGACTAGTGGCCAGATTGTTGAACCTCCTCCGTTAGACAACGGAGAGACGACTGAATATAAACGCTTTGTGAAGGAAGTGATTACGGATGGCCAGACCGGGCCGCGTGCCACGGCACTAGCGTTGATTAGCAGCGTCTCTCATGTCTTCTGGAACAATAGGAAAATCATGGGATCTTTCTGGTTTGAGCCTCCCGCGCCTCATAGTCAGAAGGCCGTCCAACACAATTCGGTACAGACTGTCCAGCTCGCAGAGAGAGTGGCTGGCTGGAACGTTAGTTACGCAATCGTCGAAGAAGAACTTAGGAGACAGAACGTGAGTCGCGTTCCTTGCTTCCCAAAGCTTTATTTGGCTTATAGCATTTGCTGTAGTCTTCCACAATTGATTTTGCTCTTTGTTTGGGAGCAACTGCAAGTGACAAGTTGGCACAGCGTACAAAAGGAAAGTCCGGTCTGCCGTTGGGACACCTGGAGAAGAAGGATGAAGTTGTAGCTAATGTTATCTGGCGATTCCTTGAACTAAGAGGGTATGCAGCTTTGGTTGTTTGCAACAGTCTAACATGACCTAAAATGGCTTTATTGCTTGACAGGTTCCTACTGAACTCTCACACCCACTCACCGTTAGCGCGAGCTATGTACACAGCTATTAAACAAGCTCGACTGAACGACAAGTTCCAGGACCCTCTATATTTGTTCCTGGAGCTAGTTAGGGCAGGTGTTATGCACGGCCATCTATGGTCAGGCCGAGCCTTCAGTGGTGGGCCCAGTTTCGGTACCGGTGCGTGCGTTCTCTCACGCGGCTACATCCGATTGATGGCTGACTATCGATAGATGATGAGAAATCGTGCATGCTGTTGGTCATGAGAGTGCTGAGCATCGTGCCTCTAAATTTCAAGGTGAGCTAGTTATATGTGTGACATCAAAAATAGGTGTCGTGTCATTTATGATGTGGGTTGTGTTGTTGCCTAGCCACAACCATGGTCTGCGCCACTATCCCGTGAACTGCTAGTGTTCAACTCGTTTGTACGGTCGCTGACGCGTGCACTGCGGACACTGTTGGAGGTGACGTCTCTGAACATGCTGTTGCGGTCAGACGCGCGCCGAGCTCGGGATGATCTGCTGGATATTACGCTGTCACTGCCTTTCCAATCTGAGGTTAACACGGGATTTGGAGTTCTGGCCAAGGTGTACCTCGACGCCCTGACCCATATCAACAATGGAACACGAGTTCGAGACCCAAATGCGGAGGGGGTTAGGGAGGCGAAAGCGTTGGCTCTCGAAATCTGCGAAGACACGTTCCCGGGGGTAAAGATGCCAAAACAGGAAGTTGAACGAGGGTTCCGATTCTGGGATATTGTAGGGCACTTCGCGACACTTATAGGATTCACGGTACTGACGAGACGTGTATTGTACAGGCGCTTACGGGCATGCGGCTACTCCACTCAGAGGGGGCAGTTCTGCGTGAGCTGATTGACCAGTTTGAGGCTGCTGAGGCATGGCTTGCACCGATGCGGCCTTGAGAGAGGGGCATACTGGTAACAAGTACATTGGGAGTTGGATGAAATAAAAAACAGTTGCTGTGACGGATGATATTGTATTGCAAGGTCAGAGATAAAGACAAGGAGGCAAGTGGCTGAGATAGGTCTTATGAAAATGGAGCAGTGTGTCAAGTCGGAAGATGCGACGGAGGAGAGAAACGATGGGAAAAGGAACAAGACAAGGAAAATGAAGAGAAGGCATGGGAAACGATGGGAGGATATGTCCCGATCGGGAAGAGACGACCGGTGTTTTGGGCCACACGTGACGGACGAGATTGGAGATCCGCCACTCCGACGGTCGGATTGGGTGAGAACGAGATCTGAGATCGGGGTGATCGATTGCATCTCGCTGTTTATCGCCAGATCTCCACTCGTCGACTGTCTCTCAAGCCTAAGCCCAAA